TCAATTCAATCGGGGTCTTGCTCTTCTTTCCTATTCGTTGTTGTACAATGCGCGAGATGCAGTAGAACAATTGTTATAGAACACAAGATAAAAAAAAAAGGATCGAGGGCAGTTTTACCAGCCAACCCTCTCTTATGCTCTTGCTTCTTTGTAACCAAAACTGAGACGGAGAAGAGTGTGGCGTGGTTGGCGTGGTTGAAAAATGGCACCACAAAGGGTAGAGGGACGAATGGGGTGGCACAGAAGGCCAGGTGTTTTCTTGGCCCATCGACGAATGAGAGAGTGGCTTGAGAGAGCTTAGGGGCGATACCATTTTGGGAGAGTTGCAACATCGTGCAATCCAATTATGATTGGAGTGTGTTAACGTATTTTAACAAATGGGAGATGGAGAGAGCGGTCGAGAGTGGCCGATATCGAGTGTTCAAAGACCAGCAAGGAAACAAGTGGCAGGCTCAACTCTTACTCTTGGCGACGGTGGTCTCTGAACGACAGCATATGAGGGATGATTATGAAAGACGTTTTTAAAAGGGGATCAACTCTCATTTCTACCGCCTGACAAGATGTCGATCGACTGCATCCGTTTAATTCGCTCTTCTTCTCAGTCTTCTACTCCTCTTACTCTCCCGTTGTGAATAATAGAAAGTGAAATATGTAAATGAGTATATAGGGGTGGAATGATTGATTGCTTGAGAGAGAAGAAGAAGCGCACTTCTGTTCCTCGCTTTCATGCTTTCGCCCTTTTGTTGGCGACTTGGCAGAGTCAAGTGGACAGAGAGCGAGATGGGATAACAACATCAATAATATGCGAATGAGAACAAATAACAACAGCGGTAGTGATTCCTATGATTCCTATGTGTACAGTTCTACTTGAACATAGATATAGAAGACGACGAAGAGATAGGATAATCTTCTTGTTGTCCTCACCTCCACTTTGACTTTGCTTCACGTTTCTCTGCTTCCTTATTTCTTCTTTGTCTTGCTCATCATCTTTTTTGTACCTCTTTCTTCCTTTCCTCTCATTCCTTCTACTCTTCCTTCGTCTTATCTCTTCGTACCCTTCGTACTCGCACTCGTCCTTTGTACCTTTCGGTCTCTCATTTTCCTTTAAGTACCCTCTCCATTCGCTCGTCTGTCGCCTTCAAGTCCTCCACCCATTCGTGTCTTTCATTCATCTACAACTGCGAAAAAAAGACTTTGTCCTCTTTCCCTTACTCCTTTCGCCGCCATTTCATTTCTATCTTTTCTCATTTGACTTACTGCACATTACGCTACAAAGGTACCTGCCCCCATTCTATTCGCATCCCTCGCTTGACAACCTTCCTTCTCTTCTTTACTCAGGCTCGGGTGCGCTTCTTCCATCGCTCGCACTTTAACAGATACATATGTAGCCTTTCCAATTTCTCTGACTCTGACTCTGACTCTGTCTGCCTCCTCGATAATCTACTATCTCCTCCCTTCCTTCCCTTGCACATTGTTCCCTACACTATCTTCTACAATACAACTACTGCCGCTGCAATATCCCGCCTTTTTGTTCTGTTCTTCCCGCGTGAGAATATATACTTATATATTCAACCCAAAAGAAAAGGAAAAAATCCTGATCGCACACTTACTTCCGTTCTTACCCCTGTGCTATTTTTCTGTAAGAAACTACCCATCCATTCAGACAGCCCAATTCATTCATCTCCACACATACTATATTCACACATCTCTGACCTCACACATACATATAAACATACACGTTTGTTTGTTTGTATTTGCAAACAATCGATTCACCCCCTTTATCAACCCCCTTCAGTCAACCCGTCTGCTCGAACGGGCATCTTTTTGTTCATTTAAAGAAAGAGATCCGCCTTCCTCTCTCCCATCCCCTTCTATCTCTTTTTCTCTGTTCCCTTTTTTCTCCTCTCCTGTACATCTTTTACCCTTGTTCATCATCCCTTTAGCATTGTCTTGTTTTTCTTTTAGCTTGATTTTCTCTTTTCCCTCCTTTTTCTTTCTTTTTTCTCTCTTGCTCCATCAATTGCTTTTCTGCTTCCTCTCACCACTTCCTTTCCCCTCTTCTTCATTCATCCACTTTCAACTTCTTATTGTTCCCCTATACCCATTCACCTCGTTCTCTTTTTTCTGTAAATATCTTTGCATATACAAACATAACATCATACCATCACGCTGAGTGAGTCGAGTGAAGTAAGCATAATGTCTTATGGGTTATTTTTTATTTCATCTGCTGGCAGAGAAAAAGAGAAACCCCCACCACACTCCAAAAAAAAAAAAAAAAAAAAAAAACCTACACCAAACCCCATTCACCCTATGCTCACTAGACGCTGAAATGAATGACCTCGTTGGCTATTGCTCTCGATTACCCTCTCGGTTTTCCTCTCCCTCACTCTCGGTCAACAACAAACAACAGAAAACACAAACGCATTTGTTGTTGTTGTTATTGTTGTCGTTGTTCTTTTTTTTTTTTATCCTGTCCCTTTCTTTTTTATCCGTTCTCGTGCGCACGCATACGCATACGCATACAGTGTTTACCAGACGAATCTGTCTCTTCTTTTTTTATTTCGAGTGCATGCGGTGTGTGTATGTATATGTTTGTTATGCGTTGCAGTTCTTTTTTTACTCTCCTTGTGCCTGCACTAATCCTTGCCGCTTACATCTATCATACGCATCAGAACGTAACCACCCTACTTTTGTTTCCAATTGGGTTATCTTGCGCATTGTCACTGGTAATCTTGTCACATACAGTGTCAAGATACACAGAACACAACACAAAGGGTGCAGGCAACATGAGCCGCGTGTGGCACGCACCCTCTCCCCTGTCTCATACCGCTCAGTTGATCCACATCTGCCTCAGAAAAAGATGAAAAGAGAAGGACATGACACCCAGTCGCGCATTTTCCCTATGGTGACGATGAGGGGAGGCAAGAGAGAGGAGAGAGAGGAGAGGGAGGAGAGGGGAGAGAGAGGAGAGAGAGGAGAGAGGAGAGAGGAGAGAGGAGAGAGAAGGCACCAGCGCGCTTGTATTTTTTTTCTCGTTCAATGACAACAACAACAACAACAACAACAACAACAACAGCGAAGCAGCAACCAACTACGTCGTTTGCCTGCCTCATTCGAGATTAACACATAAAAAAAAAAGGAGAGAAAAAGAGACCACAAAAAACAAACAAACAAACAAACAACACTGGGGATTGACATTAGCATTGACAACAACGAGCAGTGGACTCGTGTTCATCGACATCATATCCATACATTCATTCATTTCATTTTTCATTTCCATTCCTGATCCATTGATCGTCAAGACCTGGGCGGATCTTGTAGACCGTTCAAGAGCACCTACTAACCCTCCTCTTTTCTCTTCTCTTCTCCCTCCTCCCATCTGTTTTCTATCATTCTTCAATTTGCCATTTTTCTCTTACAATCCCCCTCTCCGCCGTTGCCAGATCCCTCTTCCTGTGAACAATACGACCCCAGGCACCAACACCGCCAACAACAGCTTGCTTAGCCAACAACAAGATCAACAACTCCAGCTTCAATTACATTCGCCAGCGGCAACAGAACTCAAACTCCAAATCGGCGACTTGGCTCAACACCTCCACTGGGCTCCCCACACCTTCCTCCTCGAAAATTCTCCGGACGAACCACAACATTTCCTACTCTCCAGCACAAGCAATTGCGAGAACAGTCATTCAACCTCTTCAACCTGCAGCAACGAATTGAACACCCGCACCGACACTCTCTTCACTCTCACTGGTCACCGCACCAACAATAGTACCCCCTCACCACAAGCACATCATTCCTCGCCATCCATTTCCCAAGAGCAAGTACAACAACAAGTACAAGTGCATCAGGAACCACAACCTAGCCACAATAGTTACCACTCTACCTACAACGAGAACAGCGACATTGTAATTGACTTCAACACAGACCTCAAAAGAGACACAGGATCGACAACACTTGACCTATTACTCGGTCTCGACCTCGATTTCGACGATTTCGACCTCGAATTGAGCCTTGACTTTGACTTTGACCTCGACCTTGAACTTTGTCATCGCCAGCCAACCCCAACCTCCGCTTCGTTTGCCTCTGCCTCTACTCCAACTTCAACTTCAACTCGAGCTGCAACTCAGACAACCACCCCTGGCCCTCACCCCAATCCCAATCCTCACCTTGCTCAACAGTCTAGTCACTTCGATTATTCTGACTCTGTCGTTGGTCCTCTCCCTCGTTGGTCACATCCCGGACAAGTCGTGGCACAAGATCGTCGCCTCCCTCACCGCCACCCTCTCCTTTCTTTTTCTTCTCATCCGTTTCTTTTTTACACCCCTGCTTCACCTCTGCCGGACCTCGACGTTGAACCTTTCGATACACTTCACCCTTATTTTCACACCACACCTGCATCTACACCAACAACATCGCAAAGCAACCTGTTATCGACATCGGATCACCCCTCGCTAGCACCTTCCTCCCTCAGCAAGGAGGCTCTCGGCAAAATACCTCGATTCAATTACCCTACTAGCCGGCCCAGGACAACATCCTTGCCCACACTCAACCAGCAACAACAGCAACAACAACGCTTTGGTGGCCCCCTCACTCCAAAAACAACAACAACAAAAACAACAACAACAACAACAACACTCACCCCACCATTATCCCTCACGCTCACTTCAAGCGGCGTCGGCGGTGACATCAACAAAAAGAACATTGCTTTTGGTATCGCAACCGAAAGTGATCTGCAAAACCTACTATCGAGCGACTGCGACAGCATTAGTACAAACGCCGATTCTACATTTGAGCGGGGCGCCTTGATCCCTTGTTCCCATTCTGGTTCATCCTCCCACCATCTGTCGTCCTCTGCATCCTGCCCTCACAACGGCAGCAAGACCTCTTCCACTTCTCCGCCCTCATCCACATTCTTTCCTTCACCTTCTACACATTCCTCTACTTCTTCCTCTTTTACTCCTTCTCCGCCTTTTTCTTGTTCTTTTCATAACCCTTCGATGGTCATCAACTCTACTCTCCTCCTCTCGGAACAAGACCAGCAGGATCACTTTGGCCTCACCGAGCAGCTCGAAGTCGCACTAGCATTGAGCAACAGCAACAACCTCGGTTTCTCCCCATACGACTCTCATCAAGTACACCGCCTCTCGCCCAGCCGGTTTCCCTATTATTTTTCTCCTTCATCAGCAGCAGTATCATCAACTTTCCCAAACTCCTCCTCCTCCTCAATAACAGAGTCCAGAGGAGCGGCGGGGACCATGTCGACCCCTTCGGACCAGGGCCAGTTGGATCAGGAGCAGGAGGAGCAATCCTTCAGAGCTCTGGACCTGTTTGCTCAGCAAGATATCGATTTCGGCCTCCTCGTTCCCAGCAGCAACAGCTCTTCAGTACCTCCCACTATGGGCGATGGCAACCCATTCGCTCACACTCACGCTTCCACTCCTTCTCTTCCCACTGTCTCCTCATCGCCTTCGTCGTCGTCTCCCTTTGCAGATCCACTCTCTGGGTCATTCTCACCAATTGAGCGGCTAGCATTCCATCCTGCAAATTCCAGTAACCTTTCCTCCTTTCCTGGTCACCCGTTCAACCAACAGCAACAGCAACAGCAACCACAACAGCAACAGCAACCACAACCACAACCTCAACAACAACAACAGCAACAGCAACAGCAACAGCAACAACAACAGCAACAGCAACAGCAACAGCAACAGCAACAGCAACAGCAACAGCAACAACAACAGCAACAGCAACAGCAACAGCAACAGCAACAGCAACAGCAACAGCAACAACAACAGCAACAACAACAGCAACAGCAGCAACATCAACAACAACCTTCATCTCACCTCCACCAACCTCATCCTCACCAACAGCAACAGCAACTCTTTTTGGGTCAAGATATGTCCAACCAGCCGTCCTCCTCGTCATCGTCGTTCTCGAGTTCCCGGCCGCTTCTGCCCATGCCGATGACCATATCCACCTCCCGATCGCCATCCGAGTCCTCGTCACCTTCACCGTCAGGGGCTTCTTCTCCATCATCTCCTTCATACGACGACATCCTCCTTCCAGTGGTCGCGTGCGCAGCCTGCAAGAGGTCGCATATCAAATGTGACCATGGTCGCCCTTGCCTAAACTGCCTCAAGCACCCGTCCAAGGCTAAGACCTGTCGCGATGCTGTCCCCAAACCGAGAGGACGTCCAAAGGGTGGAAGCAAAGTTGCGGCCGAGTCCCTCACGATGGTCAAGCCGATGCCGCATGCCATCTACCCTTTCCATTCTTCTGGAGCGACGATTAGCGGGTACTACCCTCCTTATCCCACTCATCCCCATCTCCATCCTCACCACCGTCCTTTGCATCCTCAACAACATCAGCAGCAGCAACAATACCATCGTCAACGTGCCATGTCATTACCACAGATTCCACAGCACTTGCAGCCTTATCACCACCTTAACCAACAGCAACAGCAACAGCAACAGATTCAAAATCTCCCGCCTACGTTTCTTTTGCACCAACAGCAACAGCAACAATTCCAACAGCAGCAACAGCAACAGCACCAGCAACAACAACAGCAACAGCACCAGCAACAGCAGCAACAGCACCAGCAACAGCACCAAACATACCAAAACCAGCCGCCCATGATGCAACAAGTCCAGCAGCCACCTGTCCTCCAGCAACAGCCACAACAGCAAATGCACCAGCAGCAACCTACTGCCCCATTGTTGCATCAACGGACCTTCTCTCATCCACAGCGACTGTCGGTGTCCGGGCACCCGGGTTTCCAGCCTTACCAGCCGACTGGTACAGTCCCAATGTCGGCGACGGTGCCGAGCCTATCGCCTCCTGTGGTCCCAGCTGTGCTGCCTGATGGAGGAGGTCACCATTCGTCATCGGCCTCGTCGTCCTCTTCTCACTCGTCGTCGTCGACAACACCCCCTATGCCCAGGCAGTCCATCGTCCGTGCTGGTACCGGAGGAGGAGGAGGAGGAGGAGGAGGAGGAGGAGGAGAGGGAGTACCACCCCCTCCTGTTTCTCCTATGCAGATGCAGCGCCTTCCATCACAGCCCCGTGCGGATGCACTGCAGTTCCAGCAACAGATCCAGCGGCAGCAACCGCAACAGATGACTATGATGCCGCAGAAACGCTTCTACACACAGCATCACCAGCAGCAACAACAGCTTCAGATGCAGCAGCTTCAATTCCAACAGTTGATGCACAACCCTCATCACCAACAACAGCAGTTCTCAATGCAATCGCCACCTCTTCCTCTGTCGCCTCCTCCTCACCCGCAGCAGCAGGTACAACAGGTACATCAACAAGTACAACAACAACAGCAGCAGCAAGAGCCGCAGATGGTATTCCAACCGCTGTACCACAACCCACACCATCGGAATTTGAACAACAACCGCCTCCTCCGCCGATCCTCTCTGCAGATCCCTCTCTCCTCCTTCTCATCCACAGTAACTTCGTCGTCGTCAGTGGTTGGAGGTGCAGGAGTACAGGCATTGTCGTCGTCGTCTAACATCCCAACTTTTCCGTCTTCTGGTTTGCATGACGAAGAGATGGCCGAGATCGTAGAGGAGTAGTAGTTCTCTTTTCCTCTCCTTCCTCTTCCCATTTAGACCACACTTACAGCGTTTTTTTTTTTTTACAATAAATGAGAAAAAAGGCCAAGCATAAAAAGAGATATGTTTGTTATTCGAGTCTTTTTGTTTGTTAGTTAAGTTTGCTTGTTTTTCTAGTGAAAGTTGAAATCCTGGCTATTGTCTTTGCTGTTGTTGTTGTTGTTGCTATTACCAGTATTGTTGTTCCCATAGGCAGGAGAAGCATTCCAGCCACTGTTGGAGTCGCTGTCTCTGTACTCGCCATGGGTTTGGTCGAAATTGACACCTTGGTCGTGGACATGGCCATGGCCGCCGTGGTCGTAATTGGGAAGGCCGTCTCTTCCTTCTCCTTTATCATTGCCGTATCCACCATGCCCTTGATCGTATCCACCATGGTCGTGAGCATCTCCTCCTCCCTCGCTGCCTCCTCTGGAATCCAAAAGGTCAATCTGATCCGGGTCCACAAAATCATTCTCATACGAGCTATGTTCCAAGAAAAAGAAACAGAAAAAAACAAAGACCAGTGAACATTAGAGCAAGGAAAAAGAAGGAGAAGGAGGTGGCGGGAGCGACAAGGGATGGGAATGGGATGTTGGACAATAGTGAGCAATTTTTCCTTGGTTCCCTGCTGCTCTTTGCATAGTTGTTCATTTTTCGTTCTTACTCGGAGAGAAAACCTTAAAAAACAATTCAAACAATTCAAACAATTCAAACAGTAAAACAAACAACACCATGCATAGATAATACTTTTTTTTTTCTTCTTGGTTGATTATCTTTCCTTTTTCAACCCTTGCCTGGCTGTGTCGTCGCCTTTTCCCTCATGTTCCACTTTTCCACTCTAATCCTCATTTCTCTCTTCGATGGCTCATGTAACACTCAGATGCATTCATGCTTATTGTTCTCAGTCATCCATCCGTCAAACACTGTCACTCCTTTTTGTTTTCCCTTTTCCGCTCTTTCCACTCTCTCTGTCTCCTATTTTTTGGTCCATGTTCCACCCTCTCTCTGCATGTATGCTAAGAGATGACAAAGAGTGAAAGAATGAGAGAAAGAGGCACTATTCCCACTCTTCTTTTTTTTTTCCTTGCCCCTTTTCATTTTTCCTTTCCCCATTTCACTCTCTTCCAAAATTACGCAATATCCAATTATCACATGGGCTAAAAAAAATAAAAACCGAATGAAAAACTTACATGTCGTCGGTAATAAACTCTTGCAAGAACTCAGGCACATCTTGCTGGCACTCAATCAATAGCTTCACCAACTGGGGTGCAATGCCCCAATTCCGATCGTTGTAAAACGTCGTCGCCAGTCCCGGGTTCCCCGCACGCGCCGTTCTTCCAATCCGATGGACGTAATCATCAATATCATCGCTCAGGTCATAATTGATGACATGCATGATATCCTTGATATCCAGTCCTCGAGCAGCGACAGCGGTAGCGATCAGGATGGGGCTCCGACCAGCTTTAAAGGCTTCCAGGGCCATCTCGCGTTCACGTTGGCTCCGGTCGCCGTGGAGGGAGATGCAGGGGAAATGTTTGTTGTAGAGGACATCGTCGAGGTAGTCGGCTTTGCGCTTCGTGTCGACAAAGATGAGGGTGCGCGAGGGCGGTTGGGAGAGGAGGAGTTCTTCGAGAGTGTCCTCTTTGTGGTACTCTTCTACCTTGATCACCTTTTGCATAATGTCTGTCGTTGTGCCTCCGATTCTTTTTTTTTTCACACGGTTAAGACGCAGCGGAAGGAGGTAGAATTGAGGGAAATAATTAGTACCCTAAAATTTTAACGCGCCCATGACGCGTACTCGCTGCAGCTTTTCTACTCCGCTCGCATTCACACCCAACCCTCAATCTCCCTCAACCCCCTAAAAAGAACATACCTTCCAACGCGCAGACGGCAATAGTCATTCATAAAGTCCCTCGCAAGGACCTGGATCTCAGACGGGAACGTGGCGCTAAACATCATGGATTGCAAACTCTCATCCCTCGTCAAATCAGACGAGAGCAAGATCTGACGGATTGTCGGTTCGAATCCCAAATCCAGAATCCGGTCGGCTTCATCCAGAACCAAGTACCGGACTTTGTCCAACGCCACCGCTCCTCTCTCCATAGCATCGACAAGTCGTCCTGGTGTTGCGATAAGGATGTCGCATCCACGCGCCAAATAGTCCTTTTGTCGTCGAAGGTCTGCCCCTCCATAAATCACTGCCGGTCTGATCGGGCTCTTGTACGTGAACTTGTAACATTTTTGTGTAAGAGGTGAAAGTGAGCTTGGGTTAGATCATTAGGCAAACGCATGTTCCACTTGCATGTTCATAAAAAAAAGAATCCTCGAGTTGAAAGAACTTACGCGACGGGTTTCGTCAAAGATTTGGATGCCGAGCTCTCGAGTAGGGAGGATGATCAATGCCAAAGGAGAGGCCTTGGTTTTTCGAGCACCGGGCAGAGGGGCGACGGGTGGGTTCTTTTGCATCTTTGTCAAAATCTTGGATAGAACTGGGAGTAGGAACGCTGCCGTCTTTCCCGATCCTGTTTGCGCGCATGCTAAAAGATCATAGTTTTTCATCAAGATGGGGATCGCGTTCCTCTATTTATTTTTTTCCGTTTTGTAGTGTAATAGAAATGGGAGGCAAGGGTTAAAGACCATTGAATGAATTGAAATATAAAAGAGAGAAAATCGACGTCATCCCATATGCATGCCATTGAAGTGATGCCTTGCTTTTCGCCGTTGCTTTGAAAAAGTACCTGGATGGGTGTTGGCTCCAGGTATCCCATACGCTGGATGTTCTCGAGGATAATCGGATGCAACTTTGCCTGTTCAAACTATATCAAGGAAACAATGATATTAATTATTACCTTTTATTTCGGTTGTGAGAGCCATTATCCTTTTACACCAACACAATAGAACAAAAGCAACAACATAAAGCAACGTCGCAGCTATAAAAAAAAACATCTCCAAGCTTACACTCTGTAGAGGATCGACGCGTTCGGGTCCACCTTTCCGACTGACATTGATTCTTGAGAACTTGTCGAAATTGATCCCCGACAAGATGCGATTCTCTTCTCCAAACAACTCGGCCTCGAGTTCGGGCATGGCAGGGGCGTCTCCTTGATTGAATTCCTGCTGCCATTCGTAGGTGGGTTTCTCGAACGCCCATGCGTCGTCCTCGTGCTCCCAGGCTGTCTCTGTAGGCTGTTTGCCGCCCCACCTCATCGTTACTTCATCTTCCATTATGGTTGCTTTTGTTGTTGTCGTTGTTATTGATGAGGGTAGTGTTTCTTTGTGCTGAGGACGAAGAAAGGGTGTGATGTGAAATAAAAAGAAGTGGCTGTGGCTGCTGCTATGGATTGTGATAGTGTGCCTTCTTCTGTTTGAGGTAAAGGCGGGTGCGACGGTGTGGAAGACAGAAAGACAAGAAGGGTCTAGGCGGGACAGTGGGCAATTTTTTAAATTCAAAAACGCCACACACAAAGAATCATTGCGCGCCGATTGAGCCCAGCCAACAACAAAACAAAACAAAACAAAACAAAACAAAACAAAACAAAACAAAAAAACGTGCTATGGAATCACAGCGGTTGTTGCTGGTGCGACTGGTACTGTCAAGGTTGAGTCTGGCTTCTCTGGAGGGATACCCCTGGTCAGGTTCATGTATGTGATCGTTGAGTCTCCTGTAATGACTCCAAGCGTGATCCTACACAAGTAATGATGTGGTTAAAAAAAGAAAAAAGGAAAAACTAGCAGAACCAAGCCTACAAGCGACACTCATGATAAACATATACCTTGATACTGCAGAAGCATTCAATCGTGGGTCAGTCTCTATGTCGAGAGCAGTAAAGGTACACTCAATCTTGGCGACTGTCCATGGTTCAGCAACAAAGGCAGGCAAAATTAGATACTTGACGCGCTATGGATAAGATACAGTCCAGAGCATCGGTATTCCCATTGTCAGTTCATTAGTGATGGAAGTGGGAGGTGGTCAAAAAATGTGCAGTGGAGATGAGACAAAAGGAAAGAATGGTTGAATTGATCACTTACGGTGTCAGGATGTGTACATTCGATGAGACACCGTCCGAGCACAGGTGCCTGGATCACACTCACATCCTCAAATTCCTTCGCTAATTAACCCCCATAGCAACAAATGAACGTGAGTTATATTTCTCAAACGTATTTTCATATTTCGAGGGTATAATTACTGATATGTTCACTCTTGCGTACCTAGGGTCAGGTCAAGATAGACCTGGAACAGTTGCTCCGCTTGGTCAGGGAAAAGAACACACTTGTCGTTCACCTCCTTGAACTAGGAAGAAAATTAAAAACAGAGCTTTTCCTGGCTAAGTACTTCTTGCTACTGCGCCCCAACTGACTTCCTCACTGTACCATAGGCTACCAGGCTATGTGTAGGAGTGAATAAAAGTTGCGTACCCTGGGATGCAATGCAAGCTTGTCCATGGCATGCTTTTGAAGGTGATCAGTCAAGTTCGAGGTTGTCGTTTGGGCGAAGGAGGGACCAAGTGCATTTTTTTGAACTGAGATTACTTAATTAATATCACATGACACTTCGTCGATCCTATGTGGCTTTTGTCCCTTTTACCCTCCAACCTATTTCAAGTTGGACAACTTCCAACTTCCTCGACCATCAACACGACAAACCATCAAACAGCCATGACTCGCGCTACTGAGGCCGCCGCCTTCTTCGGCATCACCGCCACCATATACCTCGCCCTCCTCTTCCAGTGGCTCCCCATCACCCTCCCCGAAACCGTCCAGAACTTCACACTTCCCGTTGTACGAAACACCTCACCCCACCTTTTAGCATCTTTGCACAAAAGAACACGATGACAATGCAACTTCAATGGAGGCATGACCTTCTTACCCAGGAGCAACAAACAACATATAGTAACACCACTCTTTCTTATCCGTACACCTTGATGCGTCTCATCTTCTAGCTCCCCTGGTGGGCTTTGGTCACATTTGGCGCCTACTCTCTCGGAAACATTGGTTATCACGTCCTGACCTTCCGCGACTGCCCTGAAGCATACGACGAGCTCCAAGTGGTACATATTTTGTTTCTATTTCACACATCAAGTGCCACCACTGTCGGTCCTTGTGTACCTTTTTACTTACACTCGTTCTGTTTTCTCCTCACGTTGCATAGCAAATCGGTGAAGCACAGAGGGATCTCAGGAGCAAGGGCATGAGCATCTAATAAACGAATAAAGGGAGCCATTTTTTCTCACTCTCTCTTGGATCGACTTACATTTCCCGACCCATCTTTCTTTCAAATTTTCGCCACGTCTCATTTTCTAATAAACATTTCATCTAACCCAATTCTCCAAGAAACCATTGGCAACAAGAAGCGAAACCAAAGTCAAAGAGTTGCAATTGAAAAGATCGGTATTATTGCTATATGTGTACAAATGCTCCTGCTCTGCTGTTGCCTCTACTTTGTTCTTTCTTCTGTTGATGTTGTGTTGTTTTAGGCGCTCTTCTTCTCGACCTTCTTCTTGCTCTTGATCATGACCATGGACAAGAAGGTGAGGATGACGGTCAATCCAAAGACCAAAAGCACACAGGGGATGCGGATCGCATATTCACGGCGAGGGAAGTAATCGTGCAAGAAGTACGACTCGTCGACAAAGGGCTACATTATTGACAATTGAAATGTTTGAGAGGGGGGTGTTAGATGGGACGTGGCAATTTCTTGAAACAGCCTCATGCTGTTTACCAACTTCTTGTCCTTGTTGGGAACGAGCGAGTAATTACCATGACGATGGCCCACAAGGTATAGTACACAAAGACGACGGTACTGAACGTCAGGAGGGACGCGCCCACGACTTTATCCTGTCCACTGGCCTATAATTCCATTTTAAATTATAGTAAAAGGGTGTGAGTGAACAAGTTACTGAAGTGTTTCGAGCATATGTGTATGGTTCCTTCCTCACGCCGTTATTTCTTCTCCATGGTGCGATGGCTGCCTTTGGTTTGGTTCCACGCTCGTGCCCCCCCGTGTAAATAAATAACTGAGGTTTGGCGTCCCATGTCCTTGAAACTGGCCAGATGAACTGGCTGAGAGTGTGATGGCTGAAGCGTTGTTGGGCAGGTAAGAGAAGAACGTGGTTTTCCTGCGGCTCCCGTAAGTATGAGTTTGGGTGACAAGGCGGCTTTGTGAATGCCAAAGTCTGTTCTGTTCTGTTACCATGGCTGAAGTGATGTGTGTTGTAGAAAGATGTGTTGCCAGAAAAGAGAGGCGGGCTCGAACTCAACTAATGAAGGAAAGAACCTCACGTACAAAAATAGATTGCACCAACTGTGTACGGTTTCAAGATTCTCGTCTCTCTTGCCCTCTGATCCTACTCCCTGCGGTGAAGCAGTGCAAGGCAAGCAAGCAGCAAGTCCGCAAGCCACACTTCAAAAGGACGGAAATCCGGAGGTGCGGTGAATCGGCCGGCCAGATCATCAGACATACCCTTTGCGCACTCTCTCTTTCTCTCCTCTCCCCACTCAACCAACAACCACCATCAAATCAACATGACCGCCACCGCTGATAGCTGGGAGTACCCCACCCAACGCAAATTCGAGGACGTCGCACCCCTCTCCGAGGTCGACCCCAACGACAAGGCCGGTAAGGCGAGCGAGATTGGATTGCCTCTTGAAGGACTGATCCGGACACATCCTTTCAACAACAACAACACACACTCTTTCCGTGCAGTATACCTCAACCAGACAACATCTCATCAGGACAGCTACCGCCGAATCGATATTCTGTAGTGCCGTCAAGTAGTGTGGAGGACACTCGTTCGGGACCTTTTTATGTCGTACAGGGGAACGGAGCACTACGTTCGCTGGCCATATCGCCAAACCCACTAGGACATCTCCGAACTGGACAGCGCTATGCACACACCAAGCCATCTTTTGACACCTGCAGCAATCAATTGGGCGATACACAAGCTGAATTTATAAAGCTGCAATTTCTACGCACGCACCGAAGCATCCGACTACCAAGACGTGTTTGATCGCGTCTTTTCAGCCTACCTGAACACCAGTACGATCACCACACACCTCGGCGAAATGCCGCTATTGCGCAGGACATCTCAGGATCATACACACACCCATCCAGCAACTCTCACCACCATAGAGCTGCTCTCACTAAACACATTCCCATTTTCTTCGTTAAATGAATGGATAATTATTAGCCGTCCTTCGCTCGCGCGCTCTCGCTGTCCGTGAGTCGTGGATCAACGCCATGGAGGGCCGCATCATCCAGCAAGAGTTGAAGAAGTGCTACCGTGCCGAGGGCGTCAACCACTACCAGAACTGCCGTCACCTCGTCGACCTCTACATGAACGCGCTCAAGGAGAAGAGAGTTGAGGGCTGGAGAAAGACCGAGTCTGCATAAATCTGTCACCAATCCAACATACAGACGAAGCAGGACTGCAAGGATGACGAACGGACGAACGACCCCAAGAATAATAGATGCGAGACAACCAAACACAACATACAAATCAACAAACCCCGATTTTCTAGAGGCGGCACACCAACGGCGCTCGACTAAGACTTTACAGTAAACGAACTTCGGAAAATACCAATTTTTTTTCATGTGTGTCGTGTTGTCATGCCTCGTTATTTTTCTACGCATTATGATAACTATTTTGCTGTGAAGGACAGGAGAAGCGGTATGATACATACAGAAGGAGAAGGACTAACAATTGTATCAGATCTACTGGGACTTGTGCCATCATATTTTCAGAGGAATTGGTCGATTTCTATCCACAATGGTCATTAAATGGTTAATGGTGTGTTAGTCAAGCGCACTTGGATCGCGGCGTTTGTGCATTGCAGGTATTTCCGCATGAGAAGGAAGTCCTTACCACTGTAACCGACGAGACGAGAAATGGGCGATCGCAGATAGGTCATAGCATACAATCCAAACGTGCACATCGACAGCCCAACCGTCAGCATGTAAGGCGCACCATCCACGCCTAATTGTTTGCCAGCAACCGAACAGAAAAAAAAATTAGCAAACTCAAAATAGTATACAAAAAAAAATTCACAAAACTCAGGACAAGCAGAGCAATGAAAAATCGTACCAGAGGGTCCACACCAGTCGCCATGGTCTTGATAATCGTCAAGACAGAGCTGCAGATCTTTACAATGGTGCTCGGCACAAAACCCTCCGCTAAGCGCACAAAAGATCCCGCCCAAGGTGACCAGGAACATCATTAGACGCGACCCCCACCGGGCATTGATCTCGTAGACGGCCACGTGGCTCTTTTGGATCACGATCGAACCATTCAGCCCTATGTCTCCGTACATTTCCTCTTTGTCGGAGCAGGTGGTCTCGTTGCCTTCGTCGTCTTCGTCCTCGTCTTCGTCTTCCTCCGAATCGCCGTTTCCATGGTCCCCGTCACCACTGTCATCTTGAGAACCATCCTCGCCATCTCCATATCCAGACACGCCACTCTGATGCACCTCACCATGGACAACCTCAGACGCCAGGTGCGATCGTCTGGTAGGTGAACTACTCGTACTATCAAACTCGCCATGATTCCTACTACCGCCAGGAGTACTCGATGACCCAGGCGATCTCGGAAAAGCAGGAGGCGTTATGATCGATATAGTTGGAATAATCATTGGCCCCAAAGTTGGCGACGGTGAGACTGAAGAAGACGAAGAAGGATCCTTCAAAGGTGGAACTCCCGTCGAGACAATCATGCCTGGAGGGAGTGGAGTCCCAGGAGCCACGACGGATGAGGGGGCGTTAGTGCATATGGCGGTACTCGTGTTCTTGATCTCGCCCAGAAGACCACCAGATTCGTAAGAGACCAATGAGAATGGGAAGAGGACTGAAGAAGAATCGCGCTTCCAAAGTGAGGTCTTGGTTGTTGTTGTCGAATTGTTGCTGCTGTTGTTGCTGGAAATACCGGAGACTGGTACAGAGCTGCTGTGCTGCTGCTGATGGCTGTTGCTGGTGGCGTTAGTGTCATTAATGGTGATGCTGTTGCTGCTGGTGATGCTGGAGAAGAAGGAAGTGGGCGTTAAAGAAGCTGTGAGCTTGCGACGTGACTTTTTTAAAAGACTGTCTCCTTGATTGCCAGTATTGCTACTAGACGAATCGTGGTAATAATGGCTGCTGGAAGAAGAGGATCCTGAAATAGGTAGAGACTGTCGGGTCTGGAGAGGTGACTGGCGATATGAATTATGCTGCGGGCGAGGGTAATGCAAATGAGACGATGAAGCGAGAGTTCTGTCAGGCGAGTAGGATGAAGTGTTGTTGTTACTGCTGCTGAGGATCCGTGTAGGTGAGGGAGTTGAACCAGAATGATGAAGACCAAAGGTGGCGCGTTTTGGTGACGAGGAGGAAGGTGTAGAGGTAGACGTGGTCGACGAAGGAAGCGCCTTCTTGAACAAGTAGGAAGAGGAAGAATCTAACAGCGCCGGCAGAAACCAGGATGGTGTATGAGAGGAACTGCGCTGTTGTGAGGACGAAGAGAATGAAAAGGATGTCGGTGAGGATGTTGGCGGTGATGGGTTGAAACAAGGTAGTCCCTGTCCTTGCGATTGAGAAGACCGATGTTGGTGGTGCATGTAGGGCGCATTTGGCTTGGTGAACAGACTGCATTTCCGAGGCGTCGATGCAGGAGGAAGTCGCACGGGTTCTGGTGCCTCGTTCAATGGATATAGTGTTGTTGCTCCAAAAGTATTTTCTTGAGAGCCGCCTTTCTTGAGAATCGGGATCGGGGAGGCAGGGACAGATCCGATGCCGTGAAAGGTCTTTGAATTGTCCTGTGCGCCCATTGGAGCCAATTGTTGCCATGGGATCGGTATCGCGCGTGGTGAATCGCCCCTCATCTCTAGCTGCTGACTTTTGTGTCGTTGCCGTTTGAACTGGTCTGTCGGCAAGCCTACGCCCAACCGTCCACCACTAAGCTGTGCCGCAGCCCCACTCGTGGTGCCTGACCCCGAAATTGGGAAATGATGCGCCGTAGATGGGATAAAGACTGACTGTGGACGCGCTGGTAGCCGGACAAGCTGTCGTCGTGTCTTGGGTGTCGATGGTGTAGCAGCCGAGAGTGAAATGGGCTCGATAGAGGCGTAGAATCCTGATCCAAGCGAGATCCTGTTCATCGTTTTCCGTCCATGGCTCAACTCGCGTTTTGGAGTCAACCCATTGCTGCTGTCGCCTGTCTGAGCCGGAATCCTGGGATATATGATTGACCCAACTGAGGTGGTAGATGTGACATCCCCGTCAATGTTGATCCTGACACTTTTGCTCAAGACGCGTTCCTTGTCCTTCTCCATGGTGACAGATACAGGTGTGAACATGTCCTTTCGTAAAGCAGGGTAGGCAGTATCTGGTCGAAGTCCAACAGTGATCAAGTGGTCCCGAGCGCGCTGTTGACTCTGCTGTGATTGCTGCTGATGCTGGTTACTCTGTGAACCCTCACCCAACAAAGGTGACTCCCAGATGACCTGTGACCAAGGCCGCGGGCGACGCCCCTGCTGTTGGTTCTTGCCGGATACAGAAGTTTTGGCAAGGGACAAGAGTGTCTGCTCCTGTTGGTCGGGGAGGTAATTCAGATGTTGCAAGATGGGTTGAGGGTACAGTCGCGTGTTGAAAGTTGTTGTCGACTGAGGATGATCCGCTGGTGCCAAGAGGGCCTCCCCCGATAGGGCGGGAGAAGATTTGGCGAGACCTGTATATGGAGAATATACAGCAGCAAGACGTTCATCTGGGGTGTCGAGCTGTTCAATGATGGGTCCATGCTCCACCTCTCTGGGCTGTTGAACTTGAGTAACTGGCGTAGGTCGCGCGGCGGAGGCGCTTCCTGACCATTTTAAGGAATTCCTGAAGTTGGGCGCAGTAGATGTTGTCGTTGATGTCCCTGAAGACGTTGGCCCTTGTATCCTCGGAATGACGCTGACGTGCAAGGGATAACTCGGCACGTTGTTGTTGTTGTTGCTATCGCTCTCAGCTTCATCATCCTCATCGTCGTCATCTTCATCGTCGTCATCTTCATCGTCGTCATCTTCATCGTCGTCATCCTCGTCCACATCGTCAAAGTCGGTGACATAGGAAGAGGATCCGTCGTTGGAGGAGGGGCGTAATGAAGAGTCAAAGATGGTTCTCGAGAACCTCCACGCACTGATGGGTCTTGGACGCGGCGATTTTGTTGACCCTGTTGCTGTAATTGGGGTTGTTGGGGTCGTGTTTGTTGTTTTATGAGATGGTGTTGTCCCTGAAGGCTCTGCCTTAAAAGGGATAGTAGTAGTTGTAGTTGTAGGGCGAGGCAAGGCAGGCGAGATGGATATGAGTGGCAATGCAGGTTGATCAAGGATGAGTGGGGATGACTGTGCCCCAGGGGAGGTAAGTGTAGCTGTCGTGTAGGAAGGGGTTGTTGTTGTTGCTGTTACTGATGTTGTTGTTGTTGTGGTAGTGGTAGTGGCAGGAGCGGACGACCGTTGCTGGTGTTGTTGTTGCTGTTGTTGTCTAAGCCTGCTCGAGGATGCATTAGCGCCCAAGCCCTTTTTCCTCTTGTTGGCAGACCAGGCATCGTAGTAGTCAGACATGGTAGGATGTGGTTGTTGTACAGCGAGAGTTATGAAAAAAGGCAACGATAATGATGACTGAATGCAAATCGGTGGTAACGTGAAGAAAAGAAGGAAGAAAAGGTGAAGAAAGCTGGTTCTGGTTCTGGTTCTCAGATACAGGTACAGGTACAGGTACAGTTGACAGATAGACAGACGTTCACGCTCTAAGCAGTCTGCTGTATTTACACCAACAATGATGGACCATGGCTTAACTCTTCGTCTCTTTTTTTTTTCTTTTTGCCACGCTGTGTTTTGAAAGGACAAGACTGTGTGTAGGCGGTGACTCCATCTGGGCTATTGAAGAGACGGAAGAAAGGAAGGATCGGGAGAAAGCCAGAACACCAAGGGTGGTAGAGGATCGGTGTGTATCGAATCCTACCCGGAGACATATCGTGCCTTATCATTTTTATGGAGATAGAGATTGATTCAACCAACGAGGGAAAAGGAAGCAGACAATGGTCCTGTTTTAAGGATCAGTTTGAATTTGAATCTGACTCCCACCACCACGCCGCCATTGTTAGTATGCATGATGCAAGGACGTGTACTCATTTCTTTTGGTCTGACAGTTGGAAAATATAAGGAAGAGGGAAGGGTTCACCTTTTCTCATCTCTTGTTGTGCATGTTTGTTTATTTTGGTCGATGCTTGTCTCGTTCCTGTGAACGTCCATTAGAGAAATCCAAAGGAGAGAGGGTGGTAGAAAATAAACAAACGTTACCGGGGTAGGCCAGAGGTATGATGAGGTCCATAGGGGCAAGAACGTGGGTACATGTATCTGATCCTTGTCTCCTGAGTTTGCCCTAGCCCTTTTCTCGCCAATGGCAGTCCAGAAGAGAGAAGGAGGAGAGCAATTAAAAGAAAGAGATGGAGAGACAGACATGACAGGATGTCCAAGGGTTGCACCTTTATCTCTCCCTGTTGGATAGTTGGCCAGAGTCGGTACAGTACAATTCAGTTCACTCAGGGACGAGGGTGTGAGCACTTTGCCCTCAGTCCTCACAACTACCCCTACGGTACAAGCCCAAGGTACACGCCTTTTGAAAGACTGCAAAGGCGGAGCAAATGGACAAGCCTGGTGCAAGAATAGAACAAAGGAAAAAAAAAACAAGCTTCAGCGTAAAAACGATCCCCCTTTGCCTTTCTTTCCATACCCCTTCCTTTCTCCCCTTTCTTTCTCCCTCTTTGCCTCATCCTCCTTTCTTTTTTCGCTCCATTCTCTTTTCTCTCTCTCTCTCTCTCAATCGTATATTTTTCCTTTCCATCATCGCCCATCTTCCCATCGCGCATCCTTACCCGCTTGTTCCTTTGTGGCCATTAGAACGAATCATACCAAGTACAACTAGCCAGTCGCGTGCCACTCCATACCGAGGTCGTCAAGAGAGCGCCATCACTACCCATTCAGGACAGACACCGATCTCATCTCTCTTCATACCCAGGACTGGGATAAACTCACAAGGACAAGACAAAAGAGAGCTGCAGCAACGATGGGCCACAAGAAGAACTCTTTTGAAGATGACGAACCGCTCCTGTCGCTAGGCACCCCTGGACGGATATCAGACGCATCAACAGCCAATCTACACACTAAAAACACCATAACCACCACAAGCAAGGTCTCTGGATCCACCGCGCTCGAGTCAAAGTCGTCCTCGTTGTCCTCAGGAACTATCAACGAAACAGGACAGTCATCGAGCCACCACCAACACTCACACTCATACTCACACTCCAGCGACGACGTACACTCACGGAGGCCACCAGGAAGTGGAGAAGGTGGTGGTGGTGCCACAGAAGAAGAGCTGGACGAGGAACCATTGTTATCAGATGACGAGGACGAGCCCATCTCATTAGAGGCACTAAGGGAATCTGAGAGGGACAAGCGGCGGCTCAAGATAGCAATTGTACTCTGCTCGACGTTCTTTATCGTTGAATTGCTGGGAGGTCTCTGGGCTCAATCTTTAGCGCTCCTGAGCGACTCCTTCCATCTACTGACTGGTAAGGCTTCCCCAACTTTGTGATTTTTTTTGCTGGTGGAAGACACTATGTCTATTGGTGCGGACAAGAACTGACCAGAGAATTCAGCAAACACAGATCGGCAGACAGAACTAGTTGCCATTACAACAAAATTGTTTTTGACTGACAACAACTCAATTTCTTCATTTCTCTTTTGCTCTACACCCTGTGGTCTATGAATAGATATCACATCATTCATTATCTCTTTGGTTGCAATCTACCTCTCTCATCGCCCCCCAACCGCCACTCACACCTTTGGATACCATCGTGCCGAAGTTCTGGGAGCACTCTTTTCCATCTTTCTGATCTGGGGATTAACGCTTCTTTTGATCATCGAGGCCTATGAGCGTGTCAAGCATCCCATCGATGTCGACGGCAAAACCATGTCTATTGTTGCCAGTTTGGGCGTCTTTGTCAACATTGTGTAAGTTTCAGATCCCCCTTCCTTCCTTTATTATGTTATGTTACGTTTTGCGTTTTGGTATCGACACTTGTGCTAACCCTTCCCTATTGTCCCTTCCCTTATCCCCAATAGTTTGATGTTTGTCCTTGGAGGTCACCATCACCACCACGGCGACGACGATCATGAACATGGACACGGACACGGACACTCGCATGGGCATTCTCATGGACAGGGACACTCTGACGGCCACAGTCATACCCATAATGACCACGCACCTTTGAACGCAGAGGACGAACACGACCATGGTCATGACCACGAACACGGCCATAAGGCCGTCGCACAACACGACCATGATCACGACCACGAGCACGGCCACAGCCACGCCGGACATAGCCATGGTCATGGTCACCACCATCATGTCAACCTCAATATCACGGCCGCCACACTTCATGTTCTTGGCGATCTGCTCTCTTCGATCGGTGTATTGATCTCATCACTCGTCATCACTTTCTATCCATCAATGACCTACCTGGACCCCATTTGCACATTTGTCTTTTCGTTCCTGGTCATCCTCACCACCATCGGCATCTTTAAGCGATCCATCGCTATCCTCATGGAGCGTACGCCTCGCGCGATCAACACTGAGGAAGTCAAAGAAGCGATCTGCGATATTCCAGGAGTTCTCGACGTCAAATCCCTTCATATCTGGTCGCTCACCATTGGCCAGACTGTCCTTGCTGGAACCGTCTATTTGCAACCCGAGGTCCAGGAGGTCAAGAAGGCGGCTGCGATTATTGCCAGGACAAGGAGTATGATTCGGAAACGATACAATATCCGACAGTGCACACTCCAGATCGAGATGTATACCCGCCATCTCCAGAAGGCGCTTCAGTTTGTGGACGATGATGCCACGCCACCAACATCTTCGACCTTGAGCCCCAGTGCTGCTGCTATGCTCAAGTCTACAACAACGGGATCTTCAGAAGACCATCATCACCATCAACATGGATCTGCTCACTCGTTGGATACCTTGGCGAGACATGATCAGGATATCATCTTTTCGATTGGCGATGACGACCATGATCACGACCACCACCACGGACACGGACACAGCCATAACCACAGCCATCACAGCCACAGTCATCTAGCCAACCCAACACCAATGACACAAGCGCCACCTATCCAGCGTGCCGGGACGCCTCTCGACCAGTACCTCGAAAACCGTCGCCAGAGCGGCGAGGAAAGCGAAAGTGAGATGGAGCAGGAAGGCCAACTCTTGACAGAGCCCAACCGCTGGGCATAAATTTCTCAACATACCTTGCACGTTTTTTTTTTACCCTCTTCTTAATATCACCAATCTCTCCATTCTCGCTCTTTTTGATTCAAACTTGTTACCATACCATTATTTTTTTCTCCATTCTTGTTGCTGCTCTCTTTCGTTTAGTTTTTCTGCTCTGCTATTTTTCTTTCGCGCATTCCAATGTATTGAACATAAAAAGAATAAAGCATCTCATTAGTTCAGAGGTTTTATTAAAAGTACAAGTTGGTGATTATTAGAAATCGAGATGTGGATTGTTTTCTGATAGAATATATAAAAAAAAAAAAAAGAGCAGAAAAGATGAAGGGGAAAGTTGAAGGTATCACAATGAAGAGAAGCGAAGAAAACAAAAGTAAACGACGAAAGAAAAGAAAATGAAGCCTCATTTGAAGAGGCTGGTGAATTTTTGTAATATATTCCGGTGCTCTTTGCCCATCCCATGGCCACCAAGTCCCATGCCATTATGGCCGTGTCCATATGCGCCAACAGGCCCATTGAGCTGGCCATTAAGTTGGTTGTTGTATCCAAAGCTGCCGGTTCCATAGAGGGTTCCTTCCTTGAGCGTGACCTCTGGACGCGACAAAATCTGGAGGCAGTCGTGATGGCCCAAGTCCTTGGCAAGAGTCAAGGCCTGGAGCAGGACCTTGGGCGTGATCACATAGATCGGGTTGGCGCCTCCAATCATGTTGGCGTTGGCGCTCGCGTTGGTGAACGACCCGACATGGCCACTGCCACCTTGGATGGCGGTGAGTTTGGGCGACCCCGCCATATCAGCAGCGTTGTTACGGTGGCCCATGTATCCATGCAATGCCGCAGATCCAGGCGACGATTGGGCTGAGCAAGGGGATGGGATCGAAGGCGGCGTTCCATATCCGCCATTGTTGGCAAACGGCATCGGCACTGATCCTCCATGGGGTAGGTTGGGAATGTTGATGTTGCCGCTGCTGCCGTTGTTGGTGGTATAAGACGACGCTGAGGAGTGGTGGACAAACGGATGTTGTGGGCCAAAGAACGACTGTGATGACTGTGTTGACGACGGCGATGGCGAGGGTGAGGATGATGTCGCTGAGAAGCTGGTCGGCGCATAGTAGAATTTGAGCAGAAGCCGCACCAGGTGAACTTTGTCGTCGTTTACAGCCTCCCAAAGCGGATCGTTAAAGTATCCTGTCGTCAGGATTCCATTGGCGCTTTGTCCCTCCACTTGACCCAATCCCATGCTTTGGCGTCGATCCCGGCCCCAGATCATGTACGGGTTCGCTCCAAAAGCCATCAAGATCTCAACCTCCGCCCATAACTCCCGCTCAACTGCAATCAACAGCGGTATACTCTTCTTGTCGTTGGCAATGCAATTGACGTCGGCCTTGTTGTCGCATAGTAGCTGGACAACTTCCTCTGCCAGAGTATCGCCCTTGGTCATAAAGAGCAAGACGACATGGAGGACCGAGACCCCACGCTCATCATGCGCATTGACATCGGCCCCTTGAATAATAAGCTGCTGGGCTGCCTTCCAAGAACGGAACCGTACGGCGGTATAGAGCGGGCTAATGGGAGATCCGTGTTCCAATCGAATGTCGGGTGCGTTGACAAGAAAGACAACACTCGCCTGTGAGTGGGCGATGATGGCCAGGTGCAACAATGAGTTTCCGTTCCCGTCGACAATGTTGGGGTCGCCGCCCTGTGCCAGGTAGACCTGTAGAATCCTGTCCTGTGCAGGTCGTTCCTGAAGGGCGCGGATGACCTGGTCCTCAGTGATGATCGGTGCGTTGGCGTGGTTGAGGATGCTTCGTCCTCCATTAGAGCTTGTTGTCGATTGGACACTGACCCGGTTGGGGTTAGGGTTTGCGCCTGACCGCGAGACTTCCATACCCGTATGCGGTGACCGTATAGGGACCAACGTGGGCGAAGCTCGGTAGCTTTGTTGGGAAGGGTTATAGGGTGAGGCGGTGGGTGATCCAGGAGGCTTGATGGTGGATGCCAGGCTGTTGGTACTGCTGACACTGCCATTGTGAGCATAATGTTGCAGAAGGTGGGCGCTCGAGTTAGGTTGACTGTACAGGGTATTGAAGGTACTCGTGCTGCTGCTGCTCTCCTCTCGCTGACGTGGTCCTTTACTTAATCCGATATCCTGTGTTGGGACAAGGGGTGATCCGACATTCACGTGCCTGAGCTTCGACGGTGACGATAAAGTAGTGGGTCCTGCTCCTGCTCCACCTGCCGTTGATGCTGCTGCCGCTTCTAGACTAGCCGCTATAACAGGCTTTGCAATGGCCGCTGGAAAGGCACCGATGGCCACCGCTGTCCCTGCATGATCGATCTGCTCGCCCAGAACCCAGCCATCATCGAAGAAATGGATCGACCGCACTTGATTTCCTGGCCGAAGCGACATCTCGTCCTGACTGGTGGCGTGGAAGGGGAGGACGATGGTCAGTCGTCCACCTGGCTCTGCTCCTGGGGTTCCTCCAGAACGCAGGGCCACCCTAGTTGTTGGGACGTAGCACTGGCTTTCCAGAGAACAGTACTGTAGTGGGAAGAAGCCATGTCGAGCGCTCGTCCGCTTGTCGGGCTTCATAACAGAGCCCATACACCAGAGGTCATCAAACTCGCGACTGACGAGAAGAATGTCGCCTTTCTTGAAGGAAAGTTCGTCGTGATCACGGGCGATGTAGTCCCACCAGGCGTAGAACTGGGCGATGTACTGGAACGAGGCTGGGCGGCCATTTGGTTTTGGGCTGGGGTTGGCGGGCACTTTGGCGAGGGGTGGGAGAGGTGGCAGGACCCTTTCTGAGGGTGAATAGTTGGCTATTGGTCGACTTGTTGGGTCGATAGTCCTTGGGTGTCCAATGTTGGTCTCTACGAGGTTGGTGTAGGACGAACTGGGCGAGAACGACATTGTTGAAGCTGTAGTGACTGGTGCGAGGACAAGGTTTGAGGAAGATACCGCTGTTTGACTCTGGCCAGAGGGCAATGCTGAGGTTGAGAGGTTCTTGTGGCGAAAGAGGCCAAAGGGCGTTGTCTCCTGGCTGAGGGGTGACCGTGCGGAGGGCTGGTGAATATTATAGAAGGCCACTGGATTGTTGGCTGGGACCATTCCTGAAGTCCCGCCTGTGCTGCCGTTACTTCCTGTACTTCCACCGCTTGAGGTTGAGTTGGGCAGCCGTGGGCGGTGGTGTTGGTTCTGGTGCGAGCTGGTGGGTATCATGTAGTGTTTGCTGAAGAGGCGATTAGTGGTGTTGCGTTCGAGATGTCCGCTGTGGTATTAAGATATAGAGTCGGGGGGTAAAAAAAACTGAGGTGTGTCCAAGATGAAAGCGAACGGTTGTGGTGGTTTTGGTGGTGGTTATCCAAGCGCAACAGGGGACAGGATCATGGCTGATGAAGGGACGTCTCTGGATTAAATGATTCCAGCTGCGAGTGGTGCGAATCGAAAAAAGACGAGTGAGAGAAAGAGAAGGAGGGGATTGTCGCGAGCGGGAATCCTGACCTAGAATGTTCCTGGCTACATGTGCAAGGAGACGTACGAAAAGTAAAAAAGTGAGAGAGCCGTGAGTAAGTATGGATTGGAGCGACTAAACGAAAGAAAATAGCCTGAGTGAATGAGAGAGTACGAGAGTGGAAGAGCACTGAGTTGCTCATCGTTCACTCCCTGTTGGGTGCAATAAAAAAAAGGCATTGGGGGGGGTCGATGACCGAGCACTGCCTGTCACAAGAAGTGGAGGAGGTGGAGGAGGGATCGCACTGTCCCACTCTGTCTGCCAAACTATGTTTTTGCCTTGACTGAAAGTCAGCCCATAGGGTGTAAGTGAATCCCGATGGAGCATGGAAAATAGGAGATCGAGCGCAAGAGAAGGAGGAACGCAAGAGAAGGAGGAGCGCAAGAGGGAGGAAGGACGATGGGAGCAAAAGGGGGGAGTGTGTATCAGAGACGAGCAACAAGACTGACTTTAGTCAGTTGACAGGCAGGCAGGAGGGTGTTATAGTAGTATGACCACACCCTCTACTGGTGACACTTTCTAGTTTTTTTTTATGTCGAGAAAGAACGAGAGCGAGGAGCTGCAGGAGAAGGCGCAGGTGTAGATGTCGTGTTTTTCAAGGTTGGTCGAAAGTGAGGAGAGAAGGAGAGTAGAAAGAGAGTAGAAAGAGAGTAGGAAGACTGGTGGCAAAGTGTATGAGTAAGAGTTGTGCAGTTTTTTACCCAGGGCTCAAGCGAGGAGTGCGAGTGAGTTGTGTTGAGTTGAGAAAGGGGACTTTAGTTGGATCTCTCGCGACGGGCGATGAGAGAAGGGTGAAGGGAGAAAGGAAGGGGACGTTTGAGTGAATGAAGAGAAGGAAAGGAAATGAAAGTCGATAGAAAGAGGAAGAGGAAGAAGAGAAAGGCGAGGAAAGAGGAGAAAGTCGAAGGAGAGGATGCAGGAATGAAAGTGGGAGAGAGGGAAGAAAGAAAGTAAGAAGGAAAGGGGTGTTGGGGAAGAAGAGGAGGAGGATAAGCTCAAGACGAAGAAAGGGAAGGGAGTGAGTGAACAGAAAAGGACAAAAGAGAAGACTCGAAGCAGAAGAGGCAGGAAAGGGGGAAAGGGAAGAAAGTAATGGGAGCAGCCAAAGGGCTAAAAGAAAGTCAAAGGTCAGGCATGGACACATCTATTCTTTTTTTTTCTTTTTTTCTTTTTTTCTTCGAGAGAAGTAAAGGGAACCTTTTTTTTCCTTTGATAAGAGTTAGATGATGGACGACGGAAGGTGATTTGCGAAACACACACACACACACACACACACACACACACAAACAAACATCATTTGGACCACTCACCTCCCACCCACCAACCATTATTACCCATTAACCATCGTCTGCCGGTATGCCATCCCCGCCTGTTTTCATGATGTCTGTTGTTTGCCAGAAGGGCTGGATTGTCTGTATCATGACAACACAGACCAATCGGACATATGGACTCTTTCATTATTATTGTTCTCGACAACCCGGGCTGTGCCCTTTTTCATTATCATCGTCATCATAGCCCACACTCTCGCTCCGCGGAGGCAAAAAAAATGACCATGACTCGTCTTGAGATGTGCATTACTTTTAGGCCCAGTAAGTGGCAAGGAGGAGGGAGTTCATCATCTTTTTTTTTTCCCGCCGTAGGGACTCGTCGTACAAAGAGAGAGAAGGATTTTTGTGTGGTCTCACCCCCCCCCTTGCTGCTTGTTCGAATTTTTGAAACGATCCAGGCTCAAGCTCACTCACCCCGAACACATAACAAAAGGGGGACACAGAGCTGGGGCCGGGCAGGAGGTTAATGGCTGTCATCAGTCCCATGGATGGATGGATCGTGTATCAACCTGACACACACAAGCGTGGATGAGCACGGGGACAGGGTACACAACGAGGGCAAGAAAAGACAATCATATTCATCGTATTTTTTTTCCTTTGAAAAGATCCCCAAGACACCATGGACCACATCTGATGGTCCTGATTACCCCTTAACATTGGCCACCAAATATTAAAAAACGTCAGTGTTTCGCGACTCGTGCACCTGACCCTGAATCCCTTCCTCACTTACTTCAGCATCAACCGACACTCATGGAGTCCAGGAAACTCACAGGCGACGCACATCTCATCGTCCAGCAGTTCCTTGAGTCCCAGGGATACACCGATGCCCTCGCTGCATTCCTTCGCGAGGCAGCGCCTGTCCTCGAGGACATCCCCAAGAGCCTGCCCACTCCTAAACCCCTCCTTGAGACTCTGAGCGACATCCGAATGAACCAACTCCACAGCCAGCTCGGACAACTCAATATGCCCAGGTACAGTCAACCGCGATGATATTTAACCCCAATTGAACTGTCCGCACGCTGCTTCTGACACTGCTATCACTTTCTGATATCTATCATTAGTGAACTCGAAGAACAGGATTTTGCGACACCTGGCAATAACACTATGCCCAACGAGATCGGGTCGATTTACAAGGATATTCATTCTGTCAACATTATTCTCTCAAGGACAGCTAGCGTTTCAGTCGCACCAGCATGGCAGGATCTCGAGGCCAACCCAGAGATGACTTCCAAGACAGTTCAGGCCCTAATCTCTGCTGCTGCTGATCGCACTGTCAAGTTCACACTTTTGGACCAACCGCACGGCGACGACCAGCCAGGACAAGTCTTCAAGATCCTCCAGCCTCACGACGGCGTCGCGCTTGACATTGATTTCCACCCTCATCACCCCGAGTTGATGCTGACCAGCGCCATGGACAAGTCTGCCGTTCTCACCAACACCATCACAGGACAGGAACACCAAAAGTTCAAGGACCACACAAAGTTTGTCATTCGTGCCAAGTTTGCTATGGATGGAGCTGCAATCATCACCGGCGCTCACGACAAAACCGTCAATATTTACAAAGTCAAGGAAGACCACAACCAGAGCAACGGCAGCTTGCCAACATATGTTCTTGATAAGACCCTGAATTTCAAGGGTGCTGTTGAAGGCATGTGTGTTCTCCCGCCTTCCAAGAACCGCTCGCCAACCGTCGTCATTGGAACACGGGACGACAACTACCTCCACTATGTCGACTTGACCACCTACAACACTGTCAAGTACAACATGAATGTCAACAAGGACGACTGGGTCTCATTCACGCCCATGGAGATCTCAGCCTCACCCCACAATGAGGGAAGATATTTGCTTGTCTCGACGGATTCACCTGCAGGACGTCAGATCCTGTTCAGAACAGACTCAGCACTTCAACTGTTCGACTACTACGGTGTTCCTACAGATGGATTCTCGACGCCGCGCCATGTTTGGGACGGGAGTGGCAAGTACTTTTACGTCACCGGCAATGACAACAAAATCTACTGCTTTAGTGTCGGCACCCAGCGAGTTGTCGGCACATTGGACGGACATACGTCGGTGGTGCGTGGGTTGTACATGGACCACGCTAGAAATATGCTAGTCAGCTGCAGTTTTGACAAGACAGTCCGGACGTGGATCAACGCATCCACGGTGTCTGCCTCTAGCTGTGCGTCCCCAGCTCTCCATCCGTCAGATAGTGGCGACATGGCCCTCGACCACTGAATAAAGCTGAAGTCGATACGATGTGACTGGTGCAGAGGCGGTGCTCCTTGGTGGCCAATTTCGACAAAAGGCGCGTTCCTTTTTTCCTACTGCCCTGCGCCTGCGCTCTTTTCTCTTCTTTTTCTTCTCCACCAACCAACCACTCACCATAAACACACACACACACACACTTTATTCCCCACCATGGTCGACGCACAAACAATCACCGACAACGAGCGCTGGGCTGGCGTCTACAAACTTCTCGACCGCAACAGTCTTATCCACCCCGAGTTCGAGCCCCAGGAGGAGGTAAAGAGCACTACCATGCATTCAGCTGGCTGCGGATGACCAGCTACTTTGCCACCACAAGACACTTTCGTGGGAAAGAACGATGCTGCGGCCCCTCCCTGGACCTTCATTGCTAACCGCGATGCTTTGTTTTAACTCTTATAGATCAAGGAGTTCATTCAGAGCTGCAAGATTCTCGTCATTGGTGCCGGTGGTCTTGGCTGCGAAATCCTCAAGAACCTTGCCCTATCGGGCTTTTGCGACATTCACGTCATCGACATGGACACCATCGACGTTTCGAACCTGAACCGTCAGTTTTTGTTCAGGTACAATTGGAGCTGTGATTGATGTGATTCATTCTCTCATATCTTGATGCTTTTGCGATCAGCAAACAAACGACTGACACTCTTCTCTGAACTGTTCTGGCGGCGTTTAGACGCGCTGATGTGGGCAAACCCAAGGCAGTTACCGCTGCAGCCTTTATCAACAAGCGCGTCCAGGGCGTTACCGTCACACCGTAAGTCCTTATGATACTTCTGGCTCCCTAGACTGTCTACTCTGTGACAGTGAATTCTTCGACTGACAATACAGCCATCTCAACTGCGACGGAAAATAGACATTACTGCAAGATTCAGGACAAGGACGAGGACTTTTATTCAGAATTTGCCCTTGTCATCTGCGGCTTGGACTCGATTGAGGCTCGTCGCTGGATGAACGCTACTTTGGTCGGTATGCGTGACGAAGACAACCCCGACTCTCTCAAGCCCTTGATTGACGGAGGCACCGAAGGATTCAAGGGTCAGGCCCGTGTAATCCTCCCCGGAATCACGTCCTGCTACGAGTGCTCGATGGATATGTTGAGCAAGCCCACTGGATTCCCTTTGTGCACCATTGCCAACACACCTCGTTTGCCCGAGCACTGCATTGAGTGGGCACATATCCTTGAATGGCCCAACGTGCATGGTGGTAAGTCGAAAGAATGGTCTTTCGACACTCAACTTTTTTCATGAGGAATATCAAAAAGTAGACAGACCTACTCACAGGAACCTTGTTGCATGTGACATGATGCAATAGAGCGCAAGATGGATACCGATGATCCCAAAGATATCCAGTGGCTCTATGAGACTGCTCTCGCCCGCGCGAGGCAGTACAACATCCAGGGAGTCACCTACAGCTTGACACAGGGCGTCGTCAAGAACATTATCCCCGCCATTGCCGCCACCAACGCCATCATTGCCGGTGAGCTCTCATTTTTGCAGCTTTTGTGCATTTTTCTCGTTGTGAAAAGGCAACATGTCAATGCTGACCCTCGTCTTACCTAATTTTCTCTCATAGCATCGTGCTGTAACGAAGCGCTCAAGATTGCGACGACATGCGCCAAGAACTTGAACAACTACATGATGTACAGCGGCAACGACAGTGTTTACACTTACACCTTTGAACATCAGCGAAAGGATGACTGCCCCGTTTGCAGTACCTCTGCCACCAAGCTCGACTTCAAGGGTGATAAGACTCTCGAAGAGTTGATGGACTACCTCAAGGAGAAGCCTGACGTGTACGTGTCTCATATTTCGCGTTTTGGTTTTAGTATTTATTTACGCAATGCAGACTTGAATGCTAACCTACATTCTTTCTTTCTTTCCTCATCACATTTGACAGTCAATTGAAGAAGCCCAGTTTCGCTGTTGGAGGCAAGCCCCTGTACATGCAGGCACCCAAGCAGCTGGAGGAAGCGATGCGCCCCAACCTCCAGAAGCCCCTGAGCGAGCTGTTCTCGAGCGGGGACGAGCTGACCATCACCGACTCGACCCTCCCCTTCAGCTTGCAGATCATCGTGACCTTTATCTGATGAATGATCATTGTTCCTGAAAGTTGTCTCTTAAAAAATTAAACACCGAAAAAAGTGACTGTTCCTGAAACAAACATTTGTGAGTGCCTTGACTCGAACTGCATTCCTTACCTTCCTTTCGACATTCTTCCCACCCCAAGCAAATAACACTTACCATGGAGCACAAAATCACCGAAGGTGAGAAGTACATAAAACGACAGCTAAGACGTCAGCACTGTTGTTTATTTCAGCGAGCAGGACTTGACTCATAGACATCCGCGATTCTCATCTTTGCCGCTTCGCCTTTTGCCACCATGCATTCACTTGACTAGATGAGGCGGCGCTGTACGACCGTCAGATTCGACTGTGGGGCTTGGAGGCTCAGCACAGGTAAGCCAGGAACGACACCCTTGAAGAACTATATCGCCTTGATTTCTATGCGCTGGATCACGCTTACTGTGTATTCTAGCAGCGAAGGCGGCGATGAAACGTCTTTGGGTACGATGGATACTTATATCCGCGTTCGCTGCATTCATCGTACCAATATAGAATGAGAAACGCGTCGATCTTGGTTGCAGGGATGCGGGCATTGAGCAACGAAGTTTGCAAGAACATTGTTTTGGCAGGAGTCGGGTCGATCACCATCTTGGAGCACGAGACTGTGACCGAGGAGGACCTTGGCGCTCAGTTCTTCCTTCGCCGGGAGGACATTGGTCGTAATGTACGGACATCAGGAAACACGAATCATGTCTCTTGCACGACTCTTTCGTGAAAACCATGACTCTTTGGACTCACCAGTTTCATTTAATCATTTTTTCACGGCTATTAGCGTGGAGAGGCGGCAGCAGAGATGGCGAGGCTTTTGAACCCAAGGGTCAATGTGATCGTGGATAAGGAGGACATTGCTCAGAAGCCCACCTCGTACTTTTCACAATTCAACGTTGTCTGTCTCACAGGATGCAGCCCTGAACAAACGGTGCGTGTTTGAACCGGAATGAACCCAAATCCCGAGCCAAGCGAGGGGGTAAGAGCGCCTGTAATGTCGTTTTGAAAATGACAGACGCGATACTAAATACATTATTTTACAATGTATTATAGATCCGGATCGATAATGCGTGCAGGGAAACCAAAACAGGATTCTATGCTGCAGGAGTTCATGGATTCTTTGGATACATGTTCTGCGACCTTACACACCACGAATACCGCGAGTAAGGGAACAGTGTCTTTTTCAAAGTTGTCAGGACACATCTATTGTGACTACGAAATGAGGTCGCCTGTATTTCTAACGCGCGATTAATTTGATCCGCGAATTACATGTTTATTATAGAGAGTCAAAGGAAACATCATTAGACAAGAGCAAGGAACCAGAGACAACCACTTCACACCTTAGCCAGGATTATGACAGTCTAGTCAGCACACTCGAGACGAGTTGGGGCTACCCCACGCCCAAGGCTCTCAAGCGCAAGGTCTCTCCTCTTTTCTTTGCCATCCAGAGTAAGTCCCTTGATTCATCAGGAAATTGGAAAGTTGTGCGCTTAAATAACTGTCGGTTTGTTCGTTACTCAGAGCTTTAACACGGAACTTTTGAATTAATGCTCGCATCCTAGTCCTTTGGTTGTTCCAGCTTGGAAATGGCGGAAGGTTGCCACATGCCAGCAGTCATGACGACTTGGAGGCATTGTTCAAATTGAGGGACGAGAGGTTAAAGTCTGCTCAGGTCAATGGTGACTTTGTAGGCAACGACCTGCTACAGTAAGTCCTTTTTCAGGCTATATTGTGCACATGTCACTTGGACCAGCCTTGGAGGAATCTATAACAAACGATCGTTACTCATAGCCTCTCTAACCTTCACAATCATTTATAGGACACTTGTTGGTACGGTGTCGGCAGAGATTGCACCTGTGTGTGCTATTGTGGGAGGCTTCCTTGCACAGGACATTCTCAAGACTCTGTCGGGCAAGGATGCACCTCTCCTCAACTACTTTTTGTACAATGGCGTCGAAGGTATCAATTATCGTGGCTTTTTTTTTTTTTTCTTTTCTTTTCTTTCGTTGGTTGTCCCTGAAAATATGCCAGTTTGATCACTAACATGGGATTGTAATAATTTATTTTGTGAATTTGATAGGCACTGGGCTGGTTCATCATGTTCAGAAGAAGAGCACTTGAGTGACTCGACGACTCGCCACTTTTTGCTACTGAGGTTCATCTCACTCCAACCCATCAAATGAACGTTGGTAAGCAAAGGGAAGGGCAAGAACACCCAACAGAGTTTAATTGCACAATTGCGGGGGGAAAAGATCCGACAATAAAACCTTGGAAGACAAACTATTCATTCAGCGATAGCTGGCTGGACTCATGGATGGAGATTTGCCCTTGCCTTTGGATTTTCGGTTTGCAAGGAAGGCAGCGACGGCATAGGTCAGTCCACTGGTGATCAGACACAATCCTCCCGTGTAATTGGGAGCGCGCAAGAAACAGGGGACCGACGCGATAATGTAGAATGTTGAGCGGATGGAGTGGGCCTTGAGGACCTTTGATGGTGAGAGGGTGGATGATGAGAGTATTTTACCGGCGTGTGGCGGTCCCTCTGTGGAGGACTGGTTGGAGGAGGGTTTCCGTTCGATGGAGTAGACCAAAATTCCCAGGGCTCTATTATTCGGGGAGAAGGGGGAGGGAAGAGTTTGTGTCAGTTGTGGGGACTGGATGCGATTGAGCCATATTCAAGATCGTTGAGAAAAAGAGGAAGTGTCTTGATGATGATTACTACTTACATTGAATAGGCTCCAGGGAGCCATCCGGGGAAGATGAGACACAAGGCGCCGCCCGCAACCAGGACTAAGAACGATCAAAAAAAAATTGTTGTCGAAATGTGAATAAAAAAGATTTTGATGCAGAGAGAGAGGTCGGAGATTGTTGGGCGAAGCAAAAGGGATACCCAAATTTTTTGATCTTCCTGTTCCTGGATGGACAAAAAAAAATTGGTCCTTACTGTAGACGGATGCCATGGCCTGAGTTCGAGCCCATGCAGAGTAAGCAGAGGAAGATGACTTGGGGGATCGTCGAGGTCTTGTCTGCGGTTTTCTTTGTTGTTGTTGTTGTTGTTGTTGTTGCTCTTCTTGGGCCTGAGCCTGCTGCTGTTGAAGATCTTGAAAGAATTGACTAGAGAACTCTTGTTGCTGCTTTTCCATTGCTGAGAATTCGTGTGATGTGTAGGCGGCGCTTGACTTTATAAAGTCTCCTGTTGGTGAGTCCATGGTTGATACTTCGTAGTTGGGAAGAGTGGGAGTATTGGTGAAGAAGAGGAATGGAAGAGAAACGATAAGAACGACAAGAAAGACGAGTTTATGTTCAAAAAAAAGGTGTCTTGTTCGGAACTCCGTGTTAGTAGCTCTTGCCAGCCCTTTCCTTCTCTTCTGACACTCTTGGGCTCCTAAAAAAAATCAAGGGGCTCGGTCGCCCACTCTGCAAGAGCCAGCACACAATTGTCGTCATATTCCACCTCAAGAACTCGCCTTTCTCAATCCTCCAGAATTCGACAATGCTCCGCGTGTGTACTATTTCCTATTCGTGTTTTATTGAGTCCCTCAAAGGTATCGTTTGGCGCTCAGCCTGACTTTTGTATCGAATGCTGCAGAACTGATGATCGAGTTAGGTTCATAGAACGGGTTCAATAACGTCTATCAAGACACAACGAAAACATAACAGTAGTATGATGAACCGGTTAGCTGCCTATCCTTAGGTACCGTTAGCCAGCATTTCATTGACCAGGAAGTGCCACACTAACCTTAATGTACAGTTCGTAGCAATCATTAAAAAAGTTGCGAATGCCATCTTCGCTCTTGGCGTCGTGCAGGAGCAGCAACTTGATGTTTCCTGCCGTCAGGTATGCAGAAATGAACCGCTCGTTGAATTTGTCGATTGACTTCAAGTACCTATGTGAAAAAAAATCACAAAAGGTCGAGATCCGTGGTCAGTTCCTGTATGTCGACTCCCATGGATATCCTAGGTCTCACTAATACATCTGACGTATCCAGCACAAAGGAAGATCACCAGCTTTGCCACTGTGCAAAAAAATGGCGTTGAGATTCCTTACATTTGATTAGTGCTCCATTGAATATCATCGACCATGTCCAGTGCTGAGTGTGCGATAAATTGGTTCAAGTGACGGAACTCTTCTTTCTATTATATAAGACGAAAAGGACATTGGTGAGTAGGTTGGTCTCTTGTAAATGGCTTTGACAAATGGGAGGCGGCTCCAACAATGTCCGCTAAAACGAGTCCGCTAAATAGAGCTCTCGGTCCCCTCATTAATATTACAGTACGCCCCTTTCACCCTAAACCACAGAGTGAAAAATTCCTCCGGTCCTGCCGACAAGCTCCTCGCTCGTACCTTGGCTTCGGGAATGGTGGCTCCTCCTGAAGATGACCGGGCAGTGTTGACAGAGGCGAACTCTGCCTCGTAGATGGGGTTGTCCTTTGTGCCAATCATGACAAAGTAACACGTTGGTGTGTTGCCATAGCCCAATGGCCCTGAGCCGATGCCTGAGCCGCCGCTGCTGGATGAAGAATGAGTCGCGTTCATTGTGTCCTTTTGGCGTCCCGTGTGTGATGAGTGAGAGAGTGTGAGAGTGAGAGAGTGAGAGAGTGAGAGAGATAGTCATGAGACGTTACTGCCTCACTTTTCTTGTCGAGGCTATGTGCAAAGGGTGGGAACAGTCACTTGACCCCTTAACTGCACTACCATGGAGGCAGCAATTCGCGTATTTTGAAAGGAGGACAACTTTGACATCAACCGTTGTTTCTTGCCACTGTTTTCATTACACATTCAACTTTCAGGAACACCTCGACAAGAAGGCCGACAAGGACATACCCAGGAGTCAGGAGCAACAGCAACAACAACCCTGTCCACTATTCTATATAACCCTTTTGCGCTCCACAATGGCAACTCTCAACCAACAAAGGATCTGCATCGGTCCCAAGGGTAAAAAAAAAAAAATGAACAATATTTTTGTTGCCACCAACTCTCCTCCCAGTGCTCTCAGGACACCAGGACCAAAGCGGTCGCATGTTCGATAACCTTCTCTCGTACTCATCTACAACTTTTGACTCGACTATCTCTACGGACAATTCTAGTGCCAGCACATGCCGACAACCCTATCTCCATGCTCCTTCCTTGCCCAAGTTCAGGTACAGTACCACCTATCCTTTTTCTCGATCCGTTTCAAGCCACGCTAACTGATTCAACTTCGGCCAAACTAACGTCAATTCATCTCTCTCTCTCTAAATAGGACTTCCTGCAAGATATGTGATTCAGGATGGCGGGTTATACGAGATGCAAATGGTCGATTCGGAAGGCTTGCGGTCCTGGTTCATCGGCGACACCATTCAATCAGGTTTGTTACAGGACAGTTTGAAGAGCTCAAACCTCTGGTCTACCACCCCTCAAGGATGCGAACCAAACCAATCCTAACACCATTTTTATTCACTACTCACCTAGACGGAGCATTATATCTGATCACACCATACGACCCAGTATTCATGCTAATCCCAATTCTGGACACCATGCGCCAAAAGACCGCCGACGCCGAGGGCAAGTTCCTGTTGCTCGAGGGGATCTTCGGGAGCTCCAGCGATCAATACCCCTCCTTGCGTCACTTGGCAGATCTGAAGAACATTGACAAGTACCTGGCCCTTGTCTGTGATGTCCGTGTTGCAGCCATGAAGACTTATCGGTTAAATGATGAGAAAGTTATGGGATGGCTCAAGAAGAAGGTGGAGGTTTTTGTGAGCAAGTTTGAATCCATCCCTGCGCTCGTTGATTCGATCGCGTATACGGAATCCCTACCCGAGGTGTGCCGCACAGGCAAGTTACCGTTTTCTTTTTTTGCTATTGTTGGTCGTTTCTTGTGGAGTTCAGGAACGCAAAGACTAACGAGTCTGGAACTCCGAATATGTGATGACATGTAATAGAAGCGATAACCCAGTCAGCTCTGAAAATGATCTCGGCCAACCTGTCTGACAGCTGGGCGACAAAACTGTCTGCCAACTACCAGTAAGTTATCAACCATGTCGTTTCTGTCTTCATCGAAGGTAATTACGGATCGAAATATATCACGGTAATAACAAAATTCCCTCTTTTGCTCACGACGCTGTAGATTCCCAGAGCTAGACAAGCTGGAGAGCAGGACACAGTTGCCCAGCATGTCAGAGTTTGGAAAACGTTCAGGAATGGACCTTGATGACGAACCCAAGGCCAGGGAAGTCAAGGTACCGCACATTTCTGTCATTGTTATCAAAACTCTTTGTCAAGTTCATTGACATCCCAAGCTGATCATTTTTATTTATTTTTTGTTTTTTCCATTCAATGCTCCTCCTCTAGAAACCAAAAATGTCAGTTGGACAGAGAAAGCTCGCCAAGGCTAGTACTGCAGGCATGAAACCCATGACCAGCTTCTTTGCAAAGAAGTCATAGATCCAAAACTTAATGAAAGATGCGTTTGATTTATTGACAAAAGAAAAATGAACAATTGGAGAAAGAAGAATATGTACAACGACACAGAGAGAGAGAAAAAAGTAATACAAGAAAACATATATGTAAGGGGGATGTTCCTGTAGCATCCAGTGCCATGCAGGTGCGTATTTTTACGCCTTGGTCCTTGCCTTCTTGCTCAAGTGCGCATCGTCGTCAGAGTCGTTGTCCGATCGGGTATCCCGCGAGTTGCCGGAAATCGCGGTGGCCGCCACTGCGTCATCGCTCGCCGCTGCTGTTGCAACTGCCTTAGCTCCAGGGGCAAGGGCATCTTTGGGTGAAGACTTGTTGTTGCTCGTGGTGTCCATGCTCTCCTGGACACTCATAAAGGACTGGTCGGTGTCATTTCCTGTCACTGCATCTGTCGAGCAAAGGTCGGAGACGGTCGGCTGGAAAGAGTGGTAAATTGAACTTCCCTCGTCATCCATGCCCTTGCCTCCTCCTCCAAGCTCTCCATCACTGTCCGTATCCAAACGACCAACACGAACCATACCCTCCTGAGAAAAGATACCAATCCCAGATCCGTGGGTCATCTCAACCGACTGTACCGTGTCGCCCCTTTCCACCTGTAATGAAGACTCGTCCTCGTCAACCTCAGGTGATTCGGGCAGCTTCTCGTCCTCGTCTTCGGGTAGGTCCTGAATGTTTTGGCTCAAGGGTTGGGACTGGGAGAATCCTGTGCGAACACCGCGCTGGGCAGCCCTATCGGCTCGCACTGTCATCACGCGATGGAACAAACGCTGGAAATGATCGCTTGGCTCAGCGCGATTCTTGTCGGTTATCGTTGCATCGTCATCCTATTTGTTTTGTTTCCAATCGGAAGTGTTAGGTTAAGTTTGTGCAATAAGGGCGACAATGGAACAATACCAGGAGGTTTGGGAAGGAAAAAAAGGTGCACGGTACCTCCATTGTCATCCAGACGTGCTGCAGGGCCTCATCAACGGTGTGTCGGTCCTCGGTGTTCTGCGCAAGCAAGACCTGAATCAAATCGACGGCCTCATCGCTCACGTCATCCCAGTACGGCGAGGGGAATGTGTACATACTGTTCAACACTTGCGCCCTCAAGTTTGGTGGGGCGAGATCGTCTATTTCAGTGAAGGCATATACAATTGACATTCAGGGTCAGTGTCCTGTCAACTCACGACAAACTGCAGTCGAAATATTCCTTGAAATGTTGAGAGTACATACCGCTAAAGGGAGGGAACCCGCAGAGGCAGATGTACAAGACGACGCCTAAACTCCACATATCAACCCCCTTGCCATATGCACCACGACTGATGACCTCGGGAGCGACTGGAGAGAAATATTATGATAAGAAAATAGCAATTAGCACAAAGTTCAACAATAGTACGAATCAACAAGCCATATTTTTTTCCCTAGAACGTACCATAACTTGGCGTGCCGCAGACAGTGTTGTGGAACTCTTGGTCGCCGATCATCTTGGCAAGTCCAAAGTCAGATACCTTGACCGTCATTTTTTCCTTGTCCATGACCAGAATGTTCTCTGGCTTCAAATCGCGATGTACAACACCACGATCGTGAAGGTACTTGACTCCATGCAAGACCTGGCGGAAGATGTGCCTTGCCTCGCTCTCCGTGAACTTTTGCTTGTCGATGATCTGATCAAACAGCTCGCCGTCGGGAGCGCTATCAACAAGAAACAAATCACAAAAGAATGTACGTTAGTGGCACGTTCCTGTTTCTTTTTGCGCAAGCACCAGGGTCAAGGTAAACGACTGTGCAAACTTACAGCTCAGTCACGACGTAGTAAAACTTTTCTTCGTTGAAGACTTGACGGATCCTGAGGAGATTAGGCTGTGACAATTTGAACAAGAAAACGGGTCTCGGTTAACAATCAGTTCGCTCATCAAAGATGAATAAATACTTCCAAAAAGGCTGAAGAAAATAACAACATTCCAAAATGATGAACGTACGTGGTCGATACTCATAAGGATCCCGATTTCGCGCTCGAGACTGGCCTCGACCTTGGCGTTGAAGGCCTCGTTCTTCTTGACCTCCTTGACAGCATACACAACCCCTGTATTTCTGCTGGTTGCCTGGTAGACGGTCGCAAAGTTTCCAGATCCCAGCTTTGGTCCCATTTCGTACTGGCCTTCGAACGTCTACAGTAAAGAAACAAATGAGATTTTGTCAGGGGCATGACTCTTTGAACAAGTAGTACTACATGAACGGACAAATCAAAAGAAAGGAGAAGTGCAAATGATCCTGTCAACTTACTAAGGTGTCTGCTGGGTCGCCCTCGATGAATGTAAACTTGAACGATTCCGTGTAGGGGTCCTTTTTCTTTGCCCATGAGGCTGTCTTCCTGGCTGTTCCGGCTCCATCCTTCTCCTTCACGAGATACGTGACCTGGTCAAAGTTCTTGAGTTCGACTCGCCGGTTGACACCCACCTTGACGCCGTTGATAAAAGTGCCGTTAGAGCTATCACATTTGAGAGGCATGTCAATGATAATAAGTATCGAGGAAATGCAATTGGTATCTGGTCTGACCTCACAGAACAAACACCACGGTTGTAGTTGTATGTGGGTACCTGAGATCCTTTAAAAACACGCGGTCGACGGCTTTATTTTTCACAAGGTCCATGTCCACCTCCTTGTATACCAAGAAGTGCCGACTGCTGACAGTTGGTCCGCCGGGAAGACTAGTTAGGAACCATTGGAAGATGTTAAGGGGGTGTTAATGAGCCGTTTGCTTTGTATTGGCATCGAGGTGATGTTGGGTGGGGTTGGGTAATGCGTTACATGAGAAAAGCGAGCGAGAATGAAGAAACGTAATGAGCTTTGGTTGAGACATGGATCGTGAGGTAAACTTACATCAGGTCGCACTCGAGAGCACGGCCGCAGACATATCCGCCGACACCACTCTCGCCCTCGTTACCCTCCTTGTTGAAGAGTAGGGTGGTCTTTCGGCCGTCCTTTTCGAATTCAAACGAGCCCCAGCGACGCGGTTCCTTTGGCTCGTCTTGCTCTTGTTGGTGCTGTGACATTATGGTGTTTGGGGGTTTGGCTGTTGATGCAATGACGGTGTTGGTTGCTTTTTTGTTTACCGGTGCGTGGGAGTTGTTCGCTCTATGTGTGATGTCCTGTTCTGTTTGGGTCGTGGTTGTAGCGAGTGAAGCGAATGAGTCGATCCTGAGGAAAGGAGAGGTTGGGTCAGGACGAACAAGGATGAGGATGATCAGAGAGGAACGGAAAAAAAGTAGAAAAAGCGGAAGAGAAGTGGAACTATCTCCTTTTTTATGTGCGGGTGTGTCGAAGGGGGGACACAGGGTAGGGGTGAGTGAGGAAGGTAGAAGGACTAAGTAGAGGAAGAGAGGGGAGACGAACAAATGCTCTCTTTTTAAGACGGCGGGGTGGATGGACACAATGCACTCACTCGCTCACCGATCCACTTGACCGACGGACTGACTGACACACACAAAAAGACACAGCAAGGGCACAGCGTCAATGGTATAACCCTTCGTGAGTACTATGCCAATGCACCAACAGCACTCAATTGTTTCCATTGGTCGTTCGCGGGAAGAACTGTGGAACCCCCTCATTCCGTGGTCCTTTTGCAGTTTAGGTTTTGGTTTGGTGGCAAACACTCCTCCGTCCAACTCGTTTGCCATTTTGCCCTCCAAACGAACGAGGTGACCCACGTCCTCTTCCGGAATTGGAATCAAGTTCGCCCCTTTGACTGCCCCTCCTTTTTCGTTGCAGGACACAATTATTCCTCAGTCCTCCCGACCCCCTCAATGTTTGTGATCAACTTATCCGTCAATCTCAATTGACCGTAGCGCATTGAGATGAGACTCTCTGTCTCCAATTGCCCTTCTCTTCTTTATTCCTTTCTACTCCTGCCCTTCACCAGAATTGTCCATTCGAGCTGCAAGTGAACTGGAAGAGAGTGTTTGTTGCCCGGTTATTTTTTCGTCTTTAACGACGACGATGACGACGACGGTCGATTTTGATTGTTGATCAAAAAGTATTTCTGATGCCTCAGTGAGACTGACAAAGTGATCAGTGATGGCGCCTGTATGCCTCCCCTCTTTCCTCTTTCGCTTTCAATGCTACAATGGTGCATGCCATCGCTGTTCATCTCCTTTTATCACTGTTACAGCATTACATGGCGCGAGAGACCCAGTCCGTGAGTGTACCCTATCTTGGTTTGGAGTGATATTGATACACAGCGAGAGAATATGTGAAAAATTGAACAAGCATCAATCAGCTTGAACAGAAACCTCTTCTTTTATTCATTTGAACGCATCGAGTTTCCTTTTTTTTTCCTAAAAGGAACTCTTATATCCTTTGTGCACGCAAGGGCTACAAGACGGCTAGTATACAGTAGAAGAGGAAAAGATCAAGGGACGGATTCTCCTTCACCCTTAACAACAAGGTATCAGATACATCAGAATAATCAATCCTTTCCTGTACCTTCTTGCACAGGGACACATATTACATATTCCATTGCGCCATTGCCACTACAATACCAAGGCACCCAGGTATGATATCGAACAGCCATTGTGTCTTTATTCGCGCACAATCGCCATTTAATATCGTACCCAGATCTTTGGTTCCATTGCCCACTTGGATCCATCCCGACCTGGTTTCTTACGCCTACTCTGATCCGTTTAAATAGCGGGCTCAACTCTTATTTCCTTTCTCATCCATCATAAAACCTACCTCCTTTTGTCGTTTTTCTTCCCTCTTCTTTTGGCCTCCCAGCAACCTCATCGCCCCCCCTCCAACATACCATCCTGAACGACGCGATCACATCTTCTTTTTTACTACTCCAACTCACGACTTTTCATTCTGACGTTTAACGAACTCTCTTACACCTACTGAACATAATGTACTCCCAATTCTTCTCTCGGTCCCTTGCCGCGATTGTGCTCAGTCTTGGCCTCTTGGTACAAGGCATTCATGCCGACTCGCTCGAGTTTGCGTCCCCGAGTCCTAACACCAAAATAGCCGCGGGCGATACCGTTCCCGTCACCTACAAGGTTCACCACAACGGCATGGCCAAGCTCCTGTGGGCCAAGGTGCATTTCATGACTGAGGATGGATATGATGCAGGAATGGGAACAATTGATACCGCTTCCCGTATCGAATGGCAAGGTAAACAATTGCACACCATCACACAGAGTCAGTCTGTAACACTAGCGCAAAAAAAAATGCCAACAGCTCTTTTTTTTCTTTTGGTTGACCTGTCTCGCCACCAGATTCCAGGTTTGTGTCCACTAAGTTCGACGTGCCAGCCGACTTGAAGGCAGGCAAGTACGTCTTCCATGTGTATGGCAGCACCGAGCAACCCTGTGATGGGTCGATTGACAGGTCCGTTCAACCTCTCTGCTCAACCATTTTGCTTTCTTTTCTGTTGACATGAAGACCACCGCGAACTTGAAAAAGTAACCCCGCCTTCGCGTCAACTGTAAATAATGATCCTGATAGCTCGAGCAAGTGTGAAGGGATCTTGTCGGAGATGGTGCCAGTCGAAATTGTCAAGGCTGCCGCAGTTGAAGAACTGGAAGAAGAAGACACAGGCAAGGGGAAGAAGGGATCACTCCTTGGACTCCAGCTCCGCAAGCGCAGTTTGTATGCCGGACGTGATCTCGGTGTGCGCATTGGTGGCTCTGACTACCTGCTCGAGGATGGCACCGCCGATACAAAAAAGATGCTCTACTTTTTCTCCCTCATCTAATCCTTCCCTTGGCCGTCTCCATGTACCATCATTTAATATTACCTACCCCTATTGATACCCACCTATCTGCACGCGTAAACACGCTCACATATACCCATGCACAGGCCTCTTGCCAGCCTGGCTCCCCTTTTTTTCAATTGCTTAATAAAGAGTGACAATGACGAGCGAAAGAAGTTTGTCATCATCATCCACAAAATCAGAATCACAAGGGGCCTGGGACGATAGAGCGGGAGATGAAACTGGGCAAATGAGCACAGTCCGTCTGAAAGTCAGAAGAATTCGCTAGAAAAAATTTCAAAGATCCAAGCCCCATCACACACACACAAAATGCGTGTCTTTCTTGCGGCAAAGTATAAATACCACATACGAACAGGAAGCTGTTTGCTCTTTCTCCTCTTCTTTTTCTTTTTTCCCTTTCACAACCCTCCCGTCTGGTCCACTGATCTTTAGTCCTTTGATTGATCTTTGTCCTAGTCAACCTCAACACCCTCTCATCCCCTCTCATCACCCACAACAACAACAACTCACAATGGACTCTGACTGGTGCATGTTCTGCGAAAAGCACGTTATGGATCTCGGCGCCGCCTACTGCTCCAAGGACTGTGCCCGCATGGACAAACTCATGTCCATGGCCAACAAGCCCTCCGCTACATCCAGCTCCCCCTCGGTCTCGACCTCGGCCTCGCCCCTGGCCCCCGTCTCGTCGATCAAGCGCTATGCTCACTCTCCCATGACCGTTACCTATCCCTCTATGTACCGGTCGTCGAGCCTGATCCCTGCCTCCATGTCCTCCCGTGGTGGTATCAGCAAGAACTCCTGCGCGCCCATCCCCGCAGCAACCACAAGCATCCGTTGCCTGCCCGTCAGCCGCAGTGCCGTTCGTCGTCAGCCCTTGGTCCTTCACGACTAAGTCCTCAAAGAGGCGTGCTATGACCCCTCACCCAACATACCCACCAACCCACCCTTGTTCATTCGTTGTGAAAAAAAAGAGAAAAAACCCCCCAACCTCACTTGCCTTAAAAACAAGAGAACTCGTACACCCACGGTCTGCTAGGATTCCCTAGAGTCCTTTTTAATGCCATCGTGAATCGTACACTCCCTTTCCACCCCCCCAAAACCTTCATGAAAGGAGCCTTGCCGTACTCACCCAAGCTATGACCGTACCTGATCTGGTAGTCCAGACGCCGGCCACTTGTCGTCAAGTAAAACTAATCCCCCTTCCCCCCCCCCCCTCGTTTAAAAAAGTATATAAAAACCAATTTTTTTTTGTATTGTTCATTTTCGTTCATTTTTTCTCTTCTTGTCAATTGCATACTGCGAGTTCGGCTTTTTCTTCGAGCTTGTAGGAGGATTGTAATTGTCCTTTCTCCATCCTAGCTAGTCCAATATACAGAAAATAAAAAATGATAAAAAAACGGACACTCTTTCTTTCCTATGACTTGACTTTGTTTTTGCATTGACCAACCTGCCGCAGCCAACACGCATGCCGCAGGTTCAATTGATTGCCTCTTCTTTTCAAGAATGTGAAGGCGTTGGTGGCGTAAAAGCCTACCCTTGTAGTTGACGTACCAATTGAGCAATTACTTTGCTCGAGCAAGCCCTGCGCCTCCAATGCAGCAACGAAAAAGTCCTCGCTTCACCACAACAATATCAATCAACCTGAGTAAGTAAGGGTTCCAAACTGGCTTTAATTATGATTGAAACAGCTCTTCTTGCTCAAGTCAGCATCATTGACTTGGCTACTCGATTAAATTGACCTCGTTGTTTTGTCTTTTTCGCAATTATCACCACTGTCCCATGGGTCGAATGGTGGATGGTCATCGATTGACACGTGAAGTTCGCTCGGCGCCCTATTCTTTTTTCTTTGGCGCGCACCGGATCTGGAGACAAGTCAGCACCTCTTTTTCAGCTGCCCCAAGAAGCTGGAAGTATGGCAAGGCGCACTGTCAGGATATGTGGAGGAACGAACCTGGTCTGCGGACTACATCTGCAGCATCTTTTTTCCTGACACGGACCCTGTTAAGCCACTTCATGACATCCCTACCTTCATCTCGATCGGTACCATCCTTGCTTCCGTCTGGAGGTACCATCACGCCTTTTTCCGCGAGGATCAACCTCTTTGAACCTCGCATGGTCCTTGCCGCGGTGGATTTGACCATTACCCAACTTCGCGCTCAGTTGACTGAGGAGAAGAGCCACCCTCAGATTTTTTTTCTTTTTTTTCAAAGTAAAAAAGGGGAGTACGGACCAAACTCTTCTCCCATTCACCAGTTGCAGTCCAATTCAGAACCTGGCTCTGCACAACAAATGTCGCTGCTCTTCGCAGCTTAAACGGAAGAAAATAAAACTAGATACGAATGAAGGGGATTCTTCCCATCCTCTCCATCATTGACAACCTCCTCCTTCCTAACAAACTCTCCAACAACCGCTCGTCAACAGCGCGTGGGTCCTTGGTCGCTCTAGGGCACCTTCCTTCATCATGTGTGGCTAGCGAAGCGCCACACGGACAGAAACCATCGTGCGTGATGTAACCGTATCCTTGACTCCAGTCACCTCGGGGGCCTGTGTACTTGGATGTCTTGTTCTTGGCAGAGATACCCTGGGTCTGCTCCCACGCGATCGTCGCGGAGCACCGAGGTTTCCAGATCAGCTCCGAGGCCTGCGCCTCCAGGTAGCCAACAAACTTGTGCAGGACTGTCTTGGCGATGGACATTGGGGTCCGGAAGACCGCGGACCATTCAGTCAACATGCTCAAGGGGGTGATGCCGCGGAGGAGATCCGGCACGTTCCACATCGGTTTCTCGTCTCGATCGGGAGCTGGACTACCGCTGTGCACGGCTCGAGCTCCACCGATGGAGGAAAATCCTCGTACATGATCCGCATCCGAAGGGGGCCACCAGTGTATGGGTACTGGCCTTGGTACCTGACGACCGCTGTCCACCGCGCGTTTGTATTCCCGCTTCCTGGCTGCGTTGTAGCTGTTTGTCGCCTGCACACCCCACTCTTTTTTTCGTACACAATTTTATTTCTCTAACAAACAGCATAGAGAAGTTATTTGGAAGTAAAAGGGAACTACAGACCAAACTCTTCAGTGCACCATCCACCAGTCGCAGTCCGGTCCAGAACCTGGCTCTGCGCAACAATTGTCGCTGCTCTTCACAGCTTAGACGGAAGAAAATAAAACTAGATACGAATGAAGGGGATTCTTCCCATCCTCTCCATCATTGACAACCTCCTCCTTCCTAACAAACTCTCCAACAACCGCTCGTCAGCAGCGCGTGGGTCCTTGGTCGCTCCAGGGCACCTTCCTTCACAATGTGTGGCTAGCGAAGCGCCACACGGACAGAAACCATCGTGCGTGATGTAACCGTATCCTTGACTCCAGTCACCTCGGGGGCCTGTGTACTTGGATGTCTTGTCCTTGGCAGAGATGCCCTGGCTTTGTTCCCACGCGATCGTCTCGGAGCACCGAGGTTTCCAGATCAGCTCCGAGGCCTGCGCCTCCAGGTAGCCAACAAACTTGTGAAGGACTGTCTTGGCGATGGACATTGGGGTCCGGAAGACCGCGGACCATTCAGTCAACATGCTCAAGGGGGTGATGCCGCGGAGGAGATCCGACACATTCCACATCGGTTTCTCGTCTCGATCGGGAGCTGGACTACCGCTGTGCACGGCTCGAGCTCCAGCGATGGAGGAAAATCCTCGCACATGATCCGCATCCGAAGGGGGCCACCAGTGTATGGGTACTGGCCTCGGTACCTGACGACCTCTGTCCACCGCGCGTTTGTATTCTCGCTTCCTGGCTGCGTTGTAGCTGTTTGTTGCCTGCACACCCCACTCATTAATCTTGCCCATGGCCTCCTTCCAGATCTCAGTGGTGGTCTCAGCTGCCGAAGGGCATTTCCAGACGTGATCGTTATCCTCCTTCTCGAGCTCGCATCGTCGGCACACGCATGTTGGGTACAGGTTGGGCTTGCGAGCCTCACACCCCACTCGTTAATCTTGCCCAAAAAAAAAAAAAAAAAAAAAAAAAAAAAAAAAAAACGCCACCAACTCATACCATTGCTAAGGTCACATGACCATCCCTAATCCATCTGTGAAAGTGGTCATGATTGAAGAAATGGACTATCACAAAGCGATGTCAATTTGGCCGAGTGGTTAAGGCGTTTGACTTGAAATCAAATGGGTTCTCCCGCGCAGGTTCAAATCCTGCAGTTGACGCGATTCTTTTTTGCCATCAGGATGTAGTGCACCTTTTTTTGCTGCTGGCAGAAGGACATGTGCCGGGGCGGTAGTTGCAGTGTTTGCGACAATTTTTTATGACCTGAGTAAAATGTGAACCAAAAATTTTCGCCAGTCAGTTGACCATTTCCTTTTTACCCGTCTTTGACCAATCAACCACCCAACCAATTGACCAACTGGCGAAATAACTAATTGACCGATGTGGCGACGTCCGTCAGGCCGTTGAGATCGAGTCCCAGAAAAAGGGGATCAATGCTTAAGTAAAAGGAGTAAGATAATATCACATTGAGGTCAGAATATCTTTATTCGAAAAAGTGTGCTGACACACAATCGCTGTAGCACAAAAGATGACTGGGATAAAAAAAAATATCAGATAAAGTCTCTCCAAAGGAGAGAGAGAACATAAAGTACCGTGCGAGAAGCGTATAAGCCCAACGTGGGGATCGAACCCACAACCTTCAGATTAGAAGTCTGATGCTCTACCGATTGAGCTAGCCGGGCAAGATGGCAGTTAAAAATCTGTGTCTAATTTAAGCAGCGCACTTCCAAGAAAAGGTAGTTTTAGCTTATTTTCTCCGGTTCCCGGTATGGGACCCCGCTTTTAGGGGGCATTGACATGTTCTTTGCATATAGTTGCATTATTCAGAGGAATCTTGAAAGTTTTTGGATAGGTTGATCGTGAATTATTGGCAATTGAAGAAAGTTGTCACTGAAATTCCTCAGTTGCACCTTGGTTGTTGGCGATTGCGCTGATGGATCGAATACTTTGATGGCCGCAGCATATGAGAGGACGCACAGGAATTCAATTTATATTTGTTGCAGCAGGATGCCAGGAAACGATGCCTTGTTGTGTGAGCTCGTTAGTGTTTGTCCGCATTTTTTAAATATTGATTTGCCACCAAATTTTATTTGCGTTAAAAGTAATGGGTTACCTCGCCACCATCGCAACAGTAGTTTGAAGAAGATTGGACGGAGATAGCAACTGATCAGCTTGGCTATTTCAAGGGTGATCCTTGTCTGTGATCATTGTTCAATCGCGCTCGCCATCTCTTCAACCGGGCACGAAGGCGAATGAAGTATAAATTACTCGTCCATACGCAAAGCCGGCTCTTAAGAATGCAATGCTTGACACATATGAAAGAAGGGCGTCAAAAGCAAGGCAAAGCACCGACGTAGGTTAAAGTTGACGATGCAGAATAAATGAGTGCTTGATTGCGAGAGTAGGGGCCGGGGCGCGTCTTTTACTTCGCACAGATCCATTGTCAGTATGCAAAGCGCGTCGTTTTCTTTGCTCTTCATTTTCATTACCCTTGAGGCTGGATACGTGTCAAAAAATGGTTCTGTTCGTCGTCACTGAGACAGATAATTTTAGAGTGGGCTCGTAATCGAACTAAAAAAATGAACAAAAGATGAAGGAGGCAATGCCCATTGGCCAACTTCTTTTCCTCCTCTTCTACTTTTGTCTTCCTCTCTTTTTCTTCTTTGCCTTGCTTCTCCCCCTCGTCATCGTTGTCATCGTCATCGTCAACGCCTCCCCCTCGTTCATTCTCATTTGACGCGCTCCCCTCTCACATTCTTCTCTCTGTTGCCGGTTGATGCATCGGAATGACTGCAAAGCCTGACCCTGAACGGGCTGCCTCTCCTCCTCACACATCCTCCCACCTGCCTTCACGCCCTCGCGCCTCACTCGACCATCACACCGCCTCTCGCTCAATCACATCTCGTGCCCAACCCCGTCAGAGTGAAGATCGCTCCTTACTTCCGCTCCATCACGCCGACATCTCTTCGTCCTCTACCACTACCCCTACTAGGATACTTCAGAACCCCTTCCCGTCCGACCTCTCCGTCAACGACAACAACGCCTACACCGGTCGACCGGTCCTTGATACAAGCAGACGCTACTCAACTTCAAGCGGATACGCCCCGGCCTCGCTTTCCTCTTCCTCTGTGCGCTCGTCGTCCTCTCTTGGGAGCATTTATTCACCTACCCCGGTCAACCCAAACCTAAGCAACAAGCGCCGATCTGGACAGATACCCACGCTCTCTGTCACACCCGAGTCACCTTCTCTGACCAGGAGCTCCACAGGCGGATTCCACACCTTCAGTCCAGACTATCGATCTTCTCACGACGCGGACAGCATAAACGCCTTTCCTCTCGCCGCCACTCCTCAGTCACCCTCGTTTTCAATCTCCTCTCTGTCGAGTATCATCCCTATATCCAACTCGATCTCGAGCATCGCCAGCACTGCAACCAACAAACCACCAGTTCTCGAACATCGACACCCTATATCCATAAAGGACTTTGAGAGCATCCACCTTTTGGGACCCAACCAGAAAACAGCCATCAAGACACTTTGCTCCGCACGAGTCCTGAGTAGAATTGACACTATCGGCTGGTTCTCGATCCTCGGCGCACAAAAGTTCCCATTAATTTCAACAAGGTAAGCAAGACACCGAGACGACACGTCCCTTGGTACCTTTTTTTTTTTGGTTGGCAACGGCATTGACTTTCTTACTTATTTTATCTTTTTTGTTTCATAGCCAAGAAGCATACGACATTGAGATGGCGACTACCTGCATGGCGATCGAGTTTGGTACGTGTGACATCATATCCCGTCAAGATTTGACTGTCGAAAATCGCATTCATATTGACAAATTACTGTCTCCTATTGTTCAATTATTTAGGAGCCAACAACTCTCAGACACAAAACTTCAACACTCTGGTTCTGCAATTGCTTTCGCAGATAAAACTCATCAAGGATCAGGAGTACAAGGGGTAAAAACAGGAACCGAAGGTGATCCGCTGCAGGAGAGTTCCTGGGAGCATGAGAACAGACTCTAACGCTCGTCCATGGAATTTTTTTTTGCATATCTAGCGATATACCCCACCATGCCTACAACGCATTGTTCTTGACCCGCGTCTTTTTGAACCATTTTATCTCGCATCTGTCATCCAGTCAGATGGTCTCTTTCTTTGAAGGCAAGTACATATGGGATGGGAGATATTCATCTATGTGCCGTTGATAGCGTAATAACCGAGAAGCATTGTCACTACGTTATTGTTAGGTTCTGAGCTATCAACGGATGCACAGCAGGAAGCCCTCGGCATCGTATCATTCAAAGGATGCAAGCTTGGAGTCGATCAGGCATTGGTGTCCGATCCTCGGTCGTATGCGGAACAATTGATTCAGGGTATCATTGGAATCATTTTAAATCTAGACGCAGGGTAGGGACACAGAGACCTCGGACACAGGATTGCTGTTTATTTGTTACATGATTAGCCGCTTCGAAATATTAACTAAACTGTTTTTTCCCCTAGGTCATCTCCACCAGCTTACGAGTTTTATCAGGAAACGCTGAATCTCTTTATCGTGATGGCTTCTACCCAGCTCCAGCTGACCACCTCAGAGACCAGCGAGAGGAACTACTTTTTGAACCTAGTCCTCGACAAGTTCAGGTGAGTGTTGGCGCTCGCTTCCTTGACCAAAGAGAGTCGAGCTGAGGATTGGGACCATAAATTCACATAAACCTTTTTCTTCTCGCCAATAGTCAAGTTGCGGGCCAATTGACGCTGAGAATGTTGTGGAACTTTACAGACCAGCGGCCGAGTCCACCATTGACAGGAAGCATTGTCTACAGCGCCTACAGCTATCTCTTTGCCAAAACAGGATCATCGCCATCATCGGAGGCACACCCAATTGCTGACAGGAGTGTTCTTGTGCTGCTTTTGCTGCATTCGCAATCGATGAGCAACCCCAACTGGAAAGCCTTCAAGACAGCTATTCAGAGTATCCGGGATGAGCGAGGTACTTACAACCTTTGGCTACAATGTATTGCTTTAGAGGTGTGGTTGTACTCTTTGCGGTCACTAACAGTTCTTGGACACGTCAATTCTAGGCTCCATGGCGGATGACCAAAAGGACGACACCATTTTTGTATCTTTCCGGAAGGTCTTCCATATCGTATGCCAGTAAGTCATCAGCCTGAAGCAAGTGCAGGCAAGGCCATAGTTTTTTTCGCGCTAGCTTATCAGCTAACCGTAAATAATTTATTGTGCATAGGCAAATTCACTGTGAGGAAGTGTGTCTGTTGCTGCACGTCCTACTGGTCGAAAACACCTACTTTAGGACTTATGTCCTATCTAGAACTGACCCAGAGACCCTGGTACGGATCACGTCGTTGTTGTTGTATTAGGGGTGCATATCAACCGTTAGCATCGCCCACAGGCAACACGGCTCATTCTCATCTGTCTTGCTCAACCTTTTCACTTTAGTATCTGCCGATTCTGAGGATGGTGTATGAAGGCGTTGATGGCAAAACAAACTACTCTCAGGTTTATGTGCTGCTAGTCATTCTGCTCCTGTTCAGCCAGGACGACGTATTCAATGACAGCATCCAAAAGATTGTACGTTATTCGTCAGGCGAGTTAGCCCGGTTACGGCGTTTTCTTATGTCCAAAGCCCGCTAGGAAGTTATAATAACGCGTAATGATTTATCTTTCACAATTTCACTAGGCGATGACATACCAACCCTGGTTTACGGAACGCCTACTCAAGTCCATCTCACTTGGAGGTCTTGCCGTGGCGATCGTCATCAGGACAATCCAGTATAATCTGGCCCAACACAAGGTAACAACCTAACAGCCCGCCCGCCATTTTTTCATGCAGTCTAACTGTTGCAGTTAATGAGTGATGCTGACGAATATTTTTTTGGGGATATAGGACGTTTATTTTCATACCAACTCGCTGGCCATCCTAGCCAACATGTCGAACTCCCTCCAGGACATCCACCCATACGTGTCCCAGAGACTGGTGACGCTCTTTGACATTGTCGCAAGGAGGTACCAAAAACTGGTGACAAAGAAGGCGCAGCAGGATGAAGTCCTCGACAAGGTTAGTTTTGAATGCGGTCATTTTTTTTTGTGAATTGTAAAATACCAAACCCGAAGCAGCACGACTCACTGACGGTTGCTGTTGTTTGTAATAGAACCCTGATGTGATTATTTACGGAGACATGGTGACCTTGGTCCTGGAGATCATCAATTCGACTCTGACCCACAAACTGAAAGCCAACCCCCAGTTGGTTTACTCACTCCTACACAAGCAAGAGATGTTTGCCTATTTCCGGGACGACCTCAAGTTCAAGGACCTGATCCAGAATATCGAACAGGCCGTCAACTATTTCCAACAAAAGGTCTCTGAAGCCAACATCAAGGCGCCAACACCCGAAGAAGTTGCACAGGTGATCCAGACAGCTTCCAGAACCTGGCCACCGAACCTGATGAAGACGTTCCCGGATATCAAGTTCCAGTATGAGGAGGAGGAGCAATCGAATGAGTTCTTTTGCCCCTATGTTTGGTCGTTGATTTATCGGAACACGTTTGTGTATTGGGATGAGGAGAAGGCCAAGATTCTGCACGACTACAGAACCGTAAGTGTTTATTCCACTGGCTACCTCATTTGTGACTTAGTGGTTTTACGTGGGGTGAGATATGATATGGTGTATGGATTGGACTGACCCTAGGTATTTTTTTGTTGGTTATATTGTTAGGTCATGAATGACGAGCATGCGTTAGAGGGAGTTCCCATTGGCGGGCAGTCCTCGGTCCCATAGATAGCTATGCCCCGGCCAACTTCGCCTGCTCCCTGACTGAAGCTGACGTACCCCCGGCGGACTCATTACGCGGTATCGTCGCGCATAATAAACATAAATCAAGCATCATTCAAGTGGGGAGTGTCTTTAATTTACGAAAAAAATCATGTAGTGTTGTAATGTACAAAAATGATGAGAGGAGATGATATTCATTAGAGGTTGGTCATGAAAAGTGAAAGGGAGGATAGTGCAATAATGAAGCTAGTCCATTTACGGACGTTAGAAAATGAAGGGGAGGAGGACCCTGAGGTGAAAGTGGTCGGGGGATCGATAATTTCAGTCTCGTCTGTGAGGTTGTAGGACACCGCGCCAACGTAGACAAGGTTACGCGCTAGGGCTTTTCCGTGCAGTTCCAAGATATGTGGTCGATCGCTGCCCGTAACCGTGCCAAATGAAGGAGGGGTATCGTGTGAGGTACTCGTGCTTGTGGAGGAGATTGAGAGTAAAGATGGAGGTAAAGGAGCCACACCGTCTGTCACCAACTGACCATTGAGACTGAATTTTGTAACAGACCTCAAGATCCGTTCATTCATGACCTTGACCGGGATGTTCTCTCCAGGCGACTCGGACAACAACAATGCCATCAACCCCGCAACATGTGGAGAAGCCATTGAGGTCCCACTTTGAACATGCGTAGCAGTGTTGGATTCGGCCCATGCAGAGACGATAGCAGACCCGGGCGCAAAAATGGCGACACAAGGGCCGAAATTGGAGTAGGAGGCGATGGTGTCGTCCTTGTCGGTGGCGCCGACGGTCATTGCGCCCGGGGTCGAGGCCGGAGAGAATTGACAGGCGTCTTTTCCGTCGTTTCCAGCGGCGATTGAGAAGTGGATTCCGAGGCGCATTGCTTCTTGGATGGCTTCGTTTGTTGGTTCGTTGAACTCCGCTCCTAGCGATAGACTGTTCACTTGGGGTTAGCATTACAGTGTAGATAGGTAAGGATTCATTTGTGCGGAGTAATAAACATCCATAGGTTCTAAAACTTACTTGATGATGGAGCGGGCGGTACTGCCTTGGGAGACATGGCGCTTGACAACCCATTCGATCGCAGCTAAAACGTTCGAGAGTCGGCCTGAACCTGCGTCGTCAAGGGCTTTTAGGGAGACGATCTGACCCTTCTTAGCAACACCATATGTCGCACCAGCCGCCAGAGCAGCAACAAAGGTACCATGTCCGTTCTTGTCGGTATTGTCTGTTTGTTGTACTCCTTGTGCAAAGACCGGTCCATGCTGCGCCCTCCCCTCAAAGTCCTTGTGGTCAGTGTTAACGCCACTAGTTTGTACAACGGGGAGACGAAAAGAACGCGTGTCAGAAACTTGTACACTGGGATGTTGCATCCATTAAAAACCTGAGCAAGTCGTCGTAACTTACGTGTCGATAACATAGATGGTAACGTTCTGCCCAGCAGACTTAGGGTAATGGTAAAGCCCATCCAGTTTATCCGTCCGTTGATCAATCCTGTCAAGCCCCCAACTAGGTGGGTGACTCTGAACACGTCCGTACATCTGGACGGGTAGGTCGGGGATGAGGTATTTGATTTGGTGTTTGAGTTGTTGTTGTTGGATCTGGTCTGCGGCTGTGGGGGACATGGTGGTCGAATACCAAACTAGGTCGCCCACTTTTAGAGAATTGATTGTTGGTTTTGGGGAGACTGTCGTTCCTGTTTGCTGTTTTTCCTGGTGGGTGTTGAGTAGCTTGAACCACTCTGGGTCATCTTGCGTTGTTGTGGTAATCCTGTGTGTACCTGTAGAGGCGATAGTGACTTCTTGGTCGAGGTCTAGGTTGCTGTCGCGTTTAAGAGGGTGCATCATGACAATATATCGGCAGTCCGAGATGTGTCCCGGTGGGCATCCATCCTTGGCGGTATTATGGCCGAGACCTAAAGGTAACACGGAGGAAAAGAGAGCGTGTAAGCACATGCTAGTGTATAGGAGTAAAGCAAGGGAAGACAACACCAACACACAACCCTTGCTCTCTCCTTCTCCACCTTCCAGATGCGGTTTGTGGAACAGGAAAAGAGGGGAAAGGCCGATGCGTAAGGCACACCCGACTGGGAGAAAAATAAGCATTGTACCTTCACTTTGGATTTGGATGGGCGAAGCACGGGTGGTCGTGCTGGCTAGAATGGTTAGGGTGGTTATTGCCTTTGCGAGGGAGAGGAAGGTGATGGTCATTGTTTACACGGGAGGGAAAGAGAGAAGGGATTAGTTTGGAGAGAGAAAAAAAGTGAGTGAGAATGAAGGGAATGAATGCACAGCTTGGAAGACGAAGAGTGAATGAGATTGTTCGCCACTCTCATGTCATTCTCATTCACATTCGACATTCCCTTCTCGGTCGAGGGTGAAGACAAAGCAAAAAGGGACTCGTATGTGTGTGTGTCCATCAGTTTATGCTTGCGGATTAAGAGGCATGGTCATTGTGCGTCGATCCGAGTCGCTACTGCCCATACAAAGAAGGACAGTTAGGATGCAACAAGCTCTGTACCATAACAAATAAAAGATATAAAAAGGACCTGGATCGTGATTGACTCTTTCTCTCCAACTGATGGATCGTCATTCGCACCAATTCTAGTAGACTCAGAACTGCACTGATCCCAGACCCGGTTCCAACTGGCATCTGTTGTCCCTTTTTTTAATTTTTACGTGTGCCTGTCTCTGCTTCATGTGCATGATCATCTACTGTGAACAGTCCATCACCGCATGAAACAACCACACTGACTCTCGTAAGCTACTTACGGTCAGCATCCTGCACCTGATTCATATATCCAATAATATGTCGGACGCTCATTGTCAGTGCCAAGATCTGATACTCTTAACCAGCTCCTTGATTCTTAGGTACAACACTTTGAGGTACTTTTTTCTCTCCTTTCTTCATCACCTCATTTTACTATGGTCGTCTGACATAATCGAGGCGACGGAGGGACGAGCCCGCAACAATGAATTACGCTTTTACTCAGTGCAAGGGAGAAGAACGATAATCGTCACCCACACGCGGAGCAAAAAAAAGAGGGCCAGGGGGTGCAAAAAGAAAGAAGGAGAGGCGCAGGGGCACAGGGGCACAGGGGCACAGGAGAGGAAGGAATGATGTCGAGCAATCGAAGGAGAAATAACTTCATCTCGAGGCACGGATATTAACTTTCTTCGCGGGCTTTTTTTATCTCTTTGTGTAGACGTTCATCATCTCCGTCCTTCCTCTCCAGCCAGGGTTGCTGTCGTCTATCTGTCTCCTTGAAATATGTCAGCATCGGAGAGTTGACTTTATGGGGACATGAAGGACAAGGGGTGAGAGCTGGACGGTGTGAGCATATTAAAGAGGGATGAGGAATAAGAGTCGAGTATTTTCGTTTTATTATTAAAAGAGTGAATGGCTCTCACCGCGTGTGTAAACGAGTGTGTTGTCGCAAAAACATGAACGACAGCAGTATGGCTCTCACTGTTTTCATTTGCGATGGGTGGGGGGTTATTTCTGGCGGGATGAAGAAGCACTTGAAGGGCTGGTTGATAATTTTGGCTTTCATTTCCCAGACGGACGAAGCCATGAGCTCTCACTCCTGAGGTTGAGAGCACTCTTATTCATAGGGAGTGTGAGCGACAAAAGATAATTTGCTCCCCTCTCTTCTTACCTTCTTGCCTTGCATTGCTTATGCCCATCCCATCCCATCCATACGTGGATGGCCGTTTGGTACCCTGTTTCATTTTCCACCTCTTGTCAAACGTAACCATGGGGTCGAAAAGGTGCACAATAATCCCATGCTGATTGATGGTTACACTATTGCTCCTGCACATGGCACAAGTACGAGACAATCTCTCTCTTAAATGAACGATACCGAAGGCTAAGCAATGGAGGGTAAAATATCTCATTTTCATTTTCGAGACACACTTACACCCGCATGCGCATACACATGTTACTTACACCCCTTCATTCTTCATTGTCTTTGATGACTGGGGGCTAAAGTAAATGAAATGTGAAGGAAGGGAGGACGCCCTTTCATTCATATCGTTGTCGTTGTTGTCCTGGTCGGGCTGTCCCCCCCTCTTCGAAGGAAGCTCATTTCTCTCATTCCAGTCGAATAGATGTTGCTTATTGGTCTTGTTGCTTTGCTTGTTGAACCAATGTTTGAATGAATTATGGATACGATTACATACATACCATCTCCCCTTCCCTTTGATGCCTTGCCATGCCATGGATAGATGACATTATGTGACATGGGACAAACAAGCAACAGGCACAGCCTGGCAAGCAGCATCTCTAATGCAATAACAAAAGAGAGACGACCTTTCTCTGTTCCTTTCCATGGTTCACTTCCTTCTCTCTCATTCACTTCTCATTGAATACATGGCACATGCAAGACAAACAAAAAGAGAGCACACCGTTAACATTTTACAATAAAGAAAACAATTGCATCCGATCCCTAATGCCCCATGCCATGCCATGCCATGCCGCCCACTCAGTACACCCATCCCCCAATGGTTCTTTACTTTCTTTATCCTTTATCCCTCCCTTCTTCCTTTCTCTCTTCTTTCTTCTCTTTCTTTTCTCCCTTAATCCATCTAATCCATTCCTGTTCCTTTTTTCCATTGTCCCTTTTCACCTCTTCACCACTCACTCACCCCCATCCATCGACGCATCACCCTTCAGCTTCTGCTCTCCTACTTGACCCCCTTTTTCTCTCGTCCCTCTCGTCCCTATTCCCAGATCCGCAACCCCTTGGCTTTTTCTTCCCTTCCCTATCCCTTCTCCCTTCTTCCACCTTCCTTCTTTCCCTCCCTCTTTCCCTTTTCCTTCTTTCACTCACACTGCCTCCCTTTATTTTTCTCTGTCTCCCGCACGCACCCTACACGTTCACGTCCACGCCCTGATCCACCTATCGGCCTCGATATCTTCCACTCTTCACGAACCCCTTCCATTTTCTTTCTCTCTCTCTTCTTTCTTTCGTTTCTTGCCCTTTTGCTTCGCACCCAATAGCCAGCTACCGAGCCATCCTCCATTCCCATCCCACGGCATCTCCATCCCCTCCATCCCTTTCACCCACCACCTCTACCTCCTCTTCCACCACCAGCACCACCGCTAACATCACCACCGCCAACACCTCTACCACGACCGACAAAAGACACCCCAACGAGCTACGAACAACGATACAAACAGCAACGACCACGACTACGATTACCGATTACTATCAACGATAGAAACGCCTCCGCCTTCAACAATTTGCACAGCAAAAAAACAACAACAACTTTATCTCACAGCAAAACGATAATGACCTCAACAGCACCTACCTCTGCCAAACGGATGTCCATGTCAAAATCACCCTCCAGCTCCCCTACCTCCACTATGTCCTCACCAAGATCCTTCACACCACCACCCTCAGGTTCACTAGCAGGACGTCATGTCATCTACCGCGGACTCCAGACCAGCTCCATGGAATACATGTCGTTGACACACTCCCGGCACGCAGACGCAGCACACATGATCAAGGGCGAGATCCTGATCTCTGGCGCACAGTCGGGCTATATCCAGTATTCGATCGTGCTCGACCATGAATGGATGACCCGCAAGGTCAAGGTGTCGGCCATGTTTGCAGGACACGAAAAGCGGCTCGTCCTCGAAGTCGACCAGGAGCAGCGGTGGTACAAAGTCACAGAGCTTCGTCAGGCACGGAGCCGGAGCTTTTATCGATCCGGCCTCTCACTCTCCCAAGGTTCCACGAACGAGATCAGCTCGAGCAGCGAATCTAGTCCGAGCAGGAGCATAGACGATGGCAGCAGTAGTGACAGTTCTAAGAGCCATTGCAATATGCAGGATGCCGACGCCAGTCTCTCCGACTCTTCTGCCAGCTGTTATTCATCGTCTTCAGATTCAGAGTGCTCTATCCCCTTTGAAAAGATCAATCTGACCTGGACGCCGCCACCCAAGGGCACCAAGCGGGCCTCGAAGCGGTTCTCGTCCATGAATCTCCTTGGCAAGATTTCTGCTAATGCAGCAGCCGCATCGCCGTCTGAACCAACGCCCACCTCCTCTCATGATACCCAGTCCGCCTTCCCCTTAACCCCTTCCTCAACGACCTCCTCGCCTTCTTCCCCTTCCTCTCAAACGCCGACGATACCCTTGACTGCATCTCCCTCCTCGACCATCACCACAGCATCGCAGCAGAGTCCCGCCCTTAGTTTCGCCTCCTCTTCGAAGTTGACCCGGACATTCTCGTCTTCAAGCCAATCAGGACTCAAGAAGTACGAGCACCTCGCCCACCTCGATGGCTGCACGCAGCTCGATCTTGGATACGAGACCAGTCCCAGCACCTTGCTCTTCCCCCTCCGGAGAGCGACCTTGGGCGTCGATCCCGAAAAGATGCGCGACCATCTCGAGTCCCTCTCAGCCGATGGAGCCTCGACGACCGAAAAGACAGCTCTGATCTCGTTCCCCGATCTGGAGCTCAAGGTTGTGCAGCAGCACCTTGCCTTTGCCGGTCCCGGTCGTCAAGCCAACGACAGTCTTGTCGAGTGCTGGCAGGACGACGAAGATGAGTCGATGTTGATTGAAGTCGATGGCGACGGCTTTGTTATCCGGGATGGCTACAACTGGGCCCGAATTCCCTCCTCGTAAATATGTTTATTACCCAGAAACGAATAAAAAAATTAGCGCTGAGTCCACGTGATTTCTCTTGCATCCTCACTTTGCCCAAAGTTCATCCCTTTTTGCACATCTGCATGTCACTTTCACTTGGACACATAAACCCGCAAGGACTAAAGGATGCAATCATCAAGCTACGAAGGATCAGGATCACACAGCACAGGAATCACAAGTCACCAAAAAACTTAACATGTGTTGTCATACTACATTGTATGGATCAGGAGGAGTTGCAAGCAAAACATTTGCGATGACATAATTTGCTGGGGTCGTTCAGTATAGACGACCACAGCGACGACGATGCGAAGTACCTTTAACCTTGACGGGATTCAATGACGGGACATGTACCACGGCTCACTTCTGGAAAAGGAGGAGAGGTTGGGTATCAGCGGACCCATTTCCGTCACCTACCTACCCTTTTCCAAAGGATATGAAGTCAACGAACACCACACAGGACTGACCATGGGGCTTGCTCGCCTTCTGTACGCACGTCTGTGATTCGTGTACTTGGGGGATGTGAGGCGATTACGTTTTCAGGAGAAAAAAAGGAGCGTGCAAAAGAGTCAACAACACAACAAACAAAACATCGATCAGCATCAATTAGCTGCAGTACAAAACAACAAATATAACGCCAATTGCACAGCAAGCATCGCAAACAACAACTACAAAACACCAAGTCCTTTTTTTGTTCTCTGTCTCCTCTTCACACGTAAAACATATAAACAAGGAAGAATGACGAAAAAACACCACCGTCTACCCAACTTACAGAATTGGCCACCAAAAAAAAAAGAGACAGGAAACCCAAAACAGAAGATAAACATGGATCTCACTTTGTGTATTGCAACATCAAAGATCCAATACAAACGGCGTCATCCGTATTTATTGAACACTCATCGAAGGAAACAGAGACTAACGCGTTTCCGTAAGGCTTGGTTTTTTTGGAAGTTGGGGAGTCAGAGATATGCCTTTTGCTTCTCGCTTTTGACTTTGCAGAAGTGACAACAGAGGGGTTTAGCACAGTTTCCCCCCCCCCCCCCCCCCCCCCTTTTGTCCACAGCCTAATGCAAGGAGCTGGTATACACCCCTAAGAGAAGGATGCTAAAGTTTTCCCGAGAAGGAAAAAAAAATGACGAAGAGGTTAGCAAGTTAGCTTTTGATGCGCGATGAGATGCATGTGAGGACGAAGGGGTGGGTAGAGCTAGTGCAGGTGCACTTAAAAAGAAAGAAGGAGTGCAGTGGGAATTGGGATACGTGAGATGGGTAGATGAAGGAGAGTTTGGCTCTAAGTTACAAAGGGTAAGGTGTAGTGTAAAGATGCTGTTGAAGAGTGCAAAAAAGATTGGTCCAATTATTGTGCGTCGTTGCGTGTTTACACCGAAATTGCTTCTTCTCTGTGAAGGCCCATGCATCGCCTGGGCGCAATTGAAAGGGTATTAGGTGGCCGAATATCTTTATTGGAATCAGTGACATGACGCCAGTAAAGCAGGGGTTTCGCTTTTGTGATTGAAATGATGGTGTGCGAACACTTTACTTTGCTGGGATGCAAGATGCAATTACGGCACAGTACGTAAGTTGATTATGTGTGATGTTATGAAGTATGTGGTTGTGTCAGTCATTAGATATGAAGAGCATTTAGGCCTGGTTCTGGGAGCAACCTGGCTCCTCCTCATATTCTTTTTCGCCCTTTTTCAGCAGACGGAATAAAAAAGAGAAAAGAAAAAAGAAGAGACGATGACGGCAAATTGGCTGCAAGAGAGGAAGTTCTCCGCCCCAGGTCAGATCCAGCCGCTGTGATGTGAGAGGACAACTCGACAGGGAACTGCCGTCATCTGGCAAACACAAGATTTAGTATAAAAGGAGAGACACAAGAGACACGAATGACGCATGGGCACGGAAGGAAAACAGAGCATATCATGTTTTTTTAGTTTGATTAATGATATAGCTCGAAGTATAAAAATGGGCCGCCTCTTCCTTTTCTTCTTCATTCTGCACCTCTTCCTCTTCTCTCATTCTTTTTGTTTCCTAACTTGATTGCCGTGCTTCCCCGTACTCGTTTCTCCTTTGTCCACATTGCAGCTTTCCGTAATCCTGTTTTCTCATTATTCATCAAAAAAAACCTGATTCTCTATTGTTTTGCTCTTTGTACCACAGTCGTCCTTATTCGTGCATACCTCTCCCTCTTTCACTCTCTGCATCCTTTCTTTGTCCTTGCTCTTCTTTTTGTTCTGCCTTTCTTCCGTTCGTTCTCCTTCCCCCTTTCGAGTAATGGACACTTCCCCCGCAGTTCATCCCTATCACCCTCGCCCCCACTCTTCTTACTCTCGCACACGCTCACACTCATTATCCAACAAGCAGCACCAGCGTCAGCCACTCGTGCCTCGGAGCCAATCCCATATCATTACTAACAACAGCAACAACAGCAACAACAGCAACAACAGCAATAGCAGCAATAACAACCACAAGGACAACTCAGCCTTCGGATCCCTTCTTCTCTCTTCTCCCGCACCCTCGACACCCACCCAGACCAACGACCCCTCAACCTTCAAAGCCATTTCAACCGATAATAACCCATCGACCTCCTTTTCATCTCCATCCTCCTCTTCCTGCACAACGCCGTCATCATCAGCTGCTGCTGTCCATTCATATCCTCATCCCCTCCTCCTCCGTCATCATCCCAACCCTCAACCTCATCCCGATCTTGCCTATCAAACCACATCCGCTCAAGCCCCATCTCAACAACAACAACAAAAACTCCACCAAGACTTAACTGTTGCCGACTCTCAAAACCATCAACAACGGCCCTTTGTTTTTTTTCCTTTCACCGCTTCACAGCAACAACCTCTTTCAAATCCAATTAAGTTGCTTGCGACTCCGACACATTCTTTTCTTACGTCTACATCGTCGTCGTCGTCGTCGTCATCTTCGCCCTCCTCATTATTGTCTGAGCCAGATCGCCAAACCAGGGACACCCAGGAATCTTCGAAACACATTTTATTCACAATGCCCCCCGCGGCTCACGCCAGACAAGGTTCCACCGGTCTCGGAACAAGTCAGTGGGAACCCTATCCTCCCACCACAACGAGAGGCGTCGCCGCTGCTGCGGACCGCAAAGCTTCACTCCACAAGTCTTGTTACTCCTTCAGCTCTCCCTTCTCTTCCTCAGCACTATCCTCACTCAAACAGGCCCCAATGTCTACTCCAACCTTCCTCCCTTCCTCCATTGCGACCAACCCCGCTACTACTGAGCTGGATCTCAAAGAAATCAGCGGCAACACTGTCTCTCAACTCCTAAGGCAGACATTGTACGGCTTTGGCAACAAGAACAAGAACACGGTCTTGCTTTTGGATATGCGCCCTGCTGTTAGTCATTCCGATCTGTCTATCAAGACGTCAGTTGGCGTTAGTGTCCCCAGCATGCTCCTGAAGAGACCCATGTATTCTCTCGGCATGTTCACAGATCATCTGACCACCGACCGAGAGGTTGAGGCCTTCTCCAACTGGAGACAGTTCTCCAACATTGTGCTCTTTGACGCCACTGGTGCCCCGCCAGTCAAGGGAAGTCCATTGTTCTGCATAGCTCAAAAGTTTCGCAAAGAGGGCTGCTCTGCACGGATAGGTTACATTCAGGGTAAGTTGCCTCAAATGTTAGATTTTCTGTTGTGGTTACCACCTTTGCTTACTTGCTTTGCCAAGTCATTCCACTCTACTCCCACATTATCGTTTATTGACAGTAGACAACCTTTTTTTCTTTCATATCCGTAGGAGGATTCAATGCCTTTGCTCATGATCATGCGGCCTTGTGCTGTTCCGATAACCACACTCTTTCACAACCCGACAATTCAGGGACATCCGTGCCAATCAACAACTACGCGCGGACTTCTTCCACCTCGTCCAACTCGCGCTCAAGCTCAAATTCGCCAACATCGTCTACAGGATCGTTCACCACAGCGTCCCCTCCACGGTCTCGCCTTCACCTCGGTTCTTTGCCTTCGATGATCACCAATCCTGTGGGTGGAGACACTGTTGCACAGACACCTATGATTGAAAACCCCAATGTCAACCCCTTGTTCGAGAGTGTCCGCCAGGCGATGGGTCTGAACACCAACATCACCGAGGAGATTCCTGTCCGTCTTCCAAATGGGTTCCCGGTCGAGATGATCCGAGAACACCTCCCAAACTGGATCCTGAATGTCGTAGATGAACCTGCCGGAAAGGCGCGCCTTGCTAAGTACTTCCAGGTAACTAACTGACAAGTTAGTATAACAAGATGAAGAGACCGTCGGATGAGCCCTTCTCACTCACATTTTCCGTTTTGCCATTTTTAGAAAGTGGAGATCACCGAGAAGAAGAGACTGGCGCTGCTGATGTGTCCTCAGATGATGCGGTCGGGAAAAGTGAGCGAGTACAGCATCGGGTCGGCCATTGAGAAGGGCCTCAAGAACCGGTACAACAATGTCTGGCCATTCGACCACACCCGCGTTAAGATCCATGAGCTCGACCAAGGTGGCGACGATTACATCAATGCCTCCTTTCTCACCCCTCCCTTCGGTCGCAAGTCCTATATTGCTACCCAGGCACCTCTCCCATCTACGTTACTGGACTTTTGGAAGGTCGTCTGGGAACAAAACTCGCGCGTCGTCGTCATGTTGACCCGAGAGGTTGAGATGGGGCGCGTCAAGTGCCACAAGTACTGGCCAACCGCACAAGAGCCTGTTCTGGACCTCGGCGCCGTGCAGATCACCTTTCTTAACGAGAGCCAGCCTCACGGTGACAGTGGTTCTTCTATCCTGGTCCGTCAAATGAGACTACGACACACAGCAACAGATTCTTCACACGAAGCCGAGCGAACGATTACTCAGATCCAGTACACCGGATGGCCCGATTTTGGTGTCCCCGAGACGCCGCTAGAGGTGCTTCAGTTGATTAAGCTGGCCGACACGCACAACATGCCATCATCGGCAGGCCCCATGGTGGTTCATTGCTCTGCGGGTTGCGGAAGGACAGGTGCGTTTTGCGTGATCGACTCGGTCCTCTCGGAGCTCAAGTATAGTCCAGAATCGATCCTCTGCGACCAACGCTCGTCATCAGTTGGTGGCAATGCTGCACGACAGCATCAACAACAGCAGCCCTCTTCTTCAAGGATGGAATTTGGGGCAAGCCTCCCCAGCGAGCGAGTATTGGAGGCCATGCGTAGAGGTAAACACTGTCAGAACCAAGCCAACGCCGAGGAAGGCGTACCAATGGAGGATGCTGTCTTTGCGACGGTGACCAGGTTCAGAGAGCAGCGTCTGTCGATGGTGCAGTGCTTGCGCCAATACGTGTTCTGCTACGAGGCGATCATCTGGTATTTGGGCAAGGTGTTGATGAAGGACGGATCGGATCGTCATGTCTTAGAGGTTCCCAGGAGTTTTCAAGTCCGTCAGACGCCTGCGATTGCTTTTCCTCCAAGAAAGCCTGCTTCGACCTTTGGACTATCGATGGGGAATGCGCCCATTACTACCACCAATGAAGAGTTCTCGTACTTCGGATAGCTTCCTCTCCCTATGCATCAGAAATTAAAACAAATAGCGCAACTCTTGTGCGATTGAAGTATAAGTGTAGTTATCTCGCTCTTCCTGCCCTCGAGAAAATGGCATGGCATGTTTGTTCTTTTTGGTGCAAGGGAGAGAAATCTGACTATTGGAGCGATACAAATATCATCTTTGTCATCTCCCTTTATTCCCCCCCTCCATCTATTCTCTTGATAGGGCTTTCTATCCTTGCCTCAGACGAGCGACCTTTTTGTTGGTTGATGTACTGTACCTTCCTTCTCCTTTCCCTTCCTCACACCATACATAGCACCGTACTTGAGTTTTCTGGAAAGGGGTGGACTATATTCACAATTGCCCTGATCAAGCCTGCCTGGTCCTTGCCCTTGCTCTTGCCTTTTCTGATTGCTCCTTTATATCGTATAAAGTAGAGCAGGCCATTTGTCATTCTCTTGTTCATTCTCTATGGGTCTCCTTTCCTCCTTTTTTTTCTTACTCATCCTTGGAGCTGGGAAAATGGAAGGGGTACCAGCTGGGATGTCTGATGCGATTTGCCTGTTACCGTTCGTTCGTTCTCGCTCACTTTTGACAAAGAAACAGCATTGATAATAGGCTATTAAGGAATGAGTAATGTGGAATAATGCCAAAGCTCGGACGTGTGATGGGGTGGTTCCCTTCTTCTCGGGCAGGCAAGGCATTGGTGCCACCGTCATGCCAGTTGACATACCTTTTGTTTGTGCTTCTCACTTTTGGTGCTCGTCTGTGTTTTGTTTTTTGTGGTTGTTTGTTCCGCATAGGCGGTATGTGTTCTTTTTTTCTTGCATGCAAGGTCCTAGCGGAAACCTTGTTGACAATGGCAAGATGGCACCCGCGTCCCTTTCGCTACTCTTTCTCCCCCCCCTTTCCTTCGCATTGTCTTCTCATCTTTGTCTCTTGAACCATTGTCACGCTTGTCCTTCACTTTCTCTCGAGCTTCTCATATCTGATACTCGCTATTTTTTTTTTTTTTTTTTTCGCCATCAGATTTAAAGTCATTCGGTCTGTCCCAGGCACGTACCCAAGAGTGTATATGTGATAGAAATGGAGGCTTTTCTGCTGCATCCCTAACTGACGCCTTTAGACGGGAGATACCTTGTTCCTCCTCAATGAGTTCTCTTTGACCTTTTCGTTTGTCATTCCTTCGTCTTTCTTTCTTTGTTTAAGCATACACCCCCCGCATAATAATGCCATCCTTCCAATATTCTCCAAACACCTTGCTATCACCCTTAGTATCCCAATACTCCCTGCGCTATCACTCGAGGGACAAAGCGAGTCTGACAATACCCATCCACCGCCCCTACTCCTTCTCTCCCTGCAGTTTCTTCTCCTGTGAGTAGCAAGATCCATGCTACCCACATATTGCAACTTTCCCACAAGCAAGCACTCAATAAGCACGTAGAGGAGAAGAAACGACTTGCAGGCATGGCAAATCGCCTTTTTTTGCTGTTCTTGAGCCGTAAGTGCCAATGACGAATATCGTTCTCTCGCTGAACCACTCCTATCACTTCATCCTCCGTCTCCTCGCATCTTCATCCACCAGCACCTCCTTTGTCACTTGTTCCCCTTCACTCGTCCCCCTTTGTCGTTTCTCAGTCTGTTTTTTTTATGTATAATCTGTATTTCCCTTTCCTTTCTATCCTTTTTTATTTTCCTCTCCTTTATTTCGTTCCCACTCAGTGCAATTACATGTTTGTTTTTAGCTTGTAGTGGTTATTGGGGGGGCGCACATGTGTGTGTTGTGTATGTGTTTGTGTATGTGTATCCTTTTCTCTTCCAACCCTTGTGGCACATTCGCCTTTTCCATCCCTCCTTTTTTTTTTCTGCGTGTTCTTCTTACCTTGTCCCCCCTTCTTGAAGCATCCTCTCTTTCTTTCTTTCCATCACATTTTCACTCTTTCCCTTCTTTCTCTTCTTTCCCTTTCACTCACTCATTGTTTGCTCTTTTCTTGCTTTCTCCACTTGTTCGCCCCTCTCACTTTACTCCCCACGCCTCAACTCGATACATCGCCCACCTGCTTGTTCTTCCCAGAAACTCTTGTTCCCTCAGCCTTCCTCCTCACCCCTTTTTCTCTTTTTAACAAAGTCAGCAACAACAGCAACATAAACAACACGAGAGCGTGAGTCGAGTAAACAAGAACCGGATCAGCTTTCTTTGTTCTCTTTACCCTTCACCTTTTCTCTGTTCTTCTCTCTTGTCTTTCCATCAGCCCCTCCATTCTACTCCCGCGGGTATCATTGTCACCACTACGACCAACGCTACAACCACCACCTCCCCCACCTCCCCTACCTGCCACCATTCTGCCCACAGCACCAGTAGCGCGCGCATCGACCACCCAACACTTGCATCAAGCAGCCAGGCATAATCGACACCCTTCTGAATTCCACCTTCTTATCTCACGCAGGAAACAACCTCGCCCGTCCCTTCATCCCTGCCTACCCACTGTCCCCCTTTCACCCTTTCCGTCACCCCGCCTTCGTCCTTCCTTTCCCGTTTCAGGACTCTTTCTATCCTTAATTGACCATCATCGACTTCAATTGCACGCCTCTATCCATATACAAGAAGGAAACGGCATTTACGGTCGAATATGGACTCTGGCAAAATCTCGGCATTAAATCCAGAGACACACACGCCTTCCTCGATGGCTCACCAGAACGACCTTGACACGCCGAATATGCTCCTTGAGGTAAATAGCAAACAGGAATGTATATTAATTGTCATCCGCTCCGCTTTGTCCATACTCTTTTGTCCCTCCCATCACAGGGTCCAACCGTGGCAGGGTTTTTGGGTAATCAAACCCAACCACAGCACACGACAGGACAACAACAAAACATCGAGACCTTTTTTTTGTTTCTTTCTCGACCTCAATTCCCAACATCGGTGGCAGCTGTGTTTCAACAAGAGCGAGTGTGTGTGTGTGTGTATGAGCCATTATAGTACGACGACGAGTAGGAAGTTTAGTAAACCAACATTCTTTTATTATTTGGGGGGTATCAATATGTGAAGAAGGGGGTAAAGGGAAGTATTGAAGAGGCATTCGTCTCAAGTGTTAGGCACACACACAAACTCAAACACACACACGTAGGCATGGAAAAGAAAAGCAATTGCCTTTTTGTCATTTGCTTTGATTGCCCATGCAAACGATTGCTTTCTACGCACACGACGAAGCTATCATAGGTCTCGGAGTGGTGGGATCATTGCCACAGCAGGTGTTATCGTCCTTAAGTTGCTACTGGTTGTCGCCGATGTTCGAGAAGTGAGGAGGGTGTTGTTGGCAGGAGTGGGGACTGGCTGTAGAATAAAGGTGCCCAATGAGTGAAGAAAGATGAAAGGTGGGGCTAATGAGCCTGCTGTTTTCACCACTTACTACCGAGACCGGGACTTTTGTCAATCTCATCCTCTGCTTGTCTATCCATATCTATCTCACCGTTGTTTTCTTAATCTCTTTACCTTTGTTTTTTCTCCTTCTTCTGTGCCGCCTGTCGCTTTTCATTCACGTCTGATGCTCTGCTTCTCCCATAACGCGTCGACTCCTATTAGGCAAGCACACGGTTGTCATTGAACGTGAGTGGATTGTTGCGGGATGTAAGTTTAAAGTCGTGTTTGTCTTTGTTTGCCAGCAGCGCCCTTTTAACTCTGAGAGAGCTTGTCGTGTTGGTTCGGTAGAGCTGATAAACCCTGCAACGAAAGAGGGAAAGGCAGGAAGCGCGCTCAGGGCAACAAACAAAAAGAAGAACGACGCGAGTCATGTTTCGAAACACCACTGCATCTGGATGAGAGCAGCGATCGCGAAACACCATGCAGCCATGCGCACATAAAGACCATAAGGAGCCCATTGAATTCATTCGTTTTTTTTTCTTCCTTTTTCTCATTGTTTGACCATGCGAGGTTGATGCAATGCAACCATGGGAGGAATGGGAACTGTTCTTCTTGTCATCAACACCTGGTGCGTTGTTCCTAAACCAGCCATGGGGAAAGGGAGGGGCCAGTGATTCAGACCAGACGACACACTATTTATTTTTCTTGCCCCTCCCCTTCCCGCGCTCCCATCGGTCCTTCGTCCCTCCCTATTTCCCCTTTGCTCTGTCACCTTCTGTCGCTACGTTTGTGCGTTCTTGCGTTCGTGCGTTCGTTCGACAAAATAGCGATCCCTATTTTCCCCTTACTTTCCCTTTCACTTTGCTTTTCCCTTTGTCCTTCTTCCCTTCCCATTTTTTTTTTACTGCTGGCCCCTGATTTTCTTTTTTCATCTTTCCTGTTCCATCCCTTCTCCCTCTCCTCTCCTTTCGTCTCTTATTCTTCTCCCCCTATCTCCCTCTTTGCAAAAGTGGGCTGAACACAACACTAACCATGTCCCTTTCGGTTTTTTCTTTACTCTTCTACGTTCACTGACCAATTGATCCTATTTGCTTACCGCCGTCGTCGTCACACCATTGCAAACTCCTTTTTTTCATTTTATCACACAAACATCGACAACACACCACCACCACCAACAAACAAACACGCACAGCGACCAGCAACAGGAGCCATTATCGATTCTCAAGGATATTCAAAGGCGGCCCATGCCGACAGCGGCGAGGAATCACCACTCTCACCCCCTATGGCCTGGTCGCGAGAAGGCACCTCAGAGGAGCTCTCAAAGTACCAAGAATTCCAGATGCGTCAAAACGACGGCCACCACCACCGCTCCCAGGCTCAACCTCACTCCTCCCATCCTGGCGCCGGTGTAACCTTTCCGACGCCACAAACCGCAACCAATAATCCTACCACTATCACGGCGCAGGATCAGGATCGGCGATCGCATTTGGTGACAAACTCTCAACCCACCGGACCGGGTTCCTTCTCCGAGGCTGTGCGTGGTTCTCAGGCCGACCAGACCCAGAAGAACACTGCAGGAGGGCGACTCCGAACAGAGCAGAGTAGACGATCAGACCGACTGGAACCCGCCTCAGAACCATCATCGACAAAGACCTCTCAACGGGACGGTTCATTAGAGCGAACCCTGGACTCGCCACACTCGACTCGACAACGGCCATCCCCCTCCTCTTCACCCTCAAGTCGACATTCAAAGAGCAGTCGCTCAAAGACAAAGTCCAAGGGGCACGACGATGGTAGTCAGCATGGATTGGATCTATCGACCTCGCCTGCAGCCGTGACCCGTTCAGAGCGGGCTGGAACAATGCCCGGAAGTCCACATTGCCAGCGATATCGCCATTCAGGGTCTTCAACCAAGAAGGGCTGTTGTGCTTGTTCTTCTTGCCAGCAAGAGGGATCCATCCTCACACCCTCACAAAGATCGTATCGCTATGCCCAGTATCTCGGAAGCGATCCTATCCCGATCTACGCTGGGCCATTAGGACTGGGAGACGACATTCCTTCACCTACGCCATCGCCTCCGGCAGGACGAATGAGCATCCATATGGCCATGAGTGGACATTCACCCATAGGGTCACCTGTTCATTCACCCGCGCTGTCAATATCGCACTCGCCAATGGGAAAATCGTCTCCTTCCTTCCTTCGGTCTCCTGGCTCCTCCAAGAGTAAATCGAGTCGACACCAGGTCACGGAGGGCTTTTCAGGGTCAGGGGAGTTTGGCCTGCATGACGAGCAGCATAGGATCAACTCGGACGCGACCTCCAATACCCCGACAAGCCATCATCCTGTTGTTACTGGCTTCCAAACATGCGATCTTAAGGTCAAGAACAGTAAAAAGAGTCCATCTTTGACGACAGCTCAGTCAGTCCTCGAACCGAATCCTTTCTCCTCTCCTTCCCCTCCTTCCTTCCCTTCCTCTTACACTAATTTCAGCTCACAAACGGACAAGGACAAGGACACTTCTCCCTCGCTGTCACCCTTTTTTTCGACCAAGAGATCGTTCAGTCCACCCAGACATACAACTCGTTCGACTGGAGCATCAAGTCTTCAACCCATGGCGACCGACACACTGCAGGCACACCATCTTCGACAAAATGCATTGGCTTCACATCAAGGCGATCATCCGATAACAACAACAACTATCTCCCACGCCGATTTTCCTCGCCTTGCCCCTCCAGTCGTCTTGGTTCAGTCCCCAACAGTAGAGTCGCTTACGAGTCTTGTGGAAAAGGTGCCAAAGCCGACAACGCCAGGCAGCAAGCAGTCCATCGAACGGAGCCCACTCTTGTACTCTTCTGTACTTGCATCTTCTACTTCGCCAAACACATCGTCATCATCCAGCTTCTCTCATGCACCTCATTCGCCCTCTCAGCTCTCCCTCTCTCCAAGAGGGGGACAAAGCGCTGCAGCGACACCTCCCCTGAGTCCGTCTCGTAAGAAAGAGGGGCATCACTCGTCTGTTCTCTCGAACATGGAGAGCACAGGTAAGATAGAGGGGCAAGAGGAGCCTTTGTGTTGTACATGATCCTGTAACAGCCATTATTTATTCTTTATTTTTGTTTATTGTCATCGTGACACTACCCACTTACTGGATTTGTTTTGCTTTTTGTCAACAATAGAATTCGAGGCGTGGTCTCTGAGTGAGCAGATTCAGGATCGCATTGTCAGGGCTGCACCATACAAGTCAGCAGTGCTTTCTCCCAACACCATTCATGCCAGAAAACTGTCGACAACTCTCCAACAGCTATCGCACTCACACCCACACCCACAACCACAGCAACAGACACAACCCTCGCAGTCTCAGCCGCATCACCAACCCGAGGATCAGCCCCAACCCCAACCCCAGCCTCAACTACAGCCTCAACTACAGCAAAACTATTCTCCTCAACCCGACTCAGACCGAAAACCAACGTTGATCCCAGTGGAATCCAGTCCTACTAAGCGGCAATGGCAATGGCAATGGCGCGGTCAATCAGCCTCCAAAGACGTTTCAGGAGATAGGACACCCAGAAAGACGGCTGCCAACACTATCACAAACAGGAAGGTTGTCGGTGGTCTTGGTCTAGGGAGTCCAGTTGTTGGCAATTCAAACAGTGCCAACTCCGCCTCAAGTTCTGGAAACCAAGTGGCTGCCAAAACTGGGAACGAAGGCGGGTCATCATTGCATGTGTTGCGTCGTACACGCTCTGCACCTATTCTTGCATCTGGTCAACTCTCGTGTAAGTACTACAATGCCAATGAAATTGAGGTGTGCCATGAAAATGTTTGAGTTGATGATCAAACTGAGAAAATGCTAACATGTTACATGTGCGACAATTATATAGATGCGGATATCCTTAAGGCGTCGATCAAGGCTACTTCGGACTCTAGCCTGTCATCATCGTCGTCATCTGGATACGTGTCTCTATTGTCCACGGACTCTAACACGTCGCATCTTCATTTGACCGGCTCGTCTTCTCCACTCGTTACGACCAACACTACCTCAGTCTCAGGAACGATCTCGTCATTCAACAACTCACCCGATGCATCAAGCTACAGATCTCGACTCATCGCCCCTCTCACTCCGACAAGGACGATGAAGCCCTTGCGGAGGCGTAGTCTTTCCAACATCAAGGGCGAGATGAGCGCCTCAACGGCGTCTTTGAAGTCATTCATGACGCCTTTGAGAGCAGCTGCTGAAATACAAAGCCTTGATATGGACGCTTCAGCCATGGACGTGGATGAAACGCTTCCGAACCAGAATGGGGGATCAAATGCAGGCGATGATCGGAAGGAAATGGAGATGGCAGATACGGCATCTCCCAGTGGCTCGGAGGATGTGGAGATGTCAATAGCTGAAGAGACTGTGGAAGAAGTGGCGTCGCGCGGAATGATAGTCACGACGAGTGGTGCACGCGTGGCGTTAATTAAGAGCGAGGAGGAAGATGAGCCAGCAAGAAATCTAGTCAAGTCAGAGTCGGCGACAGGACTATCATTTTTCACTCCACCCGAGGAGCTGGATGCTGCAGAGTCTTCTCCTGATACGATTTGCCTTGAGCAGAGTATCGTTGCTGGGTCGATGATGGAGTTTGAGCCGACTGTAGATACTTCTACAGAAACCTTGCCTGAATCCGACGCGACGTCGACGTTGGTCCGTGCAGTGAGCGCCCCAGTCATGGTCTCGCCGATTTCTCCATCTCTTGCCAGCAACGTTTCTCTCGCAGCCAACAACGGAGCTGATGTAGAGAACGACAGTTACGAGAGCATCACGCTTGAGAGCCCTGACATAGCTGGCCTTGGCCCTGTTTCCTCCCTTCAGGAGAAGAAATTGAAGGTGGAGGAAGAGAGTATCGTTGTTGCGCAAGCAAGCGAGGTTCCCGTGGCTGAAAATGAGGTAGCGATTGAGACGAAGGTCACATCAGTCGCAGCGGAGGCATCGGTGGTTGCTGAGGAGCCAGAGTGTCCATTCCAAAAGCAACTCGCGCTTCAAGAGCAAGAGGAGACAGAGACTCAGCAGAGCAAAATTGCCGCTGGATTCAAGGCTCGTAGGAAGCGGAACGACAGCTCTGGTGGCAAGAAGCTGTTGCTCAAGAAGATGACAAGTCTCCCCAATCTTCGTAACAGCTTCCAACAGCAGCAGCCATTACAGCAGGCGGTGACATCCCACTCTGAGAGCGATGGCTCCAAGCTGGACAGCTCGACGTCTACTTCCGGTAAAGTTGCTTCGAGCGACTATGTCATTCCTCCGTTCTACTTTCCCAAGGGCAAACCTGTGGCTGCATCCAAGCGCCGCCATAGAGTTCACAGCGCTGTGGTACGTTGTTTGTATTTGTGTTGTGACATGGGTACTTTATAACATGCCAGTTGTTATCTTAATGATTAGCCAATTTACATCCTTTTCTCTCCCCCTACCGTTGCATTAGACGAAGGCTAAGGAGATCTTTGTGGTGGCGGAGAGTGGCGTGTTGTCAGAGGCAGGATTCGTGACCATTACGGTCCACTGCTGTGAGCTGCCACGGTACATGAATCGCGCTTTGTTCCGAAAAGTCGACCTTGCTGGAAGCGGCGAAGTCCGGCTCCAAGAGTTTGAACGCGTCTGGGAATCTCTTGTCGAGACTTGTCCCGACGAGATTTCTATGGTATGGGAATATTGCTTGACTTTATTACTGGGGCCGAGATGAAACCATTAGAGTTGGTGGAGATGATCAGACCTTATCAGTTCAACAACTCCGCAATCAAATACTGATCATGATCTGCGATTTTTTTTTGGTTTATCTTTGTATACATAGATCTTCGCAATCTTGAAGCAGCCCAACGCAAACGTCCTGACGCCCACGGATTTTGAGGCCGTCCTCCAAGACTTGGTTCTTTTTCACCCTGGCCTCGAGTTCTTGTCCGGCAATGCCGTCTTCCAAGAGCGTTACCGTATGTTTCTCACTCTTTCATTTTTTTTTTGTTTTCGTTCATACTGCAGCAAACATTTCGCTAACAAGTTCCTTTTTTTTGTTGTACTATAGTGGAGACGGTGATCACGCGGATCTTTTATGAGGCGAACAGGCGACATGGCAAGATGAAGTTGTCAGATCTGCGCCGATCCAACTTTGACAAGACATTGCGCAAGCTCGAGAACAGCGACCTGAATCAGACCGAGGACTGTTTCTCGTACAAGCACTTTTATGTGATCTACTGCAAGTTCTGGGAGTTGGATCAGGATCATGACCTCATCCTGGACGAGCAGGATTTAGCGGGCTATTCGGGCGGGGCGATTTCGACGAGGATTATTCGACGCGTTATGCAGGGGTATGGAAACGAGACAGGGATGTTTATGGTTCCTGATCAGGAGTTGCTCTTGCAGCAGCAACAGCAGCAGCAATTGCTTTTGATTCAGCAGCAGCAGCAACAGCAGCAGTTACTTCAACAGCAGCAACACCTATTGCTCATTCAGCGACAACAGCAACAGCAAACGGCTCACCTCCAGACCGAGAGCTCTGCCATGGATCTGGATACAACCATCTTGGCCAATCCTTCTGAGGACAATGGCGATGACGGTGAGGAGGCCAACAAGGTTATGGCCGAGATGACAACGCCTCCTGGGGAAGGATCTCCAGCTCCTGAGACCAAGACGTTGAGGCGATCCAAGACCATGACTCTCTCGGGTGTCAATATCTCGTCCGAGTTTATCACCGACGGCATGACTTCTCCTGTTCCTGAGGAGCCGTTAGCGTCTCCTTCCATCGCATCAACACCCACCAGTCCGTCGCCCGTGACAATGAACTCTCCATCGCCGACAGCACCAATAGCAGGGGCGACAATTCAGCGGACGATCCCACCAGGTCCTGGCACACAGTGTCGGCCACAGAACTACCGCATGACCTACAAAGGCTTCATCTGGTTCCTCCTCGCCGAGACCGACAAGCAGACCGTGACGTCGATCGAGTACTGGTTCCGGTGCATGGATCTCGACGGCGACGGATTGCTCACTGTCTTTGAGTTGGAGCAACTCTTCCAGGAACAGGCCGCTCGGATGGCGCTCCTGGGGATGGAATCGTTCGGGTTCCGGGATGCGATCTGTCAGATGCAAGACCTGATAGGCCCTAAGGAGACGGGCCTGGTGCGATTGTCAGATCTGAAGCAGTGTGGGCAGGCAGGTCCGTTTATTGATTTGTTTTGTAACGTTGTGAGGTGGAGGAACTTTGAGGCGAATCAGCATCAGATCCGGATGCGTCAGCAGCAAATTGCGATGCAGCGGGCGACCGAGGCCGCGTGGGAGGAGGTTGCGGCGGGGGAGGATTTGTTTGATGATGATGATGAGGATGGTGATGATGAGGGTGAAGAGGATGAGGATGATTGTGAGGAGGACGATGAGGAGGAGGAGGATGAAGATGTCAGTGATGATTATGCGGATGGAGGCAGCGAGAGTCCTACGAGTACTTTGAGCGACACGACGGAGTTGTCTTTCAAGTCGAATGCAGCTCACACAGTCTCGTTCAGCACGGATATCGAAATGGGCGAAGGCAAAGATCTGTTGTCTGCCTCCGAGTTGTTGTGTGTGGGTCTTGGTCTGGCCGTCGAACCCTCGGCCCAACTTGATGCTGATGCCAAGGGTCTGTCAAGCACGCAGTTGTACCAGAACCTGGGTCTTCGTCGCGGTGGTAGCAATGGCACTGACCATGTCAAGGCTGCCGCACAAGAAAGAGGACCAGGCGAGGTACTCGAAGATGATCATCAAGGCAGAGGAGGACCAGGGGGTATCATGGATGGCACGGTGGAATTGAACCCCGAAGTGACCAAGGCCCTAAATCGACGCAACAAGGAGAAGCGGCGCAAGCGGCGGCAGTCGATGGTGCGACTTGCCCTCCTGGGTGAACAGCGCAAAGAGAAGGCCCTCCTCGCCACCATTCGGTAAGCTCCTATTTTATTACATTCAAAAAAACGCATGTTCCATTTGCATGCGATGCGAACTCTTGGTGTTTCATTAACTTTCTGCTAAACTTACCAACACTTGTTTGTTCCGAAATAATAGGGAGTCGCCATGGATAGTATATGTGGAGTCAGAGTACGAGAAGCTGGTGACGATCGAGCGACCACAGAGCAGGACCGGGTGGGAACAAGAAGACGAAGAGGAAGAAGAAGACGAAGAAGACGAGGATGAGGATGACCTCGATGACCCCGAAGACGGTCCCGGTGGTGGCCTTGGTACTTTCGGTGGCGGGTTGATAGGCGAAGGAGATGATGACGACGAAGAAGAAGTCATGAACGAAGACCACCTTCACCATCTTCAACACCAACAACAACAACACTTGCAGCACCTCCAGCATCATTTGCACCTGAATGTGGTTGAAGGGGTTGACCATATTCAGTTGCAGTTGCAACAACAGCAGCAACAACAACAACAATATCAGCAGTACCAGCTCTTGCTCCAGCAACAACAACAACAACAACAGCGACAGCAAGGGATCAGGACGACAGCACGACTGCTGGAGTTTGAGCAGATTTCAATTGACCCTTGAAAAACAGGATCACACGGGGTGTGCAGATAGCTCTCTTACTGCTCTGTCCATGCACTCAACTACATTCAGTCAATAACAAACAAAACAAAACAAACTAGTTTCGATACCAGTAATAAAATTATCCAGTGTCCAGGAATAGGAAAAAGAAAGCGCCCTGCATTTTATTTTCTTTTTACGAAATGTGTCCCAAATGATGAGTTGTTGTGGTGGTGTAGGTGATTCAAATAGATGGCGAAGATGAGGATGCATATTTGGTTATCAATCTAGGCGGTATCGACGTGAGGATGTCAAACGGCTCGGGTAAGCATGGTGAAGGCGGCGAAGAAGAATCGGATGCTCCTCCTCCGTTCATGCTCAACTCCAAGTCTTGAGGCAAACACGCAGACTGGATCCGCAATCCGTTCAGCAAATGTTGCTGTTGCTCAGAGCTCATGGATGACGAGGGGTGATCCGTCGTCGCAGTGTTGGTCTTGCGGTTCATCCGTTGCCTCAGAACCGGTGAGGTCGTGAACAAGGACGGGGAAGTCGAAGAATCAGACGAGCCGGCGCTCGGAGAAGGCGGAGTGGTCGAGTTGGGAGAGGAGACAAATGACCGCCACGCGCGGTCCTCGTCCTGAGACTGAAGACTCTCCATATCTGACATGTCCTCGTCCCGATCAAGGTGACCCATCCGAAGAAGAGCTGCGACCGCCTTGGGTCGTGCCTTGAACAGTTTCTCGTCCATGTCCATGAAATCGACACGACTTGGATCTGCTCGAGGCCTGATTGTAGAAGGACCGCTACGACTGATGTTGCTGTTGCGTTTTACCCGGTACTGCTCCTCGTCACTCAATGTCTCCCTCGCGTCTTGGCTCTCCTTGGTCTCATTGCCATCTGTTCGAATCCTCAGACCCTTCTGCAAGAGCGCCCGAAGTCCAAGCTCGACAGACTGAAGCGACAAACTCGACGTAACATTGCTCCGCGTCCGGCTTTCCTTGTCTTGCTCGCTCTCAACTTTCTCATACAGACACATGTAAGGGTTCGAACCCAACACATTCTCCAGCGAGACTGACTCGACTGTTTCATCCGACACTCTAAACCAGTCCTCTCTCCGTCCACCGCCACAATACGAGCCACTCCTTGCCGACCCATTCGTTGCGACGTCCAGTCCCAACCCAACTGGCCCAACCTTTGACACCATGCTCTCAGGCTTGCGACGGTAAGCTATGAAATGCCCGTATGAGTGTCCTCCATAATGAACAACGATCGACTGAAGCTTGTAGAGCACCTTTTTCCGTGCTGGCTCTGAATCCTTCTTGCTCGATCCATACGACGCCGACGATGATGATCCTGACCCGTCATATCCCATCCTCTCCAAATCCTGCTCCGAAATCGACATGGGCAAGTTGGGTCGTGTCAAAAGAACGCCCGTGGTGCAGAAGGGCGACAGATCCAGATATTCAGGGAACTGGACATGGCAGCTGTTCTTGGATACCGTCCCATAGTTGGAGTACTGGGATCGAACAAAATGCAGGCACAGAACCGACGGTGGTTTGGCCAACATGACCTGCTTGGTGCAATGACGAGAGACAACCTTGGAGAGTTTGATATCCGGAAGAGCCTTCTCCACATCCGACTTAATCGCCGCCTCCAGGACCTTGCGCTGCTGAAGGAGTTTTGACTTTTTGGCTGCCTTCTCCGCCTTTGTCAACGTCAGGTTGGATGTCCTCCTCCGACTCATCTCCTCGAACTCCGAGGTGTACTGCGACGAAGTCTCATCGTCGCTCTCGCTCTCGCTTCCAGAAAAAGTGGTACTGCTGTTGTCGGACAGGTAGTCGCTGTCAATGTTCATGTCCATATCCCTGCCTCTGTTCCTGCGCCAACCTGACCGCGCGATATTGGCCTGTGCTGCGGCTGGAGCATCAATTTGCTTCAGCTTGTTGCCGACGCGATCCAGAGTGGCGATAAGAGAGCACTTGCGGCAGACGACGTCATTGAGCGACTCGAGGGTGATATATTGTTGGAGGCAGTCCTCGATGTTGCAAGAGTGGGCCAAAGGTAATGAGAGCGATAGGTTGTCAAAGGTAAAGTGCCGAACTGCCTCTGTATATCCGCACTGCATACACGAAAGACGGCTGGCCAGCATCCCGATCATTGGATTGGACTCCATCTTCTTGACTTGGTGGTCTAAATTGCTCGATTCCATCCCGACCAACTTTTTCAGAAACTCGAGATCCACCAGAGGTCGCGTCGACTGGAGCTTTTGAATAGTGTTCTCCTCTGAACTGAGTGCACTGGAGATGATCTGAAAGAGTTCCTGTGCATCCTGCTGCTCTCTGTTCATGATGTTGCTGTGGTATCCTGACGCCTTTGAATCCTTTGAACGCGAAGACTCCAACGCCTGGACAATAGCTCTTGGTCGGAAAGCCTTGTGCGAAGGCAGAGGTTTTTGCAGAGCTAAATAGTTCAAAAAAAGGGCAGTGCTTGTTAGCATTTGAAATAGATCCCTGGTTGTGTGCTAAGCGCCCAACGATCAGTGGCGTTCTTGTCCGGAGAGAAATAAGTATACCTTCCATGGTGTCCAGTAATGCCTCTGTAACCTGGAGATCATCTTCATCCAACTGCAAATCCTCCGATCGGTCCAAAAGTGACTCCAGATAAGGCGAGAGTACCGAGAGTGCCGAAAGTGCCTGGTGTGGATTTATATGCAGAGAGAAAAAAAAACGTGGTGGATTGTGGTCAGTCGTCCGTAATCCTGGGACATGTCACATTGATTTCTTGTAGTGTGTGTGGACTTGATCATATGTTGTCCAAAGACTTGATTCCATACCTGCAGGACGGAATTCAGGAAGCAAGAGTTGCCTGTATTGACAAGGCCATGGACATAGTGAAGCGAGGAGGCCGTAGCGGCCTTGGGTTGATGTAATGCTTGCGATATTCCTAGTGTGCAAAAGTTGAAGGTTGTCGTTGATTAATAAAGCTCGAACCCGCACTTGCACATGTGTTAATAAAAGCAAGGTGCGATTCTATGCAGCAAAAGCGGCGAAGGTGGGAATATACTGTACCTTGTGTGGTATTGACGGTGTGGAGTTGGTGCAGTTGAACCCGGCTGGTGATTTTCGTTCTATCAGGCAAGGTGGTCCTAGTAGCGTTACGATGGTCCTGCAGTGGGTGCAAAAGACTGCTGCTGCTGCTGCCAATGCCGAAAGGGTTGCCACCATCGTCTTGAGAGTCGTCCAGCTCCCAGCCCAGAAGGATCCTGACAAGAGGCACCAAGAAGCGAGACTTGATGTAGAGCAAAACAGCCCATGCCTGAGCAGGCGTTGGCAGCTCTTCCAGAATGGTCTTGAAGTCGAGAGCAAGGAGATGGTCGATCAGGCCAAAGATCTGGCGCTTGTATTGTTGAGGCAGCGCAAAGATGACCGAGACCAGCAAGAGGACTGCGGCTAGAGGTGGAGGATGGAGAAGTTTCTGAAGTGTGTCCTGTAACATGATGTCGTTTGGTCCTGGCTGTCCCTACTGAGCGTGCTTGGTGTTTTTTCCCAACGCCAGTAGAAGGGTTGGTTGATTCGTTTGCTGTCCTGTCCTTCTGAGGGTTGTTCGTTGCTTGTGGTTGCTTTATGGTTTGTGTGAGTGAGTGAGTGTGTGGGTGTGAATGTGTAAGAGTGTCGAATAAGAAAGAATAAGACAAGATTGTGAGTCTGTTGGGTCGGCAAAGGGGCGAGAGAGGAGAGGATGAAGGCACAGGAAGGAGGGAGAGTCAAAGAGAAAAGAGAGAGTGACAAGCAGACAGGGGGGTCAGGAGAGAGAGGGAGAAAAGGGAGGAGTGTTGGTCGAGACGCTTCCAGCCAGTCAAAGGATGAGACGAAACGAGAGGAGGAAAAAGAGGGAAAGAAGGACAGCGGAAAAATCTAGAGCTCCAAAAAAAAAAAAACGACTGTCTCAACAATCAACACGCAACTCAACAACACGCAATTGCTTACTACCGCACAAGCCAGCGCACATGGAAACGACTGCTTTTTCTTGCAACTCTGTTCAAATTGCAATTCAACATATCACTCCTCGTCTTCTATCATCCAGCCATGTTCCTTCAGGACAACGAGAATACAGAGCCAACGAGCAGAGACAGGACATGGAGGTTGAACGGTATCCGGTCACACCCGCGGCATTAGCTCTTCTCGAGGTGAACACACCTGGAGCGATACAGCATTACCCTAAAGAACCTATATAAGAGGCATGTCCGAGCCCAATTGGGACAACAAACGACAGCAGCGGCTTACTCCAGCAGCACCAGGAGTAGTATCGACAATAAAAGGCATTCAAGAGCGGATCTGAAGAACCGGATGGAGGATCGTCGAGCGTGTCTTTCCGATCGTAGATTATGGACTGGACACAATACGGCGTGAGCCTGAAATGCCGGAGGCTCTTGAGAAGGCGACCATCTTATCCCTCGAACGGCTGCCATTCCCAGGGTAAAGGCGTCGAACCCAGATTGGACAGGCTGTTTGCCAATTGCTCTTCAACTTTTTACAGGGCGCGATAAAATAATTAATGTACGCCGTCTGTTTGTGTCCATTGCACTTAGAAAGACACGGAACCCAATAAACATGGCTGGGAATCTTTATTTTCTAAAGCAGAGTTCTTAAAGGCAGTTCGCCTTCACAACCTCAGTGACCCAGGCCCAGTTCGAGCGCAAATCACACCAGAGATGTTCTGTTTTCACTAGCGTCGAACCCTTCGCCTTGCCGTTCGCCACGCCAGCGACAAAGCACTTGTCACCCTGGCAGACAAACAAGGGCCCGCCGGAATCACGGAAGATGATGCCTGTGGCGCCATCGGCAACGGGGACCACAATGCCCTCGCTAGGGACGAACTTGGCCTTGGCAGTATACTGGAGGAACTGAAGCGTCTTGGGGATAGTGTAATCACCGAGAAAACCCCACCCTGCCACGGCGACGCTTTGACCTTGGACAGAGTTCTTGGTAAGGTTATAGCCCAGGTTGTGGGGTTGGGCAAGGACGGCGATTTGGAGGTCGTAGCAACGCTTGTCGCTATATCCGGGCTCGAACGATGAGACCATTTTTATCTTCTTGGTGGACTCCATTACGACCGAATCTTTGAACTCTGGGAGCATAACTTCGCCCAGGCGGTTCTTGGCGAGGCAGTGATGAGCGGTCAGGACACACTTGTTCCCGATCAATGCACCTGTGCAATCATCGTTGACTTTGACGACTCCCTTCAAGAAGGGAGCTGTGGCGAAGCGGCCGTTGACGATTGCTTGAGCGGCAAGAGGGATCCATACAGCAGATAGAGCTAGGAAGAGCGATGCTTTCATTCTATAGATGTGTTATCATTAAAACATGGCGATTAGTGTTTGTTCGAGAGGAGGGTCGATGAAATCGAGTTGAGCTTGTGATTCCAGGTCGGCTGCAGACGGTCTTATTGCACATGGGATGAGCAAGAAACATACCTGAAGGTTTGGATATGATTAAGAAGCTAAAAGAGTGAAATAGAAAGTGAATGAGGAAGTGTGAAGGAAAAAAAAGGAAAGGAGTGAAAGAGGATGAAAGGGATCATTCAAGCATCCAAGTTACGCCCCTTTTGTAGTCTCCACCCGTTGTTTGAGCATTTTGCTAAACTTAGACACTTGTCATGTCGCCGACCCAGATATTTTTTCATACCGTCTCACATGAAAAAATGCTCTCCACGACAAAATGCAAGGCAACAAACACGAAAAACAAGTTTACCGGTTACCACATAAACCAGCATACACATATGGAACGACAGTCTTCTTTAACTCATGTTGCCTTTTCAATCATTCTCTTTTACTTATCTTTCCCTTTTTCTTTTTTTTTGTGCTGTTCAAAGCAACATAGCAAGCATTCATATTTTTTGTCAGGATATATCATTCGCCTATACATCTCACGACAAGCTGGGACACATCCGGCGTCTCTCAAACAAAGCGACTGTTGGTGTCTCATATCCAGTGATTCAGGATGCTAGGATATCTTCAGACGACCCAGGCAATGTTCCTGGTGAATCAACTCGTGGATATATTTCCAGATGTTGCTTGCTTACTTGGAAAAGTCAAGATGCCGGCCATCGAAGCTCCTCCAGCCGAATCGTAAGACCTGTTCAGAGGTGATACCTCTCTCTCCGAGCTATTTCTGGCAAACATACCCACCTTCAACAACGCCTTCGAATTTACGCCCTGCAGCAGAGTTGAAGAAAGATGGAATCCAGCCATATCCAAAACGTTGAACTCTCCATAACCACTCTTCTGCAAACACAACAGTATCTGGGAAAACGCGACCATCTTATCCCCTCAAACCACTGAACTATGATCTTTCATAAGGCAGTAGGCTGTCATTCCAATGCTGTTCATCTTTTCATTGTTCGATTGTCATTGCGATAAATAGTTACTTTTGCGCCGCTTGTTTGTTTCCAATTGCACCCGCCCGCGAACGGCGACTTTAAGAAACAGATAGTCTAGAGGCATGGTGAAATGTTAAAACGTGTGGGAAGATTTATTGTTTCACACTAGTGGTTTTCTCAAATGCAGTTCGCCTTCACCGTCTCATCGATCCAGGCCCAGTTCGAGCTCACATCGCACCAAAGATGCTCTGTGTTCATCAGTGTCGAGCCGCTTGCCTTGCCGTTCGCCACACCGACTATGTTGCACTGGTCACCGTTGCAAGCAAACAGGGGTCCGCCAGAATCACGGAAGGTGATACCTGTGGCACCATCGGCAACGGGAACCACAATGCCCTCGCTAGGGACGAACTTGGCCTTGGCAGTATACTGGAGGAACTGAAGCGTCTTGGGAATAGTGTAATCACCGAGAAAACCCCACCCTGCCACGGCGACGCTTTGACCTTGGACAGAGTTCTTGGTAAGGTTATAGCCCAGGTTGTGGGGTTGGGCGAGGACGGCAATCTCGATGTCGTAGCAACGCTTGTCGCTATATTCGGCGGCGGACGATGAGACGATTTTTATCTTATTGGTGGACTCCATTACGACCGAATCTTTGAACTCTGGGAGCATAACTTCGCCCAGGCGGTTCTTGGCGAGGCAGTGATGAGCGGTCAGGACACACTTGTTCCCGATCAATGCACCTGTGCAATCATCGTTGACTTTGACGACTCCCTTCAAGAAGGGAGCTGTGGCGAAGCGGCCGTTGACGATTGCTTGAGCGGCAAGAGGGATCCATACAGCGGACAGAGCAATAAAGAGAGACGCTTTCATGGTGTTGTAAAACAGACTATAACAGTTTGATCAAATATCAAACAATAAAGTTGAGTAAAGCTTCCTAGGATTCCCTCGTCAGGTCAGCTGCAGAAGGTCTCATTGTGCTTACCTCGAGGTTTTGTGTGCGTGAGTAGAAAAAAGGAAACCGTGGAATGAAACGTGAATGAGAAAGTAAAAAAAAAAAAAAAAGGAGAGAAAGGAACGAAAAGGGACGAGGGGGGTGGGGGTGATTTAAGCATTCGACTTTTGCCCTTCTGGTTCCCGCTTTTTTTACGAGCCCTATGAGTAACTCGCTAAAGTTAGATGCGTCAATGAGCAAAAGGAACTCAGGGTGCGCCACGCATAAAAATAGCTCTTTGAAGACTGTCTTCCGGCGTGGGTGCAAGGTCTTAGGAAGTACAAGGATGATTCTTGTTCCAACAAAAATAACAAACGATCCTAAGCTTCACTTCGAGCACCAGCCAGGTGTACACGTGGACGACCGTTCTCTTTGAGCTTATGTCAATTGCATGCCCTCCAATTGTCCTTTTCACTCTTGTCATTCCTCGTCCTTTTTTTTTTTTTTTTTACTTTGATAAAGAAAGATGGATGTTGCACAAAGAAGTCGCGAGTTTTTCAGGCAATCCCTCCCGGGTTCGACTCAGAATTCGCCGGCTTATCTATGGTCTCAAAAGAAGCCCCACATGGAGACTCCCCTGATGGGTTTGTTCTCATCCACACACCAGCGGCCATGTTCTACAAAAAAAACATGGAGTAAACATTTTGTTCAAATGAGGAGCTGATGATGGAGTTACAGAATTGATAGTCTCACCTGCACATTTCCTTTTTATTGTTTGATATGTGGCCACTAACATTTCACTGTCTAATCACTCACGAACGGCAATGGGGGTCAGTCAATCACCTATAAAGAGCCGAATAAATGCACACTTAGAAGTGATCAATTTATTCATCCCATTTAGCTGGTAGAAAGGCAGTCCGTTTTACTGTGCATGGCCCGTTCTCTTTACGTCCCCTTTCTTCATCTTTACCTTCCCTCCCTCCAATCTCCTCTCCACCTCCGACATGAGCTCCGCCGCCTCAAAGATCCTCTCGACATTGCGTGGTAATACATCAAGGCACTCGATACTCCTGTTGATTCAACAACCAGTCGATAGCAATAGTCATCCTCTTTGAGCAAACAGCCCATCACTCACTTTACAACTCTTGGACGCGTCAAATCGCACCCCTCGGACATAACAAAACAAACTAAAGGAATATAATACCGCACTGCAAGGATATCCATTTTCTTCCCCTTGGGATAAATCTCTGGCATCCTCCTATTCCTTCACGAAAACATGCAATAGCTCTCTTCCTCGACCCGCCTTGAATACAACACACAACTAATACTATTCTCACCTTACAATGGAACCACTTTTTTTTTTTTTTTTTTGGGGGCCACAGGACCCGTCTTGTACAATGCCAAGGTCGCAGGCCAGGTCGCCAAACAAGTCTACATCCGTGAAGGCATGGCTCCTCCCTCGGTCGCACAAATCGAGACCGCCAGGGACGCTGCCTTGAAGTTCATCTGGGACGCACGCCAGGCAAAGACCTGGAGAAACATCTCAAAGACACAGTTCCTCAATGCCGGTCTCGTCGCTGCCGAAGCCTACGCCTTCTTCATGGTCGGTGAGATTATCGGACGCAGGAGTCTTGTCGGATACAATGTCAAGAGCGCAGATAGCAACGATCACCACCACTAAGAACGAGGCATTACTTTGTCTTTTTCTCCACAGAGATCTCCCCCACTGAAAATACAAAAACCAACAGCGTTCGAATAGGCGTGTGTGTATGTGTGTGGGTTAATTACGAGAGAAAGTGTATTGCTCCATGATGACTGTTATTTGTCACTCTACTTTAATCGGCGACCCAGGCACCGACACGTTTAACGTACTTGCCCATGAGCTCACCCATGTCACGAATGACAAAGGCACAAAAGACTTGATTAAAGATATCGCACATACGCCGTAACCGATTCAGGATCTGGATGTGGGTATGGAAGGGCGACAAGGCAGAATAGTGTCGAATCATCGCCTCCAAAATGTAACCCGATTGGAACAGTCGGATAATCGCCTCTGTGTATGCAGAAGTGTCCTCACTAATCAGCATTGGAAACAATAAATAATGGCTTAGGTGAGTGCTATGGTCTTCGAAAACAATCATCATGTAAAAGACGCACGAGAAAGAAGTACTTACACTTTGTCGTTGCCCATTGACTTTTGGACAGACTTGGAGAAACTCTTCCACTGACTCTTGAGACCTCCGGCGCTTGCATCCGAACTGCTTCCCTTCTTGGACGTCTTTTCGTGTCCTGGCATAGGCTCCTCGTTCGCCAAAAAGTCATAGCTTCCGCTGCCGTATAGACTGGCACTTCCGTACACACTCTGCGCACCATACACACTTGCGCCGCTACCTGTGACTGGTCCCTGCATGTCGTCCGTGTAAGACTGGTTGGTCGCCACAGTCAATGGTACTCCGCTCTTGCCGGGTCGGTGAATAAACGACAGCTTCTTGCTAAGCTTAACTTGCACTTGATGGGCAGCCGTTTCCAAGCTGTCGAGCTCCTTGAGAACTGTCATCCGCTCAACATCGCCTTCCGGTCCACCGCCTGCAGCGACCAGCATATTAATCTTGGCCATCTTGGTTAAAATTGTCACCAACGTCTGACAGGCGCTAATCTTAGAGTCTGCTGCAGGCAAGCGGACCAAGGATTGATACCAAATCGCCCGTGGGACATACATCCTCTTAGTGACAAATCCACCGCTCAACATAGACTGCTCGATCCTGCGCATCAACCAGAAGCACCGAAGAGTAGGGTCCGAGGGTGGAGGCTCAGTGCTTGGAGGAGGAAGTGGCTATATAAATTTCAACAACGAGAACAATAATTGTTAGAGTGACCAATGAGATGTATCTTTTCCACTTTTTTTTGTGGTAGTCCCCAACAGAGCGTCTGTCCTGTGTCCTCGTCACTAACTTCCACGTCCTCTGCCGCCATCTTTGACTTACGAATTGCATTCCTGCAAATGGGTCATCCGAGATCACTTCAAACAAAGTCATTCCGCCCATCGAGGAGGACGGGCCAGCTCCGCTCATGTTTGGGCTCCACGACTTTTCCAGCGAAGGTGAGCTCGACGCATTGGATACGACACTGCTCAGCTTTGAGCTGCTGCTCTGGTGTTGCAAGACGTTGGATCGTGAAACCAGCTGAGGCGTAGATGAGAGGGGTGAAGAGGTCCCGAGTGCATTCTGTCCGTTAGCAGCTCCCGAAGATCCCTTCAGCGAGCGAGAAGAGTCTGAAGTGCGCTTGTGTGAGGATCCTTCCAGGGCGTGAAGGGAGCTGATGGATGAGGATCCTGCCTGAAAGTTGTACATCGGTCCAGAGAGCGGTGATCGCGAAGACTGCGAGGCAGACACCTGGTGCGAAGAGAGGGTCGAAGATTGCGAGTACGATCGCTGGTGTGCTGGCTGTTGTGGAGAGGAGTATGAGGACATGTCCCCTCTTTGTCCGTCCTGCTCTGCGCCCATTGATAGCGATTGTCCAACTTTGGTACGAATCTGCTCCAGCTGGCTGCCTGTGTATGACCCTAATCAACCATAAATTGAGCAAATGTAAATATAGTGGTCCGAGAATACCAAACATTGAACAAACCACTTGTCTCGGACCGATTCAAACCACTCGTTGAATTGAGTACCTTTGGATGTCACTCTGTCCCGTGGGTAAGGATCCTCAGAGGCATGGTCGAGCGAAGAATCGTACTTTGAATAGTCCTTGGACGACAGGTTAGGAAGCCACTCATCCGAAACAGGTTCTCCTTCATAAAACTGACTGTGAGCCCCGTCGTTTGCACTGTTGCCGTTGGTAGTGTCGTTACTGTCATCAGGAGAGCTCTCTGGGGATGAGAGAAAAGATTTTTGCAACGGTGAGGCACTGTGTCCCGCGTTTTGGTGGAGATGTCCTGCAGATGAGAACGTTGAAGGAACCAAGGGTGAAATCCTGCGGGTAGCATGGGCGGGCGAAGCTGGAGGTGATACTGGGTTGGAAGAAGGCGTTTGAGGCAAGGGCGATCTTGGTGGCGGAGATGTGGGCAGAAACGTCTGATGCCCAGGCATGTTGGGCGTTGTTGGGTTTGAATGCGAGGGCGTTGAAGGAGTCGATCCAGGCGCTGATCCAGGGATAGGTACAGGTGGTGGGGTCGAAGGTGGTGGGCCTAAAGCTGTCGGGGTTGGAGGAAGAGGGCCCAAAGGAGCAGAGTGAATGGGCACTCCAAGATGGTCTCGACTCCGAACTTTGGGTACGCCAGGGATACGATGTTGAGAGTGAAGGTGAAGCTGCTCTGTTGCGTCCACGAGTCCTCCCGTCATTCTATGAATCGACCCTCCTGTGTGCGAGCGTGTGTGGTGTCGAGTATGTCCTGGCGAACCAAGCTCGCTGGCCGAAGTGGAGTCTGACCTCTGGCGTGGAGTCCTGGGCTCCGTGGGTGGGTGAATGGGTAGCGCAACAGAGGCAGGATGAAGTGGGAGGGGGATATTTTTCTTGACGCGTCGTGGAGATGGTCCTTGTGCGACCGGGTTTGACAAGGTTGTACTGTCCGAGTCATATCCTTGTTGGTGCGACGATGAAATGGTGTTGGTGGACGTTGCAGGGGTCATTGAGGCGACGGTTGACTGGCGGGGTGGTGTGGGCAAAGGCTGCTGAGGGGGAGGTGGTTGCGGTAGGGCAGGGAGTGGTTCAGAAGGCGGGGATGTGGTAGGAGGGGTCGAGAGCAGATGGATCCTGAACAAGTACGAGTCATGCTAATGTGTCAATCGTATCAAAGAAGAACAAGGAGATGTCAATGGTCGGACACTAGCGTATATTACCATTGTTGTGTTCATGGTTATTTGTGCAGATGGTCATGGTGATATGGTGTTGAATTCACCTACAATCGTTCTCAGACGCTCCTGTTCGTCGGGCGATGAACTAGCATCCATGACCTTCGAGAGCAAGGTGACAGCCCGACGGTAGGCATCCAGGGCAGCGGGGATATCGAACGCATTGTCGAGTTGCACTGCAGACTGGGCCTCGAGCAGGGCCATGGTCAGAAGAGCCTTGGAGCTAGATGACGACCGAGGACGAGTTTGATCTGGTGGCATGAGAGATGTTGATCCGCTGGGCTGGTTGCTACTACTGCTGTTGTTGCTGTTATTGCTGTCGTGAACGTTTGAAGAGAGGGATTCGGTCCGTCGTCTCGAGTAGTTAGTGGAGCGAGATGATGATGCCGAGTAGGGCTCGTGGGGGTCCACTGGACCCGATGAGGCCATGAGATGAGCGTTGGAGGTAGATGAAAAGGCTTTGCGGTGATGATGGAGAGGGGAACGGGAAGAGGAGGAAGAAGGGGAGTGTGTGACCCGAGGAGAAAGGAGAATGGAGATGGGTGAGGAAGGAGTTGAAGTCGAGGAGGAAAAGAGGAGGAGGAGAAGAAGAGGAGGGAAAGAGGAAGAAGAGGCGACAACGAGAGACCGGCAGACAAAGAGACAACGAGATGGAGTCCAAAGAAAAGAGAAGCAGAAAAAAAGGGCGGGAGAAGAGAGGGGTTAATAAAAGCACAAGGCGTGGAGAGGGAGGGGGTCGACTTCGAAGGAAAGGAGGAGGAGGAGGAGGAGGAGGAGGAGGAGGAGGAGGGAGGGTGACAAGACAGGGCAGGGTAAAGAGAAAAGAGAAAAGAGAAAAGAAACGACAAGGAGAAAGAGCAGAAAGAGAGAGTGAAGAGAACAAGAGAGAGTGTGTGAGTGAGTGAGTGAGAGAGAGAGTGAGAGCCAAAAAAGAGACAGCCAGAGGAAAGGTGCCGGTGCCTGAAAAAAGGAGGGCGCAAACAGAAAGAGTGTAAAGAAAGAAAAAAGTCAAATACAAACGCTCGAAGCGGATTGGCTCTCTCCTCTCCCTCTCCTCTCCCTCAACCATTCGGCCCACTCTTCTTTCAACAAAACGAGGGCTCCACTCTTTTCTTCCTCTTCTCTCTCCACTCATCTCTCAACATTATTCAACTCAACTCTCTGCTGACCCTCTTTCACATTTACACTCCCCCCTACTGCCTTTTGCCTTTTGTTTCCCTTCTTCATATCCGTCCCGCCTCATGAAATGGTCTGCTCTGGTCTGGCCTTGCCTCTGTGCCGTTTTAAACAACAACCACAAAGTAATAAGAAAACCACTCCGATTACCAAAGATGTACCCTTTTCTCCTTTTACACCATCATTCATTCACCACTGGGCCCTTTTCGTCTTTTACATATCCCACTCTCCCTCGTTTTTTTTGGTGTCAAGCGAATTCATTTCCCGTTTTTTCCTTCCCTTTTTCACTCTCCTACTCGCCCTTCCTTCCCATCAAAACTCTAAGCTTTGCCTTTCATATTTCTAGTGAAGCGATGAACGAGACCCATTTCATGCTTCGAGTACTCGCGTTCCTAGCAAAGCAGATATTATTATTGTCGTGACATTACACACTTTCAATTGCAATGTGGCCGTGCAAGGAGATGCTGGTGATCATTAATCATGACGACGTGTAATTGATTGTCGTCATGTGATCATCTCCCGCTTAGCCCCCTGAATGCGAAGAAGGAAGCGTAACCACCCTCGCTCTCTTCCTTCATGTTCTTCGACTTATCCTTCTCAACTCACACTCCTTCCTTCCTCCGCAACAACCACCAAACAATCGGCTTATCACCACTACCACGTTTCTCTTCCTTCCTCCTTCTCAGCTACCTCGTTCCTTCTTTTCCTATCCTTCCTTTCTTCACACCTACACTCTCCCTTTTCTCGGTTCCCACCCACAGGACACGGACCTCTCTCTCTCTCACACACTCTCACTCACGCACAACTCTCACTCGTCTCTCTCTCTCAGCTTAACCTTCACGAAAACAACGCGAACAAACACCAAGCTCGCAACAAGGAACGCAGCGACCATGTCCGAACAACAGCAACAGCCTTACAGCATTGTCAAGCCCGTCGGGTTCACGATTGCCTCATGTGGCTACTGCCACAGCGACAACTCTGCCCACGTCTACGGTGCATTCGCGTACAAGCTCACCTGCCAGGTACTTTTGTTACATCTTTCTAGTCGTTCCTTCCATTCTCGTTTCACAACAGGAACAAGAAGGGAATGAATGTTTGAGATGAGCGCAGCATCGAATGACATGCCTTTCTTCTCGCACTCTCCTTTCCTTCTTTGCCGCGGTTTTGTTTTTCACGTTTGAAGACAATGAGAGAATTGACGAGGAGGCTATGTTCTGTGACCTGTCATTTTTTTTTGGTGTAGCCCAGGAGGAGTTCCACAAAAGTGGGCGAAAGGGGTAGAGGGGTGAGGGGGTAGAGGGGTGAGGGGGTGGGGGGCGGGGGGACACTCCAATCGGCCTCCGGTTATGTGAATGTTCACTCAACTCCACGCAATGCAACTTCTCAACGACTTGACACACGCTCTCTACTCCCGACCCCTTCTTTCACATTTTTCCCCCACACACATTGTCAAGCACTAACCAAAAATAACTCCTTTTATTTCTTTGGGTTGTTTTTAGGACTATCAAAACCTCATCGACCACGGCTGGAGAAGGTAATTTACATGTCCAGCCAAATCGTGGGAGAACGAGCCATTCACACATTCTGCCCCCTTACATACCCACTTTACCTACTTGTTCTTGATACTGCTACCACACAAAGTTAAAAAGCAGGGCTAACCTTGTATCCAACTCATCCTTTCTGGTAACCATCCTTCTCTAGATATGGCCTCTATATTTACAAGCCAAACCTCAGGGATAGGTAATTCACTGTTCACTTTGTACCCTCCAATACCAACTAAGGCTCGCTGCATGTGGGAGATTTCAAGAATGTGAATCTTATAGAGCGATCTGTGCTGACCTGACCTCTTTCTCTTACTGTTTCCCATCTCCCAACACGAACACAACACGCCATCCATTCGATACCACCAACAGCTGCTGCCGACAGTACACGATTCGGTAATTATCCTACGTTTCTTTTATCAACATCAAGCAGCTGCCTTTATTGCCTCCACCAAAAAACCTCTCTGACAGATTCTCACATCCCCATAGGTTGAATGCCTCAGAGTTCAAGCCCTCCAAGGGTCAGAGACGAACGGTGGCCCGCATCAACCGGTACATGAGGAACCAATATGTCCCACTCAAAATCTCCAGAGAGAGCATGGTTCGCGAGGACACTAGCGCTCTGGATGAACACAGCCCCAGCCCCGAGCCACCACACGGCACAGCCCACGGCCCGCGCCGGAAATCGCTTTCTCCTCCTCTTGGCAGGATTGAAAACTCCTACACCGACTTTCTCCACACGATCCATGCCACAGACATGGACAAGATGGAGCCTGGATCTGACTGGAAGCAGTTCAAGGTGAGTTACATGGTCGAGAAAAAAACGATCGGATTCGCTATACTGCAAGCAACTCAAGGATACACGTTCACCATTCTCACACTGTTATCGATGGTGCCTCTCTAGGTCGTCTTGGAGCCTGCACGCTTCACCCAGGAAAAGTACGACCTTTACTGCGAGTACCAAAAGGGCATTCACCATGTTTCATCTGCATTGCTTTCTCGAGAGTCGTTCGATAATAGCGTTGCTCGTTCCCCTCTCATTGTAAGTGTCATTTGCAGGTCATTTGGTTTTATGCATCTCTTGCGGAAGTGTACTGTTGGACCTGGCATTAACGCGCGATGGTCGTTGTTTTTTCTAGTCCGAATCCCCTATCCAGGACACGTTGGGCTTCAACGGATACGGCACTTACCATCAGTGCTACTATGTCGACAACAAGCTGGTAGCTGTTGCTGTCCTCGACATTCTCCCTCGATGCATCTCTTCCGACTATTTCTACTACGACCCATCTTTGTCCAGCTTGTCTCTGGGCAAATATAGCACCTTGAGGGAGATTGCTCTTGTCCAGGACATCAAGGCTATTCCGGGATACGAGTTAATGGAGTACTACACCATGGGCCACTATGTTCACTCTGCCCCCAAGACACACTACAAGACCATGTATCACCCTTCGTTTCTCTTGGATCCTGTAAGTCATTTCGCCCATTCAAGAAAGAGTCGTACGGTTTTGAGATCCCGCCAATTCCACAACACTAGAAAGCTGACCATTCACAACATCCCCGCACAATTCTTCTAATAGGAGAGCTATGACTGGACGCCTTTTGAAAAGTGCGAGCATATCCTTCAGTCCAAGCGTTACTACTCTTTCAGTGAGTCTGAGCGCTTTCACCCACGCGTCAAGGGTTTGCTGATTACCATGGCGGCAGAGAGAAGAGCACGAGAAAAGTCGAGTGGCTCCAAGGGTTCCAGTCCTTCTTCCAACGATTGCAGCCATATGGAGTTGGATTCCTCAACTGAAGTTGAAGTCGAGGGACTGAGCGCACAGAACCACCTTGATCACGCGTTGAGCAGCAGCGATGAAGAAGGACACAAGAGAAAGCGATCCAATGAATTCTCTCACACTCCAAAGGAGCTTATGCGTAGCGGTAAACGGCCTTCATTGACCTCTCCTTCCTCCGATTCACTCTTGCCTCCCCCTGGCATGATGAACCCTGACGATGTCACAGACCGCGACCTCTCGCAGCTTGTTGTCTTTCAAGGGGATCGTGCTACGATGCTGACGGTAAACATACATTTTTTTGGCGTTGTTCCAAGCCGCATTAGCCACACATATGCGCATGAATTGACAGAGCTATAACGATTGTGTATCATTGATTTTAGGACTCGGAGTCGTTCAAGAACAACAAGGACGTTGCCAAGGCCATGCGCGATTACTATGCCGCCATTGGGCCCACCTTGGCTCCTCGGATGCTTATCTTTGCTTAAAACGACAGGGAATTTGCTTCTTGACCTTCGTTTGCTCTTATTGTTGGCTTTTTTTTTTGCGATGCTCTTCTGCACAGCGCGTTCCTTGGGCCTCGAATAAAATCGTAAGAACAAGAATAGTGATTTGTTTGTCTCGAAAGAAAGAGTGTTGTGTATCGGCAACGAGAGTAGGTCGTAGGTTGATCTTTATTAGGGCGAATGAATCCTTATGGATACTTGTACATTTGAACGAGCGAGGTCGCAATCGCGACTATGGGTCTGCCTCATCTTCCTCAGGTTCTAGCCCGTCATCCACTATGAGAACAAAAGGTTGGAAAAAAAGACAGGCGAATAGTAAGCAGCTGTAAGCAGATCAAGTTCATCCACAAATGTGTGATGTGCAAAGCAGGTGATATGGGTGTTTCCTAGTACGTCTTACCTTTTCGGCGGAAAATGGTGATCTCCTGTTGTTTGAAGTAGCGTCTGTGTTCCTCGTCGACCAACACAAGGTTTAGATAGTACCTCGTGGAAAACTTTTTGTTCACTATTCAATCGTAAGACGCAAAGAAGAAGCAACAAAGAAGGTCAGATATCGATCAATCCCAACAAACAAGGGCAGATCACGTCTGCGAGGTAAGTGCGATCTTTTCTGTATGCCTTTTTGTCGCTGTACCTTCTCGGTATGTGGGGGTGAGTTCAAATCCACCGAGAAAGAGGCGAATAGGAATGGTCTCGCCTCGGACTGGCGCGCCGTCCATGATTTCGAACTTTGTGATGGTCTCGCTTTCGTTGTACTGGTTCGGGGCAGCTCCTGTGGTCTCGCGACGGATGATGGATAGTTCCATGTGCTTGATCTTTATGCGCACCAGTAAAAAGTAGATCTTGCCCACGATTACGTCTTTTAGGTGGTATCTAGAAAAGGGACAAGAGCGCATTAGTTAATAGAGTGACATGATCGACTTGGAGTCCAAGAGTGGAAGTGAAAAAAAAAGAGGAGACTTACTTGGAGCGGTTGTACTCAAACTCGATGTGTAGGCAGTCCTCGATTCCTACCTCCATCTTGATCGAGCTGTTAGCGCTCTCAGTAGGCATCACATAAGAGTAAACCCAGATGTCCCGCTCCTTGACCACATCAGCCAGGCGCCGCAAGATGGTGACGCGGATGAAATATCGGAGCTTGACGTTGATCCCATGATAGCTTTCGTACATCTTTTCCACATTCTTGAACTCAAAGTCGAGCGTCGTATTTGCGCGCAGCTCTCCTGGGACGGCTAGGTCCTGTTGGAGCGATGAGAACTCGTAATGGTTTCCTCGATCATAGAACAGCTCTAGTGTGTTGTTAATGGATGGAGAGACAGAAGGTGCTTTAGACGACAACGCGTGAGAATAGGAAGGAAATGCACCTTGTGACAAGACCAGGTGGATTTTTTTGGGCGTGTTTTATCTTACCGATGTTGCCGACAAACTCGACGCGGATGCCGTTGTGCTCCAGCTTCTTGCCATCCTTGACACGGATCTGGATCTAAGCGATCAATTGAACAAGCAACGATATCTTACTGTGAGAAACCTCATTGTTGACTCTCCTCGAGAAGATCTCAAACAGCATTGTTGGTTTCACTAGTCAACGGACCTTTCCTGCAACAGTCTCGCCATCAAAGTAGAGCGGGAACTTTTCTCTCCTGTCCTTGTCGACTTTGACTTCGACCATCTTTCTCTCCTCCTCGCCATTGAATGCGACCTGGATATCGACCGGTGCCGAGAACCCGAACAGATTCTAATCCGTGAGAAGGAGGAAAGTAGTGGTTAGATGGGGTCTGATAGAAAAATTCAGGCACAAGAAAAAAAAAAAAAAGTGTGAGCAAGAACAGAAGTGGGTGAGCGCCCCTTCCTGTTCATTGTTGGGTTTCGAAACTTACGGCCATGGACATGTTGAGCGAGACTTTTTTTATGTATGGAATGAAGTGGAGGGGAGAAAAAGGCGTTGTGTGTTTGGCTTGTGGAGAGGACGAAAGGAGGAAGTGAGGGAAAAGAAAGACAAAAAGTATCACTGCTGAGGAGGGTAACAGCCAGGGTCAAAGGGGGGAATGGGAAGGGAGGGGGAGCATGCCAACCTGACCAGGACAGTCACATCCTGATCACGTTTTTCGTCACGGTTCGCATTTTTGTCTTTGATGGTTACATTGACAAAAACTTTGATCTTCAACTCACAAACAGGACCATCAGCAAAAACCAACACTTCAATAAACATCAAGGATTCAATCATCGGACTCGCACTTGTGCCGCACTACCAGGATATTGGAGTTTGCCTTTCTATTTCTTCTTTTGACGTTTTCACGATGAACAAAGGACAGGCTTCCTAATAACACCATCCATCATCCCTCAAACATCTCAACACCAAGCCGCTGCTTCAAAACCTGGTTGATGATAACCTCTCACAAATGACGAGCGTCCTCTTCTATGTTGTTCTATGTCTGCTTATTCGTAAGCTACAGAGGTCAATATAAAAGGGATCAATGAGAGTCGAACAGAAATCTGACAGGGGATGGCGCGTGCAAAGTGCAGGGGTTTTCCCTTTTTTTTTTTCTCTATTCTTTCTCTGTTATTACGTGTTTTTCTCAATTCTCTTTTCACCTCAATTAACATTGTCACCGCCACTGTGCATATCGCCAGCACAAACCAGGAAAGCGAGCATCAAGAGTCAAAGTGGCGACGAATTACCAGCACTCTTTTCTTTTCAACTATTCACGATCGACATTGAGGGCTTTTGGGATATACTCGCAGAAAATGCAATTGATTGTTTGCGCCTATGACGACAACTCAGCAACCACGCCGAAAGCAAATTCAGGATCTGGAGTTTACTTGACTCCAGTCCTGTAACGTGTGGCATTCAAAAGTTTTCAATCGGATTGGATTCATCGCACCCTTTGCATTGCGTACTGTATCTGGACTGTGCCTCTTTGACCCGTTTTTGTGTTTGGTAGGAGGAACAAGAGGAGTTGTCTTGGTTTGATCGATCCTTTTTTTACTTTTTGTTTGTATTCTTCCGAGTGTTTGTGATGATCGAAGCGGCAGTGTGAATCAGGGTTGCATTCCGTGTTCAATTGGGCGAAAGGGAAGAGATGACAAAATGTCACAAGGTTGAAGATCAAGAAACAATTGGGACCCAGTACGCTACCCCCATCCGTTTTTCCCTAATGATGAGATATTTAAAGGCATGTTTGATCTATCTGCTCCATATCCCGCCATGCAATCTGTTTCTCCATGAGGTTCGTGGATCGGTACCGAGAAAAGAGAGGACACAAGGGTCAGCCAATAGTAGTAAATGTGAGGATTTGCTTAAGAACAGAGAGACGGTGGCATGGACTATCCAAGGAAGAAGAAAAAGGAGGACAACAAAGCATGGGTTGGATAACGGGTGTTTTTGTCATGTTAGGTCGGATTTAAGGCAGCCGCATTCTCTCATCCTTTGCCCGAGAGAGGAACGAAACATTCGGTGTTGCTTGTTGCATTAACGCTCGGCTCTCCGTTTGTTGTTCCAAGATGCATAAGGTTGACCTTTTGGCTCGACCGCTCGACGCTTGACACTAAAAGGACCTCATTATCCACAACAATCCATCGTTTTTGTTCCTTGACGTCTTTTTTTACTTCCTCCTTCACTTGTCCCCTCCTGGCTTTGCCGAGAGATAAACCTTGTCTGCTCGAGTTCATTTGTCATTCCTTACTTTCTACCCCCCGGCTGATCCGTTCATTCTTCTTCGATTTGCTGGTCTATGGGCCTATGGTGTCTACGACAGGAAAAGGTGGGGGTGAGTGATAGTATGATGATCTTGTTTTCATATCTGAAGGGACCCACTTTTTTTTTCTTTATTTTCTTTAAAAAAAAAAAAAGATTAATAAGTGCTATACAGGCGTATGACACGGTGGAGAAGGACAAAAGGGCTTTTGTAGAACTGGTCCAAAGAAGCCGTACCCGCTCGCGAGCTGGGCTTGGTGGTGCCCATGATGTTTCACCTATTTTTTTTCTCTTCTTGTTCTTGTTGCTCCATTCTTCTCACTCATTTTCCTATTGTTTAAGCACTTGCTTGCTGACTGAGCACTCGAGTTCCCAGCTTATCGGAACCAGGCAGCAGCGCCCATGTCCCAGCCACTCATCCAAGCCATCCCTGCCATTCGTGTCTCGTTTTTCCTTAATCTGCGCATGGGCCTCCAAGATAAAAAGGAAGGTCCTCTTATTTTATTTCTCTTTTTCTTTTCTTCTCACCCTTCCAACCAAACCATACATCACCCGCCCTCACCCACACAACCCCAACAACCACCTCACTCACACACCAACACACATCGCAGCCAACATGGATTTCTTTGCCAAAGCTTACACTGACGAGCCTCAATCGATCATTCAACACAAGGACTCGTCAAAGTACTCGACTCACTGCGCCGGTCAAGGCTACGGATGTGAGTCCAACTCCCACCTTCGTCGAGCCTCCTCTGGTCTCGAGGCCGACCTCGGACAGAAGCACTTTCATGGATTCGGATTCTCCCACCATCCAGCCCAAGACCACAACGCCGTCGGCTCACCCTTGATCAAGAACAGTCATCAAGGAAACGAGCGCCACAACATTTCCGTCAACACCCGCGCTGCTGTAGCTTCCCATGGCGCCAATGCAGTCGATGTGGGCAGCACCGACCCAACGTCGCCTCACAATCGCACCTCGGTCTCGAACCCTTGTTTGCTCCACCACACCAACTCGCACGGATCTGGCTCTGTTCGACCACCTATCATGCCCCGCACCATGAGCTCGCCCCACACGGACCATGACTTTGCTCACCCCGAGAATCAAGCCAGCAAACAGGATCGCCCCCAGTTTGGCCATGGTCGGTCGTTCTCTGCTGGTAATCAACCCACCATTGTCGAGAACCACCCCAGCGCTTACTTCTAAGCGTTCCTCTAACATCATCAGCTCACTTCTTCCTATGTTGCTATTTTGCAATCATGGTAGCTTTTCTGTAAATAAACACTGTGTATTCTATCGTCAAGGTTTGTTTGTTTGTGCTGTTCGTTGTGTGGACGTTTTTTTAGGACAAAACAAACGTTTTGTGCCACATGCATGGGGGGTGTACAACGAATGTAAAAGGAGCATCGACTCGACTCTCCACTGTAGTCAGTCAGACGGGGTCATCGAAGAATGAACAAGGGTGAGGAAGGCATTCCGATGTCGACCCGATAACATGGTTCCCCCCCCGTGTATGTGTGCACTCATCCCCATCCTTGGCCGCCCTTTCCACTCTTTTTTTTTTTTTTTTTTCTCGCTGTTGTTCTCTTTCTTCACCTTTACTCATTCCACACTCCATGGCACACAACTTTTGAACAACTTTGTCATTCGTTCATTCTCTTGCTCTCTTTCCACCCACCCATCAATACAAAAAGATAAGATAACCACCACAGCAGCTGCATAAGCAGGGCTCTCGTGTGCGGATACACCCTTCCTAAAAATGGATAGTTCTCAAAGGAATATGATGGCAACAGGGCGGGAAGACGACGATGACTACAAGCAGGAACAGCGACAGCAATAGCAACATCGACAAGAAGTGGATGAAGAAGGACGTGGTAGTGCTGACACCTTGCGAGACCAGCTGCCATCTATCCGGATCCAGACGCAATTCTTGCAGAAGCAGCAGCATGGTCAGGACTAGTCAGGTGGCTTGGACATGGGAGGAGGAGGCGTGTTGCTGAGTGCCCAGAGCGATATGAGTGACCGAGCCGTATTTGACTGGCAGGTGCAAGATCACCATCGTCACTACTATCCTCATCCGACACGGTCTTCCTATCCTGGGAGCGATGACCGACACGCCATGCCTAGGTTTGAGGTCCGTCACGGCAAGGACAAGGACACGTGGATACCACCGCCACCATTACCCTTGCCACTGTCCACTCTTGCGAGTCAGGAACCGAAACACCGATATCAAGTCCAACAGCATTTATTGACTCCGTACCAGCAGCAGCAGCAGCAGCAGAACCGGTCTTTTGGTCATCTACATTTGCAATACCCTCCAGGAACTGGGCGCGACAGACACGGACATGGCTCCGAGCCTCCGACGGTACCTGAGCATCTCGACAGGGACAATACCTAGCCATCATCATTACCATGCCGACCAGGACTCACCCTTTATTACCTTGGACGACTCTCCTCTCACTTCGGCTTCGTCTTCGACCTCCACCTTGCTGGGCGAAGGGGCCTTCTATTCTCGCCATCATCCATATTTTCAAGGCCATCGACACTCTACCTCTACTTCCTCGACTTTCTCCCCAGACACTTTTCTGTCACTGGGGGGCATGGAGTCTGCCAAACAATGTATGGAGGACGAGGATCGATACTTTTGGCAGTCTCCTCTCACCCCTCGATGGTCCTCCAGAAGCTTCACCTTTCCCTTCCATTTACCGAGAGTCTGGACTGGTGTGTTCGGTAGAGGTAGGGGCAGGACAAGTGCTGCGACATCCACACCATCGACCTCATCGGCTTGCCTGAGACTGTTCACCCAGAGGAGGAAGAGGACATTGTACAAGTGGGCATGGATGGCGTCATTGATGTTGGTCTTGACACCTGCGATCTATATTGCGGTCGTCGGTGTTTTCAAGATCCATGGATACCTTGCTGGGAGTGGCAGTGACCCAGGAGTTGCTAGTGGGAGGAATGGAGACTTGGTGTCGAGGGGACGGGACGTCTGGAGGATGAGTGGCAAGACCGTGACGACGGAACAGGATGGCGGTGTTCTAACTCCGGCGATCTTTACTCCTACTGCAGGGATTGCTGCTGACTCGATTTGGAGGCGACGGGCGGATGATGAAATGGACGATCCTCTTGACTTTTACCCAGATGAGGACGAGGATGGCCCATCCGAGGCTGCAAATTTCATCTCTTGGCTTGCTCAGGCATCCATCGTTACCCCCGCAATCCAACAATAGGATCAACAGCAACGTCGGCCACCTCAGCAGTACCAGGAGTATAATGAACCGCCTCGACCATCGCCTTCACTATCACGGAGACATCAAGAAGAAGCAGGTCAAGAACCATTCTTATTAGAGCCAGAGCGCTACTTCACCTACATGCCCTTTGCTGGTATCAGCAACCAGTTCTATGGGATGCTACGGGCCATGTCGATCGCACGCGCGCTGGATAGGACCTTGATTTTGCCACCAATCACATCCTCGAGCCACGACAAGTCTCGACAGAACCAGGCCTGGTCAGATTTTTTCGATCTGGAGGAGTTTCGACGGAGGACAGGGTTGAAGGTGATCGAGTACCAGGATCTGCAAGATCACGGGTCGTTCCGAAGTCCTACTGGTGTTCAAGAGTCTGGGTCATATGTTGGCGCATCATGGATCCCTCCTTGGGTCGAAGAGGCATCTATAGGCGAAGCAGCGAAGGCGATATCATCGGTGGACAAGCGAGGAGGAGGTGGCGGGCGGTACCAACAGAGTCTGGGGACAGGAACGAGCGTCGTCGATATGACCATGCCCTGTCATGTCACCTGTGGATTCGGTTCGAAGCGCGATCTGGACTTTACAGCCAAGGCGTTTGTACGACAGTGGGGGTTCCAATACAAGAAGGAGATGTTCCCGAAGTCACAGTCACCATCTCCTTCTACACCTGCGCCAGTCGACAACTCACCTATCGACCAAACCCGCGATTTTGACAGGATTGCTGGGGCGCGTCAAAACGACTCGCTCAAAGAGGAGGGGTTCCTCTGTATCAGCAACACCTACAAGATCCAGATCTCACCTGTCACCCCTGCAAGCTTGGCGGTCGACTCGATCGAATGGCATGAGTTTGGACAGCATCTGTTGTTCCAGGCCCAGTTGACACACTTTGTGGATGAGTTTCTGGGCAGGACGTTTGGTGAGAATCCGGAAGAGAGGACCAAGTATGGCAACGACACCTTTTGGATCTCCTCGCCGCTACTTTCTGAACCTTGGTCGCAGCCTGCTCCAGCGCCTTTTCCCGAACCAGCTTATGTACTGGAGACAGTGCCGCTTCAGGCGACTCTCCTCAACTACAGCTGCCGGACCAACCAACTGCCCTGGACGTCGTCGACACACCGTCGTCATCGCCTCTTGCCGCTCCTTCAGCAGAGTCTCAAGTGGCCGTCTCGTATGCAGCCACGGTAGACCTGACACCATGGCCTCCGCTACGACCATTGATCCAGCACACGTTCTTTATGATCCATGTGCGGCGAGGAGACTTTGAAGCCTACTGCAAGAAGGAGTTCAAGGACAAGCGGCTCGACAGTGCCTCCCGTCCAACGAAGCATACGCCGGGGTCATCAATGAGTTGCAGCAGCGTGCACAGAGAGACAGCGGTAGCAGTGACGATGGCAGTGTCGATGGTGATGGCAATAATGACGGTTCAGGACATGATCGAATGCTAGTGGAAAAGAAGGAGGAGGCTGTTGGGCGAAATAGGAGTAAGGGGAGGAGGAGGAGGATTCCAGTATTGGTAGCGACGAACGAGAATCGATCAGAAGAATTGGCCCGATTGCGACAGCTTGGACGGACACGCAAAGCGTTACGTAGTGCTGGAGTGAGCAATGGGGATGAAAGAGAGGCTATCGCAGGTGGCAGTGTCATTTATGATGTTGAAGGAAGGAAGAGGGAGAGAGAGGAAGAAACAGTAGAGGAAGGAGGAGGTGAGGACGAGGAGTGGATAATTCTCAATCATGAAGAGATGAAGACAGTGGAGAGGCTGGGGTGTTTGGACCGATGATGGTGGAGCAGCTGTTGATGGCTGAGGCAGAGGCCCTTTGTAGGGGTCAGGAAGAGCACGTTCTCTCGCGTTGGAGGGTATCGTCAGCGAGACTGGTACCAGCGGCGGACCCTTTTCATGTAATATTAAAACCTCGTTCTTTGTACTTTACGATGCTTGGTAATAGTATGGAAAGGGAAAAGGAAAAGGGAGCAAAAAGTGATCGGCGGTCACAGCCTCAAGGAAGGTTTTCTGAGCGCAATCAAAAAAAAAAAAGAGACGCGTTGGTGCTGACGAATTTGTCGTCAGCAAAAAGATGGCGGAGAGATCGAGAGAAAGTACGATCCGTCACCCCTCTCCTGTCCCCCTCTCTTCCTCCACACTAGTAGAGTAAGGTTGGATAAACAATGGAAACCACCAATGGGTGCGTGTGTACCTTATTGGAAAAGAAGGAGCAAGAAAGAAAACTGGCCAAGAGGGGCAAGGGAAAACTTTATCGCTGAATGATCCATTCGGGTTCCATTTTCCTGTCTTCCAACTGATCGTCCCTTGCAAAGGTATAAAAAGGACTCTCTCTCTTCTCTTCTTTTCTTGTTCTTTACTACTCTGTCCACCACTCTCTCACCACCACCAACAACCACCGACACCCACCAACACCCACCACACCAAACATATCCGCAATGGCTTCCATCACCCTCACCGCCGAATACGGTTATGTACGTCTGCTCTCCACATTTTTGTCCTGATCGCCTCAAATCTCGCATGGACATTCTACTTCAACAAAGGAGGAAAACTAACAGCACAACCGTTCATAAAAAACCAATAAATACCATTAGACCGTCGCTGTCTCTATCGTCTCGACTGTCCTTGTCACCTTCCTCGGCAGCAGGGTCGGAACCTACCGCAAGGAGGCCGGCGTCCCCCTGCCCACCATGTACGTCGAAGAGGCCGAGGCCAAGAAGGACAAGAAGAAGATGATCTTCAACTGCAAGCAGCGTGTCCACCAGAACACCCTCGAGGGTTTCACCTCCTACATGGTCACGCTCATGCTCGCTGGTGCCCGCTACCCTGTCGCCGCCCCCGTCCTTGGATTGATCTGGTGCGCTGGTCGCCTCGCCTACTCATTCGGTTACACCTCGGGTGACCCCGCAAAGCGCGTGTACGGTGCTTGGGGACACATTGGTGATCTCGGTCTCTTGGGCTTGAACATCAAGATGGCCTTTGACTTGATCAACGCCTAATTGTCCGGTCTCTTTTGCTCTTTTTTGTTATTCTTTTTTTACCCCCTTGTACCACCTCATTCTACACATACAATCATCGTAATAAAAAACTTGCGTTTTGTCTTCATTATCGGTGCCCTGAGAAGTGCAATTGATGATAGATCCGCCGACCCCCTGAGGCGCCCTTGAGTATTAGAAAAAGAAGAAGAGGGGTGCTCCTTTTATAAACAGCCCTACCCTCATCTGAAGTGGTTGTGAGATGCAAGAAGGAACAACAAGTTAACAGATTTAGAAAAACCCATGTCACGTGGAACATGGACGATGCACTCTGCCCGTTTGAAGCGAAAGTGTGCTCAAACCCCAGCCAGCCGTCCTCTTTGCTTCTTTACTTCATCCCACCTCTCTCACTCGCAACTTACATCAACAACTGCATCACTACTCTTCTCATACTCAGCAGCACACTCTTCACTCTTCCTCCCTACACACACATACAACAAAGACTTCAATGGATCGCTCATCGGAATTCTTCTCAACAGTCGAGTCGCTTCGGTCCAGAGCACAACCCCATCTCCCCTCTGACAAGCGCAGGCTCCTCTCGCCCATGGAACAGCAGGCTGGTTCTTTGGGTGCTGGGGGTGCTCAGAACAAGCCCAAGTCAGAGGTGTCGTTGATGGCGACTATGATTGGCAAGGATATCCATGCCACTTCGAAAAAGCTGGAGAAGCTCGCCAGATGTATGTTCACAAGACAAGAGAAACTGAGCATTTAACGCAGTCAACAGTTAAACTAGGCATTGTCCTTTGTGCCAAGCTGAGCATGCAAGCAACCGGTGAAACACTGAACTAACGTTCCTTGTTCTATTCTCTTTGTTGAACTGTGTAGTGGCCAAGCGCAAGACCCTGTTCGACGATAGACCAGTAGAGATCAGCGTATGGACCTAAGGAGCAACCTGAAAGGCGCCTCTTTGTTTTACGTTTGAAGCACAACTTTGGAGACCAACCATCTAGCCAAGCAAAGGACGGACAAAATAGCAAACTAACGCCCGCATACCCTGCTTTTCAATCTCATCTGAATTAATAGGAACTCATGCACATCATCAAACTGGATATCGCCAAGCTGAACAAACAGATCGCCCAACTACAGAGCGTGGTCAAGGAGCTCAACGCCAAATCGCCCCACAACTGCCGACAGGCCATGGAACATAACTGCAATGTTGTGGTCTTGCTCCAATCACGACTTGCAGCACAGACATCTACCTTCAAGGACGTCCTGGAACTCCGTACTGAGAACATGAAGGCTACCAAGGATAGGCGTGAGCAGTTTATGTTTACAGCACAGCAACAAAGCAATACCTTTGCCAGTATGTGACCTTCCCCTGCAGGAAGCCGGCGTTTTGTCGACTATAGCTATTGCTTTTGCCAATGAGACGACTGCTGACCCACTTTTCGTTTCTTTTATGACGTTCTATAGGTGACTCTCCACTCTATAACATTGACAGGCGACCAAACTCGAGCACCAACCCACCTAAGGATATCTTGTCACTGGATCTGCCAACACCATCTCAAAACCTTCAACAACAGGAGCAGGTGCAGCTAGTGGACGCCAACAACCAGTACATGGAGAGTCGATCTACCGCCATCGAGTCGATCGAATCAACTCTGCATGAACTTGGAGGCATCTTTCAGCAACTGGCCCAGATGGTCTCTGAGCAACGAGACATGGTTCAAAGGTGAGTTGCACATGCGCATGGATCGTCAAAACAAGCATATGTGTGATAATTGGGAGCACTTGTTCAAAGTGACAGGATCGTATTCAGCTGTCAGCCATTCTCTTGTTTTTTGCTAATGTAATGCCTGCTCTCTTTTTTACATAGAATTGACGCCAACACGGATGATATCGAGTCGAATGTAACAGGAGCACAGACGGAACTGTTGAAATACTACAGCTATGTGTCGTCGAATCGTTGGCTGATGGTCAAGGTCTTTGCGGTCATTATTTCCTCTGCAGTGACCCTTTCCGTGCTGTCCTGAGCAAAAGGAAAAAAACAACAACACATCAACACACTTCAACAACATGTAATACTTTCTAATGAATACGAAAACAAGCACAACAAAACCAAGCAAACGACATCAACAACAAAACAACAAACCATAACCAAAACTCTTTTTACTCCATCTGATGAAATAAAAATGACAATGCTCGATACCCTTAGACGTTTTGTGGCAAGGCCTTGTGTACCCAACTTTCAATGCGATTTCACAATTGAGACAAGTATGCGGCGTTCAAAAATAAATAAAAGAGGTGCGCGAAACCGAGAAGCCCGAAGATCAGGCGGCGATAAGGATGGATAGTTGATGGTTCGTGCCAGTCCGTTCGCCTGAATTGAACCCGTTGGACGACCGCTTACTCGATTTTTGTTTTCTCTTTTGCCACAGCTGTCACCACCACCAACCCGTGGCTTTCTTCTGCTTTGGACGCTGTTTGATAATGCCTTAATACCACCTAGAGGTACAAGACGTAGATGTATATTTGAATTACTTCGTCATATAACTGGTCTCTTAGATGTCACTTAGCACCTCACCCCTTTTTTTTTCTTTCATTGTTTGCGGTTTAACGTGTAAAAGCGTGTATCTGATCTAAAGCAAAGAAGGCCCCTTCTCTCTCCGGCCTAGGGTGACACCTTGGTAGTGGACGAGACTTCCTGGCGGCGATAGGGATTTGTCATTAACTATGTCGTCAATGTCTTGAGTGTCGCTGGAATAGGCTGAGGTTTATGGTTACCGATGATCAGGTCCTGAGTTCATTCTCTTTCCTTCCTTCAACATTGCCGTTGCGTTTTGTCCACTTGGAAACGTAAATCACACCTCAAACCCGTGTTCATGGACTACAGCTGTGGATGCACTTGTCCAAAGAACACAAGATGTGTGAGCCCCAGTTCCAGAAGCTCCTCCATGGCCAGATCCCTAAGTCAACGCCTGAAGAAGGCGTCGGCGTCATTTGCATTTTTCTTTTACGTGCTGCTCTATGAAAACGCGCAGGCATAGTCCAAAAAAAAAGTCTCCTTTCTCAGAAGCTATCTGGGTTTGTTTATCCGCGCACCATCCTCCAAGGTATAACCTTTTCTTCCCGGTAACTTCTCCATTGTCGTGCGCAGTAGCAGCATGTGTTCAAGCAGTTGTGTAGTAACAGGGTATTTCCGAAAAAAAAAAAAAAAAAAAATAGCAAGAAATGCTGAGCACGAGAGATATAAAGGTACATGGTCCAGGCGTGCCCAATATCTCGGGCTGATGTAACGTTAAGAGAGCCAGGGTGCGCAGCACGCGATTTTTTTTTTTGTTAAGCGGCGTGTCTTCATCTGCATCCATGGACTCGAACAACATCGAACAAAACAATTCAAAATGATCCCGTCTCTCTCCTGCCTCTAATCGATTGCTTTAGTCAGCACGACAGAACACAGGACCTGTCTTCTGTTTTCTAGGTCATGTTTATTCGCAGTGGCAAAGGCAATCAAGAATAAACATCAATGTCTAAATGTCTATCGCAAAACAAAATGAAATAAATAAAAGGGCGGCTCCCCGCCGTCTTTTCTCTCTAACCAACAAACATCTTCCTTCTCAATTTACACCAAGAACCATTACCAAGAACCTTTTCTCAAACTCCAAAACCATCCAGACCTCCTCCCTTTCCACAATGACCGTCCCCAAGCTCACCTTCTACAACAGCATTGCCTGCCCCTACGCCAACCGTGTCCAGATCGCCCTCCACGAGACCCAGCAAGAACACGAGCTCGTCGACATTGATCTCAAGATCCCTCGCCCCGAGTACTACCTCAAGGAAGTCAATCCCTATGGCGAGGTCCCTGCCCTCAAGACTGCCGATGGCAATATCATTCTCGAGTCGCTCGTCATTGCCGAGTATATTGCGGACAGTAATCTTGATGCCATGTAAGAACGGTATATCCATGCACGCAGCGCCTTCAGTCTCGCGTTCTTCCTATACTCCTACTTGCCCAAACATCAGAGCTAACACGCTGCGCTCATATATTTTTTTTTTGTCAAAATCTAATTTAGCCTTTTGTCAAAGGACCCTCTCCAGCGCGCCCAATCGCGCTACCTGATCCAACACTGGACGAGCCGCACCCAACCCGCCATTGCAAAAGCAAGCTTGGCCCTTGACTCGCCCGCCGAAGAAGCAAAAGCCCTCGACCTCGCAGAAGCCGAACTCGAAAAGATCGATGCCCTCCTGCGCAAGGTCAACATCACCAAGGAGGGACCCTACTTCTTGGGCGCCCAATTCTCATATGCAGATTTGGCACTCGCCCCCTTTCTTGCCCGTGGGTACCTGTTGACGGCTTTCCATGAAGAGTCGGTCCAGAAGGCCTGGGATGAGCGTCTGAAGGCCAACAAGAATGTCCAGCGGTTCTTGACTTGGCGCCAGGCTGTGGTCGAGAGACCTAGTGTCCTGAAGTCGACTCCTTCCAAGGAGGTTGTGCTGGATGCTTACAGCACTAAGTTCCTCAAGAACAGACTCTAAAAAAACGATACATTCGTAGATCTCAAAAGCGAAAATCTCTTTACTCCTGCGCCATGTATGGTAGTCATAGCAGCCCAAAATAATAAATGTCTAGTCTAAATAATGCCGAAAAGATATGGTGTGTAATATGATATTGCTGTGGAGTGAGCGCGGGCTGGGATTTATTACTTGTATGTGTTTTGTGGGGCACCCAGTCGACTCTTCATTCTAGCACAGCATCAAGAATGTCGCGGTTCAGGTTAGAGTGCATCCGTGGTAAACCGTCCTCGTCCAGGTCAGCGTCGTCTTCAGGCACTTCCTCTCCCTCTTCCTCGTCGTCCAGATCCGGTAAGGGAAAGTTCAAGATTGCTGCCACTCCGGTCAACTGGTTCAGATCTAATTAATGCAGGAGAGAGAGGTTAGATCATCATATCTTGTGCTCACGAAAACAATAACCCGCTAACACAAATGGGCATCCAGCAGTGACCCGAAACTTACTCTCGCCTGAGACGTGAAGACTAGAGAACACAAAGACTTTGCCGCCTGACGCACGTGCGCTCTCGACAAGAGCAATGTACTGTCGCCTCTTAACCACATCCGCAGCTCTGAAAAGTTCATCCGTGACCAACAGTGTACCAATGGCACCTCGCTCAGCTGCTTTTGAGACATCTTTGAATCCGTAAAATGCCCTGTCGGGATCCATGTTCATCATCTCGTAGAACTGGTCGAGCGCCTGTACTTCCTGCGCAGCCTTGGTATCTGCCAGCTTGATTTTGATGGCTGGGTCGTTCATCACCTCCTGAAGCGCCTGCTTGTGTCCTGTGGATGTGTGTACCGCGATGAACTTGGACCTGTTATGCATGATCGTCTTGTTGTCCGTCCTCTGTTGGTTCAATCATCAGAGAAAAGAAACTTATCAGCAACTTCTTTCTTTCCCCTTTTGTAACATTCATTTCTGGAACAGGTGCGATACATACCACTGCCTCTGCGAAAATATAGTCGTAGAGCTGCTCTCGCACAAATCCTGGACTTCCAAGAATGACGCACTTGACAATATCAAAGTCAATGTGTCGAAGAATCGCCTGGTAGATCTGCTCAAAGAACCGCTTCAACCCCTACATCAGTTATATCCAGTGCCGAGGAGGAGAATTAGTAACAGAACTTGAGCAAAGCGCTGATACCATTATAGTTGGCCGCAATCTGAAAAGTAATGATAAAGTACCTTCTCGTAGTTGGTGACGGAGCCCTTGCGTTTCCTTGGTACTGGACAGTCGATATGTTGGCGAATGATGGTCATACTTGACGTCAACAAGCAGATATTGGCGAGTCCTTCCTGACAGACTACGGCGGCGACATCGGCTTTCTTGGTAACGTCACAGGCCTCCTGAACTCTCTCCAGTGCAATGACGTCCCATTCTGGCTTGATCAGCGTGAAGCTGCGGTTCATCTCCAGGTCGATCGTATGAAATGTTCCCAGCTATGAGACAAAAGAATGACGTCGTTAGTGTCTTCCGGAAAGCTCGGATCGAACCAAAAAAATGAATAGGCTGGTTATTCCTCTCGGACTCCCAAATAGATTCAAAGTTGGGAGGAGCTGCGGCAATACCTTGACATGAGGGTTCTCCACGATGACTCGCCCACCTATCCTCAACATGCCGACTTGCGTGTCAAAGTCTACATTGTCGACTGAAATGCTGAGAGTCAGTCTTATCCGCTGGCTGTCGACGGATCCCGTTGTACTTTCGGATTGGATACGGCTGTTATCGATAAATGTAGATATAAAAGGAGGGCCAAGAAGTACAAAGGTGAGTGATAGTGCCATTGCAATAGACATACGAGGAGGTAATAGATGACTCTATGAGGAGGCGCAGTCATGAGCAGCATTTCCCATTAACCGCACAACGCACAAAGAAAGGGCGAGAATTTAGAGAGGGAGGAGAGGCAGAGAGGGAGAGGGAGCGAGTGCGAAAGACACGTACCGAATAGTGACGGCGCGGAGTTGATCGTATTTTTGAATGAGGTTGTAGACGTGCCACATGTCTTCGAACTCTTCGGGAATGAGAGTGACATATCCGGACTTGTCCTTTTCGATGAATTGTTTCACGAGTTTCATCCTGCTTTCGTGTTCCGGAGTTGTTCGTGGAAAAAAAAGTTGGGTGAAGAAGGTTGGAGGGGTTGGTGGTTGAAAATAAAGGGTGAGAGGAAAAAGAAAGAAAAAAAAAGTAGGCGAGGCGAAAAGTCACGCTCTGACAGAACAGAAGTCCGAGTTGCAACAGTAGTTGCATGTGAAATTAATACAGTGACGCTAACATTTCGCATGATATTAGCGAAGGAGATCACCGCGCCTTCTTCGTCAACTTTCAGGACCACACCGCACACATCATCACAAGAATGGCGAAGGAGTAAGTCTTCAGCATCGCTCTATGCAGTACGAGGCAGATAGAAACAAGCATACGGAACGACTTTATTCGTCAAATAACGGACGAAAGTGCAGGCTTGCTAATCGCTTGTTTATTGTTTTGATTCGCATAGTACTGAAATGGCCTCACGCAGTCCAAGCCCAGCAGCTGGAGCTTCAGCAGATAACAACAAGGCGGACAAGGGTGCGTCCAACAACGACAACGACAACAATGACAGACAAGAGAGTCGACAGGATGCAGGAAAGACGAGACAGGGGTCGCGTTCTCGCTCACGTTCCCGCTCACCCACACGTTCTCACTCACGCTCAGGAACACCTAGACCCAGGAGATCGTTATCCCGCTCACGTTCGCGCTCTCGTTCGCTTTCGCACTCTCGATCTCGATCGCGCAGTCGTTCTTACTCCAGATCACTCTCGCCACTGCCAAGGAAGGGCTCACAGAACAGGTCCCTGTCCAGAGGCAGGTCCATGTCTCGATCCAGATCCCGCTCTTGGGGTCGCTCTCGTTCTCCCGACCGCCGATCACGGTCGCCTCGCCGCGACTCTCGTCCCCGTTCTGCGAATGTAGAGCCACTTGTGGTCACCACCATAACAGTCGGCAACCTGACAAAGAATGTGAACGAGGGACATATCAAGGAGATCTTTGGTGCCTATGGAAAGATCAAGTCAATCCACTTTCCAATGAACGCTCGTTGTAAGTCTTGTGACACCAACCATTATTATGAACTCGAAAGTTCGATTTTTATGTTCATTGTTTGATGCGTTATGATACTGCTGTGCTGATACCCTTGCCTTTACTTTCGTTATTTAGACAATTTCAACATGGGATTCGCAGATGTCGAGTATGAGACACGTGAGGAGGCACAGCTGGCATTAGACGGATGGAACGGAGGACAACTGGATGGAGAGGTTGTGGAAGTGATGTTCACCAAAAAGGTTCCCAAACCCGTTCAGCCTGCAAGACCTGTTCGCCCAAGAGTACCACTTTCTCCACCTCGCCGTGGCGGCCGGGCGCGTAGTCCTCCTCGCCGACGCAACGAAGGTACATGTTCATTTTGAGTCGCTTTTGTTTCGATGGCCAGAATATCGTGGTGATTGCACCTCTGAAGCTAACATTTTATTAATGTTGACGATGGACTTTTATGGAACTAGGACATTACTCACCACCTCGCCGTGGTGGATATGATGTGCCTCCGCCTGGCAGAAGAGACGATTTCTATGCACCACCTCCACCGATGGGCCGTCGCAGGAACGACTTTTCTCCTCCACCCTACGGCCGCCGCCCTCCACTTCCTGCCAGCTACGGACCCCCTCCTCCTCGCGTTCGTGGAGCCAATGCAGCACCTCTTCGTCCTCGCGCTGCCAGACGTGGACGCTCTCCTTCTCCCATTCGAGGACGTCGCAGATCGTTCAGCCGCTCGTTCTCCAGATCGCCAGTTCGTGGACGAAAGAGATCGCGTTCATTCAGCTCATATGGATCAAGGAGTCGCAGCCGAAGCAGGAACACCCGTCGTAGAGAATATAGCTACAGCAGAAGTCGCTCACCTCGTGCGAATGCAGGTAAAGGAGGAGCAGCAGGAGCAGCACCAGTGGCACCAGCTGCAGCAGGAAGTGCTGGTAAGGGTGGAAGGAGCATGAGCAGAAGCATTAGCCGAAGCAGGAGTCGTGGACGTGGACCTGCACCAGTGGGAGGCCGTCGTTCATGGTCTCGCAGTTTGAGTCGGTCACGAAGCCCTCTGAGGAATATGAGCAGGAGCCGGTCCCCTCGAAGCCGGAGCAGAAGTCCATTCTCTGACCGTGGAGGCCGTGGAGGCCGTCGCGGGCGACCTATGAGCCGATCAATTTCCCCTCCCCGCCGTCGCAGATAGTTTAAATAATGAAGGCATACGAAAACAATGGAGGAAGAGTTGAAGTTGGCATGATTTTTTTTTTGAGTGGCCACAACAAACAGCAACAAAAAAAAATAGTACAATAATACAGGACATTTTTGAAATTCGCAGTGAGCGATGACGGGTAATTGCAAGGAATAGGTCCAAATACGATCCGGGTAAGAAAGGGAGAAAGGGTTTGGTAGGTTGACACAGACTTGGCAGGGACGGATTCCGTGCCAACAGGGTGTTCAGACAACAAACGGTTAGACAACTGTCTGACAGCAGCAGCAGAGAGCACAATTGTTCGCATTTACGGAAAAAAAAAGAGACGAGGGGAGAAAATCTTGTTGGAAGGGTTGGAAGCTTCCATTTTTTTATTAGTGTTTGGGTGAGTGAGAGCAACTCTCTCTACAACGTACGCAGGTTGTGGGTTGGGCAGCTGGCTCAGTTTTTCCTTTTTGATCGCAGAGGGGGGTCTCGACCTGAGGGGGGAGGGAGGGACTGACACCTGGACAGAGAGGTACCTTCACAGGCACGATTGTTATCTTGTGTGTGTGTGTGCGTATCTATGGTCTCTTACCCCTCCTTTCTTTTCTAATGCTTCATTTCTTTCCATCGTCGATGATGAGCCTGGTTGATTGAACAAACGAACACACTTGTTTTTCCTCCTCTAATACCTCCTATTCCCTATCCCCCCTCCTCCTACTCTGCCACTCACTCCTTGATCGCTGATAACTATTATTATTTGCTCAGTCAGTCAGGGGTTGAATGAAGGATGTTGGTGGTTGATGTTCATCCGTCAAGTCCGTTGTCATTATTTTTTGAGTTTTGCCGGGGAATATTATCTTTTTTTTCTTTTTCTTTTTCTTTTTTGGTGTGGCTCTGTCCATGGCTTTCATTTAGTTTTCTCTTCTTCTGCATCAATTTTTCTTTCCTTTCCTTTCCTTCGCTTCCTTCTTTTTTATTCCTTTTCTTCATCTTCATTTTCCTCCTCCCGTCTCTACCCTATCCTATCCTTCTCTCCCTCCTTCATTCAATTGCCATACCACATACCATCCAATCCTCTCCCTAACATCATCGACACCCGATCAACCAACCAAAGCAACCAAAGCTAACAAACAAAACAATCATATCAAAGCATACCTTCTTCCTCCATTGATGGATAACGACAACACCAACGACAGTTTCAACTCGCGCCCATTGACAAGCGATAACAACAGCAACAACAACAACCCACACGACACACACCTCAGACCCTCATCATCGAACCCTTCGGAGTTTTATTCAGAGTCGATAGCGGATGCACACTTTAGCCCAATAACCGTGGCAGGCTCACGCCCAAGCTCAGCTTCAGGCACATCAGAGGCTGACCATTCAACTGCTCAGTCAACAGCTGCCACAAACACCATCATTCCCATCGACTCACTCGCCATCGCGTCCCCACCATCCTCCTCCTCTTCAGCCAACTCACGGCCGAAAAAGGTTGCTAAAAGAGGTGCACAAACGGGCTCGACTTTTACTTTCACATCCATATCTGCCGGCGCCAACACGCAGGGAGTTTCGGCTTCTGATTTGACGATATCAACAGCTACTAGTACAACGGCAATGGCGGCGACAGTGCCAGTGGAACTAGCAGCAGCTTCAGCAGTAACATCATCAATACCCACGAATACTGCCACGGCGGCGGTCAGCCGGTCGATAAGGTCGGGTCGTCACAACCGAGGCGAGCGAATGACGTTTGAGCTGGATGATGTTTTGCGGGAATACACCCCTGACCAATTCAAGACGTGCAAGGCCTACGATGTCGGGGGTGTCAACATCCTGAACAAGAAGCCCGTCGATTCCAAGACGGCCCTCGACAAGATCAAGCGACGGAGGGAGACTCACAACCGAGTCGAGCGGCGACGCAGGGATTGTATCAACCAAGTAAGCTATCTTTAACAAGCCTTTTTGTTAAATGTCTCCTTTTTTTAACCAGGTATGCGCACTGCTGGTGAAAACTTAATGCATGCACTCACACGTTTTTTATCGCTCCCACAGCTGATAGATGAACTCACGGCTTTACTACCCAAGGAGGACGACAATGATATTTCCAAATCTCATCGGGTCAACATTCTTCGCACAGCGATTGCACACATTCAGAACCTCACGCGGCAGAACGAGAATCTTCAACAACAGGTCGACGCCCTCAAAGCTGGACAACCCATGCCCCCACCCGCAATCATCACCACTCTTGCACCGATGATGGACTATGACGACTCGGAAACGGCCTACAGCGACAATTTACCTAGCCCGGGATCTGCATCCTACTCGGCGTATTCTCCCAGGTCACCCTTGTCGCCGTCTGTCAGCGCAGCAGCAGGAGGAGCGTATTCACCGCTGTCAAGTCCTGGTGGGCCTTTGAGTCCCTATCACCCTTTGAACCCCTCAGCGGGTCATGGAAGAGGCACTTATCAGGATTGGACTCAACCATCGGGACAACTGAACTCTTCATTTGGAGAACAATCAACTTCATACTCAAATGAGACGATGGCATCGACAACAGCTCCTATGCCGGATATACCCATGATTGTGGAACCTTCAGAGCATGTTTCGACACCAGAATCAGGGTCTTTGGGCACGGGTTCCAAGCGGCTGAACCGACAGACCCTGCCGCGGCTTCAATTGGCCCCACCGCCTTTCCATCAGCATTCACAGCACCACAACCATCACCAGCAACAACAACCGCAGGGGTATTACCAGCAACAGCACCATGGATACCAACAGCAGCACTACCACGACCAGAGTCATCACCCCCGCCGTAGTCGGTCCAACAGCGGAGGCGGATACCCACAATCGCCATCATACTATGGCCACGACTCTGCATCTGCGACCTCGCCCAACTCGACATACTCGGACTTTTCGTCGTCCACAGGACCTTGGTCATCCTCTTCTGGTGGACCATATTCAGCCGGACAGGGTGGTGGAAGAGGAGGTGGACCAGAGTCAAGTACATCGTCGTCGTTTGATACAAGTCCGCGCTCACCTCATTTCTCAAACTATGGACCACCTTCACCGTATTCACCGTATGGACCCAGCTCTGCGCATGCTCAAATGTCTCCGTCACCTGGTCTTGCTCCCTGGAATGCAATTCCCTCTTCATCACAGTCTGTGCCGCACCCGTCAGGAGGGCCGATGCAGGATCACCCTTCTTCTCCTCATCCTTGAGCGGTGTTTTTTTTCTGGACACAAGAGCGTAATATCAACTTCGGCGACATTAATTCGCTCATTACGATAGTTTTCCCCAATAGACGTAGCTGTTCTTGTGTTCATTTAAAAAAAAGAAGCCGCATCATTGCACTCCATATTTGACGCGTCTTAGCAGGAGCAAGTCACAATATGATTTTTTTCCCTCCTTGTCTCTTTAAGTCTATTTGCGCCTTTTGTTTCTGTTTAGCCATTCATCACATCAATGCTTCGCGCCATCACTCACTCAGGAACAAGGACTGCAGCAGGAGGACCTGGCTTCCTCACCAACGCACTGCGTCTTGCCGTGTCATCACCACTACCCAGACAGGCATCCGTGAGAACATGGACAAGCATTCCTACCACAACCATTAGTCACGACCATGCACCCATTGTTTCTGGATTCCGGTCCTGTCAACGCATGAGTGCAACTACTCGGGTCCTTCAGTCCTCCCTTCTAGCCTCTTCCGCGTCGCGTGGCCTTTTCACCGCCACCACTGGTTCAAAGGTAGTAGCAGGAGCAACAGTAACAGCAGGAAGAGTTATGACAGGACAAGTCCGTCGTCTCACCTTCCAAGAACTCCAACACCAACAGTACATCCGCAGCTTCAGCACCAGCGGTCTCAGAAACAGCAGAAACGCACTCACAAGGGTCGCCGGAAACTTCACCATCGACTCGTCCAACAAGGTTGTCTACACGATCCTTGCCATCAACGTCACCGTCTTTGGAATCTGGCAGTACGCCGAGGGGAACGCGAGGCGGTTCAATGATGGGCGATTGTACATGTTTATGTTTCGTCATTTCACGGATTCGTTGCAGAATTTGAAGGAAGGGAGAGTTTGGACGTTGGTGACGAGTGCGTTCAGTCATAAGGAGTGGTATCATATTCTTTTGAATACCATGGTCCTCCTTTCCTTTGGCGATCCTGTAAGTGTCCATTTTTGTTATTTATTTCGAACTGTGTATGAGGAGAGGCTTATTTCTGAGACGTTCGGCGACAATTTACAAGGTGGTCCGATTAGAGTCTCATTCCTTGGCATGTCCATATCTCCTATCCTCAATTCAATTCCCTAGGTGTGGCGATTGCTAGGAACGAGGAAGTTCCTGGCAGTATACCTGGGCTCGGCGATCACAGCCTCCCTCTCGAGCATAGTCTACTACGCAAACCTGGAACCCTACCTCCGCAGGATGCAACACAAACCTCCCAGCAACTCAATTCATTACTCCATGGGCGCATCTGGATCCATAATGGGGATCACGACTGCCTTTGCGTGTGTCTATCCCATGTCCCAATACTCCTTGTTCTTTGTCATCACCATGCCTGCCGCCGCTCTTATCGGTTCGTTTTATTTACATTTTTTTTCTTTTTTTCTTGGAATTGGCGTTGGTGTAGTGGATGATTGATCGTTGAGATGAAATATTTAGTCCGCAGGCTGTGAAGGGCTGAAGAAAGAGATATGTGTACTGACCATCCCAGTTTATTATCTCAATGATCGTTGTACTTTTTGTGATGTTTAGGTCTCTTTGGCGTGTATGAGCTGTACAATGTCCTCGCCGCCAATGTAAGTCTTTGCTATTGTTTTTCTAGAACACCACATATCAGGATTCTTTTTTTTTCGATCAATCTCAGTCTCCTAGTATCCAACTCCCCCCCCCCAGTCTCTAGCACCATATCACCAGCCCTGCTTCTCCATTGTCATCCTCAACCCTCCAGAGGGGATCCCAGCCCAAGACAGGACATTAACACACCTCTTATTCTCTTTATAACGAACGGTACTTAGACGGGTCGATTTGATTCCGCTGGACATCTAGGAGGCGGGCTGTTTGGAGCCGCGTACTATTTTACAAAACTTCGGCCTCTTATCCGTCGGTAGAAGGATCCGAAAGAAACAATAGAAACAAAGCAATCATTTTCTCACACGTAGAATAAACCGATAAAAGGAAAAAAAAAAAAAAGGGGGGGGCTGTTCCCCTTTTTTTTTCTGAAACTTTGAAACTCTAAACCGGTCGATTTTCAACATCTCAGCGTCCGCTGATATGGTGTCATTGAGCAGGGATGCGATGCAGGGAAGTGGGTAGGAGGGAAAAATAGACGAGACACAAAGCCAGCTTTTTTGGCGTATGTTTGTATGTTTGGCATTGTATTTTGGTACATGGGTTTAGTTCTGAAAAGGTGGTACTCGATGGTTTCAATAATGAGGGTGTGTGCCTTGGTGCACAAGGTCTTTGTTATTTGAATATGTGGGTGAATGGGTGGCCAAATGGCCGATGCTAAGTAAAGGTGATGCTACATAAATGAATTGAAAAGAAAAGCGCAAAAGAAAAACTAAACAAGAGAAATCGTAAACAAATGTAAAGTAAACGTAAAAGAGTAAAGTAAAGGGAAATCATAGAGAGTAGAGAAGGCGGAGAGAGAGAGAAAGATGTGCAGAGAGAAGAAAGGAAAAAAGAGTGCTACAAAAAATTACATGATGGTGCAGCTACCATCCTTGGGTCCACGGTTACGACCATTCTTCATGCGCTTGATGCTGTTCTTGTGACCGAGGGGCGTAAACTTTGCCGAATGCTCCTCCAGACGCTTCTTGGCATCCTTGTTTCCGTTCTCGGCAGCACGCTTATAGAACTCCATGGCCTTCTCGAGATCGATGGGGATCGAGATACCGACCTCGTGGTAGTAGCCCATGGCATACTGAGCCTTGGGTAAGTTCAAGTCTGCAGCCTTGGAAGCATAATGGAACGCCAAGCGGTCATCGGCCGCAAAATAGTTATCAGCACCCGAAAGGTACCATCCACTGAGCGCCATCTCCGCCTCGCCATTACCATCGCCGCCCATGACCGCACGCTCGTAATGTTGGATCGACGAGAAGGGATCGATGGGACAGCCGAGGGACCCGTATTCGTAGCAGTAGCCGAGTTTGTAGTTTGCAGGACCGTAGCCGAGTTGGGCAGATTTCCGGAACCATTCCAGAGCCTCGCCATCGTCGGGGAAGGAGATGTCGTCGGGGATCTTGAGCTGGTCGCCGTAGTCCCGAGAGAGAATCAGGCCGAGGACGTAGGGTGCCATGGGTGCTGCCTCGGTGGCAAGGGACGCTGCACGCTTGAGGTATTGAAGTCCTGCCTTCATGTTCTGTGATTGACTGAGATGTCCGTGCAAGTACACCATTGCCAAACGCTATAAATGAACAAAATGAAAAGTAAGGGTTAGCACAGCATTCGTCAGCAAATGAACAATGAAAAAGAAGACAAGAAATACATACGTGATTGGCAGGGACGTCGTTGTGGATGGCAGCCTTCTTGTAGAGCATGACGGCCTTGTTGTTATCCTTCTTCTTCTCACAGAAGTAAGCGACCTTGTAATGTGCTGGACCGTAATCTCCCTTGGAGGCGGACTGGTACCACCGAAGAGCCTTGTCCGCATTCTTCTTGGTCAAGTACATACCCTCCTCGTACCAGGTTCCACGGATGAATTGAGCCTCAGGGTGGCCCTCCTTGGCCAGACGGTCGATCCAGTAGACTCCCTCAAGGATCAATTGCTTCTTGCCCGTCTTGGGGTCCTGAGGTCCAGTGGCGGGACTCGAAGGAGCGCTCGAGGGGGGTGAGTTGTTGGATCCGACCGACGAGGGACGAGGAGGAAGTGCAGCGGCGGGGTCGGTATTGTTGTTGTTGTTCTCCCCAACCACAGGCTCATAGGTAGATGAAGGATCACCAATCTCGAGCAAGTACTTTGCAAAGGACAGCTGGATCGAGGCATCGTTGGTCTTGATGGCAGTGTCACGGTACTTTGCCAAGATAGCAGCATCAGTCAAGAGCGAGACAGACATGCCAACAGAGGATGGCTTGGAGTTGAGCGATCCACGGGAAGAAGAAGCGGTGCTACCACGATAGTGGTCAAGGTTCATACGGGGAGGGGTAAGGGTTCCATAGGCATCGAGGGTTTCGCTTGCGGACCAGGACTTGCGGTAGGATTTCCGATTGTTGATATGAGCAGCAGCTGTTCCTGCTGTGCTACTGTCGAAATGCGACGCGTCGGTCATCTCAGACGCGCCTGCTGGAAATAGCGTGCATTTGATAAGAAAAAGATAAAAAGTGGGTCAATTTAAAGTCGAGTAAAGTAATAATGGAAAAGGAAAAATAAAGACGCAATATTTTTTTTTAAAAAAGGTACAGAGGCTATTTCAGGACAGACAATTGCTTGTTTCTTAATTTCTCTCTTTCCTTTCCTTACCTTGGAAAGAAGGCGTCGAGTTGTGGTGTTGGTGGTGCTGGTAAGGAAAGTGCCCTTGTTGTTGCTGTTGATGGTATGAAAGGCGCTGCTGCTGATACTGTTGTTGCCTTGGGCCGGGGTCTGTCTGGGCGTGGTGCATAGGATAGTGCTGTTGCTGCTGGTACTGCTGGTGCTGATGTTGTTGCTGGGAGACGTGCTGGATATAGTCCGCCGAGGCTTCGGGCCCAGGTGAATCAGTGTAAATTGCTCCGCTCGGAGTTGTCATAGTCATGCCTCGTGGTTGTGGCCCCGCCTGAGACAAGGATGGAGACGAAGGCGACGAAGGCCGAGGGCCAGCTGGACCAGAGGGAGGGCCGCCGATAACAGGCGGGGGAAGAGGGGGCATCATCATCATGCCTGGGTGATAGCGCTCGATCGGAGAAGCCGGTGTGTCAATAAGAGCAGCCCAGTCCTCAGACTTTTGAGGCACAGGAATTATGCTTAACGGACGTTGTGGGTAGCCAGGATGGTGATGTGATGGCGGGTGAGGTCCGTCGTAGAGCTGGTATCCACCCTCATTAGATGAAAAGGAGGATTGAGAGGAGGTGGACATACGAGAGGGGGAGGGGGCACCGTCGCTGAGAGAGGCCCTCGAGTGAGGAGTATTATCGCCACTGACAGTGTTGGCTGTGTGAGAGATGGGTGGGGTCATAAGTTGGTGGTATTGTTGGCCAATGGTCTGTTGTTCATTGTCAGAGATGGTGATGGTGTCTATTGAAACTTCCACGGAAGGTTGTGATTGATGTTGTTGTTGTTGGTTGTCGATGATGGTATCGGAGAGGAGTGGGGGTGGGGATGGGAGTGACATGGTAGGAATGGTATAAGAGTCGTTGGTGTTACGATAGGGAGTGATAGTGGTGGGTGTAGAAAATTGTTCGGGTTGTTGTTGTTGTTGAGGGATTGGAGAAGAAAAGGAAGAAGAAAAAGAAGAGAAAGAAGAAGAAGAAGAAAAGAAAGAGGGGAGGACGGGTCCTTTTGAAGTTGCGGCAAAGTCGACAGAGATTTGGGAGGCTGAGGTTGCTGAGTTGGGCGCGGTTGGTGATGACAATACGGGCGCGGTTGATGTGGTGTGTCCTTTTTGTTTTGCTGCGTCTGCTTCTGCCATGGTTGAGATGTGGCCCGAGGGTGGAGACGAGACAGTCTGGGCTGTCGCAGCGGTGACAACGATAGCAGAAGGTTTGCCTTGGGTTGGGAGCACTTGTGGAACGCGAGCAACTACGGAGGAGTTCTCTGGTGAGGAGGGAACAACAACCGCAACCCTGGAAACAGCACCAGAAGAAGATCCACTCGAAAGAAACGACCCCAACTCGTGAGAGAGCGACAAATCGCTCTCGCCGAAAAACCGTAAAGGTGCCAATTGATGTGGTGATAGGGGAGATGGCGAGGGAGACGAAGATGATGACGGAAAGGATAGAGTTGGGGGTGAGGGCTGTTGCCACTTCTGATGGCCGCCAAGAAGACGAGCGCTGGCTGAAGAGTCGACTAGGACAGAAGAGGAAGAAGATGGTCCACCGCTGTGGGTGGCGTAAAAACTCGATCGCTCAGCCTGCTGGGAAGAAGAAGGGGTTCGACCGATCGACTGTCCTGCCACGGGTCTATCATCGAGTGGCAATGCGGGCATGTCCTTGTTAAGGTTGAATGAAAGCGACGAAGAGAGTTGAAGAGAGGGCGAAGATAGCGACAAGGAGGAAATGGATAGAGGCGACGAAGAAGACGAAGTAGAGTTGTTGCCGCCAGCAGCTCCAGCTACGCTTGTTTGATTCTGATCGGAATTGTTGTTGTTGCTGCCATCGCAGGCTGTAGTTGCACAACTGAATTCAGGAGAGCGGGATGCAGCCAACTGATCGGGATTGCGTTGACCCGTTGTGAATGCAGAAGAGTAAGTCATGGTTGGAGAGGGGAGGGAGTAAGAATGAAGGAAGGGGAAGGGGTGGGTGCCAATGGGTGCAGCCGGTACCAAAGGGTTCAAAGGGGGTTCGTCTGCTCCTAGATTTGTTTTGGTTTAAAATAATGAGCTGCAAGCTGATTCTGTAAAGTCAAACCAGTGAGACGGACAAATAGATAGGCAAACAGGCCGAAAAGGAGAAAAGGAAAATAATATAAGGAAAGAGCACGCTCAGTCGACAGTAAGGAAAGAACAAAGAAAAGTGACAATCAGCAATAGCAGCTACAAGACAAAAGGAAGAAAAAGAGTTGCAGATGTCGGCGAATTGTGCAATTGACAAGGAGAAAGGAGGTACATGCAGTACAAGGATTACTCCAAAGAGGTCAAGGGCAAAAGAAAAAGGAACAGGTAACAACAATAGAACAAGAAGCAACAAAGTTTCAATTATGGAAGAACTGGAAAGAACAGACGATCATAAAATAAGAAAATAAGAAAATAAGAAAATAAGAAAATAAGAAATGAAGGGCAAGATAATGGCCTTTGGTGAAGAAACGTGGTCGGATGTCATGCAGATCCACGATCGCTCTTGTTGTTTGGTGTGGATGTATGTATGTATGTATGTATGTATGTATGTATGTATGTGTGTGCAAAGAACTCAAGGAGGGAACGCTATTTTCAGGGACGATGGGAAAAGGACAAAAGACAAAGGGGCAAGGGAGTACAAGACAAACAAAGGATAAATAAAGAATACTATGAAATAAAATAAGAGTAGGGTCGTTGACAATGAGTTGGTGGCAATGAAGGAGTGAATGAGGGAATGAGGGAATGAAGCGGATGGACAAAAGTTGAATGAGGGGGTGAGGGATGAACAATAACAGCACCAAGAAGAGGAAGCGGTGAAGGAATGAAAAGGGAAAAAGTAAAGAGTGAGTAAAGAAAGAAAGGGAAAGAAAGAAAAGAAGAGAGGAGAGTAAATCAAACGAGAGGCGCATTATTATTAATGAGACATTGATGGGCACGCATGACTGTATCTAGGGGGCAGTACAACCGATAAAAAAGAAAACCGATGGTTCCTGAATCCTTTAACAGTATTGATGTGGTTTAAAGAACAATGAGACTTCTCACCACCATCCTCAATCGTCAATGCATCAAGAACAGGTCCATCATCCATGAATCACTCACTCATTGCTGCCAGCCTCCTTCCTCTTCATCCATTCTCTTCTTCTTCTTTTCCTTTCGTCCATCGGCTATAGTCTCCTTCAATACCCTATCACTGCCTCAAAAAAAAAAAAAAAAAAAAAAAAGGGAAAGAATACAAAGGAATAACAACAGAAACAAGAAAGTGGCAAGGGCACCAGCATAATTCCACTGCGTCTCTGTTGCTCCTTTCCGTTTGCCAGCCGGTAGACTTGTCCTTACACTCCCCCCACACACTTGCATGCTCATGAAAACAAACAATCAACAAATCAATGGACCATGCCGTTTGTTGCTTACCTCGCCCTATCCCCAACATTACCCGAGTCACACAAGTCTAGAGTCGACAATGCGAAGCACAGGTCACTCCTCTTTCAAAGTAAACAAACAAACAACAACTTAAGACAGGAGAGAGAGGCAGCGGTGGAGCTCACAGACTACTTACATACACCATCAGAAATAGAGTCGAAACTTAAGTCACTATGAAAACAAGGTAAAAACCAGTGTCGATTTAATTCTATGGATCCACGTAGGTTATCCACTTCTTCCTCTTGGTCCTTATCGCCATTCTCCACCTTTATCCTCCCTTCTCGCTTCCCTTATTCATCCTCCACGTCGTCGTCGTTGTCGTCCTTTGTCTTTCGTTGTTTATCCATATTTTCTTTCGCAGCAAAAAATACTCTCGTCCGGATTCTGTACCCTCGTTTTCTTTCTCGCCTCGTTGTCAAAAATAGATTGCCATCCCCCCTCTTTCTCCCCTAGTCGAAAACTTATTTTTTTTTCAAGCACCGGGCAACTCAGCCGAAAGGGATACAATCATTAGAAAAAAAAAATCCTACAACTGCTCTCTAAAATAACGCCTTCTCCTGTTCTTTCCCTTCTACTCAATGGATCTTGTTTCTTGATTTGTGATCTACCAGCATGTCGGTTGAAGATCAAGGATAGGACGACAAGGTTATAGCATCATATCCCCCATCCATCTCATCAGGTCTAAGGTTACAGGCACAAGTCCTGCTCGTTTGATCCTCAGGTACAAGGTCGTTCGATCCACAGAAAATCAAAAAATGAAACAAATTCCGGTGTTAGTACAAGGCACCTTCTCGGACAAAAATAAAATAAAATGGCCCCTGCTCTCAATTCTTCCGCCCAGCCAGCCAGCCAGCCAGTCCGCGGAAATAAGCAGGCTCGGAAAATGACGAAAAAGGGGTATGAGAGACGAAGGGAAGAAAATATACCGCCGCAGGGGGGGAGAGATTCACCCCCGCAAAGTGCTCTGCGCAGAGACAAGGATATAGAAGGGAGGATATAGAAGGGAAGGATATCGAAGGGGGACTGTTTTCTGCCCAAGAAAAAAAAAGGCACTTTTTCATTACCAAAGGATAGATATGATGAGTGAATTGCTAATTGCATACGTATGGAGTACGCGGCGGAGAGTACTCGATAAAACCCTGCCATCTCATTTTTTTGTCTACTTGCTCATTCATTTTGATCGGCTTGCAGAAAGAAGTACAACCAAAACGGCCTGGGCATCGATCAGCAAAAAACAATGGCCCTCCTTATCGTGTAGGCCTGCTTAGGTACATTTTTCGCTCACGACAATGTAAAAAGTGAAAGTGGGGACCAGCTCTCGCGTGAAACATACTAAAAGGTTTACTACAAATGGTACCTTGGACCATTATATTCTCTCTGCACTAACGAAACGAATACACGAAGATAGTTGAATACGATGGCTTGGAGCACGTATACCGGCAGTCGAAAGCTAATTGGTAAATATTGTCCATTTCAATTCTTTTGCGATGGTTCACAAAACAGGGGTTAGATGACTGACTTTTACGAAAACTGGCTACTACTCCCACCCATTTCAGTTGGCAATCGAGTTGCATTGTTTATTATTCGTAGCTCGAGACAAGAAGCGGCGAAGTCTAGAATCGACTGCGTTTGCTGGACTGGTCATCTGCTGCAGGTTGCGTCGTGTCCCATTTGCTCTTGCGTGGCCTTTGCGCACCACCAGGGGCAACAATGCCACTCGAAGAGGTCGAGGCCATCCCTGAATGTGATCGGACTACCTGTTGACCAGACGGTGGTGGAACAATTGCAACACCTGGAGGGACAGTCGATCCAGTTACAAACTGGATATGTGTTCGGCCCATCGCCTGCTGCTGCGCCAATTTTTCAGACGCTTGCTTCTGAGCTTCGGCTATTTTGATAGAAAGCGAAAGATAAGGAGTTGTGTGCCGCATTCCGAATGCAAGAAAAAGAAAGGGGAAAGACGATATGGGGGATGCAGTTGGTGTTAGTGAACGTCCATGATGATGCGGCAGTAAAGAGGAGTGGATAAATATCGTTGCAAACTTAGATCCAGGTCCATTTTTGGTTATGTGTCAACAAAGTAGAAACAGAAAAAAAAAAACGCTCAGGTCCCTCTTTCGACAAGCGCGTGCTGCAGTGCACCAACGTGGGTCGTCTCATGAACAACGTGCCGCAGTGCCTCTCCTTTCACTCCGGCATGCATATGACTGGATGGGAACTCATTCTATGTTGTTTCCCACAGGAGGCGCAAGTCCTCAACTCTAAACTTTTCAACACTCCAAAAGAAAGAAAAAAAAGCGACTCTTGATGACCGCAAAATCACAAGGACAAACAAACAAAGAGGCAAAGCTAGCACGCAACAAAAGAAACCACCTTTGCTGGAGTACTTACCGATTCCAGTGGCGTAGGACTCGGGTCCATAACCTTCAATGTCGAAAAACTCGCTCTTCGGAAAGTTGGTTCCGATCTCGTTCAACCCTGCAGCCTCGACAAGCGTCTGGTAGATGCGCGGGTTCCGAAAGTTCTTGTTCTTCATCAGAGACTCGTTGAAATGAATTCCGCGCGTCTTGACTTTGTGGAACTGCTCGATCTTGGCCTATTCATAAAAGCAACACATGTATGTTAGCCGTGTTCAACTGACTGATGCATGCACTGGAGTGATAAAAAGGGCACGATTCTCCTCGTGCCACTTTTATCAGAGACACGATATAGACGATATCTGGTATCGGTCTTTTCCTTAATGCCACGAGGCGATAGAGAAAAAGGGACAGTTCGGAGTGTGTGTGTGTGCATATAAGATTGTGTTGTAACCAAGGATCAAGATATTTTGGTTGTTGAGAGCATCGACTTGCAACACTAAAGCCGCTGGACATTTACCTGAACGTCTGGATTGACCTCGCTTTCGGGGCTGGGCGGGATCCCAAAATTCTCAACTCCCGGAATGGGCTTTGGTCTAAGGAGCGCCCTCATCAACGCCGACCGACTTCCATGACCACCTGCCCCTTCCAGGTCCCCATCTGCATGTTCTGAGCCTTTCTCACCATCGTTGTCCTCTTCACGTGCCTCATCGGCGATGGGTACTCTGCTCGTCTGGGGCACCCGCGGACTCCTGCCTGTCGTCGGTGTGTTGAAGACGTCCGATGCCGCGCTGTGATCTGCAGGTAATGGTGTCCCTGATCCTGACCGTATGAATGAAGAGCCATGGACGGGTGTTGAACTACTTTCGGGAGTCACCGCTGCTCCTGTGTCAGATGAGGGCTCTATGTGAATGCTGTCAGAAGATGCCGCCAAGCCCTGCTTGAGTAAGTTTGTTGATGCGAGCTTGTTGAGAGACTCTTGTCCGATAGGTTTCGACTGGACAATTGACCGAGCCGAGATTGTGTCCTGCGGGTTAGGTCTCTCTGACGCTAAGTGGGCGCCGTCAGAAACAAAAAAAACACTGCCGATTATTATTCCGTTCTTGGTAAAGAGATGTGCTCCCGCGTTCCATGCATTCCAGCCGTCCAGTCTTCCAGTCGGACAATTGTATGTGCTCCTTCGTTTCTTCTGTTATCCCGCATTCTTATTCGTTTTGGTATGCATGGGAAAGAAAGGCAATACCGTACCTGAATCCTAACAAGTGAGCAAACAAAGTATAAAAAGCTTGGTTATTATCAGAGATCTTGGGCATGGAAGGCTTCCTTGAAATATCACACGTAACGACTGCTCCCGTGTCTCCCGTCACATACAGAGTCCTTGGCATTTGTAGAGCCCTGTTTCCGTTGAGCATCATCGCTAGGACCTAATCGAAAATAAAAATATACAAGGGTTGTCCGGACAAAAGTTGATCAGCTCACTTGGGCGCTAAAAAGGTGGAGTCATGAGGGGAAACAGATTCAGAGGAACGTGTGTGTGTGACGTTGTAGGGGAGTAGACGTGCCTGATTTAGTTGTTGATGGGGATGGGGCGAGGGTCATCTCCTCGTCTGAGCTGTCCGAGTCTGAGTCCCCGTAGGCGACGAGTCCTATGCCCTTGTTCATTCTGGCGTGTCCTAAGCTTCCTGTCTGTGTGCTTGTTGTTGTTGGTCTGGTAGTTTTGTTCGTGTTCAAACAAAAGGCACACTGTGCCCAGTGCCCGTCTCCCTCATTTCACACAGAAAATGCAGGCACCAAGAGTGAAATGAATTGGGCAAAGCCACCCACAGCCTGCGAAGCAAGTAGTTGCGACACTCTCTGGCAGTACATGCTTCAACGGTGAGGACGACACGTTTGTGCTCACATCATCATCATCTCTATTCACCCAACATCACCAACAACGACAACCACTACAACCAAATGAAGCCGACATCAATACTCAGATACATCGCAGTAAGCGTGTGCCTAGCAACAACGCTGGCCATCTCAATCACCACCAACAAGGACGACGTCGAGGGTTTCTTTACCAAAAGCAAGAGCCAAAGCGGACACACGAACAACTGGGCTGTTCTGGTACGAAGCACAGGAATAGTACTTGCATGCAGCTTGATTCAATGGATACCTTTTGAACAATTGGTCTCATACAAATCACACTTTCAATTCATAGGTGTGCACGTCCAGATTCTGGTTCAACTACCGTCATATCGCCAACACTTTATCTATGTACAGGACAGTGAAGCGACTCGGCATCCCAGACTCGAATATCATCATGATGTTGGCCGACGATGTCGCTTGCAACTCCCGTAACATCTTCCCCGCCACAGTTTACAACAACAGAGGCAGACATCTGGATCTGTATGGCGAGAACGTCGAGGTTGACTACAGAGGATACGAGGTTACCGTCGAGAACTTTATCCGCCTGTTAACAGGTACCGCAATCTGCGCAGCTGTTGGAACCATTGGCGCCTCTTTTCGCGTTCTTGTGCACGATAGCATACCAACTTACACATTTTTCGTGTCAAATCATTCCAATGTTTTAGGACGTGTGGCTAAGGAGACGCCACGGTCAAAGCGCCTTATGACAGACGACCAATCCAACATCTTGATCTTCATGACAGGACATGGAGGCGAGGAGTTTTTGAAGTTTCAAGATGCGGAAGAAATTAGCGCCTACGATCTCGGAGACGCCTTCCAGCAGATGTACGAGAAGAAACGCTACAACGAGATTCTGTTTATGATCGACACTTGCCAGGCCAACACCATGTATACCAAGATCCACTCGCCCAACATTCTCGCCACTGGAAGTAGCAAGCTGAACGAAAGTTCCTACTCGCACCACGACGATCCCGACATTGGAGTAGCCGTGATCGACAGATTCACTTACTACATTCTGGAGGTTCTTGAAAAGGTCAACATGCAGTCGAAAGCCACGCTCAAGGATCTGGTATGAAATCACTCAGGCAGGACGCTTTTGTTTGATTCGTCGTTGATCTGTTCAGGACAGTCATTGGACACAGTACTAACTATGCATGCTTTTATGATCGATGGATAGTTTGACACGTACGACTACAACCTCCTTCAATCGACTCCAGGCGTACGCGACGACCTCTTCGAACGACCCCTGGACGAGGTATGTCGATTGAGATCATTCAAATGGATGCGACGAGACCAATTGAGGCCGACCGTATATCTAACTTCATTTTTTTCCTTTCCTAGGTGCTGCTAACGGACTTTTTTGGCAATGTGCAGAACGTGGAGCTAACAGAGTCCGAGGAGGTCGGCAACTCTTTGACAGAGGCGGATCCTGCATTGGTTGACTCGGAGCCAATGTTTATTGAGGATCCTCAAGCGGAGAACACCTCGAGCCCCAAGCAGTCAGCGTCGTGGAGTCAGGAGCAGAGCCACAACTTTGAGATCGGCAACCCTAACCAGTCGCAAACATGGCGCTTTGCTGCATTCGCTGTCCTGTCAGTCACCATGGGGGGCGCTCTCTTTGTTGGCTCGTCTTTGGTTTAGATGAAAGCTGAATAAAAAACTTGTCGATAATACTTGTACGAATGCAAAATGATATACTTTTATTATGAGAAGGTGCAAAATGAGATGGAGTGGTGATGGATGAGGAGGTGGTTCCTTGTTTACTTGCGCGATTTCGTTGCCTTGATGGCCTATTGAGAACACAGAAGATGATATTGGTTAGTGTCAAGACTTTTTCCATGCAAAAGTGCTGCAAGTTGCCGAAACAACACAGGTAGCAGCAGCAGCAGTTAAATTTCTTACCTTGCGGACGTTCACGAGGTCCTCTCCGTTCTTTCCAACAACTCTGTCCAAAATGCTCATGTTGCCGGCCTTTTCTTTTGAAAGATCTGCTGTGACATTGGGCTCGAACTTGCGCTTGATACCCTTGGGCTTCAAATCTCCTTTGATGGCATCGTCGAACTTTCCAGCACTGGCGGTCGAGTTTTTGCTGATCAAGATCTGGTTCTCGATCTCCTTTCTCTTCATTGAACGGGCGTTATCCATGTTGGGGCGCTCGCCCTTATTGACAGTCTTCTGATCCATCTTTGAAGCGACAGCACCCTCCTCCAAGTTACGCTGGCGACGCTTATCGTTCTTATCGATACGCTCCTTCTTGGCATCTCTCCTAGCCTCGTACTGGTCCTCCATGGGGTTGGTGCCTGAGGGAACCTCGATGACCCAGTCCTTTGATCCATCGTCGTTGATACCCTTGTAACCCCAGCGAGGCTTGTATTCTCCAGTGTTGTCGTCAAAGACCATGCGCTCCTTCTTCCTGTTGACAATGCCCTTGGCCTTGGCGAACTTCTCCCAGCGGGTCTCGGGCTTGGGCTTGGGCAGAGGCTTCTCACGGGGGAGAAGGGTTGTAGGGACAGGGAGCATGGCCATCACACCGTTGTCGTCGGATATCGTTGGAAGCTGGAAGATCTCGTTGAAAAGGAGCTGGGCGTTGTCTCTGGAGAGCGACTGAAGGTATTCATCCTTGTTCTTCCTGTTTCGGTCGATAGTGTAAGAGAGTAGGAGAAGTGCCATTGATAAGTAACTGCCATAGCTCCCTTGTTTACAGCGGGATAAAGGCATAGCTGCAAATTTTGAATATTGTGTATTGTTCCTTACCTGAGCTCTGCTTCGTCGATAGGGTTCTGGTCGTAGGCGGTGAGAAGACCGAGATCAAACTCGAGAGGGATGACCTTTCCCTCTACTGACACGGACTTGAACTTTTGCTTGTGGGCCTCGAGCACTCCTGACACATCCATGGCTGGTTATAAAAGTTGATGGGGTGGGGGAAAAGGGGGGAGAAGGGGAGCAGGTAAGGGATGGAGATGGTACTTCTTTCACTCTTGGCTTTGAAGCAGTGAGGAGGTCTGTTTTCTTTTTTTTTTCTTTTTTTTTGAGACTGCCTTTTTGCTATTGATGTTGATCAACTTGCTTTTACTCTTCTGAACCCCCAGGTCTGACGATCATATCACTTCGGTGACGTGACTTGCACGCCCAGTGTGCTTAACTGGCGATATATTTTTTCAGGATAACAGGAAGAGGCAGAGAGTAGGTTTTGATTTCTCCTTCACATCCCATCTTCACTGCATCCTACCATGCCTTCCAACAAGGAGTTGTCTGCTGCCCTGGACATCGAGGGCTCCGTCCCTATCCACAGCGTCCAGCTCGATGCTATGGTAAAAAAAAATACCACACTCACACCACTACCAAAAACACACAGCGACCTTTCCTCGACCTCGGCCACTGCAACTCCTTATTTTCTACTGGTCAAGCGACATAAACAAGAGCCAACCTGTCAACAAAGAACTGGAACACTATTTGACACACATCCTGTGCGCAACCGTCGAATCTCATTCGCCATGAAGAGCTCTTGTGTTCTTGCTGGACCATGAATGAACTTGCCAGTTGGAGCCGCCTTGACAAGTTGATAGTTAGGAAACAGCACAGGACGCTCTTTTAACTTGTGGCGCTGGATGCAAGGCTTCAAGGGGAAGAACATGAAGCAGATCATGAAGCAGGACACGCTTACATTACACGATCTCGACCCTACTCGAGGCAACATCTCTAATCGCCAACTTTTGTTCTCCTGGAAATATTCAGGTCGTCCTCAAGATTGTCAAGCACTGCCGCGAATCGATCCCTGCCACAGTCACCGGCCAGCTGATGGGTTTGGATGTCAACGGTGTTCTCGAGGTCACCCACTCGTTCCCTATGCCCAAGAACAACCAGGACTCTGAGGATGATGGTAAGCTTGTCACACATATATCACTTTGTGGCGCCGCAGCACATCAGTCTCTTCTTGGTTCAGTGGATAGCGAGCTGATCATTTACTTTACTCATACCCTTCAATTAGCATCAAACTACCAGGTCCAGATGATGCGCTGCTTGCGCGAGGTCAACGTCGACGATAACTCTGTCGGCTGGTACCAGTCCACCAACATGGGCAACTTTATGAACCAGTCCTTGATCGAGCACCAGTTCGAGTTCCAGCAGGCCCTCAGCAAGTCTGTCCTCATCATTCACGGTAAGACGACTCTTCAGGAAACAGTGTTTCGACATAGGACAAAGCGGCAATGTGCATTATGGAAGACATTGAAATGTCAATAGTCAAGGGACGAAAGCTACACGTATCTTCACACTAAACCATTCCTTCATTCTGAAATGTAACTTATAGATGTCGCTCGCTCGTCCATGGGCAACATCAACCTTCGCGCCCTTCGCCTCACCCCCGCTTTTATGCAGTTGTACAAGGAGAAGAAGTTCTCCACCGAGGCTCTCACCAAGGCCAAGTTGACCTTCTCCAACATTTTCGAGGAACTCCCTATCACCATCCGCAACACTGCTCTTTTGACTGCTCTCCTCTACGAGTTGGAGACTGCCGATGAGTCCGTTGAGGTCTCGACCTCGCATTTGACCACCTACAAGTCGACTGCTTCGACCCCCGCTAGCAAGTCGGTCTTGGCCCCCAGCTTCGACGTCCTCGACTTGAGCCTCGATCCCTATGTCGCCAAGAACTTGGAGAACCTCATGGATACCATTGATGACCACCACCAGGAGCAGGGCAACTACGCTTACTGGCAGCGCAGCGTCGAGCGTGAGAACAAGAAGAAGGCCGCCTACCTCCTCAACAGAGTACGACATTTGCTTATTTTATTTGTTACTGGAAGAAAAGCCTTACGGGAATGGAAATTTGGGACAATCTGTTGACAGAGCACAAGACTAACGCCTTTGATTATTTCAATTTGTTTTTCCCAAATTTGCAGAAGACCGAGAACGCTCGCCGTGCTCAGTCTGGCCAGGCTCCCTTGGCCAACGAGGATGTGGATGCCATGTTCAAGGTCCCTGTCGAGCCCAGCCGTTTGGACCACCTTTTGATTTCTGGACAGATCGACAACTACTGCAAACAGATCAACGAATTTGCTGGACCAACATTAGGAAAGCTGTTTGCCGTTGGCGAGTTGCAGAAGTAGATTTTTTTTTCTGTTACAAACACATAACAAGCGGTGAGGTGAAATGAGAGTGGAGAGGAAGTAGTAGTTTGAGAACAAACCCCAAAATACAAGTACATTATGTATCGTTTACATGCTTTTTGTCGCACACATACAAGTTGATTGGACGGAGAGAATGGTCGTTTGAAAGCGTGTATTGTTAAAAGAGAACCGGGCGCGAACCAAAAAGGAGTTTGGTGGCGTCGCCTACATTAGTGTCTGTGGACGGGCTCCTTCTCATCCTTGAATCACAGTCTCCTCGATCTCTGTTGCATGTTGGAGGGTATTCTTCATACGATCAATCTACCCCTGGAAATTAGAATGGATTGTTCTAGACGCGGATATCCTTTCTTTGGTTGGCGACCATCCGCAGCCTCGCGTACATTGCAATCTCTGAAATATCACGCCCTTTTCCTCCTGGTCCTGGTCCTTTTGTTGCTACCGCCCTTCCTATCATGACCGTCCTGGCGTTGTCTCCGTTGCGGAATTCGTTAACGGATCGAAATTTGCTCTTGCTCTTGCTCCTGATACCCCACGCTGAAGAGGACAACGATAACGGAGTGGAAGTATCGTTGTGTACAACAATGTAGTAGACATGTGTTGCTAGGAGGTCATGGAGCGTCAAGGTTATCAGGACAAAGAGGGCGCCCTTGAGATCGCACTTGAGATAGAACCGTTCGGTAGTGCTGGAACCGTAGTTGTGGTCGCCATCGGGCTGGTGCTGGTGCTGGTGGTCCTCTAGAGTTGCTACCATGGTGTTTTTGAAGGGACGTAGAAGGTATGGAGGCTGTATTTTATGAGTGTGAGATGAAGGTTGGAGCCAGAGCGAGAGAGTGGAAAGAGGAAAGAGGGACGTGAAAAAAGGAAAGAACAAGAAAAAAGTTTAGTGCGGGCAAGGGCTTCATTTTGCTCACACCACTTTTGTTCCAACCCCCCCCCCCACACACACACACACACACACACACATGGGAAGAATAACGATCTAGTATTTTCGTCTAAGGACCGGTTTCAAGGAAATTTTATTATGGTTATATCATGGTTGTCCTGAAAAATAGGACGGCGAGAGAAATCGAGTTCTACTTGGCAGAAAGATCGACGCCCATCGAGCGAGGGGTGAAGTAGTGGTTCAAAATCTCATCCGTAACGGCAGCCTTGCGCTATTCACACCCGAGAATAATAAAAAAAAGATGTACAGTGTTGATTAGAATAAAGAAAATGATATCGAGAAGACCATACCTGAGTCAGGCAATGAAAAGTAACGGGAAAAAAAACAATTGTTGAAAAACTTACAGTCTGGAATTCGCTGACAAACTTTTGGAGGACCTCAATGCAGCGCTTCTTGAGATCGCCAGTCGACAGAATACCCGCTCTGTACTCCTTCTCGATCCTGCTAATCTCCTCATCATCGTCCAAGAAGAACGACAAGTACTGGAAAGGGATATCCTCCTCGGGCTTGCCGCCGTGCTCCTTGTGCAACTCCATAGTGGCTCCGCCGCCAGAGAAGGCGTGACGGTTGATCTTGTTCTTGATTTGGGCCTGTGTATCAGTCATGAAGATGGCCGAGCTGTCGACCGAGGCACTCATCTTGGTGCCGGGTCCCTGAAGAGCGGGGAAGAACTTAGCGTGGATCAAAGCAGGCTTGGGGTACTTGAGCTTGTGGGCAACATCGCGCGTCAAACGGAAGTAAGGATCCTGGTCAATGGCGCAAGGGATCAAGCAAGGAATGTCAGAACGATCGCCAAAGATGGCAGGGAAGGTGTTCGAGAACGAGGGGGCGGCCTGGATCGACACAAAGTGAGACTTTCCGACGTTATCGCTGTCATTGAATCCAAAAGTCGACTTGGACTGACTGTAGGTGATGCAGCGAGAGATGCGGACGACGTTGTGGTAGAAAGCACCTCTATAAACACAAAGAAGAAAAAACGCAAAACTCGCAGGTTAGTCCATGAGATTTAATTGCATACCCCAGGCAGACAATAATAGAAGCTAATCATGGCAATCAACAAACGTACCCGACGTGCTCGAGGTTGGAAAAGATGAAGGTCTTATCGGGTTTGAAGCCGCAAGCAATGATGTCCTTGGCATTCTGGCGAGAGAAACGAATGCACTCTTCCAACTTGAGGTTGGGCTTGAACAAGAACTTTTCGTCGTCTATTGAAGTTCCCGGTTGAAATAATATGTCAGCTCTCCTGAAACAATATTGTTTTCGCCGTTTGTTGATCGTTCCTCAGAATGTCCTGTCAAACACAAACGACTTCCTGCAATGTCCTTACCGGTCAATTGGATGACCAAGGGGCAGTCAAAGACGTCCTGGAGGTACTGGCAGAACAAGAAGGGAATCATGTGTCCCAAATGCATGCTGTCGGAGGAAGGTCCACGTCCTGTGTAAAGGTAGAAGGGCTTCTTTTGCTCATATCGATCCAAGATCCTGTTCAGTTCTCTATTGTGGATAACAAAAAAATAGGCCAAGACGCAAGATCGTAATAAGATCAGTCATTGACAACAATCGCATCCATAACCTTTGTGTCCCCACGAGAGCAAACAACAAATCGATATCTGACAACACATGAGAACACCGTGAGAGCTTTCCCTCCTACTCTACACCCTCCTACTTCCAGTTTGATTCCGATTCACGTTACCTGTGGGAGAAGAACACGCCACGACGGAGGAGGACATGGGGCTTGCGTCCAGTCAAGGTCTCCATGCGCTGCAAGACAGCCTCGTCAATGGGGCGGGTTCCAAAGGACTCGATCAGACGGTCATAGTCGATACCCATCTGCTTTCCATCAACCACAGCTCCCTGGACGTTCCAAGGGTCAACTGTAAAACGTTCGAACAACGAAAACAATAGTGTGAATACGCCAATTGCTAACAGCTACATCATTTCACACTAGATTCCCTTCCTGTTTAACAATACAGGCTCAGTGCTCGTACCAATTTGTTCGGCCTTCTGTTCGGTGGCGATTGTTGCGTTCTCCATGGGACTAAATAAAAAAAAATAAAGGAGTGACGAAAAAGTGTCAGGTACGATGAGCATTTATGAATCCGAGGGTGAATCTCAATCTTCCTGAGGCAGGGCTGTCCTGGTCCGGATGAATCGAGGTGTTGTTGAGAGAGAGCAAGGCACGTACGCAACGATGTCTTTTACGTCTTTGTCGGCAGACATGATGGGGAAAGGTATGAGAGTACAGTGAGTGTATGAAAGAAAGGAAAAAAAAGTTGAGAAAGTGTAACTGAATAAATAGACAAAAGGGTTAAATCGCACGTGACTTTATTGTCATATAAGAGAAGAATGGGCTTGGATTGAGGATCGAGTGTGCATGCCCAATGAGTCAAAGAAAAATAATATTCTGTGCGGCGCAGACAGACACACAGACCCTCTAGAATGTTTGGGAGACGCGGCTTCCGGTTTTGAGACGACTGAGACGCCATTCGTTCGGCTTCTCGTACCGGTTGAACAGCGGCTCGATCTTCTCCTGGCGCTTGCGGCGCGAGATCTTGTTTGCGTCCGCAACCTTGAAGAACGTTGGCGCAGCTTCCGTCAGCCATTTGGGCTCAATCGCCGTGACCTCTCGCATGTACTCCTTGGTCGTCATGACTAGTTCATGATAAATAACCCTAAAGTTTCATGAACATAAAAAGCTGCGTTAATTACCATGCGCAGAACATTCCAATATGGATCATTATTATTCAAACGAACTGCGCGGAACGACTTTGAAAACGCATCCAACTTACCATTCAGGATTCTTGTTAAAGAGGGAACTACTCGGGTGGATGTAGACAGGCGTACCCTCGACAAGGGTCTTGTAACCTTCCTGAGGATCCTTCTTGGCAGCATGTCGGAAAAGACCTCCACAAAGGGCTCTCCTGACCTTGGTGTAGTTCTTGCCGCACGAGACAACATCCTGATTGTATCGATCCATGTATCCGAGAAGCTGCTTCCTGACATCCTGGGCACGTTTCATACCGCGCGCCTGAATGAAGTTTTCAAAGCACCAAGGGTTCGAAAACTTGGACGCCTTCCATGCGTTGTACACAGTCAAGAGCGTAAGATGGTCACCCTCTGGCTGATGGAACTTGGCCTTCTTGCTGTCGGCGAGGGCCTGCTTCTCCTTGGGGCGATGGAACACATTTTGGACACTGAGCATAGAGACGATGGTGAGAATCTCCTCCGAGCAGTTCAGATCCGTCGACAGAATCAACATCTTGGCGAGTGGGGGCTCCATAGGGAAGACGGCCATCTTGCGGCCAAGACGAGTCAACAGTCCTTCGGAATCCAATGCTGAGAGCGCGAACAGCTGCTCCAAGGCCGTCAAGAGAGTTTGGACGGGCGGTGGGTCCATAAAGTCAAAGTTGATCAGGTCGTTGATTCCCATACCCTTCAGCGTCAGCACGGTCATGGCGAGGTTGGTGCGCTGGATTTCGGGAACGGGGTTGGGCATCATTTCGTTGACATAGGCTGCCTCCGTGTATAGGCGATAGCACTTTCCTGGGCCAGTTCTTCCTGCACGACCAGAGCGCTGGCGGGCTTGAGCTTGCGAGATGGGCGTGACAATCAGAGAATCCATTCCCAGCTTGGCATCATAGGCGTTCTGCTTGACGAATCCGGGGTCGACGACGTAGTAGATTCCATCGATGGTGATACTTGTCTCGGCAACGTTGGTGGCAATGACGACCTTTCGGGCACCTGGTGGCGTAGGCTCGAAAATCTTAGACTGCATCTCCGAGGGCAAAGCACTGTAGACTGGAAGAACGATCAGCTCGGGCACCATGGGTCCCAATGCCTTCATACGCTCATACAGGATCTCGGCTGCCGTGTCAATCTCCTCCTGACCAGTCAAGAACAGCAGGATGTCTCCAGCAGGCTCAGAAAGATGGATCTGCATAACGGTGTAGAGGGAGGCATCCAGATAGTCCGACTCAGGGTCTCTGGTGTACAAGATCTCGACAGGGAAGGCTCGTCCAGGGATGGTGAAAATGGGACAACCATAGAAATAGGTCGAGAACTTTTCGGCGTCCATTGTTGCGGAGGTGATGATGATCTTCAGGTCCTTTCGCTTCTTGCAGACCTGCTTCAGGAGTCCGAACAAAACATCCGTGCTGACTGTGCGCTCGTGAGCCTCGTCCAGAATGATGACCGAGTACTGCGACATGGTCATATCGATAAGACACTCTCTCATCAGCATTCCGTCTGTCATGTACTTGATCTTGGTCTCGGGACTGGTACAGTCCTCAAATCGAATCGTATATCCAACCTCCTGTCCCAGACGACACCCAACTTCCTCGGCAACACGCTTGGCGACAGACATGGCGGCAACACGACGGGGCTGCGTGCATCCAATACGGCCGTTGGCGGTGAATCCCTCCTCTGCCAGATACTGAGCCATCTGCGTCGTCTTTCCTGATCCTGTTTCTCCGACCACAATCAAAATTTGGTTATTCTTCACGGCGCTTACGAGCTGGGTCCGAAGCTTGAAGATGGGCAAAGACTCCCTCTGCTGCTGCATGCTCAGGTTTGTGATCCTTCCATATGTGGTTGCCTTGCCAAAAGTGTTCGCCTTCCACTCGGGGACTTGGCCAGCCTTGCCGCTGGCTGCGCTTCCTCTGAGATCCTGGGCAAAGTTGCGCTCGCCTGGCTCAGGCATGGGATCAAGCCAGGGCTTGTTGATGTCCTTAGGAACAGAGTCGTATTCGGCGTTGACCTCAGACTGACGGAGCTCCTTTCTCTCCTTTGCCAACGCTGCTCCCGAAAGAGCAGCGCGGTTCATGGTACCATCCGGTGCTTTGACGACCTTGATAGGGCTGAGATCCAGCGCGTGGCGTGCTTGTCCCTTCAAGAACAAGGGCTCGTCATCACAAAGCTCGATATCCAGCTCCTCCTCGGCATCCATGTTGTCAATCGTCCCAAAGTCCTCATCCAGGTCGTCTTGGCCCATTGGAATGTGAACTCCTGACGCCCTCAACTGCTTCAGCTCGAATCGCTCGGGTGATGACAAGCGCTTCAGCTTGGATGACCTTGGCTCGACATCGTCGACAATGGGGACTGCAGATGATGAAGGTCGATCGGGGTTGCGTGCTGCATCCTGAGCCATCTCCTCCTTTGTCCTGATGCGAAGATTGGGCGAGAGATCCTTTCCTGTCTTTTGGTCGACATCCCTCATGGAGAGGGACACTCTGGTGGAGGTTACAGACATGACCTTGACTTTGACGCTTTCGTTCCTCTTGACCACATCCGAGACCTCGTTCACTCGACCGGCCGCCAACATGGCGATATGAACCATTCCCTCGACTTTGCCCTTCACACCATCCAGCGCAACAAAAGCGCCAAATGGTTTTGTGTTGGTGACCTTGCCAGTGTAAATCTTGTAGAGAACGGGCGCATCATCCAGCGACGACCTCGATGACTCGCTCCGCCCCCTGTAGTCTCCTCTGCGAGGGCTACGACTCCGGCTGTGCCTATTGCCATCTCTTGATCGTGAGCGAGCTCTCTTGCGTCTTGGCGAACGACTCCTGCTCCTGCTCCTGCTCTTGTTCCTTGTCTCTTGTTTGGTGCTCTCGATCATGTTTTCGAATTCAGACATAAAGTCATCGCCTCCTGCTGCCTTCTTTTCCTTTGGTTTTTCATCGTCTGCCAACTATTATACAAAAAGAAACATAACGTCAGCACTACTGTTAAGAAGAAAAGAACATTAAGAAATAGAAACGGAGGTTGGGCTTGTACTTGCCCATCCAGGTCTGTCAGGAATGGCCAAGCCAGGGAACTTGTGTGACTTTTCGTCTGCGATGGCGGCTTTGTCAGCGACAGTTGGCTCCTCAGCTTTTTTGTATTTGGGGTGCATGGTCCTGATAAGACGGTCGAGATTTCCAATGAAGGAAGGCGAGAAATCGCCAGCATCCTGCAGAGTGTCCTTGAAGGCGGTGTAGTCTGCGGATTTCTCGTGAACATGGATAATAAACTCGGCTATAGATCATACAAAAGGAGCATAAGTGAGTTGAATGAACTGTAGTTGTGTTGTGGCATTCAATATCACACAGGTGAGGAGATCAGAATTGCTTTTCACTATTGTAGTACTTACCGATTGACTTGTCGTCCATGCCAAGGTGGTTGAGAACCTCGTTGCGGATCTTGTTCACGAGCTCCAAGACCTCAAACTGCTCCAGATCCATGGCTGATGTCTTTTTGTGTTTTTGTTGTTTTGTTGACGAGTTGAAAAGTGTGAGGGGGATGAAGGAGAAGAGGAGGGATAAATGAAGGTGAGTGATGAGGGGCGGTGCAGAGGCGAGAGTGCGTGAGTGATGTGGGTTTGGACCAGAAGGAATGCAATAGATCTTTTTTCACCAAAGGTGGCGGAGTGCTGTCTTTAAGGGGTTACATGTCATGTGATATGGATCCACATTCGCCTCCTTATCAGGCATCGTTTTCCTTGACGACCAGTGCAGGCAGTGGTGTGCTCTCTCTCTTTTTTCTTTTTTTTTTCCCTTGCACCTCTTCTCTTTTATCCTTTGTCCATCCCACCCTCCCTTCTCTCTCTCTCTCTCTCTCTCTCTTTTTCTTCTCACATTCCCTACCTCCTTCTGCTGTGCTCACGCTCTCTCATTCATTCATTTCACAACTCTTTACCTATCAACCTTCACTCAGAGAACTTATCCATGTTCTGCATCTTCAAAGTCACTTTCCTGTCGGAGTTCAGGCGTTTCTCCGTCTCAAACGTCCACCTCGACAACTTAAAGCAAGATATTGCCAAACTCTCCTTCGAGGCCATTCACGCCAAGGTGCGCCTCTATTTCCTCTATTTATCTCTATCGCCAATCCCTTGAAGATCAAGATAACACTAGTGCTTTCTATCTCTTCACGCTTCCAGCTTCGCATTGGGGGTTGCATATGGCGATGAAGCTCGCCTGACTGGTTCTTGGTGGTGGTGGTCCACCTTGTCTCGTTTTGTTTTTTTTTCTTGTTTTTTTTCTTGTTCTTTTTCTTGTTTTTTTTTCTCTAACATCCCCTTCCTCCAACATGCTTGATTTGCTATTCATCGTTTGCTCCGCCGAGTAGATCTGCGATATGTTCAAGCAGACAAACATGACCATCTCTTACGAGGATTCGAAGGGTCTCCGCAAGACCATCAGAAACAACGCCGACGTCTTCGAGGCCATCCTCAACTTCCACAAGCTGGCTGACTCCGACGCCACGAGCATGGTTGTCCGTCTGGATGCTGAGCTGACAAAAGCAGGTAATGTAACACACATAACTCAACTCAACTCAAAATGCCAAGACACCCTTAGCATTCTTCTGACAGTTACGACAACAACAATTCATTCATACTTCTTTAGCTGACAAGAAGGACATCACAAAGGCTTTGAACGATATCAGCCTCAATGCATCCAACGGTATGTCACTCGGTACATCATGCAGCGCAATCATTCTCGCTCTTTACACCTCATCCCTAACGTATTTTCTATTTTCAATAGTCCACGGCACCGTCCATACCAACGTCTACTGCGATATCTGCCTGAACACTGTCCGCGGCATCCGCTGGAAGTGCCAGGACTGCGATAACTTCGATCTGTGCCAGGGCTGCCACGGCCTTGCTGGTCTTCGCCACCCACACCACACTTTCAAGCCCATCGAGAAGCAGGAGGAGGACGCTGACAACTCTTCCTCCCGTCCTACCAACAACCGCAGCCGCGCAAACATCCTCCACCTCGCCTCCTGCGACGTCTGCTTGAACCCCATTGTCGGTGTCCGTCACAAGTGCTTCCAGTGCCCTGACTACGACCTTTGCCAGAGCTGCTTGCCCCTGGCTCACGCGCACCACAAGGGACACACCTTCATCCCCATTTCGTACCCTGGACAAGTCGATGTCAAGATCGACCAGACCCCCCAGTATGGTGTCGTATGTGACGGATGCAACAGCGACATTTACGGCGTTCGCTACAAGGTAAAATGTGTTGTTCACTCTTATTGCGTCCCTTTTTATGTACCCTCTTGGGCGTACAATCGTAGAGCAGAGCGTGTGGGAGTGTGCGATCTTGCTCATATATGGAAACGCGTGCTCCTGGACTAACTTTACACCATCCGATCCGCTGTTTATTTTTTTCCCATGGACACAAAGTGCGGAAACTGCGCCGATTACGACCTTTGTGGAAACTGCGAGGCCCTTCCTCAACCCATCCACGACCCCACTCATATCTTTTTGAAGATTCGCAAGCCCATTGCTCCCCGCCTGGCTTCTGTAACCCCTGTCCTGCCCAACATGTATCTCAAGGGATGGGGTAAGGCCATGAACACTCAAACTGCTCCCGCTGAGAAGAAATGCGCCTCGTCCGTGGACCAAGTGTGTCCCGCCATCTCGGTCTGCAAGCCTTCCCCCATTGTTGTCTCTCCTACCGCCACTCCTGCTTCAGGGACTTTGCCACTGTAAGTGTTATCAGATATCACTACAGCGTATTTTAAAGACATGGAAAAGGAATCTTTGTGTTCTGACATTCTTCTTTGCTTTACATAAATAGACTTCCCAAGGAGACATTGAACGGCATCTTTGTCAAGGATATCACCCTTAAGGATGGCTCGGCAATGCAGTCGAACGCAACCTTTATGAAAGTCTGGGAGATGTCCAACTCTGGCCCTGAGGTCTGGCCCGAAGGAACTGTTTTGCAGTTTGTGGGAGGCGACAGAATGTTTACAGAGGAGGAGGAGGACGTGAAGAACCCCGAAATTAAGGTCTCCCAGGCTGGTGTTGGAGAGTACGTCTGCATCTCTGCAACCCTCAAAGCCCCGTCCATCCCTGGTCGCTATATCTCGTAAGTCTCTTTGTAATTCTTTTTGAGCGGGATATCGGATCCCATTGATATATCGCCAGGATGACTAGCTTACAAATTCATTGCTGTGTTTAGGTACTGGCGCCTGGTCTCTCCTTCCGGCGAGCGCTTTGGTCACCGTGTCTGGTGCGAGTAAGTACCACGTTATTTGGCGCGCTCAGCTAGGTCATGTTTTCAGTTATTGTAAGGTGCCATTGAGAACGAAACGACTTTATTCATTGTTTTCACTTGCTCTCCACGCGTCTTTAGTATTTTGGTGCAAGACGGATCTGCTCCTGCTGCGAAGTCGGAAAAGACCGTGACCCCTGTCGTTGTCCCCGAGCCCGTCAAGAAGATCGAAGTCAACAAAGAGGTGGAAATGAAGGAGGTCGAGAAGCCCAAGGCCATGGTTGTGGAGGAGGAGCAAGACGACGATGACTTTGTCGTTGTTGACAACGAGGAGGAGGACTTGTAAGAACGGGGAGGAGAGATACGGAATTCGAGCTCCCTATTACAGCAATCAGCACCGGACAACAGAACGAAGCAGCAAGAAAAGATAACGATTGTTTTGCTGTGGGCTCAACAGGTGAATATGTAAATAGCAGTGTGCATGAAAATGAAAGTAAGAAAACAAAAAGAGTTTTAGCCATTTGAATGAAAGGACGTTGATAAGATCTCCAAGAGCTGGGGGTACCAGGCCGTGCCCTGATTAGTGAAGATGACAACAAGTTAGACTACCTTTCACGTAGATCGGAAGTAGGAAGAAGGTGAAGAAGGATGAGCGCATCAAGTTCACTCTAGACCTCTTTCGACATTTGTCCAGTAACTAGCAGCACAATGGCGTTGACGGTAGTGTTGTAGGGTGTATCCAATGTGGTGTGTGCATTTGTGTCTTTCAGCGGAGAGGCAAATGTTCGAAAGATAGTGAATGGGAAGGGAAAAATGGGACTGTCTGTCACCATGATCCTCCGTCTTCTTTCGTTCACCCTTTTCTTTCCTCTCTTCCTTTTCTTTTCCCACCTTCTTCTTTCCCCACAATACTCAACCCCCCCCCCCCCCTTTACCTCCTCGCCTCCTTTTCTTTCTCCTCCTCCACAACCTTCCTTCTCTCTTTCATTCCTGTTCATTAAAAGCATCCACTCACTCACGCTCGCTTGCATTACATTCCAATTACACACCATTACTCAATATGACGACAGAGAATAGTAAAGTCACTGCTTCCAAGCAAACTGCTGCCGCTACTGAGGACGGCACAGGTGTCATTGCGCTCGATCCATGGCTGTCTCCTTACAAGACTGCCTTGCAGGAAAGGTATTCAATACCAACTCTGTCCTCACTCTTACGCTGCTTTGATGCCGTTGATACATACCTCCAAGATCGCGCCTTTCTTTTTTGATTGAGAAATGGTCCCATCGATAGTGTTGTTGACCCAAGCCATTTTTTTTTCTTCCCATGACGTGCTGTTTAGATACGCCGGATTTCAAAAGTGGAAAAAGACGATCAACGAGGCAGGAGGGTACGACAAGTTCACTCGCGGATACGAGAGCTTCGGATTCCATGTCTCTGACAAGGGTATCGCCTACCGGGAGTGGGCCCCGAACGCCACCGGCGCCTATCTCTTTGGCGAGTTTAGTAAGAACACACTCCACCCACTCTCTTTTCTACCCAATCGAAATGTGTGTGTTTGTCTTGGATGGGTGAAGAGAGGGATCATTTCTCTAACCATGTCTTCCGAATGATATGGTAATGCTCAACGAAATAGATAACTGGGACAAGTTCAGCCATCCCATGCAGAGGGACAACTTCGGAGTCTACTCGATCTTCTTGCCCAACAAACCTGACGGATCTCCTCCTATCGAGCACAACACCAAAATCAAGGCAAGCCATCATCCCTCACCATTTGCCTGTTCTACTTTTTGCTGGTGCCGTATCTTCTTCATACACCTGTGCCAGTTTCAAATGCGTGGGAGAGTAACTCTAACTGGATATTTGCTATCGCACCCTATCCTCCTCCCCCAACAGATTACCATGATTACACCCGATGGCACTCGGATCGATCGTTTGCCTGTATGGATTCATCGTGTCACCCAAGATCTGGATGTCTCGCCCATATATGATGCTGTCTTCTGGAACCCAGCCAAAGAGTACCAATGGAAGAACAAGGCTCCTCCCAAGCCTAAAAGCCTCAAGGTCTACGAAGCTCATGGCAAGTTGCATTCTCCATAAGTTGACTGGTATGGCTAGATCGTGTGTTTATCTCTCCTCAGGAATTTAACATTTTGTGTCCGCCCTTTTCTTTTCTGTTTGAATCTATTTCGGACTCTCAGTTGGTATTGCGACAGCTGAGCCCCGCGTTGGTCAGTTCACAGAGTTCACGGCCAATGTGTTGCCCCGTATCAAGAAGCTGGGTTACAACACTATCCAGTTGATGGCTATCATGGAGCACGCCTACTACGCCTCCTTTGGTTACCAGATCACAAGTTTCTTTGCTGCCAGCAGCAGATATGGTAAGTCCACAATCTTTTCCGCTTCAAACCTTAATTGGCACCCCACCTGAGATAGAGAGTGGCAAAGCCAACCAACATGCGTCGGTATAAGAAAAAAAAAGTTTCTGGTGCTGGTGTGGATAGTTTATCAAGGGCTTGAGGAGCAAACACATCTAATCATTTGTTGTTGTTGTGTTTCTGTATCAGGCACACCCGAGGAGTTAAAGGAGCTCATCGATACCGCCCACGGTCTTGGTATCACAGTTCTCTTGGATGTTGTCCACTCACACGCCTGCAAGAACGTTCTCGATGGTCTTAACCAGTTTGACGGAAGCGATCACCAATACTTCCACGAGGGCGCCAAGGGTCGCCATGAGCTGTGGGACTCTCGCCTGTTCAACTACGGCAGCTACGAGGTGATGCGGTTCCTGTTGAGCAACCTTCGATTCTACATGGAGGAGTACGGATTTGATGGTTTCCGATTCGACGGAGTGACGAGCATGATGTACACTCACCATGGTATCGGATTTGGCTTCTCGGGCAACTACCACGAGTACTTTGGAGAAGGTGTCGATTCTGAGGCCGTCGCATACCTGATGGTTGCCAACGACATGCTTCACGATCTGTACCCTGACTGCATAACCATCGCTGAAGGTAACCTTTTGAAGTATAAGCATGTCACAAGATAACGCCACCAAAAATGGTTCGCCCATGTTGACAAGATTGATTCCTCCTGTTATTTGTTCTTTTTAGATGTCTCTGGAATGCCTACTCTGTGCCGTCCTGTTTCGGAGGGTGGTATCGGATTCGACTATCGCCTTTCGATGGCCATCCCGGACATGTGGATCAAACTTCTCAAGGAGAAGACGGATAGCGAATGGGACATTGGCCACATTGTCTTCACCCTCACCAACCGCAGACACATGGTAAGCCCACTGTCGATCTTCTTATCAACGGCAAATATGCGTCCTCTAGGATGATGACCCACATACATACTAATTCCAATTACTTTGCTATTTTATTAGGAACCTTCGATTGCGTACTGTGAGTCGCACGACCAGGCTTTGGTTGGTGACAAGACGATTGCTTTCTGGTTGATGGACAAGGAGATGTACACTCATATGAGTGTCTTGACCGAGCTCACGCCCATCATTGATCGTGGACTGGCCTTGCATAAAATGATCCGGTAATATAACGGCTCTGTCTTTCTCGATCTTGTCTTTTGTAAACGTCAACCGTCGGTTCCACTGAATACCCAAGATCGTCCATATCTAATCATCCTTTTCCATTCTGGATCTCATAGACTTGTGACACACACACTGGGAGGCGAGGGATACTTGACATTCATCGGAAACGAGTTTGGTCACCCCGAATGGCTGGACTTCCCCCGCGCAGGAAACAACTCATCCTTCCACTACGCACGCCGTCAATGGAATGTGGTCGACGACGAGCTGCTCCGGTACAAATTCTTGAATGATTTCGACGGCGCCATGAACCATGCCGAATCCAAGGTTGGTTGGTTGGCTGCACCCCAGGCATTCGTCTCGTTGAAGCACGAGGGTGACAAGGTCTTGGCCTTTGATCGTGCGGGCGCAGTATTCATTTTCAACTTTAACGGCACACAATCGTTCACGGATTACCGCATTGCTGTCCCCACCCCGGGCCAGTACAAGATCTTGCTCAACTCGGATGAGGAGCACTTTGGAGGACATGGTCGTGTTAGCGCTGAAAGCAGGTACTTCTCGACACCCGAACCTTGGGGTGGTCATCAACAGTATATTCAGGTCTATATCCCTTCCCGCACCGCCTTGATCCTCGTCAAAGCCGAATAGACAGTCTTGAATTTTTTGTAGTTTTCTCTTTTCGGCATATGCATCATAAAAACAACCCTCGCAGGAGCATTCAAAAGGAGACAACGAGGATCGTGTTTTGTTTTTGTTTAGACAAAATGACAACAAAAAGAAGAAATATTTGTATTTGAACATGGGCTGGAGTGTGTGTGTGTGTGAGAGAGAGAGACGGGAGAAAGAGAAATGGGCCTTCTTTGTTCCAATGGACGACGCACAACAAGAACAAAAAAAGACTATCAAAAGGTATGGAAATTGACAAGTGTTGCGTTGATCACTGCACACAAGAAAAAACAAGGATAAGGGGAGGTAGAGATATTACAGAGAGCGATAAAAATAAGCTGTGAGGAGGAGGAGGAGGAGGAGGGGTTTGATATTAGTTGATGTGGGTGATGATAGAGAAAGGAGGAAACGCACACAGAAAAGGTAAAAGTAAAGTAAGGTAAGGTAAAGACAAAAAAAAAAAACAGTAGAATTGGAGGAAAGAGGAAGTGGGGGGGACGCGGTGTGGTGTGGCGGGAAGAGTTTCTCTTGGTGATTTCGTCCGCATAGTTCGCAAGAGCGAAGAAGGGTCCTGAAGCGGTGGCAGGAGGACGACCATCTTGAGGCAACTGGCTGGGAGCATCTGCTGAACCCATCCGTATTTCAAGCGCGGTCCGATTGCCCTCCTGCGGCGCGCAGCTGGGGCGGGCTCCTACAATAGAGTGAACTCCATGTTCCAGCTGCCGCTTGTGACCCCTGCTCCTGGCCCTAACGCAAATTGACGGTAACCCTTGACGGACAAAGAAAAATAAAACAATACTGACAACTCGACACATACGCACTCCTGCGCCCTCTCGAAACGACTAACGACGATCCAACATGTGTTTTGATATCCTCTACAGAATTCCGCTGTCCTTCAATGCGTTCTGTAGAATTGTTTCCTTGACAGCAGCAAAGACAAGTCTAAAGGTGATAGGGGCGAAAAAGGACCATGAAACAATTGATTAGGATCCGTGCTGTCAAGTAGAACCCCTCCGTTTTCTTGCTTCGTCTAGGATGGCAGGACGGGGGTGTATTCGGTCAATCTTTTCACATCGTAGAAACTTACTGGATCTGATCGGCGGGATAGCAAGTTGACGGAGCGTGGCAGCGATACAAAGAGTATATAAAAGGCGGGGTAGGGAACAAGAAGCAGAGAAGTTAGTCAAGGAGTCAATGCACATTTCATCCCTTGCCACGACGTTTCAAAATTACAGCCGTCCATATGAATTAGTTCCCTACATTCAATGTATCGGTCGCTTGTGTCATGCTAAAAACGAGGAGCGCGTGAAAAAGAAACGTTTGGTTTTCGTCAACTTTTTTGTTCTTGAGCCATGAAAGAAAATGTACAAGGGGTTGAGTTGAAACGAAATGAGGTACTTACTGAGGGTATATGTGGAGACGTGCTCGGTTTGTTTGAGTAAATCGCCAGAGAATATATTTTGCGGCTTTGCTAATGTCCGGACCGCCTGGAGACGTGAAGAGAAGGAAAAGTGAAACTCGGCGATTAATACACAAAACAAATGACATTACTAGCATTAGAACACACAAACAACATATACACCACCTAAAGAAAGCCCTAGTGCTGTTAGTTAACTTGCCTGTGTAATCTGAAAAGAACTTTTCCAGTGGTACTTTGGGTAGCTTGGCGGCAAAGAGATCGATCTTGTTCATGAAAAGGATGATGGATGTCCGGAGGAACCACCGACTGTTGATGACAGACTCGAAAAGGACTAGACTCTCTGCCATACGGTTCTAAGAGTATAATCAAATTCACAGCCATATTATTAGAACAGATTATCGACTTTTTTTTTTTGTTTCCGCCACCGGATTGGAGTTTGATCCTTTGATATTTTTGCCCATTCATCAACATGGGCTGTGCCAAGTCTTCTTACCTGTCCAGACTCCTCCAGCAACACTTGATCGTACTCGCTGAGCGCCACGCAAAAGATGATGGATGTGACAGCCTCGAAGCAATGAATCCACTTTTTTCGCTCGGATCGCTGACCACCAACGTCAAACATACTATTCATCACAGAAATAAAAAAAAGATAAGAGTCAAATCATAATGAGCCGATACAGACGCGGACGCGTAAGAAAATAGGCCGATGACGCGTTTATAGCCTGATCGAAAAAAAACAAGTGCACAGTAGTTGATCGGAAATGGTATGACTGGGTGAGAGGACTTACTGTATACTGAGCTGACCCATGTTGAATCTTGTTTCTGAAATGCCTGTTGTTTTCGAACGTGCACGCAGGACGTCCTGGACGCTTGGTGTGTAGTCCTCTGCGCCAAGTCGCCGTACTTGGCTAAAGAAGCTGTTGATGTCATAGTACGCGGATATGTGCTTGTTAGCTTCTCCATTGAACTCCAGCCAGAAGTATGGGAAATGGACAGTCACTTATTTTTTTTATCTCTTCCTTTTGTCCCTAGAGCTGCATGAAAAATATACACAGGACTTACTAGGGAGCAGAGTCCATGATATAAAACTCGCTTGAGCGTTCCATACAGGTGGCGGTAATGGGGTCGTGGTAGAGAGAGTCGATCGCGTTGACAATGTCTGCGCTGAGGGTAAAGTAAGGGTCGGCCTCGACGCGATAGTCCAGAATGCGATCCGCGTTCGCCTTGTTCTCTGGCAGGGTGGGTTCGAGTCGCAATTTTTCCATAGCCAGCACAAGTGACTGTGCAGAATCAACAAGGTTCTTGTACACCGTCAGTCGGTAGGTCGCAAGTTCCTCTGTGCTGTAGCCTCCTTGGTGAATGACCTTCATCTGCTTCACAATCGTCGACTTGCCTGACTCTCCACTTCCTAGAAAATTGAAAAAGAAAATAAAACGCCCATTGGAAAAACGAGGACGATGTTATTGGTCAGATCGATTCGACACTCGGGTAAATTCACATGGTCTCCATCCGAACAGAAAAAAAAAAGCGGGAATTAACAAAGAATTGGCGCATAGGCATGTGAGGTGAGTTATAGAAGTCTCTTTCTCTTACCTAGAAGAAGGATTTTGCATTCTTTCTTGAGACGACGGTTGTCTTCTTCGAGGCCCTTGTCAATGTTTTGACTGATATTCCTCTCGTCCCGTTCCTCGACAGAGAGACACAAGCCCATGACGCAGATATATGCTCAGAAATTGGTAGAAACCGGCTGTGCGGGAGAGTGGGTGGTGAGCGTGGACAAACGGGGGTAGGACAATGCTCGTTCTAAAAGTAGAGCGAGGTTTCTTTTAGTGAATAGAGCCTTTTGGGCGAGTGGGATAGGTAGGAGGTAGAAGTAACAGAAAGAGACCGACAGGGGGAGGGGGAGGGGTGAGTCGATATGCGCGCCTGTCAAATGTACGGATTGAAATTGGGGTGTCGAAAAATAGAGACGGTGTATGAGAGGAGAGGAGGCGAGGGGGAGTGTTCGAGCGTATGGGTGCGCGTGGTTGGGTTTTTTGAGTTGGGTGGGCTAGTTATGGAGAAATTGGTAGTCGATAGGTTGTGTAAGTACAGAGTTGGCATGCAAGAGAGGAGTGAGTGGAGAGGACGACGAAGGAAGGAAGGAAGGAAGGAAGGAGGAGGAGGAAGGAGGAGGAGGAAGGGAAGGAAAAGGAAGGAGAGAAGGAGAGAAGGAGAGAAGGAGAGAAAGAGAGTAAGGGTTAATGAATGTTACGGAATGAGAATATGGGATTCGACTGAGCAATTGAGAAGGTATATAGAAAAGTGGAAGAAGGGAGGGGAATGTTGATGTTTGTTGTTGTTGTTTATGCGTCTGTGAGATTATGCGAGGTAGGTGAGTGGGATGGCAAAGAATACCACTGTGGAACGTTTTGGAGGAGAAGGGGGAGAGGGAAAGGTAGGGTAGGGAAGGGAAGGAAGGGAAGGTCGTACCACTGGTTGATATGGTTCTGTATATGCGTGAGTGTGGAGAGGAGAGAGACAGAGACAAAGAGGCTGTGGTCAAGTCAAAAGAGTGGAGAGGAGGGTGGTTGTGGGTGGTGTGTGCAAGGGTGGTGTGTACAAGGGTGGTGGCAGGGTGAAGAAAGAGATGTAAGGGAGAAGGAAGGAAGCGATGGCAGAAAGTGAGTGATGGGTGATGAATTGGTAAAAGAGAAGAAGAAGAAGAAGGGAAGGGAAGGGAAGGACTGACAAAGAAAGACAAGGTCGTGCTGCAAGAGTGAGTGCGAGTGAAGGTGAATATAAAAAATAATAGTTTTTCTGAGCAAAGAAGGGGCAAAGGGAGAGTGAGTTAATAGTAGAGAGAAGTGAGAGGATGTATATGAGAGCGTGAAGTGAAAAGGGAAAGAGAGAAAGGGAGAAGAGAGAGAGAGAAAGGAGGTGAAGGAAAAAGACGACCAAGTAAAAAAGGGAGCACTTGAAGTAGAAAACAATAATTTGCTTCTCTCTCTCACTCACTCACTCACTCACTCACAATGCACTAATACTTCAATGGTCAATTAGAGATATACGCTTGCAATTATTGAACTACTGAGGTATTGAGGGGGTGAGTATCATAGACCCAAGGCGCCACATTACACAAACTCGACACATATGGCTTATATATCTTGTCGCCTGTCAAAGAGGGAATCATCATCGATTTCTTTCCTCTTCACCTTCTTCGCCACTCCTCTGCCAACTCCCCCCCTTTGCGTTCTATCCTTCGCCACAATCTGACAACATGATCGAAAAGGGAGACGACAAAGGCATAGACACAAGGCGAAGAAAAGATAAGCACCCTTTCGTGTTTGACGCAAGATTTTTTTCCCTCTTGTCTTTGAATTAGCTAGCCAGGGGAGGGGATAACCTTCGTTTCGTTGCACGTTCACTTTTTGCCTTGCACTATCATAGACACTCATCTTTTCTCTCAACCATCCATGCAAAAATATCACAAGTGCACATGTTACAACACTGCATTCGCAAAGAGACAAATCCTGTTGAAAAAACACGTTTTTCCAATTCAGACATGCATGGGAGTTATTTTGGAGGGACGAAGGGACGGACAAAGGGCGGATGAAGGAAGAACAATCAACAAAGACACAGACGAACCTACCAATTTACACATACACGGGAGAAAACCAATTGCTTCGGGAAGGGACGAACTCAAATTGGTATGCAACCCAAATGGCAAAAGGAAATATTCCCTTGTATCCAAATAACATCGACAGTACCATTCGATCCCTCGGAATGGAGGTGTACACAGGACGTTCTGTTTTCGACCAACGATAAGAGAATCATAACGACTTTCCAGCATGCACCCATTCTTGAACGCCGATCTGGCTTTTTTTTTTGAGCATATTTTACGCAAAAAAAAAAAAAAAAAAAAAAGAGGCTTGCGTCAGGATCCTTTTCGCCATCACAGCGATATGCAACCAAATGCCAGGCATTTTCGCATTGGTGGCAATGCGACTTGACAACTAAGCGAGAATGGCGCAAAGGATGATGAAGGATATGGGAATGGACGGGATGGAAGGTGGAGAAGGATGACGAGGAAATGGAAGAGAGAGAGATGTAGCATGTAAAATAGTTTGTTTGGTATTTTTACCATGCGTCTTTTCCTTGCCTTATGCATTGGATGGAGGGAAAAATAAGTGACAAAACAAGGGGTGAGGGAGGAGGAGAGGGAAGTGGGATGATGCAAAGAGGGAAATAAAAAAGGCATGGAAAGGAAACAAACCGCCAGCCGTTGCTATCTGTTGAGGGCCTGTTTATTTGTGCTCTGGGAAGAAGCTGCCCCTCTTCCCTCTTCCTCCCTTTCCTTTATGCATGCAGCTATGCCACGATTTCTCTATTTTTTCTTTTCCTCATATACATTGCAGTCAATTCAATTGCCCGCGAAGAAAAAGTGTGACTTTTTGTGCTAATTTTTTTTTGGTGCGCCACCAACATTGGACAGGGTCATAAGTCGTTCGACATAAATAGGTCAATTGACCGTCAGTCTTTTTTTTTTTTCTTCCCTTTCTTCCTTTCATTCCTTCACATTCAATGCTCGCAGACCCTCTTGTCACCATGGCATCACCACCTCCAGCAAGCTCGGACTCGACAGTTCCTTCAACCTCAACAGCTAGTAGCAGCAGTAACACTACAGCCAAGACCGATTCTCATTCAACAACGACAACGAATGCACCCTCAATACCGTACGAAGAGTCAGTCGGTCGACATGTTTCAAGGAAAGAGCTCCCTGCTGACGTCCAAGCCAGGATCGAACGGAACCGACAAGCCGCTCTCGAACGACGAGCAAAATACCAAAAGCGACTCGATTCTGAACGAGCCATCGCGCAACAGTTCGGAGAAGTCCTTCCTTCATCGTCTTCGGCCTCAGCTAGTGGAGAGAGCGGTGCAGGATATTTGACGTCGGCGATCATCGAAAAGAATGCGGCAGAGATCCATAAAGCCATGGAGGAGTTCGAGCCTTTACCCAAGAACGAGTGGACAAAGTTTTACGACTATGATCTTTCCAAGATGAAGGATACCAAGGCGGGATTTATTCAGGTTCTAGATGATGATAAGAAGCGTGATGCAGAGGATGAGAACTCCAGGAAGCGTAAATGGGAACCAACCCTCGCACAACCCGATCCATGTACGTATCTTTTTTTGTTCTCTATTGTCTTATGCTTTGCATATGCATACTCCTGTATACTTCTCATGGTGTACTAATCAAGAGGCTTATTATTAACATGACGACATAACAGCAATCTTCTTGGGAGCAGATGACAATTACGAATGCCAGGACTGCACATCAATCGACGTCGATTTCCAACTCCTGCGCTACTTCCACGTCCCAGTCTGCATCGGCTGCCGAGACGCCCAACCCGAAAAATACTCCCTCCTCACAAAGACAGAATGTCGAGCCGACTACCTCCTCACAGATCCGGAACTCCGCGACACTGACCTGTTCTCGTTCTGGGAGCGCCCCAACCCCAAGAAATCAACATGGAACAACATGATGCTTTACCTGCGCTGTCAGGTCGAAGAGTTTGCATTCAAGAAGTGGGGCGGTCCTGAGGGGTTGGACAAGGAGTTTGAAAAGCGGGAGCGAGAAAAGGAGGCGAGGAAGGAGATCAAGTTTAAGAAGGAGTTGAGGGATCTGAGAAACAAGACGAGAACGTCAGTCTGGCAGGACAAGAGGATGCAGCAACGGCCCAAGATTCATAAGCACAACTTTGGTACCGCCCTTGTCGATCCGGAATCGGGTGCCTCGGTCCAAACTTGTGTCGAGTGCGGTATCCAGGTCGAATGTGAGGAGTTCTGATCCACATAGCTTTTGCAGCCTATTTACTCCGCAATTAAAAGCTGGTATGGCATAAAAGCACTAATTGACCAAAGCAATGTTATGATAACGTGCAGGTTGTGTTTTAATGAATGTAAATGATGCAAAAAAGGTTATATCTATGCGATTCTCTTCTCGAGGTCAGCCCATGACGCCTTGTCGAGGATATAGTCGGCATATTTCTCTTTTGCTTCCAGAACCTGTGGACGGATTGAGTCGAGTGTTGCTGATGGGACAGGGGTCGAGGCATTGTCAAAGAAAGTCTTCAAGGCAACCAAGGTCTTTTCAACAAGATCCTCGTCGTCCATGTGCTTTTTCAAGAGCGCGCCAAATGTCTGGATGAGCTCCAAGTCGACCAACGCTGAGCTGCTGGAGGGGTCCTGAATGAGAAGCGTGTTCATCAAGAAAACAACTTTGCGGACCAATGTGAGGTCTATTATGAGTGCCGGGGAAGCAGAGGGGAAGAAAGGTGCCGCGTGGTTAGCCAACTGATTGCTCATAAGCTCCATGTTCATGCTGGTTGAAAGATATCCTCGAACTGCTGTCCTGATTGACTTACGGGAGTCGGTCTTCAAGATGTCGACCAAGGTCTTGTATCCTCCGACAGCCTTGAATTCCTCCAATGCTGGCTCAAAATGCTTGATGGCTCCTGACAATGCATAGATGGCCTTGGCGCGAACATATGGCTCAGGATCGGCCAACAAGCCAATGACAGGCTGGATACCACCCTCCTTCAAGAACTATTTGGAATGTAAACGAACATTTTTTGGATTAGTAAACAGTAACCAAGGTCCTATGGGCACAGCAATTGAAAATAATCTGATCCAATGATCTTGGGTTCACCATGATCTGTAAGGAAGAGGGTAGTAAACGTACAGCAGCCTGTGCCTTGGGGTTGTTCTGGGTTGCGGTTCCGCAGACCCATGCAGCCTGCTCTCTGTATTTGGGGTTGGTGCTCTTCAATTCCTCCAAGATTGGTGGCCACATCTTCATGTTCTCAACGTCTATTTTTGACAAGGCAATTGCGAGAGGATGAGATTAGTCATTGGAAAGACGTGAAAAGGATATCGACAAGAGCGTATGATACAAAAAAGGACGTACTGCAAGCGTTGTCGATCTGCTGGATCAACATCTCGAAATCCTCCCAGGCCAAATCCTTCTCGTCGTCGGTTGAGTGAGGGTTTTTGATGACCTGAAGAGCCTCGAGCATCATCTGCGATTCGCTCTTTCCGAGAATGGCCTCGATAAGACCGGGATCCTATCAGATATGCAAAGTAAAAAAAATAGTAATGGCAAGTGTTAAGATATGCGTCTTCAATGATCCTTGTCGGCAGTCGGTTCTTTAAACGCTGGGTGGTATGTGGTATTAGAGGCGTACCATCTTCTCCATGGGTTTGATGGTGGAGCTTCTGGGGGAGGCATCCTCCTTCTCGGTGGCCTGGTTAATGATTGACCACTTGAGCAATTCGTTAAGGGACTTTTTTTCTGCCATTGTTGATGTCGACGTGAGGAATGTGTTGAATGTGGAGAGGTGAAGAGCGGAGAGTGTGTGAAGTGGTATATATCCAAGCAAATTGTGAATGGAAACGAGTAGAAAGGCCCAGTAGGAAAAAGAACGTTCAAGAAGCAAAACACACAAAAAAAAAAGAAAAAAAAAAAAAGAGCAAGTCACCGATCTATGATCTGGGTCACGTGCCAAACGCGAACAGTACGCGCTTTCAAGGGGATGGTTGCAAGGGGTGCGGTAAGAAGGGGCACAAGGAAAGAGCATGCAATGCTGGCTACAGTCATGTCCTGCACTGCACTGTATATTACAGTCGTGAGGTGAAGGGAACTCAGTCGATCCTGAGTTGCTCAAGTGCCTGGACTCGATAACAATGGGCATTCAACAAACCCACTAATGTGGCAACCATGACCAAACAGATTCAGTGCGCAATTGGCTAGCCCTTGTAGTTGTTCTTTCAATAGCGAAAGGACGATAGTGTAAAAAGAAGGTGCCCGATCCAAGAATCAACCACGCAGAATGCAAACACAACGAAAAATAAACAGACATTATAAAAGAAGACACGCGTTCCAACCAGAACTGAAAGATTCACGACAGTCGGACGGTGCAGAGTGACATGGACACGAGCGTTAGCGTGCATGCATCTAAAACTTGAACGTCTATTCAGACTCCTCCTTTCCTTCTCAACTCGCTCCCCTCCACTTTCTCTCTTTTTCTGTTACGTTTTTTTTTGTCTGTCTGCCTGCTTTCCGTTGTCATTGCCACCCTTTCTTTCTTTCTACTTCCCCTCTACCTCTATGCATCTCTGAATGCATCATACCTTTTTTTCCGATATTCCTAGTTTCTGCGACGATTTTCCTTCTAGCCATTAACATCCCTCTCCTTTTATCCTTTTTTCCACCCCTCTCCGTATTCTTTCAACATTACAAACCATTCCTCCACACCTCCACACCCAAGCCTACACCGTCCTTCTTTTCTACGCATACACCCCCAACGCACAGCACCACCCCATCGACAAGCAAAAAACCACAGCAGCAAACAGCCTCTCCCATTCTTACAAACCAACACCCATACCCTCTTCCAACACAATGGCTGGTCAGGTAACCGTCGTATCGGATGTCGCATCTCCGCTACGACTACGAAAGGTCTCCAGCTCCTTCATCGCCCGTACATCCCTCGTCTTCGAGAAGGCCCCAAACCTCTCCTCTCAAGACTCTGACCTGTTCTCTCACGGCGACAGCCCCATCCTGAGCAACTATCGAACAGCGCCCAGCAGTCGTCGTGACAGCTTCACCTTCAGCAACGCGGCCCTCAACAACTACAATAACAATACCATCACCTCCAACAACAACAACAACAACAACAACGCCAATACCAGTTTCAACAACACAAACTCAATTCGAAACAGCTTCTCGATGGCGGACCTGTCTAACCTTGCGAACAAGAGTCGTCCCTTTGAGGGGGGGAATGTGCGCAAGCTGGTCACTTCGTTCTCTAATCCGGCGATTCACCTCAACATCAGCCAAAATGGGCACCAGTTGGGATTGAAGCCTGTTCGTTCGCCGAGTGTTCTTATTGAACCCCCCTCTGATGAATTGACGGCGTCCCATCTACATCTGGACGTTCTCAAATCGGCAATTGCTGTAGTAGACCCACCAGCACTACCAGTGCCACCACCACAACAACAGGAGGAGGTGGTGGTGGAAGAAGAGGATGGAGTGGTGGAAGAAGAGGATGAAGTGGTGGAAGAAGGGGATGAAGTAGTGGAAGATGAGGATGAAGTGGTGGAAGAGGATGTTGCAGAGGAAATCGAAGGCGTCGAGATGACTGTTGAAGTCCCCAAGGTGATGGTGGAGGTCCCCAGGATTGAAATTGGGTCTATATCGCCCCTCGCCCATCTCCCGATCGGCCCTATTGCGCGCATGAACTGTCGAGAGCAGACCGTCACAGATGAGGACGGCAGCTTCTGCCAGTCCAACCAGCTCCTTGCGGTTCCGTTCGGGGAGCGAGTCCGGTCGCACATCAAGGACTCCGGTGACGGCACACCCTGTCTGGAGTTGAACCCCTTCTCGCCCTACTCACCTGGGATCCTCAATCTCGAGTCCATTGTCGCCTTCAGCCACCAGACCGAGAACCACAAATCTGTCGATCTGAATGACTTTATTGAGACGGTCGATTTTGGAGGGGAGGGAGGGACATTCGATTATATCGGACAAGCGCTTGGATCCTCTCAGATGCCAGTTGAAGAGACCTTGGTTATGGAGCAGATCCTCTCCAACGCTGTCGAGGAGATCGACGAGAAGGAAGAGCCGATAGCAGTGGAGGAGAAAGAAGCGCTGATGCAGTCCGATACTCACGAGGGGCATGTCTTGGTGGTTCACTTGGAGGAGACCTTGGAAACAGTTGTGCCAGTTGAACCAACAGTCGAGAGTTACGCTGCTGAAGAGACAATCATCGATGACGCGCCCGAGGTCCAGCACCAACCGGCGCAAGAAATAATCTCAGAATCCCCTCAAGCATATGAAGCAGCACCTGTCGACAGTGCCTCCCCTGCCGCTCTCCCCAATGCCGTCTCCGAAGCACCTCCTGTCTCCACCTCCACTTCAACTGATACCTTTGAGTGCAAGAACGTCTCCCCAGCTTCTCAGAGCCGTCAGTCGTCCAGTCAGTTGAACCAGTGCCATGGTGGATCGATGGTGATGCACGACCTCCCTCACGAGCTCCTCCGTGAATCCCAGCTCTTGGAGAAGCGGCAGCAGCAGCATGGCAGCTATTCAAAGCTGAACGGGTCCTGTTTGTTACACTTGACGACATCCAGATGCTCGAACCATAGCGGACCTTCATCGATGCTTGCCTCATCTTCGACCTCCGGATCAACTGCTTCTTCATCAACTCGTCTCCAGACCCCACAGACCTGCAATGGATCGTTTGAGCGAAACACCGTCATGTCCGAGGATGACATCTCGATGCCTTCAGCCTCCGTTCAGTCGAGCGACCATGGCCACGGCCGGTCCTCTATCCAGTCCTCTTCTGCAGATAACGACGTAGCCGCAGGAGGGGGAGCAACCTCATCCTCTGCAGCGCCCCCCTCGGCGACATCGGGCAGCAAGAAGCCCGCCAAAATCGTGACCCGCCCCACCAAAGGTCTATCGATGGCGCTTGGTCGGACGTTTTCGATGATGCTCGACATCACCTCTGCAGCAACGACGGTTGGGTTTGAGGATGAGTCGCTTGAACATGTTGTCTCATCTAAAGTCTCTCGCACGGGCAAGCTATTTGCGCAAAAGATCAAGACGATTGCCAACTTTGAGTATAATACCTCCAGAAAGCTGGGTAAAGGCAACTTTGGGGTTGTCTACCAAGGCAAATCAACCCACGGCGATGAGGAGGTGGCGATCAAGAAAATTACGAGGAAACTCCCAGGAGAGATCGAGAAGCTGGGCTTGGTTCAGCGCGAGATGAAAGTCTGTCGTCTCTTCCGTAACAAGGTACAGCCACTTTTAAATTTCTATCCCCTTGTTTTCCTTTTACTCTTATCTTAGTCACTAACTTTCCTAATTCTTCATTGACAAATAGACGGGTATCGTGCCGCTGTTGGATATTATAACGACGAACAAGCACCACTACCTGGTCTTTGAAAAGGCGGAGGGTGACCTGGCAGAGATGATCAAGGCCCGGTGCAAGGACGCGACGGGCATCGATAGGATTAACCGGGACCCATACCAACAACCCATGTCTCCCTCCTGCACTCTCGGCGCAGTCTTCAACATCCACGAGATCCGGTCCATCATGCGCACCGTCGTCCTGGGTACCCAGTCACTCCACTACGAAGGGTTCAGTCACAAGGACATCAAGCCCGCCAACATTCTCTTCCGTGAAGGCCAGGGCCTCCTCTGTGATTTCGGTCTCTGTAGTCAGCGCGAAGAACTGCCTGACAACCAGTTCTTTGGTACACAGGATTATGCCAGTCCCGAGGCCCGACGCGTCGGTGGGCCCAAGAAGTGCGACTATATCCAGGGGGATGTCTACAGTCTGGGCGCAGTCCTGTATGAACTCGCGACGGGGTCGGTGCTGTCAAAGGTGATCAGTCAGGGAATCAATTGGCAGAAGCTGGCGCTGTTTGGAGGGAGATCGTTCAGCGAGTTGATTCAGGGGATGGTGGATGATCTAGAGAAACGATGGACGATCGATCGGGTGGTGAGCAGTCGGTTCTGGGATGAGCCTCACTCGGACTCTGCCTCGGCTATGACCGCCGTCTCGGAGTCGTTGCCTTTCTCTCCATTCTCGGCGACAACTGCTGCTAAGTTGATGCGACAGGTGGTTGTAGGTGGTGGCGGTGGAATTGATGTGGTGGCGGTTGGAGCGATAGGCGCAGTGGATTCTTCTACACCTTGACCAACTGTTGCATGGAATCCCTATCGCGCAAGGAGAGAGGACGGACGATCCGGATTTCTGTTTTGATGAACACACGCACCTTCTTGTTTTTGTTGCTGCTACTCTTTGTTTCTTTTTCTGCAAAAGCACTATGAGGTTTACAAAGAAATGTAACAGGTATGATAGTAAAATAGAAAACACAACCTAATTCCCCCGTCATGATTACACACAGAGCAGGGGGGCCAACGTTTTTTTTTAGTGGTGTTTATGCTTTTTTGAGGGCTTGGCTACAGATGACCACTTTTGCTTGCTCTCCTCTTTTTTTTGTGCCTGGAGGGTATAAATACCCATGATTTTGAGCGCGCAATTGCAATCGTACATAAAAAGATGACTATATTAGAAGGCACCCGGGACATGAGCATCCAGGCAGGATATGGGTATGGATGGGATTGCAAAAGAAGAGCTGAAAAATATGCTCACGAAGAACCAAAAGACGTAATCTTGTCAATCAGGGACCACTGTCCATGGTTTTCATTCTGTTGCTCTGCTCCCCTGGTCGAACTCAAAATGCAAAAGGTCGAATCATGACATCACTTGAAAATCACACATTTCGTAGAGGGGATAGTAGGAAAAGATGACCTGCAGACCGAGCACAACAAGTCAAAACAATCAACGAGCAAGGAGGGGGACCAAGCAACAAGGAAGCGAGGCACGCTGATGAAAATGTACGTGTACGGTGTGTGTGTGTCGAGTGGTCAATGATCGACACGCTAACCATTCGCGCTGCATTGGCCATTGTCAACAGAGAGAGAGGTGAACAGCAAAGGGTCAACGCCCTTTCTCTTTCATTTTTACTCCGCGCTCATTTTCTTTGTTGGTCGTTTCTTGTCATCATTTTCTTTTCCTCTTTTCCTGCATATTTTTTTCTTTCTTCTTCTCGTCGCTCTTTTCTTCCTTTCCCCCACACGCCACTCACACCTCTTCTTCTTACTTACTTACTTACTTACTTACTTACTTACCCCCTCACACCCCTCCTTCCTCACCCAGTCTTCTCCTGCGCCAGGATCTACATCCCCTCACCATGGCTCAATTCGCAAAACTCTCCATCTTTGGAACCGTCTTTGAGGTCACCACTCGGTATGTCTGTCTGTCATCCTGATTCTTCTGCCTCCCACACGCATAACAAACAGCCATGCGTACATACATACAAAAGTGTGCCACCATTCTAACTTTGTCCGTTTTGCTCACTTGCGGAATTCAAATACAACAGCTATGTCGATCTCCAGCCCGTCGGAATGGGCGCCTTCGGTCTCGTCTGGTAAACATACTCTCCTTCTCCTTGCTACCGTTATTGTGCTTTTGACTGTCATTGTGGCAGCACTTGTTGTTGCTTTTACCATTTGACTGATGTTCTTTTCACACTGACCAAAAACAACGAACAAATAGCTCGGCCAAGGATGAGCTCACTGCTCAGCCCGTCGCCATCAAGAAGATCATGAAGCCCTTCAGCACCCCTGTCCTGTCGAAGCGCACCTACAGAGAGTTGAAGTTGTTGAAGCACCTCAAGCACGAGAACGTATGTCACAATGCCGCTATATCAGACTGATCCCGCAATCTCGACTTTATTTTTATAACGACAGGGTTCATTCTGGAAGAGACAAGGAGGATATAAGCTAACAGCATTGTGATCATGTTCCTTGTGCACTACTCTCTTCCTGTCATTAGATCATCAGCTTGAGCGATATCTTTATCTCGCCACTGGAGGACATGTAAGTAGACAGGAAAGACAAGCAAGCAACCAAGACTGAACAAGAGTTAGAGTGGGCGTTGAGTCTTGGTCGACAAATGAACCGGATTCCAATTGACGCGGCGATCTGGACTCGACACGAGTGCACCCATGCTCCGTCACTGACGCTATTGTTTTGTTGTCCTTTGCTTTTTGGGTTTGCCCACGCTCATCACTCCCTGTTGTCTTCCTTTCTTTTCTTCCATGCGAACTCTTTTAGTTACTTTGTGACAGAGTTGCTCGGAACGGATTTGCATCGTCTGCTGACCTCGCGACCCCTTGACAAGCAATTCATCCAGTACTTTTTGTACCAGATCTTGGTACGTTTTTTTACTAACGCTTTTCTGTCTTTTACTTTTTCCTTGTGAGAAAATGCCTTATGTTTGTCAAAGTGGGTGTTCGCGCTTTGTTATTTCCATCTGCCTCCCTAATGACGTATCGGCTCGTGGAAGGAGCCCGCGGACAATTATTGAGCTCATCGATCTCTTTTTTTCCTCCTCAACTTGAACTATCATCACACGTTCCTTCTCCCTCAGAATAACCACTGTCAACAACAAATGCCTAAGAAATGCACAGGACGACGCGCCCAAGTGTGAATTGACTGACCCACAACTAACCATGACCTCTGCTTCACTCTGAACCCCATGTCTATAGCGTGGTCTCAAATACCTTCACTCGGCTGGAGTCGTCCATCGTGATTTGGTACGTCTCTTTGACTGCGACTGCGCTCAATTTTCAAACAAACAAAAACTTTTTTGAACTCGTCGCCCCCCCTCCTTTCCTGGTCACTGTGGAAATGAAAGAGACCTTATCTGTGTCATTGAAAACCCTGGCTGACTTGAAAATAACTTTTTCCGATCTTTAGAAACCAAGCAACATTCTGGTCAATGAGAACTGCGATCTCAAGGTACGAACGGAAACTGGCACCAAAACTACGACCGAACACCTTTTGCTTCCCTTCCCAAAACAACGACTAATCCTCAAATGACTTTGACCTTGACCTTTAGATTTGCGATTTCGGTTTGGCTCGTATTCAGGATCCCCAGATGACGGGATATGTCTCGACTCGCTACTACCGTGCACCAGAGATCATGTTGACTTGGCAGAAATACGACGTCGCCGGTAAGGATACCTCTGTCATGTATGACACTCAAGAAGACACAATCATGGCGCCATTGTCATCTGAACCAACCGACTGACATCAATTCTTCTACCCATACCCTCATAGTCGATATCTGGAGTGTCGGGTGCATTTTCGCCGAGATGTTGGAGGGCAAGCCCTTGTTTCCAGGAAAGGATCGTAAGTCAACTGGATATTACAGACTGCACTGAATAGAGGCCTTGACACCAATTGTTGACAGAGACGATACTGACAGTGCGCATCTGAATTCTTCGACGCCAAACGTACTTAGACGTCAACCAGTTCTCGATCATCACTGAATTGCTCGGAACACCCCCAGATGATGTTATCAAGACCATTGGAAGCGAAAATGTATGTTGCAACGCTATTACTCTATTGGCTGTCAATTGAAGAAGGGAATGGCTTTGCTCACCTTCGTTTACCACATTCATTCTGTACCGTATGTAGACCCTCCGCTTCGTCCAGTCGCTTCCAAAGAGAGAGAAGATCCCATTGGCGACAAAGTTCCCCAACTCGGACCCTGTTGGTAGGTTACGATGGGTTGACGACCTTTTCTGTTTATCTTAAGCAGACGGCATACTCCGTTGCATCTCGCTCCGCGATAATGTTACAAGTAACTAACGTGCACTCTTAAACTTAACGATTTGTTCATTTAGCTTTGGATTTGCTCGAAAAGATGTTGGTGTTTGACCCCAAGAAGCGTATCAATGCCGGCGATGCGTTGTTCCACAAGTACTTGGAGCCTTACCACGATCCCGATGATGAGCCCATTGCTGCCGAGGTCTTTGACTGGTCGTTCAACGATGCGGACTTGCCCGTCGATACCTGGAAGGTCATGATGTACAGCGAAATTCTGGATTTCCACCATGTGGATGAGGCACAGGGCTTTATAGGCGATGTCCCACAGCAGTAAGCGCCTTTTGCCTAAACAATTAAAACTCTCCGTTTGGCGTCGAGGCTGTTTGTCCGCCGCACATTCTTTGACAAAAGGAGAGAAGGAGGCAAAATCGACGCCACCCGTCCCATACTGCATGGAGATGTTCTTTCTCTCTCTCTCCTCCTTCGTCTTCAACCTTCTCACGTTATCTCTATTCTCATTTCTTCCCGTTTTCACTCACTCTTCGATATTATTTTGTACATGTTATTCGCTTAGTTAAAAAAGAAATAAAAACATAAAACATAGTGTGTTGTTTGCAGGATCTGAAGAACAGGGGTAAGGAAAAGAATAAAAGAAACGCCAGCGCCATCGCATTTCGACAAACCAAATTGGTGGCAAATTGCTACGATATGGTGAAACAAAACAAGCAAGGCGAATGTTGGATAGCTAAGGAATGCGAAGTTTTTTAATGCTCAGTGGTACGCACGACGACGGTTTTCGAGCCCTAAGGTCTGCCTGGTCCTCGTCTCTTGGGGCACTACCATCACTGGCAGAACAGGACGCAGGGCCAAAATTGAAGCTGCATTAACAACTTTAGTCGCGGGTTGCCTTTACGTTGGAAGACGATGATGCCGAGGCGAGGGACGGATCGGTGACTCGGAGTCGGACTCGACGGACAGATTGGGCTCTGGCTCTAGCACGGGTTGTAACGGTAGGTGTGATGATCGACGAAATTGAGGCGGATCGGTTCTTGAAGGATAGGGAGCCTTTGGGTCGACCTGGGCCTCGCTTCGCCATGACAGTATCAGTATCAGGAGGATGAGATGAAGGAGGACGGGGTCGACTCCTGGATGACAGAGAGCCCTTCTTGGGTCGACCAGGACCTCGCTTCGCTGTATCAATGACGTCAGGAGGATGAGGAGATGGAAGCTGTTTCTTAGTGATACCTCTGGGCCGGCCAGGACCTCTCTTCACTGCGGCAACATTTGGTGGCGGCGATGGAAGTGTAGCGGCGATAGGCGACAGAAGAGAAGGAGGAAGAGCAATAACGAAGGATCCTCGGACTTGCAGATCGACATGTAGATCGCTCTCGTCTTTGTCCTCGCTGATGCTGTTGTTGTTGGTGGCGTCGCAATGCTGGCGGTAGCGATCAACAGAAGACGACGAAGAACGGGCAAGGTGGCGCGTGGGGATGTTTTCATTGCTGAAGGTGTCGTCATCGTCTCCTTGTTGCCAAGTCGGAGTAGATCTGTCGTCATTGCTGCCCAGGTTGTCGTCGTTGTAGTCGTTGTAGCTGTCACCAAAGAGGAGCGCGATACGGTTGAGGACTCGGATCTGGCGACAATGCAACGAGTTCTCCTCTTCGTCTTCATAGTGGAGTCCAGTCTCGAACCTGTCTGGCTCTTCAGAGAGCTGTTGTCGGTAGCTGTGGTGATCCATAATCATATTTTCGTTCTTTGTGGGGCGTTCGTATATATGCTAGTTGGTATTATTGTGCAGACTTGAGAGTGTGGTCGAAGAATGATGAAAGCAAACATGGGTGGGGAAGGTATGTTTTTCGATCGCTCTTTTTGTACAGGACAAAGACGAAGGAGACTTGACAAGCTTTGTCTGATCAACAAAGAGAAGCCAGTTTCATGACCAACACAACAAGAAACAGAACAAGCTTGAGGCGAATGCACTATTATCGGAGTCGTTCTAATGGTTCCTCGACTTTTTATATCAAAAAGATATCAAATAGCAATACTGCAAGCTAAACAAATATGCGCGAATCCTCCTCCTCCTTCTCCGATGTGTGTGGTGTTTGTGTGTGTGTGTGTCCTGACTGAGAGTTTGTTGATGCGAGAACAGCTTCCTCACAGAAGAAACTCCTTGTCGTGATGGAAAAAGGGTGATGGCTTTAGATCATCTTTCTGGCCTCAAAGAAGCCACGGAGATGACGCATCTGCCAGGCGCAGGTGATGGCCAACACCACCAACTGAACAATAGTCCATGTTACAGTGTGTCCGTTGGTCGCCTCGCTCTTGTCACGGAACTCTCTCTCGTGGTCCTATTGATATTCATTGGGATAGACTTGGTCAGCGAAAAAGTGTTCCACCAAGCAGGAATATAACAAGCTCGACATCCATAATACTATTTCTATGAGGTGCTTACACGAAGGTATGACTGCTCGCGTCTGATATCGTTGACCTTGTGGTTCAAATCACGGACACGCTGGGCCAAGTCTAATCAACAAAGTAAGTTCGCGTAACGAGACCAACAATTGTTAGCATTACTCTCTTCAGTCATGCTGCAGGATAAAGAAATAGAACGCATACGCTATGCCTTCGTCCTTGCTGTGATTAAATGAAAGGTCCCTTACCACTCAAGGTACCCTCGGAAGCCTCGGTAGCATCATCCATAATGTCGCGAATCGCCAAGTCCAAGTTCAGTCTCTGTTCTCGATTGACGCCATAGGTAAAGGGTTATGGTTAGCAAGAGGATACGTGATAGAAACACAGATCAGCGAGGTAAAGAGAAAAAACGCGTAAAATAGCACACATCTGATCCAACGAAACGAAAAACAGCAAACGTACGATCTTGGTGGAACTGAACCATCCGGCGGTCGAGGTGAAGATGCAGATCGCGTGCTGACCAGACTCGGCAGAGGTGAACTTGAACTGGCCCTTGGGGCTCAACTTTTGGCTGTAGATCCTGTTACCCGATGGCAATTCCTATCAATGGTTAAGAAAGGGAGAGGGTGGTCCTCTAAGGTTAGAGAACAGGCCTGTAGGAGAAACAGAACAAACGATGCCTAAATATACACAAAAAGAAGAAATAGATGAAAGATGAAAGATGAAAGGGCACTCACATCGACGATGACCTCGATTCCGACCTCCTTGTTGTGAATAAACTTATTGTGCTCCTCGCTCCATTCCTCGGCGGTATAGTCACCTAATCAAAACAAGGAAGCAAACGTGGAAGGGTCTTGTCAACAACCATTCATCTTGTAGTTATGAATGCGAGCCTTCTGGGCACATCATCTTGCCAACGCGCCTCTTCCTAGGCAGATCCTGTGTATGTATTGATAGCGTCTAGCTGTCTTCCTTGTTTCGTCTCCATCACGTTCTTATTGTGATCGCCGTACTGCTATTGCTGGCTATTGTCACTTCTTCGCCTCACAAGTCGAGTGGTCGGTTTACCTATGACCATGGTCTCCTTGGGGAGCTCCTCGGTGAAGCACTTTTGCTCGGAACCCTCGAGGTAGAAGTAGAGTCCAAACACGGAGGGGAGGATGCTGAGGAGCACCAGCAAGCAGATGCTCCAGCGAGTGACGTTGATGGCCATGGCTGGGTTGTGTGATGGTGTGAGTTGAAGCGATTGGGTGAGTTGATGAGTTGTGAGAGAGGGATGTGAAATAGGAGCGTGTGGGCTGAAGGGGGCCTGAAACGAAAGCCGTCCGTCCAACAGGATCAACCACGTCACACACACACACACAAAATCTTTAAATGTTTAGGCGCAAGAGCAAACCATCGACCTCACTGGGTTACCATACTGGCAGGCAGACAGACAGGACTTAACTGCTACCTTCAACTACTCCTTCTTATGCCTGTCATATGCTGCCTAGTGTGCTGCGACATGGTATACCAAGGTTCAATTGACTGTCGATCCTCTGGGAGGCACGCTTTTATTCTTTTATTGGTGACAAGGTGCCAGGATCTCAGAATCACAATGACCGTGGGTAGATCGATAAAAATGAGATGAAACGTTCACCTCGCTCATGTCTGCCTTCTTGACAGACAATAACATAACATAACAATAGGATACCACTCTTCAGAACGAAGGACCTGATCCTAGGTATGCCGGTTGGTGGCGCCTGTTCTCGATGGCCGTAGGATATGCGACCATTCGCCTTGTCGGTGACATCATTCGATCGCGAATTTATTCGCGCGTTGAGTTAGGGGTTGACAACATATGAATTTCGCCGCTGACTCCTCTTCTTTCACCTCGTCTTGTCGGCTCACATCCCACTTTATTTTTTGCTTTCACACCCTTTCTTTCCTACTTCCCTCTTGTCTTTCCGCACTCACGACCCCCTTCCGCCTCGCAACCTCCCCATTCACTCCTCCTCCTCCTTTTCCCCTATCCTCACCAACTAAACCACCAACCAGCCAACGACTCAGAGAAAAATGGTGTCGCACACTGTATCAAGGTGGACACAACCCACCGCAGTGCTCTCAACAATCCTTGCGCTCTACCTGGGCTATAAGGCACTTCGGCTCCTCGACAACCAACGCAGGCATAGGGCCATCGAACCTTCCCCCACAAGCCCTGTTCTCGTCAGCCACTTTCAATTTGTCAAAGTCAATGGCAAGCAACTGCGAATCGTCCACATCCCTCATGCCCTTGGTTCAAAAGTACCTCTACTGGTCTTTATTCATGGCGTCGGCGGACAGGTAAAGAACAAGAAGAAGCAACAGATAGCTTGACAATGCTAGTAGACTCAACTCTCTTTATTTTTTGCTCAGTGTTCGCCATATAACTTCAAAAGTATTATTTTATGTGTCAACCAAGACGCTTTTTCGTATCGTAACACATATTCCTCCCTCCATCATGCTCCGGTATAGCTAGAGCAATTCGAGAAGCAGATTGAGTATTTCAGCCTTAGTACACACATCCTGGCCATTGACCTGTGCGGGTATGGTGCCAGCGACGTGCCAGAAAGGTAAGCACCCCGCTTGCATCGATGCTTTGCCTCCTAATGCCCTATCGAATGAAAGCGTGTACAAGAAAATGAGACCCTCTGTTTACCAGCCATGCTTTTTTTCTCACACTCCTTCCATTTCTCCTTTTTCTTCGTTCTAGTTTTGACAATTACACAACTAGCGCCTATGTGGAAGATGTGGTGACTTTACTCCAGCGCTACAAGAGCGAGGACACGGTCGTGATCTGCCATTCATACGGTTGCACCATAGGGACACATCTCTACTCTCGTCTGGCGACTTCGGAAACCCTGAACAACTCGATCAAGGCCATGGTAATGATTGGACCCAAGGCTGTGATTACCGAGCATGAGATAAAGGGGCGGGCTCAGTTGGCAAAGACGCCGGATTGGGTCGTGGATTTCGCACGTAAGCTGGATCGAATGGGCGGGATCCACTCTAAATCCGTCAACCGTCTCCTTCATGCGAGCGCAGGTGACGATCTGAGGCGGAGACAGCTTCGATGGAACAAGGCATCGAGGACGTTTGTTTTGAGGCGATTGATGGCAGGTGTACAATGGCCATCTCCAGTCGACTTTCAAAGGATCCAGTGTCCACTTTTGCTCATGTCTGGAGAAGATGTAAGCAATGCAGACAGTACATGGAATACAGAATTCGAGTGTCAATTCAAGGGGACGAAAACTAACACGAATGGATATTATTGGCGTTATAGGATCGAGTGTGCCCGGCGGTCAATGCGGAACAGATATATGCATGGTGCAGAGCGACCAACGACAGGATACAGTCACCGCTCATCATCCCCAAAGCAGGACACCAAACCATGTTGGAGAAATGGGAGCACGTTACGCCTATTATCAGCTCGTTTTTGATCAAGGACTGCGGCATGACTACCATGGATCCCGCCTGGCAGATCACCAAAAAGTGTCAACAGGAGAACAAATGGAGTCTCAAGAACACGGAAAAGGTATCATAATCGCTTTCCTTTGCACCGCCGCCTCAATCCATGTTGGCTATTGTCAAACGACTGACTTGAGCTCTAATTGTTTGTTTCTAATAGTGGATGAACACACCCATCATGTCGTCACCTCTCGGCAGGGGGCCAGGAAAATTCAGGGCGATGAAGGTGCTTCGACAAACTGACCCCGACCACTCTCCTTCGGCATTTTTGGCAAAACATCCGGAAGTAGGCTTTATTATTGACATGTCAAAGGATGAGCCCCCATATCGAACCACAGACTTTGAGGCTACGTCGATCACATATACCAAGCTCGCCACAGTCAGCAAGATCCCACCTCCCAAGGAGGATGTTGAACGGTTCATCGCTCACTGCAATGCCTGCTGGAAAGAAAAGCCAGGTGTCGACATTGCCGTCCATTGTCATTACGGGTAAGGATCAAGGATTATCGTGCAAGTGCGTTGTTCTTGAGAGTGAGTGTGCACTTGAACTGACGCGAACCACTCATATCACTCGTCAATTTCGAATTCAATAGGTTCAACCGGACTGGATTTATGCTGTGTTCGTACCTGATCCAGGAACAAGGCTACTCTGTCGCTGAAGCACTGCACCACTTTGAACTAGCACGACCACCCCGCGGCATCAGGTTCGTGAATATCATGTTCTCAGTTGTTCTCTTTCGTGTTCAATTTCACTCTTCTAGATGCGTCATGCTAACTTTTTGTTCGTTCCCTCTTCCTTTGATGCGCGAAATAGACACGATCATTTCAAAGGAGAACTCTACCTTCGCTATGAACCTCCCAAGCAGCTCAAGGCGTGAAAGTTCTCTAATAAAGGCATTAATACTATATAGTAGTAGGTCGTCCATGTATATTGTAGATAGTGCTGACGGATTGCAGAGTAGAGATTTTGAGATGCAAGAGAACATGACTGATGAAACAACTTATCACGCACAGGCCATGATCAACGAGTGATAACTGATGGTGCCTGAATTCAAAATAGCGTTACCCATTATAGCGCACACTGATAAAGTCTGCAGCAATCGCAGTGACAATCTTTGATCGTCTCCGATGCCCACCTTGCACAAAAACCGAGTCAGAAAGTGATCATCCTTTTGCCAAACCCTCAGGCTCCACTACCTTCCTCAATCATGAAAGAACAGGATCTCCCTGATCATTAGTCGTGGTATTCATGCGCATGCTTCCCCCTCCCCAAAAAAAAGGTGCAACGAAGACGTGTCAATATATATCGCGTCCTATCCACACTTCCTCTTGTTCATCGCAAGAAGAGCAACAACCATTTCCGTCAAAAAAACAAAAAAAGAAGAACGCTCCTGGGTGGGCTTGAACCACCAACCTCCTGATTAACAGTCAGACGCGCTAGCCAATTGCGCCACAGAAGCTCGATGATAACCATAAATCTTGTACATTGATATTACACAGATTTCATCAAGAGTTATCACCTGATCCAGGGTGTACCGAGATTTAAGCCATGGATCACGTGATATTTAGGCTACCTGGGCGAAGTTGCAGTAGAAAACAAGGACAACTAATGAACAGAAGGAGGGCAACGCGTCCAGTTGGATGTCATAGTTCGCCGCGATAGATGGAATATTCTCCTCTCAGTTGTAGGGTGAACGAATGTGTAGTGAACAATGTTTTTTCTTTTTTATTCTGTAATGCAGCAAATAGGTTAGTAACTCAGAGCCTGGGAGTCTCAGTGGTGGGAGAGGTAGGAGGGCTGTCAATGCGAGTTGATGGCAACATGGCAGTCGCCACAGCTGAAGCTTGTCGCAATCCAAGAGCCATACCCGCAGGAACTGGATGTACAGGCGACAGAATCTCTGGATTCGCAGATACCGCAGCGGAGGCAGCAAGTGGACCCGTCTTGAGCTGGGGCAACAAGTGAGGATCGACATTGCACTCATCCATCAACTCGTTCACAAAGACGTCAACCTCGGCCTCCATCTCTTCATCAACTTCAGGGAAATTTTCGAGGTGATCATCGTTACGGTAGAGGGAGAGGTATGAATCTGTACCATACCCTTCCATCGAGATGAGCGACAGGTCACCGCCAAAGTACCGAGCGATCACGCGAGCGAGCGGCAGGCCGTGTCCCGATCCGTGGAGAGGCGAGTCCAAGTAGTCTTTGGCCTCACTGACAACACCGCCCATTGTGGCCAACGAGTCGGCGGCGGTGGCAAACATGGTTGAGCTGGCGACATCTTGAGAAGGATGAGATGGTCGAGACTTAACAGAGTTGACATAGCTCCAGATGTTTTCCATGTCCGACAAGGCCAGTCCGCCTCCTTGGTCCGTAATCTTGATCGTCACATCCTCACCGCCATCAACAAGCGTCAGCGTCACCGGCGGCATTGCAGACCGAGCAGCCGCTCCTCCCTTTCTCTCCGTCGACAACCCAATGGTCACGGGAGACCCATCACGAAGGTGGGCATCACATGTCGCACGCATAGAGTTCTTGAGCAACTCATAAATATTCCTATGCAAGAACTCGTCGATATAGGTGGCCGAGATGTCAGGGTTGGGTGTCTGGATCATGACCGAGGGTGCTGACTGACCATAGTGAGCTGCACAGACTCGCTGGGCGTCACGGATGGCTTGCTTGGAGATCGAGAGGGGATTCACGCGTTGGATTAGGTTCATGCCTCTGTCATGCAGTGCCAGATGCTCTCCTGTTGAATGTCAGAGAAAGAAGGAAGGTGAGTTATGATGTCATGATACTCCCTCCAAGGCGCATGTTTGGGGTGTGGAAAAAAATGCGACGATTGGAGAAACCTCGGGAGCAATATGGCACTAGTGCATGAGGGAAATGAGAAAATAGCGCACCCGCTAGCCGCCACACCACTACTTCTACCACATCAACCTGCATAAAGTAACTTTCTGCGTCCTTTTTTTACCACAAGTCTGCAGCAAAGAAAGAAGCACCCAGACAAAAAATCGTGGTGTATAAAACAAGACTTACCAATCAAGAGCCGAGTACCAAGGTTGATAGTATAGAACCGGTTAAAGAAGGATTGTATGGCTTTGTCGGTCTCTGGATCAATGCATCGATCGTTATTGCCATCTTTCGTACTACTGCCGCCAGAGAGAACTTGGTCCTGTTTGGCGTCATATTGGCCTTGGACAGTAGCGACCAGCTCCCTGAAGCCTTGACTGATGGCTAGCATCTTTACCTTATGTCGTTGTTCCAGGTTTCTGAGCAGGGCCGTGAATTCTTCTTCCAGCTTGGGTGTGGATGGCTTTGGCATCTGTGTTACCAAACTATGAGGGATTCGATAGAATGAATACTCAGAAAAGTCAATTGGAAGTTCATGATAAAAAAAAATATCATGTTAGACCGAGAGTGAGGAAGAGGAAGGGACAACAATGTTGGTGTCAACTGGATGCCCTTTTAACGAATGTGGAAGTCCCTCACTTCTCTTTTGGAATAGCAGTGTCATGAAATAATTAAGGGATGATCTTTGACAGTGTTGGCGAGAGAATGGGCTACTCTGTCTTTCCCTTTTCGTTCTATCCATTTTACTCTAGAATAAGATCATAGGGATAACTTTAACCTGTTATGAAAGAAAATAATATGAGGAAAGGGTGTCTTCCTTTCTATTTGTTTTCACCATACCTGATGTCTTCGACGTAAGATCGGGCGACCTGTTGGAAGGTCGGCATGTCCGTCATGTTGACCGGCAGCAGCGTCGAGTTGAGCAGCTTGAGTGCGTGTGACAGCCGAATGGGGAGTTCTTGGTGCAGGAAGACAGCCGGGATCACTAGAGCGCTCTGGTTCTTGGACTCTAGCACATGTCTGTTGAATCATTGTTAATTGGAAGATGTGTAGAAGATAGAATTGTTAAAGAAAAGGATGTCATCAAAGAAAAAGAGCAGAGACGAGATCCTCCATCAGAGAAAAAACGGTGTTTACCTTCCGAGGCTGTACATTTGCTTGAGCTAGATAAAGTAGAATGGAGAGATGGATGTGGAGGTAAGTTGCTCCTGCGCTCTGAAAGAAAAAATATGTTCTTTTCAGGTCGATAGCACTTGTTCAACTGAAGAGCATTGGCGGGGTTGTTGTAATGAGTGTCAATGCGAAAGGGCTGCTTACAGAGAGTCTTGTTGCCTTTGTGCGACATAGCTTAGAGACCAGGTCGGTCGGTAAAGCATGAAAGGCTGCCTGAGTTCTGTTCATTGTTCAACGAAGGCGAAATTGTGGTTGATTATAGTGTTGTTTTGTTGTAGCGTGAGTTGTGGTTGATGCGAGGGATGTAGTGAAGAAGTGGATAGAATGTTGTTATTATTGATATTGGTGGATGTAAGAGTAATTGTTGGATGTGATGGCAAAGAAGAAGAGGACAGAGACGAGGGGGTGTCGAGGATGGACTTAAAGGGTGACGGGGCCATGTCACCGTGGACGATAGCGAGTGCCGGATGAGGATTAATGGTTTATGCTACAAGGTTATCCGTCAGGAGAAGGGGGCTTTTGAATGAGTGATTTGATGTAAGAGGATGGCAAAGAGAAGAAAAGAAGTAGAAAGAGCAAACAAGCGTGGTGCGAAAGAAGGAAAGAAAAAGATCTGATTCCACCTCCATCTGGTCCATCTCCTCATTGTTCATCTCAACTTGCCCATCGTCATCATCTCACTCTCGTGTTCAGCTGAGCACCGCCAGTCTAGTTTCTGTCGTCCTTCAATGCCTTCCATTTTTGATTCGTTGGTCAAGGAGAGTCCTGCATCCACTAGCCAAATCTGTCAGACAACCTTCGTCATCGAGCGCCTTCCCTTCTTTTCTTCTTTCCTTCTTTACATTTCCTATGCGACCCTCACAGTGACCCCTCTCAATGTCTCTTGCGGCAAGGTGTCATATCCGGTGTTGTCCTGACTAGTAAAACGTCGTTCCTTTTTCAACGGTCCCTACTGAATATGCTCTGTGCGCGTTTCCATTGCCTGTTCCTCTCTATGACCTGAATGACTCTAGTCCTCAGCTATGTTTGCACAGGTGTTGCAGCATGGTGTAGATTGTATATGCGATAAAGGGTTTATTAGGAGAGGTCTATATTACAAGAAGATGTGGCAGTAGTAAAAAAGGGTTGGTAGGAAAGAATGGGGGTTCTTTACATGACCAAGGAGGAGATACCGGCGGCAATGACAGCCAAGGCCGAGACCATGGTCATGGATCCAGCAAGGGAGGAAGCAGCGTTCCCGTGGTCAGAGTGATCGCCACTGGTGGGCTTGGGGTCAGCAGATCCCGAGGTAGTAGCGGGGGCAGCGGGGGCCTTGTAGGTAGCGTTACAGAAAGGAGCAAAGGTGGTGTTCTTGCACATGGCGTTGAACGAGGGGCATTGGCTCATGTCGGGCATGTCCAAGCACAATCCCTTCCATGCAGAGACTTCATCGCACTGGCTGTATCCGGAAGCATTGGGGGCGGGGCAGGTCTTGCAGTCGGTCATGCCGGGCATCTCCTGGCAGACAGAGTAGATAGCGCCAGTGACGATCTTGCCCGAGGGGAGACCAGGGAAGGTGGCCTGGGTCTTGCAGTTGGGGATCAGCGAGGTGGCGCTGCAGAAGACAGAGTAGGACTTTGCACAGGCAGCTTGGGTGACGGCGGTGTCCTCCTTGGCCGTGCAGAGGGTGGCGAGGATGGTGAGAGGAGCACAGTAGGTAGGGTTGAGGGACTTGTCGGCGGCACAGGCGACGTTGAGCGAGCATCCGGGGAGGTACGTGTTGGCCGTGCAGATCTCGGTAATGGCGCTGGTGATGTTGGCGGTGGGGATGGAGTAGTTGGCGCAGGAGGCGTCGGCAGGGTTGGTCAAGCAGACCGAGGGAGTGGTATCACCGTGGTCGTGGCCCTCGTGGGCAGAGACAGTGGCGACAAGGGCGGTGGCGACGGCGAGGAACAATGAGGTACGCATCTTGAGTTGGTTGTTGAGTTGGTTGGTGTTGAAAGGGAAGTTGTTGAGATTGTGGTTGGAGTGAAGAAAGAAGAGTGGGAAAGAAGAGGGTTTTTATGTATTGGAACTGACAGGAAGGGAGGAGGTGGCGAAGGAACAGGTTTGACAGGTTGGAGAGTGAAGAGGACCTCGCTGGCCATTGTCGCAGAACAACATTGTGGATTGGGTTGGATTGGGTCGGATTTGGGTTGATACAAACAAAGAGATGGAGTATGTGGGAAACCGAGGAAAAGCAAGAAGAGAGAATTACAGGGGGCACAAGGCAACAGGTCTTCGTCGTCATCTGGTGTGAGAGCGAGAAGGGAAAATATGGCGAATGAATCAAACTCAATACTATGAACATATGAAAAAAAATATGTTTAAACTCAAAATGACATTCTCTTGGTGTGTGTTTGGGTTTTGACAACCTTTTTCCGTCGGGACTCGATTCCATCCAATTGCCAGTCAAGCAAGCAACCACCGTTGACAACCTGTGCGCCCAACAGGTTGCTATTTCATTCATTATTCTTTCTCTTTGACTTTATCTTTTCGGCGTTGCTACCCATGTTGGCGATAAGTGAAGGAGCTTGGAGGGCGTCTTGTACTTTTTGAAAAGTAACATACAAGCAAGACAAGGCAAGCGGAGGTCTTGACAGACCCCGAAAGGTACTCACTCTCCCTATTCCATCTTAGGGGTCGATTTCTCATCTCTTTCCAATTCAATCGGCGACATACTGACATGCACAAACAAACAACAAACAAAGATGATTCACACACACCACTCACACACATTTTTCATCTCTGGGGATGGATCCAGTTTGAGTGTCTTGTCTGTCTTCACTTCTATTCCCCCCACTGGTTTACCTTGTCACTTTTATCCTTCTCTTCTTTTCCCTTCTCTCTCTCTCTCTCTCTCTCATACATACACACTTCTCTTTCTCTTTGCACATACACACACACTCCTTCACATTTACCCGCCAGCCCTTGCCTCGCACCCCCTCGCGCCTAAAAAAAAGTCTGTCAAACTTGACAGCTCATCTACTTTCGGCCCATTCACTTTCACTCATTCCGCATCGCAGTTTTCCTTTTTGACATTCTTTTTTGACATTCTCGATTCATAAGACAACTCCTGACGCCCGCCTCAACCCACACCGACTTGGCGTTCTCCCTTTCCTCTTCCCTTTAGTTTTTCCATTGCTGACAGTTCTCAGTTGATATAAACCAGGAGGGTCGTCGTCCTCTTTCCCACTTTTTTTTTCTATTTTTTTCTTCACTTCGATCATTCGATTTCACACCTACATCCCCTGAAATATTCTCCCTTCCCTCCCCTTTGGAATGATGCTGCAATCGCTCGTTCCTTCCAAGGCTTCGGCCTTCCTTGCCGTCCTCCTGGCCCTCACCGCAGGAAGCCAAGTCCAAGCCCAGGCGGTCAACTGTCTGGTCACCCCCTCAGACCCCTCATGCGTCTCTTTCGTTCTTCCTCCCGCAACAGTCACGGCTGATATCGAGGGACTCTGCACCCAGATGCCCTACATGCCCGGCTGCTCCCTCTACAGCTCCTGCAAGGCCGCCTCCAAGACCGACCAGTGGTGCACCCCCTTCTCCGTCCTCGCCGACATCTGCTCGGTCGATATGCCCATGATGAAGGACTGCAAGAACTATATCGCCCTCTGCGGTTCCGCTGCAAACCAGACCACTGCCTCAAGACCCTCTGTCTGCACGTCTGCCCCTATGATCGAAGCTTTCCCCACCACCAAGAACGCCTCGGCCCTTGTCATCGACATCTGCACAGAGATGGACATGGCTGGCTGTGAGCGCTGCCCCAAGCCTGCACCAGGTGCCTATGCCGCCGACTGCGATACCCTTGGCACCTACGCGATCCTCTGCAAGGCCATGCCTGATATGTCCCAATGCGCGACCTGGAAGTCGATGTGCTCTGCCTCTTCTGCCACCGCCTCGTCCTTGAGCTTCCAGTCGTCTGAGTACTGTGCCGCTGGTGTGGGTAGTCCCGAGATGAACCCTCCCGCCATGCGCATGTACTTCCACTTGGGTTTCTCCGACTACGTCCTCTTCGAAAAGTGGGTCCCCCGCAACCAGGGCCAGTACGTTGGCACCTGGTTCGCGCTCTTCTTCTTGACTCTCGTCTTCCAAACCATCTCGACCTACCGCACCTGCCTCGAGTCTCGCTGGGCTGAGGAACAGGCGGCCGAGAACGACGACACCTCCAAGTCCGATTCCTCTGAGCGTCTTACCTCCTTCGGCGGTGATGGCAAGCATCGGTCGTCGATTTTCATGCACTGGATCCAGCTCTGGCGCCAACCCTGGTCTCTGAAGGAGGTCAAGCAGAACGTCATCCGCGCCCTCTTGACCTTTGTCGAGACCACGCTTGGCTATGCGTTGATGTTGGTTACCATGACCTTCAACGTGCCTCTGTTCTTTGCCGTCATTGCCGGTCTGACCATTGGATCTGTTGTATTTTCAAGACAGCGTTCCGCCGGAGTTGCTCGGGGTGACAGCAACTCCAGCGCCACCGGATGCGCAGGCTGTGGATAAGCTATGTCCGCGATATCTTCTTCATATACCATCCATTACTTCACAATAAATGCATACTTCTTTGAACAATAACACCTATGCCTTTCAATGACATGTACTAAAGAAGAAGGAAAACAACGTGAAAAGACCATGGATCTAGAATCACTCATTCTATGATAGTCTCTACACTCCATACTTTTTTTTGTCATGTTAGCTGCAAAGGTAAATGCTCAACCCACTAGTCCAAGTTCACAATCGATAGTTGGTGCTTATTAGTTTACTTTTTTTTCTGACAAGGTCAACAAGGTACCCACTTTGAGATTGTCAACAATGGCGCATCCTCCCATCCTTTTCAGGCCCATCAACAAGAGCGCTCTTTGATCGCATGTCAGGGGGGACGGTCGGCGCCTTTTCAACAACAAAGCGAAAAGAACATATTTGACATTTCCAATCAACAGATGAATGCAAGGCCAGGGGAAGGAGGAGACAGAGAGGTAATGCTCACACACCTGTCAAAAAGATGTCAAAAACGACGTTTTTTGTTTGACAACGTGCGTTTGTGTGGTTTCCTTCTGCTCTGTTCTGCCTCCCCCTATCGACCACCCCTGAAGGCAATTGGCCCGGGTAACCCTTTTGATATTATTTTATTCCTTTGGTCTTTTTTTTGACAGGCGACGAACAGAAGAAAATAACCATTGATGGACTTACTCTATGAAGGTTAACAAACTATTGCTGGAGAGCAGATACTAAACTCAAGCGTGATCCACTGCAGCACCATCACCACTGGTCATTTTTCTTTCTGGCACATCAATTTCGCGGTAATCTTTTGCCCTCATCCCACTGACACTTGTACACGCACTGCTACCGTCGGCAACTACCATTGAAAGAGTAAGTATATGTGTTCATAACAGTGCATAGTCTCTCTACTTCTCAACGCGAAAAAAAATGCATCGCGCTTTTCAGAAGAAAAAAAAAAGGCTCGATGAAGTTCGACTCGCAGCAAGTGTTCATTTTTGTCTAATCGCTTGCTCTGCTTCTTTTGTGAAGGTGCTTTTTTCTTCCGTTCCTTTTGTTTTCTTTGGCGGTTAACTAGGTTCCTTGTTTTTGTTTGTTCTGATGGCTCTGAAGATGTTAGACAAAATAAAATGCAGCTGAATTCTCTGAAAGTCTTCAATTGGTGACAGCCGGACTCTCTTCGGTATTCCTGCCTTGTTACAAACAGGAAGTCTTGACCACCTCGACTTGAAAGCACTCGAAGGGAAAGGAGTACTTCGGAACTGTCTTTCGGGTCTTGTGGTGCTTGGCGGTTTACCGGATCTCAACATTAAGAGGATACGAACACAATTGATTGGGGATCGGATTCCGCCGAAGAGGGGTCGTCTATTGCAGCAGCAGCAGCAAGAGGAGGAGGAAGAGGAGGAGGAGGAGGAGGAAGGCTTACGCCAGACCCCAATCCATCATTCTGGCATTCAGCTTATCGACGCTCTTGGATACCATTTAGAGGCGAAGTTGGTAAAGCACCGTCGTTCTTTTTCGCGTTTTAGGACTACTTATATTTTTTTTATCGGTTGATCCCTATTTTTCGCTCGCGCCACTTACATGAATATTTTTCATTCCATTTGTTGGTAGTTGTCCAGTAACAGCCTGAGCGTCCATCCAGCGATCGATCTGAACAACAGCATACAGGAACCATCAGCATGTTGATTCTTCGAAGACTATCCTGCAGGAAGACATTCGATTATGGTGGATCGCCCTTGTCGTTTCTCTCATTTTTGTACGGCCAGTGGTTCATACTCGACGCTCGATCCGAGGAAAATTCTTTTCGCCATTTAAGAAAAGACAGCGCTGGAATTGAGAATCGGAAAACCATATCGCGCGAAGGTGCCGCCAACGAAATGATTCGACATCATCACGGCGAGCTGACCGCGGCATCGATCTGCAAAGCCACAGTGGACGCCATTCAGCATTCGATAAGTTGCAGGAACACATCCTACGCGAAACGTATGGTGTCCATACCAAAACCATCCAAAATCGCTCGACACTCCAACATTACAGCATCGCCTGCGGCATCATTTCAACTACTCACTACATCGTCGGACATGTCAAGACAAAAAAAGAGACAAGTCTCTTCGAGACCTACTCAACCAAGGAACGACCATTCGTTCGCTTACCGTGATTGCTACATTCTGAACACCTGCATCAATATTCGACGGCGTTCAACTTCAGAAAGTTGTTTTCGACACCCACTTTCGCCTCTCATTTTTATCGACCGATCAACAGGAATGAGAATCGACACCAAGGTGGCGTGGCAAAACAAGACTGGAAAATTGGAAAGCATGGAACAATCGACATATGGAGAGTTGATCCAGGAAAGAAATAACCTCCGCTGCCATCTGTCGTCAATTGTAATACCAAACAGCAAAGAGATCGATCTATCACGAAAGAATGAAAACTTGACCCCCATAAATATAAGTTTCTTTCTCATTGCGCTGAATATGCCTCATCGTCCTTTTTGTAGTTGTCAAGGCCTGACTAAATCATTCTTGTACGACTCGAAAACATATACTCCGTATTTTATCTTTTTCACTCTTGCCTTGCACAGTAAAAGTCTTGACTGAGTCCCATGAATGCCAATTGAATGAGATATCGACTTGTACCCATCTGGCGCCGCCAAATTGCCACAAGAAAGCTTTGTTGATTGAAGGACATCATTCATTTATGGGCTTTTCTTGTGTTCTGGCGCCTTCTGCGATAAGCGATGAATCAACTTGCATCCTTCTGAGGATTTGAAGTTGCAATATTATTTCTGCATCTCACTAGTGTGACCTGCAGGCGAGAGAGACAGACAGACAGACAGACAGACAGACAGACAGACTAGCCCAGACCAAATCCCTGTCAAAATTGACAAGGCTGTCAAAAGAGAAGTGCGATGGACCCGAGTCAGAAATATGTCAAGACACCGACCGTCTTCCCAGAAACTTCCAACCAAAATAAAGTTTACTTTTGACAACCACCTTGTCGCTTAACCAATTCCCTTTTTTTGACGTATCCTCACAAGTTGAGTGGATGACTCGGGACCAATCTGTATTTCTGTCATGCATGATGGCCGTTCAGTACAAAAAACAAAGTGGACCAAAAAGGCGCCGATCGATTGTTCTGTTGAGGCTGTTGATGTGTTGCAGCGCGGTACATCGTTCGTTTAACACCAAACACTTTTTGTCCTCTGTCTGCTTTACTGATTGTGGCAATGGCAAAGATACGGTACATGCGGGCCATACGTGTGGATCTGAGTTTTGGCAAAACAGATGGAAGGTGAAAGATGAGGCGGGTGTCGATTCCTCAATTGGGAAGCAGATCCGAACAGCACAGTCGACAAAAGGGCATAGTGAGGAGGTACAAGTCTCGTGGCCATACATACTCTTCTTTTTTTTCCTCCTTTGATGTAGGCCATGTTGACATCGTCCGTTAGCGAATAAAGCTTCTCGGTCGCACTCTGTCACACTCATTCGGACATCTTTTTTTCATGTTCAACTCGATCGTAATTCTCCTTCTCCAGCCTCTTTGTCGTTATTTTATTTTTTTTCATTTATAATTTAGCGTGTGAACGAGGTTGTTGTGGTTTACCGAGGCCCTCGAAGGAGGGCTGAAAATAAAGTTGTGTTTTGACAGGCCTGCCATTGGTGAGATGCTCACACACCTCAAAGGTACTCAATTTTTACGTCTTTGTTTGTGTGTGCTTGCTTTACTGCTCTCCTATCAATCTGCCATCGCAAGGCAAGGCGAGGCAAGGCGAAGGGATGGGTACCTTCTTCGTATTCGTCCTCTTTGTTTCCCATTCTGACTTCCGCTCAACAGTCAGCCATCTTATGGACTGAGACGTAAAAACCTAAAGGAAAGAAGACATCTGTCAATTCTGACAAGCACGCCAACACAGATGTTGGGAGGCCACACCCCCCTTCAACCTCCTCAGCCTCGACCCCCGCCAGCCAGGGGCCAGAAAAAAAATAACAAACGACAAGGTTCTCTTCACCCCCCTAGCTTCGGTATAAAAGCGGCCGCTTCCTTTCGTTTCACTTTTTTTTTTCTTTATCTCTGATCTACACTCATCTCCTTCCAACCAACTCACCCCTTACATCCACACATAACCAACAATGAAATTCCTCGCTGTCGCCACCGCCGTCGTCTCGACCCTCCTCTTGGCCACCTCCAACGTCGAGGCCCACGTTACCGCCAACCCCTCCGTCGGTGTCTCTGGAGCATACTTCCAGACCAACTTCCGCGTCCCCCACGGCTGTGACGGTAACGCCACCGACCTCGTCATCGTCGAGATCCCCAAGGACGTCACCTCGGTCAAGCCCCGCGCCACCTACCCCTGGAACACCACCATCAACATGGTTCCCCTCGCCGTCCCCATCGTCACCCCCACCGGCACCGTTAACACGACCGTCGGTTCCATCACCTGGTCAAACGGCAACCTCGCCGATAGCATGTACGAGGATTTCGGCCTCCAGTTCAAGCTCCCCCAGATGATCGGACCCCTTTACTGGAGCGTTTACCAGCACTGCATCAACGGTGCCTGGAACAACTGGACCAACGTCCCCGATGCCAGTGGCAAGACTGCCGGCTTCCCCGCTGCCGTCATCAACATCTCCAACACCACCACCACTGCCCCCGGAACTAGCAGCCCTTCCACCGGTGGTGACAGCAAGAGCGCCGCTATTGTTTCCCAGATCTTTGGTCTTGGCCAGGTTGCCCTCGTCGGTGCCGGTGCCTTGATGTTGGCCATGCTTTAAAGCAAACCACCCCAGTTTGTCGTCGGTTCTGCGGTTTGAGGAGACATAGAGAAAGAGAGGAGTAACAAGAACCTGCATGTTCCTTTTAGCAACACATACATACACTTCCTAATCACCCACCCACCACCATTAATCATTAATAAACCTAGCCCTGTACATACCACTTAAAAAAGATAACAGCTGCCTCTTGTGTTTGTGTTCATTGTTAACAGACACGCATGCAAGCGAAAAAGAGGATGCATTCCGCAAAATGACGCTAACGGCCCAATCGAATCGTAATCGCCACGCCGTTCCCCCACTCCCTGAAGCTGATGTGTGTGTGTACGTCTCGTTCAGATTCGTGTTCTGCCAGGGTATATGTTTCATCCACCTTGAACACCTTGGGAAGTAGTAAAGGCGAGGCAGATACTGGCGAGAGATCGCGTCAAGGGCTTGTGTGTTTGCTTTCTTTCGCATCCACGCCATCTAACTGTGAATCCACTTGCCTCCAAATGATTTTAACTCTTTGTTTCCTTCGTCGCTCTCCTCTTTCACCTCCTTTCCTTCGCACCACTTAGCTTCTTGTACTCATAGCATGCATCCATCTACACCTACTGTCGTCAGGTCCGGGGATCAGCCTTCTTCGTCCTCTTCCCGTGCATCTCTATTGTCGCAGTACCCAACACGCACTACTTCTTCAACACCGCATGTCCCTATCTTATCCTTGCCATACAATAATCCACAAACAACAGCTACTCCCTTTCCCACTCAACAACTGCCCTGTCATTGTACCTTTGAGACCGAGCGACAAAGGCACCTGAGGCTGAACCAGGATATCATTCGCCTTGTAAACCTCAAGTCTATCCAGATCCGTCGATCCGAGGCAGAGATATCCCAACTCGAACGGGCAAATCTCGAACTCACCGTCGCCTTACACAGAGCACAGAGAGAACTACAGGAAAGGTCAACAGCCAACACAGCGTCTCTCTACCACGCCACGTATTCACCAGCGGCAACAAACCTTCAGGAAGAGTGGATTCAGTTGGGTCGGACGCAGCAAGCTATTCCTTACCTCCAACGGCAGATCGAGTCGGGATTGCCACCACATCATAAGCAACCTAACCGAGACTACTCTGACTGTGGACGAGACTACGCCGGCAAAGCCGACCTCACGTTGTCGTTGACGCCTCGAAGCAAGAGACGGAAATTGGAGTCGCTTGCAGTCTCGAGTGTGATCCCTCGAGACTTGGCTATGATCAAGTTGGAGCACATTCGTGCCATCTATCAGGTACATTTTGATTTTTTATTTTCTCGTGAATATGATTAGCTCGAGCATATTCTAACGCTATTTTTTTTATTCCTCTTGACGAACACTTTCCAACAGCATGAACAGAACGCTCTCGTCGAGGTGATACGGTCGCATCAGTCTACAGCCGAACTCTACAAGGAGAATCTCAGGATCTTGAGCGGGGATCGAGAATGCTCCAGCAGCAATATTCACGCCAGCATCAGCGGAAGGGGTCACGTCAGTCAGTCCGATCAGAGACTTGATCAGTCTCTGGATTCATCTCATTACTTCTCAGAGGCGATGTTGCTCCCACCAGAGCGCTCGGCTCAGTCGTCCACTGAACTAGTTGTGACACCACCAAATCTCAAGCGAGCACGAGCGTGGCAGACGCCTTCCCCCTTGCCATTTTTCAACATGGATACAGTAACTGGTGAGGCTGATAGTGACCTCACCAACCCAATGCTGGATCCCTCTCGACCACTTCTTGCCGAACCAGCGCAAGTTAGACGTGGACGAACATTCACGTCAAGTTCGACCAGGTCGGTTGCAGAGGGAGTAGGTAGTGAGAGCCAACAAACGATCTTCGACGCATCAACCGAACCAGCTCCGCAGATATCAAACCACACCCGTGAGTCAGCGCGACGATTGAAACGACCAGTAAGTGACTAGATCAGTGAGGCGGCGCTTCAATGTTTTTTCTTGCCCACGGAACACTCTCTAACTTTTCACCCTCTTCACTACCTTGTAGGTTTCCAAGGTCAGGGCAAGCGCTTTGTCTATTATATCCGAGCAGGTTGAACACACTATTCACGACCTCGCGGACACCATCATCTCGGAGCCACCAGGATCGGTATCATCTCTCGATATACCCCCGCTGGCGCCAAGGCAATCAATTAATCCTCAAGACTTGATTGTCGGTAACCAGAAACCTCAGCCAAATCAAACGACACCCAGGACACCGAAAAGACAGTTAATGGCAAGTCCCTATCGCCGTGAGGAAGCTTCGTCCGCTGCCAAGGTGTCACCTTCTGCTGCGACGAGAAGGGATCGTTACGTGCGGGATCTCGCCAAGGCCAAGGCTCTGTCCAAGAAACTTGTTGCAATGTTCAGAAACAAGAGTACAGTTGCCAAAGCAAGCGCTTCCTCAGAGACATCACTTGCGGTCAAGAGCGAGGATACAACCGCAACGGCTGAGCTTGGCGTCGACAACTACACCAACAAGAGGCCAAGCAGTACAGAGACGGATTCTATCACCTCAACGATGGCGACACCGCCGACAAATACAAAAGCTGCTGCTGCTTTAAGAAAGAGTGCCACCCTCTCGCCCTCACACATCCCTCGCGCCATCAAGCAGCAGTGTCGTTCAGGAAGCACTAGATCGTTAGCCAGTCATCGGTCTGGTATTCACCCCGACAAACTCAAGTCCCTCACTGCGGGTCAGCTCCTCCGCCTGATGAACAGGACTCTCTTGGGGTCTTCACGGCTTCCTGTTCTGCCAAAAGCAATTGTCCAAAAAGGAGTGTCGTCGAATGTTCACCTTGCGCCACTGAGGTCTGCAGCTAAAGGACCAACGTCCACAGTTTCCGCTGTCACCATCGAGCACTCGACTTCGACCTCGGCTCCAAACGTGGCCTCGCCTTCATCAGAAGCACCCCCACCTTCGACAGTTGCGACAGGGACGATTGCCGAAGCAGCAGAAAACCAGGACATTCCTCCTCCGGTGACAACAGTAACAAAGGCAAAGACGACCACTAAACCTTCGGCTGCAGTCGCTGTCAAGTCTCGGCGAGTGACCAGGTCCGTTCTTTCTAACAAGTTTCGACGCGTAACCCGCTCTACAGCCGCGGCTGCCTCACAGATGTTGTGAGTTGAATCGACAGCTCGTACATAAACTTCATCGCGACTATCAGCAGCGATTGCTTCATGGAACGACTTTCTAGACTTGAATGATACACTAGGGCGAACGAGTGCATTTGTCGCGTTGCCTTCTTTGCATTTAGAGAATAGAACATATACACAATCGCCCGATTGCTTTACTGTCACTGCCCAAACAATAAGAAAGAAAAAAAATAAGATGAGGTGGTGAGCGACAACGTAGAGACTACATGAATAAGTATTTCGAAAATGGACAAGGACAAACACAAACAGAAACAATAATGGAAATGGTGGCAAAGGAGCAGTGGCGATCAAGGAATGTCGTGAAGAGTGAAAAAGGTTACTTTTAACACTTGTTTTTTGTCACTGAATTGCTTCGAGAGAGCAAAGAAAAGCATTATTTGAAGAAGTTGTTCGTAACCTTGAGATGGAGTTATTTTAAAACGAACGCCTTCCTGAAATGTATATGTGCCAAAACGAACACCTTCCAAGAATGTCAAATACACCAAACGAACACCTAATGTTAGGAAAATTTGGGCAAAAACGAACGAGCACTTTCAGACCTGAGGTGGTTGCCAATTGCCCAGCCTAAAGACACGCGAGCGTGATGGGAGTAGTTGCGCTGGATAGGTACTCGTCAGGGCCCCCTTCTGGTACCAGCTTGATGGTGCCAGACTCTAACCAGAAGACTTTTATCGATGCTGAGTGGTAGTGCGCATGACCCATATAAATTGCATGCATTAATAAAACAAGAAAACAGCGAGTATGGACTCATCGATGAGTCCTCTACCCATATCTCTTCTCAAGCTGGTACTAAAAGGGGAGCCCTGATGAGTATCTACCCAGCGCAACTACTCCCATCACGCTCGCGTGTCTTTAGGCTGAGCAACTGGCAACCACCTCAGGTCTGAAAGTGTTCGTTCGTTTTTGCCCAAATTTGCCTAACATAGGCGTTCGTTTGGTGTATTTGACATTTTTGGAAGGTGTTCGTTTTGACACATATACATTTCAGAAAGGTGTTTTTTTTAAAAAGTTCACTGAAAGAGGATGCGGTCGCGTGTGGGTGTGGTAGCAAGTGATTTCTACATGTACTCCCATGATCTCCAGCGAGGATCGAGCCAGCTGGTCCAGCTCGAGTAACAGCACCACCTATATAGGTGACACCAACAGGAGAGGTACCCACAACCAGCCCTTTCCTCTCCGAGGCTCACTTGGTGCCTCTAAGAGAGTACATGCCCCTGACCTCTCTTTGAATCTGTCGTTGTACTTTGCCGATTCCGTATTCACTACATCGGATTCAGATCCAGCAGCCTCTGGCTCTCCTGAACTTGATTTCGTCATGCCACCAGTTCTCAAGTAAACTCGAATACAGCAACCGCTCCAGGCAACCAGCCAGATTGTTGGTGACTTAGATAGTCTTACATCGACCATGACGACTGCTAATCGCCAACGTCCGTGCGTATGTCAAGAGAGACGACCGCGATCGACGCGACTCCATCTCTACAATCGCCCGAACAACAGAGTAACACCATGGGCTACATGTCTGTCACCAGCGTCCCCGGCTCCTTCACGATACCATTCAGGACTATACCTCCGTGTGCAGCAGCAACAGTCTCAACAGACAAGCGCTGTTAACTCTCAGGAGTAGATCAAAATGAACCAGTCTAAGCGCCTCCACTAAAGTGCTATAAGATCACCACCTATGGCTCCTCTAAGGAGAACTCCCCCAAGATCAACGACATTGTCGCCTTTTCACCTAAAGTTTCAGGCTGTCTCGAGAACACCCAACAATATCTCACCCTTCGTCACAACTCTGGCCGCCACCGAGATGACAAGTAGCAGCACCAGGCAGTGTGAGTAGGAGCGCGTTAAGGTCAAGAAGAGGAGTGACCACCTCATCATCAACTTCAAGAACCTGCCTCGTTGTACCGATGGTGCCAGTGTAAAGGAGGCCGTGAAGAGCCTTCCAGCGGTCAAGATTGATAACACGCAGCCGACACCCCGTTCTAACGACCACTTCTGCTTCAGCAGCCCAACAACAGCAGCAACAACAAGACGTAAAACTCTGGAATCTGATCATATGCCTATGTTGGAGTCTGAGCTAGAATCCGAGATTGAGTCAGAGGCCGAGACGTAGTTGGAGACCGAGGAGTCAGGAGGTCAAGGAGGCATGCGTGGAAGGGTAGCTGAACGTTAAATTATGGATGCTGCGGTCATCTCCATCCCTAAGTGGCTCCGATACTACAAGCGCCGTTGAGTGGGTTGGCTGGAGGAGAGTTACAAACCAACGCGACCGAGATGGGAGTCCAATGTTGCTTATACAATGGGGTTCATGAGTGCGGAATCGCGAATTGAATGTGTGCTTGGCTCGACGCCCTTCTTCTTTACAACGTAGATAGAACCTGGCTATATACTTTTTTTTTCACACTTGCTATTGAACCGACCCGATGATATTTTACTTTGTGTTTTCAAAGAGGGGATAATAGACAAGAAGACAATACTCGTTCATTCTTCCTCCCTGTCCTCCCCTCCTGACCGATAACAGGAACAAAGAACGTCAACAAGCAACAAAGAAGGCCCTTGCCTTTCCCCTCTACTTTCAAACAAAAACCAATTGGACCTCCGCACAGGCCACTCTAAACAAAAAAATAGAAAGAATTTTTTTTTGGGCGTAGCTTCTTTTGGCGCCACAATTTTCACTGTGAACAAAAAGGAGGTCAAGGCAGGAGAGTTATGTGGAGAAGGCGATGTCATTTTTGTTGTTTTTCTTTCCCCTAATCGATTTTCTATCCTCGTCCCTTTTTTGTTTGCATCCATCGCTTAGATGCCTTCATCCACATGTTCAGCGCCACCTCATCCATCAATCGGTTTTTGTTCTGTTTTATTTTTATTCGAAGTGCTATAGCTACTTCCTGCCTATGTGCTCCTTGAGCTCTTTTCGATGTCGGAAAACGCCAGTAGTCATGTAGCCAGTGGAGAAGCGGAAAACGAGTAGTACCAAATGTGCGAAAAAGATCAATGCAAAGAAAGAAACAAAATAACAAATATGTGAGGGTGGTTTGCCAGGTAATGAGTGTCAAAAGTCTAAAGTAAGAAAGTTAAAGTGGTTTGCAAAGAAAACAATAAAAGTGCTGCGCCGACCTGGGCTTCCCGTCTCTGCTGCCGCAAAGGTGAATCGCCAGAGAGTGAGGGTTCTGGCTAGTTGCTGGCCGTTGATGTTGACTTTTGTTGTTGCTGTTGTCGGTCCATCCACCAAGTTAAAAAGATGCAATTAGGATGAAAAGACAGAACGAAAAAAAGTCGACCAAAGCAGTATGGTGAAAGAAATAAACAAAGGAGTCGCCACAGGTCAACAGATCAAAAGAAAGGAAGGAAAGAAAAAGAAGGTACAGAAAGTGGTTTTTGCTGGGTTATTCTCTTTTGTCGATAGATCTTGTCGTTGGATGGATGTTGGATTGCTGAAAGAAAAAAAAGGGATTCGTTCCAAGGGTTCGCCTTCGCTCACACATACAGACAGCATGGGGTTGATGTGATTTGATCCCGATGTTCCTATCTTGTTCCTTTATGCGCTCGAGACGTAGTGAAGGAGCGTTCTTTCCAGGATGAAGCGCCCTTCCTTGTATTGTTCCGTTTGCTCATAGGCCACAAGCTAATTGTATCGATAATAATAGGTTCAAGAAACTAATTAATAAGAAAAAAAAAGGGAAAAACTCGTGACAAGACAAAAAACAAGTGAGGATATTATTGTCGTTATCGAATGACCAAATCACGTTTTGGGAGCTGAAGGAGTGAGTAAGTGGCAGTTGAGTAAATGACTTACATATTTCCAGCCGACAACAGTGGCACATTCGGCGCAATGGATGTCCTGGACTGTGTGCAGACCTGTCCTCATATTCCTGTCCTCTGCTTCTCCCGTGTAGACATTGATCCTATGAAATTGTCAGGAGCACAAAAATTGTCTGTCAGTATGGAAAGGAGAGAGAGAGAGAGTTCAAAAGGGAAATGCATCACTGGTGGTCACTGAGCCATGTGTTGATACTTACACGTTTGAGAAGAGATAGGCTCTTCCGAACTGGCCATGGAATTGCTACGCAAAAGAAAAAATGAGTAAAGGGTCAAAGGTCAGTCGAAGGATGAAAGGGTCGAAAGGGTGAGAAAGAGGAGTAATGATACTGGTTAGACCAACCCGATGCATTTCCCTTTTCCTTCTCCCGACTATCTTCTTCTTTGGCTATTGTTCTTGTTTGTTGTTTGTTGTTTGTTTTTCCATCCACTCCCTTTTTCGTGTGGACGATTAGCATGTTTCATCGCACGGAGTCACTTTTCCGTCGCCACCCTTTTCTCTCACTCTCTCTCCTTTGTGCCCCTTTCCTCGGATGTCATCCATGTACGAGGATTGGGGGTCAGGTAATGATGTCGAACCAGGAAGTATACGTGAGAAATTTCCACAACCAATCTTTTGTTTCTCTCCGCCCATTTCCTGCCACGAGGACATCATCAGTCAGCCTTTTCTCGCTGATTAATCTCCACCAGCGACCTGCGCAGAGTGGTCGGTCGGTCATAGGATATCTGGGTAAAAGAGCAATGCCCTCGGGGTGTAGAGTAAAAAGAGTACAGCAGGAGTTGGGTGTGGATTTACCCTAGAGATGATGTGATCGTGTGTGGCAAAGTGAGTCTTGCAGGCGTTGCAGCCCAGGATCTTTTCTCCGTGGAGGTATTTCTTGTAGACGATTCCCATCGAAAGGAGCTCTGAGACTTGATGATAGGGGGAGGTAGAGATGGAGTGGCGGTAGGCGTGGGAGTAGAGGGAGGAAGAGGAAGAGCTTGTTGCTGTTGTTGATATTTTTGGTTGTGTGTAGTTGTAAGGCTGTTGACTCGGAACGACAGAATGCGGCTTGCTGGTTACTTGTGTAAGTGGTGGGCGTGAAGTGAGCGAGAGAGTGTTTGTTGGTTGTTGTATTGAAAAGGGGAAGAGGGGGTGTTGGTTGTAAGGGAGAAGTGAAGGAGAGTAAAAGAAGGAAAAGATAACGAAGGAAGAAGAGGAAGGGAAGGGAAGAAGAGGAAGAAGAAAAAAGAGAGAGGAAAAGCCCACGGTCAAGTCCGATGGCGATGAGAGCAGTCGGGGGACAGGAGAGCGTGAGTGACTGAGGTGGGGCAAGGGAGAACGAGGACGAAGAAGAAAAAAAAAAAAAGAGAATCATGGCGGAGGACAGACGGACGACTCCCTCTTTTGCCCAACTCGAATGACTGCTTTTTTTTGTGTGCTCCTTTGAGCAAATGATGGCCAAATGGAGGAGGGACAGGGGTATCATAGCATAGAGGGATAGGCTGCCTGTCGTTCATATCACAAACAAGCAAGACACATCCTATTGGCCAATGGGCACGCCCCTCGTATCATATGGTGATTGAAAGAGAGCCGAGGTGACTGGTCGACCCCCACTCTGTCCTGCCTTGAACAGGCGAATCGTGGCAGAATAAAGAAACCGAATCAAAAAGTCGCGTTTGCTACACGACGCGATACAAGACGAATGAAGTCATCATCGTGCAATCAAACAAACACGTCTTCAAGCCTTGTTTCGGTCTTTTTTTCTTCTTTTTCTTTCTTCCCGTACTTTCTCTTTCCCCCTTTACCACAGGAAAAATAAAAAACAATCAACACTCTCTCACCACTCCCTCTCGCTCTCACTTACATACCACTTTCACACATTCCTCATTTGCATTCGCCATGTCGCTACCTTACACCATAGTCTTCACTCTGCTGATGACCGAGGCAAGTCTCTTTATTGTTGTGGTTCCCCACTGTTGAAACAAAAAGACAAAAAACGAATTTCTGACACTATCCATGGACACACCCACTTCGCTACTTTAGATGCTCGTCTTTATCGCGCTCATCGTAAGTGCACGCCCTCCTATCAAAGCGATTGCAATTGCGATCTGAAGGACTATGCGACAGGATGCAAGGACTTTCTATGCCTTCAATTGATCTTCAGGAAAGACATGGAGAGACAATGGAACAACCCTCACTCATATATTACCTTGTTCTTGTTGTTCTCACCGATGATTGTAGCTTCCTCTCCCACCCAACTGGAGACGGGGCACACTCAAGTTCTTGTCAAATTCACCGCTGATGGGTCAAGTCCAGCACGTCGTGAAGATTATCTTTGTGTAAGTCGCAATCCTTGCTTGATAATTGTTGGTTGCATGCCATGCAGCCGGACCCCGATCTAACCCATGGGCGCCTTCATTTACCTTCAATGCCGTGCACAGGTTCGTGTTTGTCCTCTTTGTGGGTAAGAGCTTGCGGATGATACATACCCTGGAAATCGGAGTAGAAAATGTGGCCATAGCAGTAGGAGCAAAAGCCTGAGGAGAATGGAAACAGGAGAAATATTGCTCACACGATTTGTCAATAATTGCTCTCTGCTGGATAGATTCTGTGAACCGTGTTGTCAAGGTTGAGGAGGTCAGTGAGCACTCGCACCACCACCACGATCAACTGTCCGAGTCCAACGTCGCCGCCCGCCGATTCTACGCCCAGCGAAACATGTAAACCGCACAGCCATTACTTTCCTCCTTGTCATTGTTTGTTTTCAGCCTATGAAGGCTTGACACACGACGTTGATGCAAGTGACCAAGCCTCACTCACTCATTCTCTTTTTTGAATTTTTTTCTTGGATGTGTCGCATAGGTATCTGACTGGATTCACATTGTTTCTGTCGCTTATCTTAAACCGGAGCTTTTTTATGATCTTGGATCTTCTTCAAAGCGAGGAAAAGACGGAGATCATCAGAAACGAGGTACATACGACAGACTGGACATCAATGCATGTTCACACAAACATATGACGATACTTTTCTTTCTGTTACACCATTTTCCCAGGTTGCTAACCATGATATATTCATTTTTTTTTGAACATGATGACTGTACACAGGCATCGGTGCAGAGCAAAGAGTATGAGCGTGCATTGGAGTCGGAGACCAAGCTGAAGAAAGAGGTCAAGGAATTGAACGACATTGTGTCCACCCATGCGTCAGCCAAGCGTGATCTCGATAGCCTCAAGAAGCAGGCCAAGCAGCAGCAGGAAGAGTATGTCCGCCTTGCTGATGCCAATACTGAGATGGAAAAGAAATTCCAGGGGGTTGAGTTAAAGAACTTGGAGGGCAAAAAGGACATTTGATCTGGTATTATTTTTATTTTTGTCCATGGTTGTTTGCTTATCGAGAATATATTTTTGCAGCCATGGATATGGTATGGTGTTTATTTTCCCAATAAAGGCGGACACCTACAGCAGAGTGAATGGCGATAGCGTTGTAGTTGCATTGGATGGGAGGATGGGAGGATGGGAAGCGGACAAGTAAAATAAATAAATAGATAGTACTGTACAACAAGAGAGGAGGAAGGTTCACCCATCTTGTGGAGGACCCCAAAAAGGTGAGGAAACAACAAAAAAAAAAAAAAAAGATTTTTTTCCCCGACAGCAGCATGACCATGCGATGCAGCTGAGCAATGGTCGACCACATTGAGGACGGACAAGGGATGAGATGGAAAAAAAAAATAAGATTTGCGTACGTGTGTACGTATTTAGTGATTTTCTTGTGTGCTCAACGGTCGAGTGGACCCGGTCCCTGTCGATTGTTGACAAAGGGAAGGAAGTGAGCACAAAGAAAAAAGACAAAAAAACGACATATGCACGCAAACACACAAACAGACGACACATGGAATAAGGTCCACAGAGGGGATAGAAAGAGCAGCATCAACAAACAGAGAATAAATAACGCTAGCGTACAAACATACCCTCTTTTGCATCCTCTTTTTTTTTGCCGTTGAAGTCACGGCCGTATTGCAGATTTATTCAGGTGGGTGCCAGGACAAAGAGAGGGCCAGAACCAACCAATGCCATTGAATGGACTGAGAGGAGGGGGTTCGAAATCATTTGTTTGAGAGACAGGGACCATTCATTGAAGATATTTCAGGGACAGGGGGCATGGACAAAAGGAGTAAAATGGAAAGAGAACGGTGAGGAGAGATAACAAACGAACGGCTTTGTTCACTTTCAAAAGAAAGAAGGCGACGGATGATGCTTTCTTTCAAGTGAAGACCGAGGACGAAGAAGCAAGGTCAGGTACCAAAAGGACAGCAGGAGAAGAAGCGAAGACAGCAGGAGAAGAAGCGAATTGACGAATGGGGATCGATCTTGTCTGTCCGCACTAGTAGAGTCAGGTCCAGCATGAGCATCCTTCAGCAGTGGACGGCAAGGAAGGGAGGCAGGGATCCTACATCCAAAAAAGAGCCAAAAAAAAGCTTCTTTTTTTCTCCCCCTCTTGTCCGCTCGTTACTGTTACTGTTGCTATTTGTTGTTGTTCGACCACTGTGTGTGTGTCCTCTTATCCTCGTCCCTGTTCCCCTGTTCCTTCCCTTTTCCCTTTCCCTTTCCCTTTCCCTTTTCTTTTTTCTCTTTTTTCTGTTTCTTCTTTTTTCTTCTTCTTCTTTTCCTTCCCTCACCCCTCTCGCCGCCACCATCTTTTTTTTTCTTCCCCTCCCTCCCTTCATCCCTTCATCCCCTCATCCCTTCCCTTCCCTCCATCCTTCTCCCCTTTCACCCACCCTCATCAGTTTGCTCCCGACTCTTGGTGTGGTTTCTTTTTTATATTCCCTTTTATTCTTCTCCCGGTTCTCATCTCGTCGAAGAAGCGCGGGTCCTGACTCATCTCAAGAAGAACACCTACACACACAAAAAGGACAACAGGTAAGAAACGACAACCAAGTTTGTTTTGTTTTTATTTCTTTTGTTAGCCTATTTCAACACCGAGCGGTGTACAAAGAAAAAAAAACGAGGGGTGACGACGTCGAGCATGGACCTTGACAACGTGGGTGCATGCTCTCGATAGTCTTCCCATTTTTTGTCCCTTTTGGCTATCTATCTGCACATACCTCGCCAGAAGCCCATGGTGTTCCCTACCTTTTTTATTTTGAGCACAAAAGCGAAACACGCCCGCATGCACACCGTCTATCTTATACTCACTTTTGACCGAGATGCTCATCATCCGAGAAAAAAAAACAAGTCTTGTCCACCTGGAATGGGCTCCATCTCCCTCCTTCGAGGAGGAAAAAAAATAAGAGGTCGAGGCGACAGCGTTGCTTCAGGGCACACTGTAAGAAAGTGTCAGTCAAGTCACCCCTAAAGAGATGATGACAGTTGACGATGAAGAGGGTTCTCATTCTATTCTGGATTCTGTTTCCTCCCGGGAAGGGTTTCCCTTTTCCCTCTTTACTCCCTTTTGCTCTTTTTACTTGTATTCTCTCGTTCGTTAATGCGGTTTTCTTGGCAGTGACACGGGCAGAACGATACGCACTCTCATGGTCAACTAGGTTGCTTTTTTCGTTCTTGTATGTATTAGGGTCGGTAGGATTGGACCCATTGCCCATTGGTCATTTTGCAGCCACATTCGATGCATATTCCAGTTTCCTTCTCCTTTTCTCACCATGCCTTTCAGTTTGCTTGCGTTGCTGTTCATTTATCCCTCGTCTGCTTTGCATTCCAGGTTCACCCCCTCATATGACAGGAGACAAGAGACAGAACAGAGAGAAAGGAAAAAAAAATAACTGTACTAGAGGGGAAAGGGACAGGATGCATGCTGCTTTCTTTACTTTCCCAATGTCAATTTTCATGCGAGTTGGGAGGGGCGTATGTACGATGTGGCCGGGAGTAAGTGGTCTTGATCCCATATTTTTTTTGCATTGCCTTGCGCCTCTGTCAATTGCCCTGTCATTCTCTGCGCTGCCTCTGCCCCTTCTCCTCCTTCCCCTCTCCCAGCATATCACTGCGTGTTATCTGTCCATTTTTCGTGCCCTGATCGTGGTTGCACAGGGAAACAGTTGATTCCTTGCCTTTTTGTTTGTCTGTCAGTCTGTCTACAAAAGACAAAGCGACAAAACACCGCTTTCTCTTTTCTATTTTTTCTTTTTCCCTTCCTCCCCAAACTCTCGTTTCTCCCGTTGAGTTCTCCCCTTCCCGTTCTTTTTTTTTCTTCCCCCCCCCTCTCTCTCCTTCCTTTCACACTCATGTATATTTTCCGCCTTCACGATTCTTCACGACCTTCTATTATTCTCTTTAACGCTCTCATGATCTAACGCTTTAACGATCTTTACGATCTCACGACCCTTTTAACGCGTTCAACCCCCATACGTATGAAAAAAGAGCACACAACACCATTATCATTTGCAACGACTAAAGTATTTTCATGCCCCCAACTATCGTTTACTTGTAGACCAATCGCCATATAAATAATGTCTTTGGATACCTATGTCAAGGGTACTAAGTGCTGGTTCACAGATGTCCAGGAGGGCTGGATCAGCGCCAGCCTTAACACCACAGATGTCGCTGCCGACGGAAAAGTCACCATGACCTTTGTGGACGATAACGGAAAGGTGCGTCTCAGGAACACATACCGCTCTATGCTACGAGACACAGAATGGTCTGCTTTTGATCTCATGATTATATTTTTACTTATCAGAACGTACTTTGTTTTATCTTCGTTGACAACCATAGGACCATGTCTTCTCGTCCACACTCGCCAAGATTGAAGAATCCAATAATGCCAACCTCCCTCCCATGCGCAACCCTCCCCTCTTGGAAGGCACAGAGGATTTGACCAACCTTTCATATCTTAACGAGCCTGCCGGTAAGAGAATCGAAATCAAACTAATGGTGTGGTTGATCCAAATGCTTGCTGCTGATCCACTAGTTCTCATCTAACCTGCTCGTGCCTATCCACCCTTTTATTCGCCAATGCTAGTCCTGAGCAACATTAAGACGCGTTACTCCCACTGCAACATCTACACATACTCTGGAATTGTGCTTATCGCTGCCAATCCCTTTGCCCGTGTCAACCTGTACACCCAAGACATCATTCAGGCCTACTCTGGCAGGAGACGTGGTGAATTGGAGCCCCATTTGTTCGCCATTGCCGAGGATGCCTACCGCTGCATGATCCGCGACGAGAAGAACCAGACCATCGTCGTCTCTGGAGAGTCTGGAGCCGGTAAAACCGTCAGTGCAAAGTTCATTATGCGTTACTTCGCCACCGCCGACGATAGCGAGCGTGGCACCGATTCGTCCAAGACCGGTATGAGTGAGACTGAGGAGCAGATTTTGGCCACCAACCCTATCATGGAGGCCTTCGGTAACGCCAAGACCACCCGTAACGATAACTCTTCCCGCTTCGGAAAGTTCACTGAGATTCAGTTCGACAAGGAGCGCAACATTATCGGAGCCAAGATCAGGACATACCTGTTGGAGCGTTCAAGATTGGTCTACCAGCCCGAGCTCGAGCGTAACTACCATATTTTCTACCAGTTGGTTGCTGGTGCCCCTCCATCTGAGAAGAAATCGCTGGATCTCCAATCCATCCAGCAGTTCAACTACTTGAAGCAGGGAGGTGTCCACATCATCAACGGCGTCGACGATGCCGCCGAGTTTGAGATCACACAGCGCGCCCTTTCAACGATCGGTATCTCGGTCCAGGCTCAGTGGGATATTTTCCGTCTCTTGGCTGCCTTGCTCCACATTGGTAACATCCAGGTCACTGGTCGTAACGATGCCATGATTTCCGATGAGGATCCTTCCTTGATCACTGCCTCCCGCGTCCTCGGCATTCCCGTTTCAGAGTTCAAGAAGTGGCTCGTCAAGAAGCAGATCACCACCCGTTCCGAGAAGATTGTCTCCAACTTGAAGCCCGAGCAGGCTTTGGTTGTCCGTGACTCCGTCGCCAAGTATATCTACTCGTCTCTCTTCGACTGGCTCGTTAACAACATCAACGCCAGTCTCTCCAGCGAGGCCATCGCCAGCAAGATCCATTCCTTCATCGGTGTCCTCGATATTTACGGTTTCGAGCATTTCAAGAAGAACTCGTTTGAACAGTTCTGTATCAACTACGCCAACGAGAAGCTCCAGCAAGAGTTCAACCAGCACGTCTTCAAGTTGGAGCAGGAGGAGTACGTCCGTGAGAAGATTGACTGGAAGTTCATCGAGTTCAGCGACAACCAGCCCTGTATCGAGATGATCGAAGGTCGCTTGGGTGTCCTTTCCCTTCTTGACGAGGAGGCTCGCATGCCCTCTGGCTCCGATCAAGGATGGTGCAACAAGCTGTTCAGTCAACTCGGCACCGATAAGCACAAGAAGTGGTTCACCAAACCCCGTTTCTCCAACTCTGCCTTCACCATTTCCCACTACGCCCACGATGTCACCTACGACTGCGATGGATTCCTCGAAAAGAACCGCGATACCCTTCCCGACGAGTTGTTGAACTTGATCAAGAACTCTGACAACGAGTTTTTGGAGGAGGTTCTCATGACCAGTGCCACCCTCGGCGCCGGAGGAAGCGTAAGTTGAACGTTGTGATTTCTATGTCGCCCTCTCTGCCGCAGTTCCCTATCTACAAACAGAACGCTAACACCTACTTGGTTACATTTTTTTTACCATAGTTAACTGAGGACAAGCGCAAGAGCGTCATCAACAGAAAGCCCACTCTCGGATCCATCTTCAAGGGCTCCCTCATCCAGCTCATGGATACCATCAACTCGACCAACGTCCACTATATCCGCTGTCTCAAGCCCAACGAGGCTAAGCAGCCTTGGGTCTTCGATGCTCCCATGGTCCTCGGTCAGTTGCGTGCCTGCGGTGTTTTGGAGACCATTCGTATCAGTTGTGCCGGTTACCCCTCCCGCTGGTCCTTCCCCGAGTTCGTCGAGCGTTACTACATGTTGGTCAACTCTGAGCACTGGGGCTTTGACACCCAGAAGATGTGCTCTGCCATTCTTGAGGCCACCATCAAGGAGGCCGACAAGTACCAGGTCGGTCTCACCAAGATCTTTTTCCGTGCCGGTCTGCTCGCCTATATGGAGAAGCTTCGTACCGAGAAGTTGAACGGCTACGCCACCTTGATCCAGAAGAACGTCCGCCGATTTGTCGCCCAGAAGAGGCACCAGCGCACTCGCAGTGCCGCCATCACGATTCAGTGCTTTGCCCGCAAGGTCATTGCCCAGAAGGAAGCCCGCGCCCTTCGCGAGGTGCGCTCCGCTGTCTTGCTCCAGACCTTTTTGCGCGGTTACGTTCAGCGCAAGAAGTACGTCGAGACCCGCAACCACATCCTCCGAGTCCAGTGCCTCGTTCGTGCCAAGCAAGCCCGCAACGCCTTCCAGAACATGCGCGAGACCAACGGCGCCACCAAGATCCAGCAGATCTGGCGTGGAGCTGTCGCCCGTCGCCAGTTCAAGAAGGAGTTACTCGCCATTGTTCTCATCCAGTCGTGCATTCGTCGCAACAAGGCTCGCAAGGCTCTCTTGGCTCTGAAGGCCGAGGCCCGTTCTGTGAACCATCTGAAGGAAGTCTCTTATCGCCTCGAGGGAAAAGTGGTGGAGCTGACGCGAGCGCTGGACTTGGCGCATCAGCAGAACAAATCTTTCGACGCCCAGGTGGCGAGCCTCGAAACCCAGGTCCGGTTGTGGAAAGAAAAGTACGAATTATCACAACATACCAAGTCGAAGGAGATTGCCCTTGCTGCGGAGAACCCCACTGTGCCCAAGAACGAGTTCGAGACTCTGAAGGCAGCCAACGTGGAGCTTCAGTCCAAGTACAACGAGTCGATCGAGAAGGTCAGGACGCTCGACCAAGAGATCACAAAGCTCACCGAGTCTCTGGCAAAGACCAAGGAGGAGATCCACAAGCTGGCCGCTCAAGCCAAGGTCAAGCCCGAGGACTCGGAGACGGTGACGGCCCTCAAGCGCGAAAACCAGTACGTCCGCGAGCAGTTAGCTCAACTGTCAAAGGCTACTGGACGCGACACCTCAAGCTTCCCAGTTACGTCGAAGGTCCACTCCCCCCCATCCAGCAACAACAACGCGAACCCTCAGTCCCATACGGCCCCCTCGATCCATAGCCAGCTTGCCCAGGGCACTATCGACAAGTACGAGAACTCGTACTCCTTTGCCAAGGAGACCCCTCACAAGATCGTCACTACCCTTCCCGCCGCCGTCCCCATCCCCCACAACTCTAAGGCTGCCCCCAAGGCCACTCGTAACCGCAGCAACAGCACACCCGACATTGCCGGTCTCGAGAACGGTACCCTCTTCAAGCCCCAGAAGACCACCAACAGCGTCTTTGACAACCTCGACAACCACAGCCGTACCGCAAAGACTATGTCGGGTGATGACTGGTCTCGCCGTCTTCCCCGCTCACGCCCTAGCATCCACAGCCTGATCGAGCAGCCTGAGGTCGAGATCATGCGCATCCTCGAGGACGAGGAGGGTCTCCAGGAAGAGATCTTGAGCGGATTGATCAAGAACATGAAGATCCCCTCGCCCAGTTTGTCGAACCTGCCCTTGATCAAGGAGATCATGTTCCCCGCCCATTTGATTGGTCTCTTGACTACCCAGATGTGGAAGTACGGCTACATCAAGGAGTCCGAGCGTCTGATGATCAACGTCATGCAGGCTATCCAGCAGCAGTCGATGGCCATTGTCGGCGACGATACCATCATCCCCTGTGCCTACTGGTTGTCGAACGTCCACGAGCTCTTGTCGTTGATCTGCATTAGCGAGCAGGAGATTACTCGTGAGGAGTTGATGGCCCGTTGCGGAGACGACTATGACTGGACCGAGTACGAGCAGTTGGTGTCGACTGTCAAGTATGAGTTGGAGTGCCTCGAGTACAACATCTTCCACGTCTGGATGAAGTCGCTCAAGAAGCAGCTCAACAAGATGATCATCCCCGCCATCATTGAGAGCCAGGCCCTCCCCGGATTCATCACCAACGACTCTGGACGCTTCTTCAACAAGCTGATCGGATCCGGCCCCACCTTCAGCATGGACGACCTCCTGATGTTGTTCAACAAGATCTGGAAGGCCATGAGCTGCTACTATGTTGAGCACTCTGTTGTCCGCCAGGTCATGACCGAGTTGCTCAAGATGGTCGGTGTCACTGGTTTTAACGACTTGCTGATGCGCCGCAACTTCTGCACCTGGAAGCGCGCCATGCAGATCCAGTACAACATCACCCGTATTGAGGAATGGTGCAAGGGACACGATCTGCCCGAAGGCACCCTCCAACTCGAGCACCTCATGCAGGCCACCAAGCTGTTGCAGCTCAAGAAGGCTTCGCACAACGATATCGAGATCATCTACGACGTCTGCTGGATGTTGACCCCTACACAGGTCCAGAAGTTGGTCCAGAACTACATGATCGCCGACTACGAGGTCCCTGTCAGCCCCGACTTGATCAAGGCCATTGCCCAGCGTGTTGCCGCCAACGAGAAGAATGATACCCTGATGCTGGATGCCATCTCCCTCGAGGATGCCGGCTCGTTCGAGACCCCCGAGATCCGTGATGTCGACCTGGATGGTGAACGCTACCTGCCCGGTTGGCTCGTCAACCTCAGCCGCCTCAAATCGTTGATGCACTTGGTCGTCGTTTAAACCAGATGACTGCCTAGTCAAGACGATTCAATCCACGATGAGTAGCCAATCTCTGAGGATTTTTTCTTCGTGTCCTTCGTTCTTTTTATATCTTTCTTTCTTTGCTTTTTATTTGCTTTTTTGCCCTTGTTTGTCAGTCCTTTTTTTCTTTCTTTACCTTACACCTTTTTGTTCGATACCTTCCTTTCTCCCAAAAAGAACCTGAAAAAAAAAACCCACCTTTCGAGGTCGATTTTTGTTTGAAGTCCCTAAAATACCACTTCACCACCTTGTAGATTCCTTTCCACTACGAAAATAAAAAAAAGTAGAAAACTTCACAATATCTATCGCTTCTTGACACTGTTTTTCTGATGCAAGCTGGTATGACTCTAGGTTTATTTTACGAGTGAAATAGTAATGCGAGGGCGAATGATGGGATGAAAGGATGCAAAGAAAAAAAAATGGCAAAAGATGGAAAATAGAGAGTAGAAACGAGAAGAAAAAAATTAGTCCATTTTCCTCCTCTTGCCGGTGAAGCGATCCAGGGCAGTGACAGGTTCGTCTGGGTTGCCTGCTCTCTTCTTGGCGCGTTCCTTCTTGTCCTTTTCGATCCTCTCCAAAAGATCGACCTATCAATATGGTTGTTCAAAGGTGATATAGGTATGATTAGGATGCAGTTTGTAGAAGCAAAATACATGCACGAAAAAAAAGTGTACAATGACAAACGAAGCTTTACCTTCTTTTGGTCGACAATGTTCTTGGCCTTCTTTCGGAGGTGACGACGGGAGGACGAGTTCTTGCCACGGGCACGGTACTTGAGTTCTGTCGACTCGTCCGGGTGAGCAGCAGCCCAGGCCTCCTTCTTCTCCTTGTTGAGGACCTGAATAGGGGCCTTGTCCATCTGACCAACATGGTTGACGTCGAGGGTAATCATCTCTGGCTGGATCTTTTCCAACAGCGAATGGACCTCCATCTCCTGTCTCTGCTTCTTTGTCTGGAACGGGTTGGCCTCGAGCGCATCAAAGTTGGCCTCTCCAGCACCGGGCACAATAATGCTCGAGATTCCCCCACGGTGTCCGAAACCCAACACATCCTCAAAGGGCACAAACTCGACATCATCCACCGCTGACCCGGCTTGGAGATGGTTCATGTAAGGCGAAGTCTGCTTGGTCTTGAAGGGATCCTTCCAGATACTGACATGAGGCCCAAATCCAACAGCCAACAGTCCACGCTGCGAAATGGAAAGCGACGAAGCCGGTGTAGGCGTGAAATATTCCTGCATGGGCTTATAACTCCGGAGATCCCAGAGCTTGAGCTGTCCGTCCAATCCCGCAGTCGCCATATAGGTTCCCGAATGGCCTATTGCCATCGCCGTGACGGGGCCACGATGACACTGCATCTTGACTAGAGGGGTTGACATGTTGGGAGACCAGAGGGTCACTGTTCCGTTGCCGTGTCCCAAATGCATGATGGCTGTCGCGGGGTTCTGGGTCATCACATCGCACTTTCCGAGCTTTGTGCGGTGTTCTGCAACCACGTTTCCTGTTGATGTATCCTGGTACTTCAAAAATCCTGAGTTTCCCTGCACGTTTCAATTGTCATTTATGAATGATAGTAAGTAATGTGTAATAAAACATGTTAGTAAAACATATTAAGAAAGAGAAATTGACAGCAATGATGTTGCAAAACGGTCTTCCAAGAGGTGAAACTTACGATGGAGGTAAGCAAGAAGTGGTATGGCAAAAAGTCCAGCTTGTTGACCTCAATATGGTTCCGTAAGCAATGAATCTCGGTTCCCTGCTTGTCGTAGATGTACACGTATTTCTTTTGCGCAACCGCAAACATCGTCTCGTTATGCAACCAGCTAGTATGAACAAAGTGTGAAAGGACACAAAAGCATGTCAGCAAATTCACTTGTTACTAACAAACCCCACCCCTCAATAGCAAACAAACAACCCACAACGTCCCTTCGTGCACAAAAAAAAAGGAACTTACGTGACATCACGAACGGTCTCCCGGAGCTGCATCTCACAACCCAACCGTCCCGCCTGCCAATCAAAGGCCGCAACATGACCCTTGCGTCCACCGATCAACAAATGTCGTCCGTTGCGGGTATAATCGATCGCATAGGGTCCAAACTTGAGGTCAAGGTTAAACATTTTGTGCGAAGTAGAAATATCGACCTCCTTTGCAAGACTCCTCTGAGAGAGCTGGTATGTCTTTTCGATCCCCTCGGGTTCCAGAAATCCGGCTTCCTCAGTGAGAAGGATCTCGGTGGATGCGGCCTTGTATGCTGCTTCCTTGTATGTCTTTTCCCGCCGCTTGATCGTGCCCTTTAGTTTCTTGTCCTTGAGTTTCTGTTTTGGTTGAAATAGTTCCATTTTGGTGAGGCGCACGTACCATGATATAGAGAAAAAGAAAAAAGATGGCGGTAGCGAGTAAGTAAAGAGCATGCTTGAAGGTGCCACAAGTAAGCAAAAGGTCGAGAAGTGTGTGTTTGTGAAAGACAAGTGCCTGTTGACGTTACGTTGACACCCTCGACAGCCTTGTTGGCGTCGCCGCGGGCATATTTGGGCATGAGTGCCAAGACGGGGTCCTTCTTCTTCTTCTCAGACATGGTGCTGATGTATGTGTGTGTGTCGGCTGGGGAGAGATGGGAGTTTGGTTGCTGGCACAAAAGAAACAACAATGGTTCATGGACGGCCTACTAGGTTGTGTGCCTTTTGCAGCCCAAAAAAAAGAAAAAAAATGTTTACGTTTGTGGCTTGTTTGACCTACAGTCACGTGTTGACCATCGCGCTCATGTTCGGTTTCTATGCACCTTTGGTCGGATGGTTGTTGTTGAAATGATTTGATATTATTGAGAAAGGAACAAAGAGCAAGAAGAAACGAAAAACATTACAAAGAACAAACTACCTATGTACTAGTCGAACCAACAAGTTTATCTCCCTCATCGTCCTCCTCAAGAAGGTCCTCACCGCAAGAGGACTCCCACCCTTCCTCCCCGCTCATCCTCGTCCTCCAGTGTAATAGGGGTTTTGTTGAACAGTGTCCCAAAGCACTTGCTCATGTAAAAAATGTGGGGGTGGCATCGGCGAAAGAGATAAAAAAAAATATAAAAGAAAAGAACCTATAGAAATAGAGGGAAGGGTCGCACTTCTCGAATCTCAACCCTCCTCTGAACGAACGTGTTTCGCTCTCTCTCTTTTTTTTTACTCCTTGGGAACTTCGCTGCCATAAATTCATGCGACAATCGGCCACTTGGAACGCAAGTGTTCAATCCATCGCGCATAGAGAGCTTCAGCAACAGGACTGGCGGCACTGCGAACCTCTGGGTTGGTCTCCGCTGCCGGTTTCGTTGGCTCTGCCTCTTTCGTCGTCGTGGTCGTCTCTGGTTCAACAGCCGTCGAATCGGTTCCTACTGTCGACGAAGACGAGGCCGTATCGCTCTCTGTGACAATGATATCCGAGCTTCCAAGGATATCAATCACGTCGGAAACGGCTGTCTTTCCATGCGACTCGATTTGCTTCATTAGAGCAGGGTCGTTCTTGATCTGAGTGAGTGCTTGGGTGAAGAAGGCCAGAAGCAGCGAAGGGTTGATGTTGTTCAAGTCTGAGATACCATGCTCCAGCACACTGAGCGCCTCCAGATCCTCCGCACTATGCTCTCCACTCTTGAGCTGATTAACAAAATATTAGGTGTTAGACATTGAACTGATTCTATTGTATTGCAATGTGGTCATTGAAAGGGTACTGCTAAGAGGAAAACTTACTGTGCTGAGCACGGGCAAGAGTGCGACCTTGGTGAGCTGCCGTCCGGCTTGTGCTTGTGGACTGCCTTCAAAGGTCTCCTCGCTAACCGCCTTCTTTGCTGGAGGTGCAGCTTTAATAGTCTCAAACCTACAAATGGATATAGAAAAAGAAATGGTTAGCTATCATGGGACTGAAGTATGATAAAAATAGTTAGGAGAGGAAGTTGTGAAACAAACAATAGACTTACCCATCCTCAATGGTCATCTCACTATGACTTGGGCCAGGGTGACGCTTGATTGTGTCCATGCCCGAGTTGGATGCGATAGGAACTATGCTCTCGTTCTCAACCTAACATGCAATGGTCGCGAAACAGGTTAGCACACTTGTCGAGAAAAAAAGCTATCAGCCATTGTCAATGCTTTAAAAAACGTAGTGTCATCGTACCTTGAGATTAGCGAGGTCGACTATGCTGCCATGGTTATAAGCAGGTTTCTATCAATTGAGTGCGAATGGCTCGTATGGTTAGGATGTGTCTACCCGTTTATAACGAAGCACCGGCAAATGCAATCAAATGAGAAATACTTACAGCTGCTCTGATGGTAGAGTTGATGGGCAATGCTCTTCGAACCGTCGATGCAGCAGAACTCAGGCCAGGAATGCGAACAGTGCCAAAGTCCCATGGCAAATCATCATCATTCGTGTTGAATGTGCTGAAACTATAGGGTGAAAGTAGTGGACACCGTTAGTCATGTATTCGACATCCTTCAAGACCAAAACTTGAGCCGCAACAAAGAATAGACATACGTCTTGGTCAGGGATGAGGCGGCGCGCTGATGAGCAGCCAGCTTCCAGACATCGTATCTCTCCACGAGCTCCTGAAGGTCAGCCTTGCGCTTGGCCATCTTGATGAATCGGTGCTTCAAAAGTTCCTTGGCAGTTGGTCTCTACAAGTGTACAAAATTCCACAAAAGGCTGAGCATGTTAGTCTTCTGCAGTGTGAGTGTAACAAAGGAGAACCCTCTCTGTCCGATACAACCAAAGTAAGACGTGGTTGAAGCAGGCACAGCAGCTTACGTCTCTAGGATTCTTGATCAAACACAGCTCCACAAATTCCTTGAACGCTCTCGAGAAGTCGCCCTCCAGGGATGGGGGCTTGGCCTTTGGGATCAAGAACAGCACACGCATCGGGTGGTATTCTGCAAGGGGTGGCTCGCCCTTGGCCAACTCAATGGCCGTGATACCCAATGACCAGATATCCGCCTTCGAGTCGTATCCAGCCTGCTTGATCACCTCTGGTGCCATCCAGAACTACATCGTTCGAAAAGGCAGAAAGTGCATGAGTATGGGGTTCTGGCATTCGTTTCTTATTTGCGACTAGCATGTTTGAAGGCACAAGTACTTACAGGAGTTCCGACGAATGTGTTACGTTTACTCTTTTGGTGCGAAAGTTGAGCGGCGACTCCAAAGTCAGCTTAGCAGTGTGGAAACAATAGAAGGAAGGTTAGTATTCGAGTCTGTCCCCAACAGGGACAGCAATTAGATCGAGATTCAAATGCAACATACCGAGCTTGACATCTCCATCGCCAGAGAGGAGGACGTTGGCAGCCTTGATGTCTCTGTGGATCTTTCCCTCTGCGTGAAGATACTCGAGTCCTAGGAGAAGCTCCCTCAAAACAACTGCAACATGATCCTCACTGAATGGTCCAGGCTTGAGCAGGTCTAAGCACGATCCGCCTGCTAAGTACTCCATAACTAACATGGCGCAAGAAAAAATGTGTCAGGATTGTGCCATGTGCATGATCTACGGCTGACCATTCTCGTGCATGGTACATTGGAGTAGGGTAGAAAGGAGATCAAGTCATGCTTCATTGCCCCTTACCAATCCAAAGTTTAAAGCCCTTGACACAGCTGCCGTAATATTTGGTGATATATTCAGAGTCGCATTGGGACAACAGGGCAATCTCCTGCTGGATCTCACTGATGTCTTCTTCCGAGTCCTCGAGGTTGATCTGCTTGATTGCGACGACTTCCTTGGATACATTGTGGATACTAGCAAAAGTGAATGTTCGATTGTAAAGAGCGTTAATTACAGCAATAGACCAATATTTACCGAAGAGATGTCGGTGACGGTACATCAAAGTGAAATAGAAACAGTTGGTTGTGCACAAGGTGGGAAGGTGAGTGTGAGTGTGTGTGCAAGTATGGGTGTGTGTGTGCGAGGGAACATGTTTGGGTGTTTGAGTGTTTGTGTGTATGATGACATCGATGGCATGTTTTTGGACAATAGGAATAGGAGTCGAAGGAACCCATCACAAGGGTTGTCAGGGACCTGTGAGAGAGAAAGAGAGATACACCGTGAAATGTAACAAGTGATATAATTTGTATGTAGAGTGCAAGGGTGTGCAAAGTCAGGGCCAAGGGAACTAGAACAGGGGGTAAAGAGAATCACACAACCTTAACACTCACACGCACACATGCGCATCACCACCACGCCCAGGAAAAAAAATACAAAGAGGGGCGTAAGGTGCGTGGATGGGGAAGTGAAGGAGCTGCTTCGCCTTGAAACATCTCTTTCTCAGAGGGAAGTAAAAAGTCGAGGTAACAGACGAGAAGGGGAGGAGGGAGAGGAAGGTGGGGGATTGAGGTGGTAACGGAGGAGTGAGCTGAAGCTCATTTATTCTTTGGCTCACTTACGCTTTGTAGACGGTACCGAAGGAGCCAGTTCCAATTTTCTCAAGGAGGGTGTACTCCTCGTCAGGGTCAGAGCGCATCTATAGCATTGGTTTCGAGAGGAAAAGAACAGAGATTGAGCAACTTGGCCACGCTACTCGGCTAGAGCACCGACCTTGGCAGTAATGTCTCCTGGCTGTATGTACCATTGTGTGAAGAGACGGACGAAGGAGGGATGAAAGTGGTCTGTATGTAAGAATAAACTTGAAGTCAGAAGGAGTGAATGTTGGTTCTTCGCTGGGGGGATATGAGAAAGAAGAAGAGTGAGGTGAACGAGAAGAGCGAGATCGGCGGATGCTCTGTTGGTTGGAGTGAGGACTCAGAAGGAGGAAGAGGGCGTCAAGCGAAGGTGGAGTGAGGGAATAGGGAAGGAGATCGTGAAAGAAAGAGCCAGCGTGTTGAGGTCGAGATATGAGAAGACGAGATAAATACAACGATGGTGAAGTTGGGAGGAGGATGATATGGGTTGAAGGTGTCGAGGGAATGCGGTGAGTGAGAGGAAAGGGTTGGCGGCGGGCGGCGAAGGGTAAAGAAGGAAGGAAAGAAAGAAAAGTAAGAGAAGGAAAGAATAAAAAATGGGAAGAAATCAAGAGAGAAGTAGAGAAGAGAAGGCGGAGAAAAACAAAACGCGCACTCTTGTAACAACTTGTATTTGAAGAAAAGTGATGCGGACACGCCAAAGGGCCGTGTGGGGATGGCAGCCGACCTCAAAGGCAGTGCTACTTCATTGTTGTGCTTGTTCATGTTGTTGCCGCAACGCAATGGCTAAAAGTAATACACAGACACTTCCTCCCCTGACGCCTACTTCTCTCATTGAATATCCAGGGCGACGACAATGATGACGACCGGATGAATGAATCGAGCCATGCCGCTAGCCATTGTTACCACTTGCGAGACAGCCCTCGCTGCACTCACTGTACAATCCGGAGCACGTTCATGCCCATCATGCCAATGCCAATGTTTTCGACTTGAGGGAGCACGTTTGGACCTGATCAACCTCGCCACGAATGAAGGTCCTGTCCAGTCCACAAAATAATGAGATCAAATCGAAACACAATACATATCCACAGGGGCAATTGATGGTCATCCATGATCCATCATCATCATTGACCATGCTTTCTTTACTTTGCCCAGAAAAACAGTGAGTAATAACAATCGCCATGGCAAAGAAAAACGCCCTTTTTCTTTCCCCTCCTTCCTGACAAAGTAGACCGATCGGAAGGAGGGAAACAGGGGGTTAGAAGGTCACCCTTTTCAATCATGACAAATGTGGCCCAACCTTCATTGTTTCCTTTTTTTTATGTTGCTTACCTCGTTATTCTTTTCTCTTGTCTTTTCTCTTACACTCGGACGATGCTGAGATAGAGAAGAGAGAGAGAAAAAAAGAGGCATGTTGCTTCCACCAGGGTTGTCACGCGTGAGTTGGGGTATTTTTATTTTTTGTTTTCGATCCTCCACGAGTTCCGGAGAATAGGGGCTGGATCACAGTGAGTGAGGTGACGAAGGAACAACGGGCGATGCGGAGAGAGACCGGGGGTGAAATCAATCCGCTTAGCAATTCTGCATTGGACTACACAAAGGGGAAAAAAAAAGGAGGGAGTCGTTGGGCGCTCGGCCTTTTTATTGCATTGTTGGTATCTGTCTCTTGTTATTGTTGTTGGTGAACCGGATGTCCTTGTCCTGACAGGCATCCTGGGGCAATGTCGTTCCTACGGAAAGGCAGCTGCCAAATATTTACATTAACCCCTTCTTCCACTGAACGGCTTTGTTCTAGAAACCGCCTGGCGCGACTCATTTTCCTGTGTCGGTCAATCGCGCCCTGAATGTGTTCGCAGTCACAGTCCAGCCAAGACGTAATGTCCCTTTGTCTCCATTTCTCACCAACTCACGGCCATCCTCCTTACTCCTTCGCCCAAAGGACAGACCACGATACACGGAGCAGCAATCAGCATCCGAACAATAAGGACACGACCCTTCCATCAACCTCTCCCACCTCCTAGACCCGCCTGTATGAGGGACGGGCAGATTAACTACGAACACGCCACCGTCTACCAATCGCTGTGCTCATGGTTTCTGAACCGCCCATTTCAACAATCGCATCAGAACAAACAACAACAAACAACACCCCCTATTATTATTACCAACAGCGACAAGTACCCCTTTATAAGCCAGCTCCGGAGAAGAATCCTTTCTGCCAACTTTAGCGCACAACGTGGTCTGCCACCTGTCATAGGAACAGCTACAACAGCAACCTTCCCTGCCTGTCTACTGCTCTTTTCTATTGTCGTCACCGTCATACTTCTCCTTTTCCTTGTTGTCCGCAGCCTCTACCGTCATTGCCTCCTCCTCCGCCACCGCAGCCCGATTCAGCGCACTCGCCCAGCATTAGAAAGCCAACTTCAAGGTCACAAGACTCGCCTTGGCCAAAGACCACAGCTACAACAACAGAACCAGCAGAAGCAACAAAAACAGCCGTGGCAGAGGCAACCCATCAGCAACAGCAGAGCTCGTACACCGCCCATGTCGAGACAACAGCCACATGCGGTTCCAGCAGCGACACCTAATACCCAGGCGTTGAAGTTACAAAAGCTCAAACACAATGAAGCATACCATTATATCAACTCCGCACTCGACGATGACAGCAAAGGCGAATATAATAAGGCGCTCGACAAGTACCGATTAGGGATCCAGGCCCTCAAGGATGCGCTGAAAATCCGATATGTTACCGACGCAGAGTTTCGGGAATCTGAGATATTAGGGCCTAAGATGAGGCAGAATTTGCAGGCGGTCGAGAGCAGAGTGGAGGAGTTGTCGCAGAGGATAAACCAGTCAGGCACAACTACAGGACTAAACACCTCAGGACAGTCATTTTTCTCAGCGGCGGTGTCCAGTGCTATCCAGGCAGTTGGGTCGGCCATCTCGGGTGGCGGTAGCTCGCCTTCTATGGAGCGACAGCCTACTGCTCTAACATCGACACCTATTTTCGGATCTTCGCCAACACCCGTACGTAGCAGGCCCGCAAACCATTTATCCGATGAACCCGTCTTCAATGTTGTGTCCGCAACAAAACCATATGCGCCAACACCACACAAACGATCTCACCTAACCAATGGCTCTACCGGGCATGCAACATCACCAGGAGGGGGAGCAACGGGTGTCGGAAACCGAACAGTGACCGGCGTTACTCAACCCAGGACAACAACTACTCGGCCAGGAATGATCACGGGGGGACGAAGGCGACCAGCAGGAACCACAGCTGGGGTAGGGGCAGCAGGAGGAGCAACGGCATCAAGCGGACAGAACTCGGTGCTAACAGAGACCAAGAACAAGATCTCGCGTCTCAAGAACATCGACTCCAAGCTCGCCAACATGATCCTGAATGAAGTGATGATTGACGGGGCCGCAGTGACCTGGGACGACATCGCTGGTTTGACGTTCGCCAAACAAGCGCTCAAGGAGATTGTGATTTTGCCAGCACTTCGACCAGAATTGTTCACTGGACTGAGGGCACCCGCCAAGGGTGTTCTGCTCTTCGGTCCTCCAGGAACTGGTAAAACTGTAGGTGTAACATTTAATTTTGGATACGTGCCGTGTGTATATTTGCATTTGCAAATTATTTACCCAGAGCAATTTACTGACTCAACATTTTTGTTGTATCTAGATGCTGGCAAAGGCCGTGGCGCAAGAATCCAAGGCGACGTTCTTTTCCATCAGTGCCAGTTCTCTCACTTCCAAGTTTGTAAGCCAATCGTCTCCTTCAGTCCGCGTTTGTCCGCTTGAATGATGACTAGCTATTTTGTATGACTTTGACAGCCTTTCTTTCGTTACTTACATAGGTTGGCGAGTCTGAGAAGCTGGTCAGGACTCTCTTTGCTATCGCTATTGAGCTGCAGCCATCCGTCATCTTCATTGGTAAAAGCAATGGCGTTCTTGTTGTACCTTGTCGCCGTGCGTTGTTTTTGAGTCATCTAGACTAACAAAGCTATATACTCTAATTGGTGTCTAGATGAGGTCGATTCGATATTGACGGAACGATCAGAAAGCGAGCACGAGGCGAGCAGACGGTTAAAGACCGAGTTTCTGCTGCAGTTTGACGGTGCAGGATCCAACCCAACAGACAGGGTCCTGGTTATGGGCGCCACTAATCGGCCTCAAGAACTGGACGAGGCCGCCAGACGTCGGTTTGTCAAGAGAATCTATATCCCCTTACCGGAAGCAGAGACTCGCCGCAACCTGTTGACAAAACTGTTGAGTGGCCAGGACTACCAGTTCTCTTCAAGCGAGATGCAGTCGCTGGTCCGACAGACAGAGGGCTACTCGGGTTCGGATCTGACGGCGCTAGCTCAGGATGCTGCTTTGGGGCCTCTTCGGTCGTTGGGTGAGACACTTCTGGACACACCTGCAGATCAGGTCCGGCCGATTCAATACCAAGACTTTGTACAAGCCCTCCAAACCATTCGGCCGTCTGTCAGTCCGCAGAGCTTGATGGCGTTTGAGGAGTGGAACCGAGAATACGGAGCGGGGATTCGAGGATAACAGGCAAGAATAAGGATCATTTGTCTGTTAGCATTTCAAAGTAGAGCAAAGAAGAACATGACGCGACATCGCATACAAAACACATTGCATTTCCATTACTTCCAAAGTTTCTTGTACTGTTTCGCAGTATTGCGTCTTGCGCGTTGTTATTATTTTTTTTTAAAATCTTCATTATTGTTTATTTGATAATGTTGAATATCGGTAACTGATGCTTTAAGGAGATAATGTACAGTCGAGAATGGCCCATGGCAGTAACCAACCACAAAGGCCACTCCGAAACGCAAAGGGATTTGTTTTGCTTTGGGAGGAGAAATAAAAAATAACAAAGACGAATGCGGGTGTTTGGTGGAGATTGGGGAGAGAGAAAAGTAAAAGCGGTGTGTTGTATAGAAAAAAAAGTTGATCGGGGCATGGTTGAGCATACACCTCAGATGAACTTGTAAGAAAAGGAGGAAAGGATGAAAAAAGAAGGCAAGGCTTGCTAAAAGCAATGGCCTGCTACCAAAAGATCTCTAGGAGAGATTTAATGGTTGGGCTTCAAGTCCTTGACGTCGAAACCGGGGAAGGGGAAGGAGGTGGCGAAGGCCTCGACCTCCTTGCGGAGGTTGGCGACATCCTCGTTACCCTCGAGGGCGGCGACAAAGTCCTTCATCAGCTTGGAGCCGGCCTTAGCCTGGACGGTCAAGGCGATCTGGACGATGCGGTGCAAGAACTCACCGACCTTGACAAAGTCGGCCTCCTTGAAGGAGCGCGAGGTCAAGGCAGATGTTCCGAGACGGACACCACCGGGGGTGACGGCAGAGACGTCACCGCAGACAGAGTTCTTGTTGAGGGTGATGGAGGCCATGTCGCAGATACGCTCGACCTTGGAACCGGTCAACTTGTTGGGGCGGAGATCCCAGAGGATCAAGTGGTTGTCGGAGCCGTCGGTGACGATCTTGTATCCCTTTTCGAGCAAGGTGGCGCCGAGGGCCCTGGAGTTGGCAATGACCTGCTTGGCGTACAACTTGAACTCGGGGCTGGCAGCCTGCTTGAGGGCGACGGCAATACCGGCAATGGTGTTGTTGTGGGGGCCTCCCTGGATGGAGGGGAAGACGGCCTGGTTGACACGGCTCTCGAGATCCTCACCCTTCTCGACCTTGGCATCCTTGTTCTTGCGGAAGAAGATCAAACCGGCACGGGGACCACGGAGGGTCTTGTGGGTGGTGGTGGTGACGACGTCGCAGTACTTGAAGGGCGACTCGGCCTCCTGACCGGCAACGAGACCAGAGATGTGGGCCATGTCGGACATGAGGTAGGCACCGTGCTGGTCGGCAATCTTGCGGAAGCGGGCATAGTCCCACTCACGGGGGTAGGCCGAGGCACCGCAGATGAGGACCTTGGGGCGGAAGAGCTTAGCGTTCTCCTCGAGGCGGTTGAGATCAATGAGACCGGTGGTGGCATCGACCTGGTAGGGCATGGACTGGAAGTAGATCGAGGTGGCAGAGATCTTCTTCTTGGCGGTCTGGTAACCGTGGGTCAAGTGTCCACCGGAGGGGAGGTCGAGACCCATGATGCGGTCCTGGGGCTGGATCATGGCGGTCAAGGCGGCAAAGTTGGCGGTCGATCCAGAGTAAGGCTGGACGTTGACACCCCACTCCTCGGCAGAGAGACCAAAGGCGTCGAGGGCACGCTTGCGGCAGAGGTTCTCGATCTGGTCGATGAACTCGTTACCACCGTAGTAACGGGCGCCGGGGAGACCCTCGGAGTACTTGTTGGTCAAGGCGGAGCCGTTGGCCTCCATGACGGCCTGGGAGGTAAAGTTCTATTTTGTTGGAATGGCGCGATGGGGAAAAGGAAAGAAGGGAATGGTTGGTTATTGATCAGACACGATTCAAGACACTAATGACTGTTGATATATCAACGATTGATGCGACTGGCTACTGATCTCATTCATTCCTCAGGTTTCGTCTTCCTCCTACTTCCTGCCTATAGTTGTTGACCTCGTTACCCCTTTCTTTTTTTTTTTGCATCCTGGTGTTTTTCCCACACACATCAATCATTATGCAGAAAAGAAAAACTCACCTCAGAGGCAATCAACTCAAGGCCAGAGTACTGGCGGTACTTCTCCTGCTGGATGAGGTTGTAGATCTCAGCATCCTCCTGCTCGAGGGGGGTGTTCATGTTGGCGTTCCAGGAATCAATTTGGGCCATTGTGATGTATCTATCGAATGGATAAGCAAGAAAGGTTGCGGTTAGTTAATACTCATATTAAGAGATAAAGGGCGTCTTGTTTTGTTATCAAGAATCGATATGTGTGAAGGGGTATGTATGTTTGTACATTCTTCTTTGAGATCGTGAAAAGGGTGCAAGGAAAGGCGAAAGAAAAGAAAACGAGGAAAAAACGATGGGGGAGGGGCAAAGGCGTTATTATATTGCAAAGGAGCATGATAAACTGATCCTCTCTCCACCAACAAAACCCCAACAGCAAACAAACAACATCGAACGCCACAAAGACACATGCAGAAACACATAATCAACTCAGGATGACTCTTTCTTTGACGCTTGCGTGCTCAGTTATTTTGTGTCCACCTCGCTTCCTTTTCATCTTTTTTTTGCTTTTAGGTCTTGTATCCTCTTGTCGGACCTTTCTAGATCCGCTCACAATTTTTTTTATCAAAATAATGGAGGTCGTGTTACAACTTAAAGTTGAAGGAGAAGGAAGGGAGAATGGAGTGAGAAAGGGAAAGGGAGAGGGGGAAGAAAACGGGATGGACGCGGGCAAGTTTCGTGGGATCATTGATTTGCTGTAATGTTCCTGAACATTATCGGTTCTTGTTGGAGAGATTGGTTGAGCCTGCATGATGATCCCACGCGAAAGACACGCCTGTTGTTCATGGGAAAGTGTATAAAGGAAATGTGATGTGGATAGTTACCTTTGTTCTCGAAAGAGCGAGTGAGGAAGGGGGGAGAGGTGGATTGGTGTGAAAGGATGAAGAGCAAAGAGAAAAAAAAAAGAGAAAAGATTAAAAAACAGAGAAGAGGGAATCCGAAGCTGTTCAAATAGGAAATCTGAAAAGTGCGGGGTCGTTCTGTCAACCTTATTGCACACACTTCCTCCTCTGACTCTTTCCAGTCAGTGGCTTAGGTTATCTTACCCTGTTGTCAACTCGCAAGTCGGAGCATGAGGGCTTGATCAGACTTGTCTTGTGTACGGTTCTTTTGCATGGCGTAGGATATCCCTGCCACTTCTTATTAACCCCCATTGTTTTTGCGACTATTTTGTACGTGCATCGCATCGGCACTTCAAAATTCTCTTGGGTTCCCTATCTCTCGCTCCCATCGCCAGCCTCTTTTGGCAGGGGCCCACACAAAAGTGGTCGGCCGAGGCACTCTTGCATGGGAAAAAAAAAAAAAAAAAAATGAGCAAATGTTAGGCAACGAACCAACCAACCAGCACGGTACTGCTTTCCATTCACCCTCGCTCTTTTACGCGCCTTGCAGCTGCATCATATCTTTCAAGAAAGGAGCCCAGTTCCCCGCTTGTTGAAATTTTGGTGGCAAAAAAGGGACTGCATTCTCATAGGAATAGGATCAAGTTCTACCCTTGAGAAACACCGATTCATGACCGTATGTCTTCTATCCCCTCAGTAAAAACATACATACAATGCCGTCTGCCTTGTAGCTTGTTCTCTTTGGCTGTCTTGCCAAGGAAATGTACTAAGGGCCTGCTCGCCTCTCTGACTTGCCTAGCAAAAACACAAGCCACAGGCGAGACCAAAAAAACTTTTTTTCTCCGCCTGCAGCCAATCAGATAACATTCAGGGCGCAGACTGGCCCTTCAAGTCTCCACATAAAAAGACCCCGCTGCCCAGAACTTTTGCTCCTTCCCTTCTTCTCCCCCTTCACATCCCGCATCAACCCCTTGGGACCTTGGCATTACCATCCGCATACCCTTTAAATTCCTCCATCCCGCACCCTTCCACTCATTTGCCACTCTTAACTACCCCTCCCTTGCCATACAGCAAAACCCCTTCTCCCTTATTCCCCCCGGTAATACCAATCCCAACACAGTTCAATATGTCTGCTCCCCTTATTGATGCCATTGTCAAGGCCGAGAACACCGAGCAGCGTCAGGCCGCTGCCGACGCCCTTGCAGCCTTCGCCAAGTCCGAGGGTCTTGTCAAGTCCGTCGCTATTATCGAGAGCCTTTCGCCTCTCCTCGAGAACAAGAAGTCCGTCCCCCACCGTGAGGGTGCCCTTCTCGCTCTCGGCTCCTTGGCCACTACCTTTGGCCAGGCTGGCGAGCCTTTCTTGATCCCCCAGATGCCCAAGGTCTTTGAGCTCTACTCGGACAAGATGGTTGTCGTCCGTGATGCCGCCTCTGTTGCCTCCAAGGCTATTATGTCCCTCCCCACCCGTTATGCCGTCCGTCTCTTGTTGCCCGTCATCTTCCACGCCATCAAGGAGTCGAAGTGGTAAGTTTTCTTTATCACGGTTTATATTAATAGTTACCACTCAGAATTCTAATCAGTCTTATTATTTTCTTATCACTGATAACAATAGGCACTCCAAGATCGGTGCTTTGGACATTCTCTCTGGTTTGACCTTCTCCGCTCCTCAGGTACGAACAACAACAATAGTGGCAACAAAACGATGAAAAGGCCCCTACCGTTTTTTATTGTTTATTCCGTCATGCTGCAGTTTTCAGTCGTTTTGCATGTGGCACCCCTTATTTTCCACAAAGAAGGGTAGCTGTGTGAAAATATCTGATCCAAAGAGTCCATTACTTACCCAAGATTATTATTTTCTTGAATCAACAACATTTAGCAAATCTCGGCTGCTCTTTCTGACATTATTCCCATTGTCAGCGAGACCATGTGGGACTCTAAGCCCGAGGTGAGTCCTTTTTCTTCCTTCCTCTTGAAGTCAGCGGCAGAATTTTTTAGTCGATTTCATCAGTTGGCCAATTGGAACAATTGGAACAGGACCACAGGAAGAAAAGAAAAGAGAAACAGACGTCAGGACTGAAACACCACTCACCATCCACGCTTGGTTTCGCCGTAGTCTACTCTTTGTGTCAGACGTAACAACAAAACGGCAACAAACAACAACGGACAGCAGCAACGCAGACATCTAACTTTTTGTCTAAATGTTCATTCGAACGAATGTAGGTTCGCGACCAGGCCACCAAGACCATCACCGACTGCTTCAACGTCGTTGGTAACCCCGATTTGATCTCCTCCATCCCCTACCTCGTTGGATGCATCAACCGCCCCGAGGAGGCCGCCGAGTGCATTCACCAGCTCGCCGCCACCACCTTCGTTACCACCGTCGAGGAGCCCACCCTTGCCATCATGTGCCCTCTTCTTGTCCGTGGTCTCGCTGAGCGTACCCCTTCTATCCAGCGTCAGACCGCCGTCATTATCGACAACATGTGCAAGCTCGTCGAGAACCCCGCTCACGCCCAGCAGTTCTTGCCCAAGCTCTTGCCCGGTTTGGACCGCATGATCGAGATCGGTGCCTCTCCCGAGCTCCGTTCCGTCGCCGAGCGTGCCCGTTCCACCTTGGTCCGTGTCGGTGGTGGTGAGCCCGGTTCCAAGGACCAGGTTGTCATCATTGCCTACACCGTCACTGCCACCGAGGTCCTCGAGGTTCTCAAGGCTAAGGCCACCTTCATCAAGGAGGATGCCTTCTCCGCCTCCCTCCTTGGTTACGTCTCCACCCTCTGCGCCGAGTTGATTGCCTCTCGCAACTTTGAGAAGGACGCCTGGGTCTCTTCCGTCGTCCCTTACCTCACCGTTGTCGGTTCCGATGCCGAGGTCGCTGCTCTCGCCAACGAGCTCAACGCCTTCTACATTGATTTCGATGCCAAGAACGCTCTCGCCAACGCCGCTGTTGAGGATGTTGAGGAGGGTGAGCTTCTCTGCGACTGCGAGTTCTCCCTCGCCTACGGTGGCATGATTCTCTTGAACAAGACCCGCCTCAACCTCCGTCGTGGTCAGCGTTACGGTCTTTGCGGACCCAACGGTGTCGGAAAGTCGACCCTCATGCGCGCCATCGCTTCTGGTCAGCTCGAGGGCTTCCCCTCGCCCGATGAGCTCAAGACCGTCTTCGTCGAGCACAACTTGCAGGCTGAGGATGCCGACCTCCCCGTTGTCCAGTTCATCTTCAACGATGAGAACATCAAGAACCTCGACCGCAAGGCCGTCATTGAGATGCTCGAGTCTGTCGGTTTCGACCAGGAGAAGCAGGATCAGGCCGTCGGTTCCCTTTCCGGTGGTTGGAAGATGAAGCTCGAGTTGGCCCGTGCCATGTTGATGAACGCCGATATCTTGTTGTTGGACGAGCCTACCAACCATTTGGATGTTGCCAACGTCGCCTGGTTGCAGAACTACCTCAACTCGCTCACCAACGTCACCTCCATGATCGTCTCCCACGACTCTGGTTTCCTCGACACCGTCTGCACGGGTATTATCCACTACGAGACCCGCAAGCTCAAGAAGTACAAGGGTAACTTGTCCAAGTTCGTCGAGCAGTACCCCGCCGGTCGCTCTTACTACGAGTTGTCTGCCTCCCCCATTGCCTTCAAGCTCCCCGAGCCCGGTTTCTTGGATGGTGTCAAGTCCAAGGATAAGGCCCTCGTCAAGCTCCAGAACATTGATTTCGCCTACCCTGGTGCCACCAAGTTGACCATCATGAACATGTCTTGCCAGGTCTCCTTGAACTCCCGTGTTGCCGTCATTGGCCCCAACGGAGCCGGAAAGTCGACCCTCATCAAGGTCTTGACCGGTGAGACTGCCCCCACCGACGGTGTCGTCACCAAGCACCCTAACGTCCGTGTCGCCTACGTCGCCCAGCACGCCTTCCACCACGTCGAGCAGCACTTGGAGAAGACCCCCAACGAGTACATCCGCTGGCGTTACCAGTACGGTGAGGATCGTGAGATGGTCAACAAGGCCACTCGCAAGATCTCGCCCGAAGAGGAGGCCCAGATGAAGAAGTTCATCCAGTGGGAGATTAACGAGAAGATCGAGAAGGTCCAGATCGAGGACCTTTACGGACGTCGCAAGGCCAAGCGCTCTTTCGAGTACGAGGTTCAGTTCGTTGGACGCTCGTACGAGGACAACGCCTGGATTGCCCGTGAGAAGCTCGAGGAGTGGGGTTTCGAGAAGGTCCTTCAGGCCTTCGACGACAAGGAGGCTGCCAAGGCTGGTGCCTGGACCCGCTCCTTGACCGCCGTTGAGGTTGAGAAGCACTTGTCTGATCTCGGACTCGATGCCGAGTTCGCTACCCACTCCCGCATCAAGGGTCTCTCCGGAGGACAGAAGGTCAAGGTCGTCCTTGCCGCCGCCATGTGGCTCAACCCCCATTTGTTGGTCTTGGACGAGCCCACCAACTACTTGGATCGTGACTCCCTCGGTGCATTGTCTTTGGCCATCAAGGACTTCGGTGGTGGAGTTGTCATTATTTCCCATAACCGCGAGTTCACGGACACTGTCACTGTTGAGAAGTGGTCTGTTGTCGCTGGTGTCTTGACCATCACCGGTAACAACTACACCCAGAAGAACTTGGAGAAGATCGTCATGAAGGAGGAGGAGGTCAAGATCGATGCCTTCGGTAACGTCGAGAAGGTCAAGTCTACCCGCAAGTTGTCCCGCAAGGAGATCAAGGACAAGCAGAAGCGTCGCGCTGCTGCCAAGAAGCGTGGTGAGGAGGTCTCCGATTCCGAGGAGGATTTCTAAATAACCAACCAAGAACCTACCCTCTTCGGTAATCATATTCCCTTCCCTCATCATCATTCGCATTCTTTCCTTTAGTCCCCTTCTTGCTTGCATTTTTTTCTCGTCTGTAGATATATCCTTTGGCCTTTTTTTTCCTCTTTTTCTGTTTGACTTTTTTTTTCCTGCCCTCACTTAATTGTTCTCTTGTCTTATTAAAACAGCATGTCGCTTGTTTTGTTTCGAAAGTTGCTTTCCCATTGCTCTCTTGCTCTTGTTTGATCTTGTCATGGTTGAATGTTGTGAAATGAAAAGCAGCCGGTCATTCGTTGTCTTTTCGATTGCTTGCAAGAAAGAAAAAGAAAAAAACGATCGATGATGGTACATTGCAATTGAAAGGAACGAACAACAAAGTCTCAAACGCGTCTGGTGACACCCAATTCTGCGACGTGCACGAAAATAATATGCGAAGCATCGTGTCTAGCCGATCTTTTACGGCTTTAATGTTCGCAGATTCCTTCATAGTCAGAATCTCAATAAAGTGCTTTTAGAAGATCGCATTTATTTTAAATTGTTTTTGCGTTGTGCAGAGCCAAACATCATTGGCAGCCTTCGTTTCTCACGAGCAGGGTAATGGAAGCGATTCTCATCAGTTTTTTGTTCTCAATGGGTTTCTGGTATCAATTTTTTTCTGATCCTAGTGGGACTGAAAGAGTGGGTCATCATTCTCTGTCGTGTGCTTTATCTATTCACTAGTCCATGGTAATTTCAATACAAGAGGTGAATGTCAACCAACCCTTTTGAACAATTTCATGTTGATACGTCTCTTCTTTTTTTTTTAGTTTCTTTGTTTGATAGTTGATTAAAGGGAAGGCAGAAGATGTGCCGGTGAATATTGTCACTTCCACATAGAACGAACAACAAAGGCTCGGACTCGTCTGATGACACCCAATTCTCCGACTGCGCGAAATAATATATATTAGCATCGGTCTTGCTGATCTTTTACGGCTTTGAAGGTCGTGGATTCCTTTGTGGTCAGAATCTCAAACAAAGTGCTTTTAGAAGATCGCGTAATTTTGCGTTGTAAGGATCCTAAGTTTTGCACGCCCGAAGTATTTATTGGTCCCATTCTAGCAGTCCTTTGGACTGTTGATCAAAGTCCGTTGCGAGGAGGAAGGCTTTCGGTACAATGGGGAGGAAGAGATTGGAGGAGTATGGAATAATAATTTCAATTGGAGTCTCAATTGCTCCGCAAGCTAACGAGTCACGCAGAGTGAGAGAGGTTCCTTGATTTGGGATCCCTGTCTCCGCAATTGTTTCTCCAGGTGCCTCATTCACTGGAGTCTTAGACCAAGGCTCGTAGAAAATTGGGTTCGGTGTCATCTTGGTCGTTGCAAAATATCACAATTGATGGCAATGGTAGAAAATATCAATGATGGTGACAACGTTTGTTTTTGTATTTTTCGTGGAATCATCAATCATATCAATGCGAAAGGATAAAAGGGAAGAAAAGAGAAGCTATGGTACAATGGGGGGCGTATGCTAGGGGAGAAGGGGACGATAATGCTACAGGATATTTGAAAGAAAAGAAAGGGCAACGGACAAGTGGTGATGACAGGTAAAAGGGACGAAACGATATCTAGGCACTAATGGGCGCCTTTTTTTACCGACTACAGGAGACAGGGTAGATGTGGGGGATATCCTGAAGCCTCTTGTCATCCAAGCCAGAGCCATTGGAGTGACCGTGGCCCCTCTGGTTCATCAGTCTCGACTCAAGCTGGTTGGCCTTCTCCTGCAGCATCCTGTTCCGGTTCTCAAGGTGCTTGATGAAATCCACAGCCTTGAACAAGATGGTCGATTTCGAGCTGTTGACGTCCTTGAGGTCGGGTATGATATCAGTCATGTCCTTGAATCCGTTGCGAATTGTATTCCTTCGCTTCTGCTCGGACGCAATGTGGTTCGCACGTTTCTCCTCTTCCGTCAGCAACTCCTTGTACGGCTTGCGCTTGGTTGTCGCAGGGGTAGTTGAATTGGGGGTGGAATTGGTTGCATCCGAGACAGACCCATCCGAGTACGATGTATTGCGCTCTCGACTGCCCTCCTTTTGACCCCGTGAGTTGGGGGGTGACGACACTGGCGAAGATGAAGTGGGATGCTCGTCCTCGTCCCGCTTGTTCTTCTTGGGGTTGGAAGGTCCATGATTGTCGCCGTTGCTGTTTCCGTTGCTGCCACTGTTGTTGTTGTTCAATGAAAGCTTCGACAGTTGTTGGATAGGGGTCGAGATCTTGGAGGAATCGCTGCTGATGGATGTGCCCTTGCGTCGGTCTGTAGACTTGTTGGTTTTTCTCTTTGTTGGCACAGAGACGATTCCAGCGATGGTGTATGGGTTGTTGCCAGAGGGTGAGCCAGGCGAGGCAGGCGAGTCGCCCTGTTGAGGCGAAGACGGGAACCCATGACCAAAATGATTAGGGAGAGAGTGACCAAAGCTTGACTGCGACGAAGGCGAGGTCATGTCGAAATCCATGCTGTTCATCAAGCCAGGGTTGGCTAGGGACGAGGCTGAGGACCCCGAATTCAGCATGTAAGGGTTATCGACAAAGGACCCGGGCATGGTCTCGGGTGTGAAGAGGGGCAAGTTGGGGAGGTTGGGTATCGCGCTTGGGTCGAATGTAAAGTCCTGGTCGACAACCAATGTATCGAGGAACTCGGAAAAGTAGCGTTGCTCGGATGGGTTGAAGAGCTGCATCGAAGGATCTGCTCCCAGTGGTGGAGGCGACGTAGGCAAGTTCAAGAAATCCTGGTTCGACAGCTTGAAGTCTACTCGTCGAGTGCAAAGCAATTTATGTATGAGCCAGCGAACATTTGTATGCATATATGCTTGGCAGTGATGTTATAGTGTTTGCTTCCTCTGGTTTACCATCGAAAGAAAGAGGCTCGCCAAAGAGACCGTGGCTGGAGCCTGAAAAAGGGAGGGGCGATGGGGGTCTGAATCCCGAGTCTGTGTTGAACATGTTCATGATGAGTATATGTGTGTGTGTGTTGAGAGTGGGAGAAGTGTGAAGTGTAGAGTGTAAAGTGTGGATACGGTGTACAGGGAGTGAGGAAGAGTGGAGTAAGTATGTGAGTGTGTATGGGTTGTGGAGAAGAGGAGGAACAGGAGTCAAAGGGGATAGAGCAGGAAGCAGAAAGGGATGAAAATCAAGAGGAGAGAAAGAAAGAAGGAAGAAAGAAGGAAGAAAGAAAGAAAGAGAAGGTCCCGGGTTGGGCAAGACAGGGCAGGGCAGGGCAAGATCGGATTTCGAAAAGGGGGATGAGCAAAGGAGAGGAAAAGATAGAAAGGAAGAAAAGAGTAGCGAACAAAAGAGAAAGAAAAAGGGAAGGAAGGAGGGCAATGACACGAATGAGGAGGGAGGAGGAGCGTGGAGGGAGAAATAAAAACGAAAAGAAAGAGGGATGAAAAAGTACACAAGAGAAGCTTGAGAGTAGCGAGCAAGAGGCCGGGTGACCTCCTTGCACTTAAAGGTCGAGCCTCGCACAAAGAGCTGATTGGGTCTTGGTTCCTTTATTTCATTTTTGAAGAAGTGAGATGTATTTTTGTCGACACTCGAAACTAAGTGTTTTCTAGCTTTGCTTGAACGCACTCTAATGGTTTGAGAGACGGAGGAGAACTCAGCTCTCTCTCTCTCTCTCGGTCTCCATTCTTGCTCCACTCGATCACCTCCAATTGATGTACTTTACTGTATTTCACACTGTGGAGTAAAGTACCTTATGCACTTACCTCAACAAGACTACCCACACACCCCATATTCCGAACAATAATATCACTGTCGCCAGACTGGAGACTTTTATTATACATCCTGCTCATTACATTCCATCCGAACCCAACCTCTCGCAAACGTACACCATACATCGTGCTGTAATGTATCCTCATCAACATACCAAGGCTGTTGTGTGATGTTGTTGTGCTCGTTGCACTGTCCTTTGTCCGTGAGGTGCAGCTGTAACGAACTATTATGCTCGCACTAAGAGAAGGAAAAAAACAAGCATGACATAAACATCTCCTGCGGGAAGAGCATACACTTTGGGACTTAGGAGAAACCTCTCATTTTTGTAGATGGAGGAAAGGAGGCAGACGAGCACTGTACCTCTCAACTGGTAGAACCTCCATCCCAGCTTGCTGCTCCCAGAAATCCCACTCGTTCTTTATGTATGCCAGCCCAAATACAAACAGAAAAACTCTCTCTCTCCAAGCTCCAACGACTCTGGATGGTCCCTGTGCCCCCTTCCTCATCGTTGTCTTCTGCGATTGGTTGATGAAGGACTTAACGTAACCCCACAGTGTGTGCAAACACATGTTTGGTTTACTTATTTTTTATTCCGGGCTCACTACGCCTTCCTTCTCTTCCCTCCCTATACTCACACTCACTCTTCTGCTCCACGCAGCGAAGATCTATAAAAAATATAGAGCTTCTCAGCAGGAGCAATAGAAAAACAAACACCCAAATCATTCAAACCGCAAAAAAGATTACAATCCCGTTTACGTCTGTGCCTTTTGGATAGCTACCCCTCACCAACAGAAAGGTAGCCCTTCCCGACAGCCGAGACTTTTTGCTGCTTTGTTTTTTATTACGAAGGTGGTGGTAGAAAATAGGACAAATGGCCAAACAGTGAGCAATTGGTTGCAAGGGTCAAACAACAACAACAACAACAACATTTGTGCGCACCATCGGATATTGCAATAACTGTAAACAAAAGTCTTCGGAGAGAAAGAGGAGAGGAAAGAAGGAAGAAGCTTGGATCCACAATGTTCGCCAATGCCACTCCCCTTGACAAGAACTGCAATGAGAAGGATCCTTGAAAAATAATAAGCTGTGATAATGGCAATGCTTACGTGCTAAGGAGAAGACATGCCAAAGAGGCAATTGATCACAGAACGATATGTAGAAAAGTCCAAGGCGTTTGCGTGGTGTGTGCCTCATGCACTTTTCGGCCTGTTTTTTTTTTTTTCTCGGAGGAAGAATGTCCTCAAGTGCAAGAGCAACCCTTGATCCTTGTGACGACTGTGCAGTTGATGCCCTTAAGCCAATCTAATTCTGCCTTCAGACAGGCCCTGACCTTGCGCCCAGCTGCCAGTGGAATTAGCCTTACAGCTTGGCCTTTTTGTTTTGAACGTCTTTTTCCACTCATCACCACACTACCATTACATACATCCACCTCTCAAGTAACACTTCATCTGCACATCCCTATCGACACCCTTCGATCTCTCCTGCAATGACTTCGACAATGAGGGTCCTGCCCGAACTCCGCATCATTCAGCAGGAGTTTAACCGCCGAGACAAGAGACCCTATCCAGGAAAATCCGGTCGAGGTAACCCGGTTGCGTCTTTGTACTTTTCAAAAAAACAATTGGTCTATTGCCCTATTCTTTTCTATAGTCCAAAGCAACTAACAATCTCACTCTTGCCCCACATAGGAACCTCTGATGATGACGAGGACGAGGATGGCAACAGGGCCAGAAAAAAGCCTGGCCGCAAGCCCAACCCCGCCTCGCCTGCCGTACGCAAGGAGCAGAACAGGGCTGCCCAGCGAGCGTTCCGAGACCGTAAGGAGCGACACCTTCAAGAGATGGAGAGTACGATCAAGGAGCTCAAGGAAACCAACAACGACATCACACAGGAAGCCCGTCGCCTGAAGAATGCCAACGAGCTGCTGCAGAGCGAGAACTTTTATCTGCGGGAGGTTGTCTTTTCGTTCGAGACGGCCCTGAGCAAGGGCGGCCACGTCGTCATTCTCCAGGAGGTCAAGGCTGAGCTATATCGACGACACTATGAAAAGCACTCGGCCAAGAGGCTCGATCCACCACCCCCACCCCCAGTAACCACAACACCTGCTGCATCAATACAAGACCACCAGTCAACTTCGACCCAATCCATGTTTATCCCTACTGGAAGCTTCCTCATTCGACCAGAGTGCACCGATGCCGTGTCTAGCGCCCGTCAGCGACAAGAATTTGGCCAAGCCGTGGTGAATGCCATCACCATCAATTGCTCAAAGTCACCATCGCCCTCCGTCTCTATCATATCATCATCCTCATTGACCTCCAACGGATCGACCTCATTATCTGACAGCCCTCCACTGCCGAGCAGGGCTTGCTCTCCGGTCGTGTGGGAGAGACCAGGGGCGAAAGCAGCAGCGGATCCCAACGACGACAATATTTTCTCCATGAGCAGCGACATTTTCTACAAGGCCCCTTCTCCCCGCTCTTTTCTCGATGCCTATCACGCTAGGCTTGCAAGGTCGAGCTCACCCTTTTCCCCCATCACCATCCCTCGTTCCGCAATGTCAGGGCAGGATACCGAGATGGGGGCCAGGGTCACAGAATACACCAAACAGCCGACCATGTTTGACGAGCTGCAGTCGTCGCTCTTTCCACCGGGCACGCTGCAATCTCTTATCCACAACAACCTATCGACCCCTCAGGAGATTGTAAACGACGTCCCTCTGCTGGATCAGTTGGGCAGTAGTGCTCCTTCCAAGGACCCCGTCATTTCATCCGGATACCAGGCTTTCCCCTTTTCGCTCTCCCTTATGGACTCCCTCCTCCCGAATGAGCCATCGTCGATTTTGGACGATGATAATGGAGAGTACCGCCTGTCGACACCAACGCTGGGGCTTGACGACGGCCTGAAGCAGGAAGTTATTCCCAGCAAACGACTTCAATTGGAGATTCGCGTCCTTGCCTCGGCACCTCCTGCTGTGGACCCCAATATTGACGTCAAGGTCTACTCGCTCCCCCACGACCCTCGGATCGACTTGATTCCTTGCCCCAGACTCCGGGCACAAATGATTCTGCACCAAACCAAGTTTGATATCGAGGACCTTTGCCAGCTCCTCATCAACGAGGCCATTTGCCACGGTCACCCTCTAGATCCACACAGCTGGGAGCTCCCCGAGCGGTTCTTTGACCGGTACGGTTTCCTACTGGGACAAGAGATGTTGCGACACCGCAACAAGATTTGGCCTAAGAAGGATGAACCCCTTGCAGGTAAGCATCTCCTTTTACTCATCATGGTTATTTGTATTGTCTCTGCTACTTAGGTATGTCGTTCTAACTTTTTGTTGTTGTTTTTTTCGGATCAATTTGTAGAAACGTCCAAGGCACATTGAACGCGGCATTCATAACTACTCTTTATTATTTATATCTGGTATGGCTTTCGGGATCAACATCATTAATTACTCCTGGCCGTCGCTTCACTATCCCAGGACCCCTCATCGCATCCCAATAACTGCTGTACTTTATCCCTCCCGTATTATCCGGCCCCTCTCCTCCATACCCTCACAACCCATTATGTATTCGTATCGTTTTTCTTTCTGTAACCACCACTCACTACCACCATAACGTGCTCTTCCACCATAGCGTACTCTTTATCAACTGTCAACGTCGACCATGAAAAAATAAATAAAAAAATACAAATTTTGTCATGTACCTTGGCTGGAATGTGACGTTTTTCGAGGTCAAGTTGGAACAAAACAACGAGAGAGGTGTTCACATCTTTTAATCTCTTCATATTTCTCTATCAACCGTCTTCGTCGACGAAGCAATGCCTCCTGTTCAAGCTGCCTGGTACGACAGGCTGCCGGTGGTGACAACCCTCCATCTCACAGGCCTCGTACTTGTCAATTGTGCCGTTGTAAGTTCCCTGTCGGTTGGTCTCACCATCCTTGCCGCCTTTTCTTTTTGCTCAACCTAACATTGTCACTACTCTTTTGCAGGACTTCAAATTTGTGGACGAGTACCGCCTTTACTATGACCCAACCCTAGTCTTTTCTCGTGGCCAGGTAAAGTATTGGCATCTTGCGAGGAAAATCGCATCAGTTGACTGGTCGGCCGTTTGTCATTTGTTGTCTTACCTACGTCTGCTTTTCTTTCCGCCACAGGTGTGGAGACTGGTGACGGCGCTGTTGTATCATGGAAGTCGCAAGGATTTCAATCATCTCGTCAAGCTGAGCCTGTAAGTCCCCAAACCCGACGAGTCCACTGAATCGCCAATTCAGGATTGTTCCTCATGTCCCATTTTTCCCTCCGTTTTTCATCGAAACAGCATAGTGTTCAGCTTCAAGCTAGAGGAAGGATGGTACTCTAACCACCAACAACCTCAACAGCACCAAAGAACAGCAGACTTTTTCTGGCTCTACATCCTCTCTGCCTTAACCTTCTTAACTGCCGCAACCATGTTCGCAATCCCGTTCCTGGCGATGGAGCTGCACCTCGCGATTGTTGTAGTCTGGGCGTACCGGGCATTGGGTCAGCTGTTGCGGTATGAGGGGGTGCCGGTTGTTAGTGGGGTTGTAGTCCTGATGGCGTACCGGGCTATTAGTTTGACGATGTGGGGGCCATTTGCTGCGTTGGGTGTTGGGTGTGCGTATTATTTTTTCGAGGATGTGTTTCCGACATGGCCGATTTCGAGGGGTGCGAGGGTGTTGAAGACGCCTGAGGTCCTGTAAGTCTTTTGGTACGGTGCTGAGTTCTTAGAGGATTGACGGGGTAGCGCTCAGTTGTATTGACCTTGTCTCTGTTTCTTGCTTTCTTAGGACGTGGCTGGAGTCGTGGTTACGTGCCTAGGGACGAAGGATGGCGCAGATGTAGGCTTGGGCAAATACTGTCGTACGTCTTTTTCCATTCGCCCGATTGTAGTTGGATGTGATACACATCAAATCAAAAATCAAAACGAAGGCGGGCAACACTACAACCGAAGTGAGCAATTCTCTTTCCTCACCATCCATCCATCCATCCATCCATCTCCTGCATCCATCTCTCATCAACAACGCTTCGCATCGCTCATCTCTGTCTCTGCAAACCGCCACCAACTCACACGCACACAACATACCTATCGCTCTACTGGAAGAAGATAGCACACACTCGCAGAAGCTAACAGGATGCCACCAATACTGCAGACATGGTATTCGAACGTACCCGTGGTGACCCGTCTACATGCCACAGGACTCATCCTCGTCCACATGTGTGTAGTGCGTATCCATAAAAAATAAACAAGAACCAATACCTTTCATATGTCAATGCTGTCTACGTGCTTGTTATTTCCTTTACTACGTTGACAACGGTCTATTCCTCCTCTTCTCCCCTCCCCTTTCTCTTCAATCTTTCATCTCAATTAGCACTTTGGGTTTGTGGACAAGTACCGGCTGTACTTTGATCCCGCTCTGGTATTCTACAAGCACCAGGTAATGTATCATTTGCCTGCGCCATTTCTTTGTTGCACACACATCTGGCACTAGATTACCTCTCTCATGCTAATTGCCTACTGCTTGCATGCCTATGGTCCTCATAGTACTGGCGGATTGTAACGGCGTTCCTGTACTATGGCGAAGGAGGCGACGAGATAGACTTTGAGTTCTTCTACACCTTCAACATGTATGCCCTCCCCTTCCCAATGCTCTTGTACCGTGATAGTTTTTACTCTCATCATTGAGTCTCCTAACGCCCCTTTTTTTCTGTTCTCAATTGCTTTCCTCAGGATCATCTTTAGCTACTATTTGGAGAGAGAATGGTTCTCGGAGAGAACGGTCGACTTTGTCTGGGCATACTTTCTCTCCGCATGTGCCCTCTTGGTAAGCATACTTTTAAAGCAGGCAAAAGGAGTTCTGCGCAATAGAATTCACTCACCCCCTGCACCATCGCTCAAATTATTTTGCCTCAATTCATTTTTCTGTCTAGATCGCGTCAACACTGCACGCACTCCCATTCATAGCAATCGAGCTACACCTAGTCTTCTTCCAGGTCTGGCTCTTGCATGGGACCAGTGTAGGGACCAACAAGAGATTGATCCTCCTCTCGTGGGCCGTCAATATTGGCCTCGCCTCGATAGCCTACTACTACTCGGTCTATGGACGATTCACCGCCTTAGCCTTTGGGGCTCTATACCATTTCTTGGAGAACGTGCTTCCTGCCTGGTCCATGTCTCGTGGTGTTCGGCTGTTCAGGACGCCCGACTTTGTGTAAGTGATGGCTCTTGATAGTTATACATGTAAGTTTGAGGGCAGGGCTTTGTTTCTGACACCTTGCCGCGTTCATTTTCTACTTTGTCGTTCATAGAAGGCGCCTTGTTTGACTTGACTTGCCTGTAGACAAATACAAATTGAGATTTGAGGCCCAGCTGGGCGTGGTCAAAGCGTGAAATTGGACCTATTTTTTTTTATTTATTTCCATCACCTGCGATTTGCTGCGTGGCAGAACTACGTGGCGTAATATCATGCAAACAGAAAAGAACTAAAGAAAGGACTAATGGCGTGGCCAAGGATAACGAGGGGCAGGAGGAACAAACTCCTCTGGGACAGGAGGAACAAATGTGCTGTGGGTCGCCTGGTCCGTCATTGGAGCCTGCAGATCAACGACGCGATGGTTGTTGTTGTTGTTGTTGTTGATGCTGTCGATGTCGTAGTTAGCACAGTCCAGCCAACTGACAAGGAGCACTCCAAACACCATGCCCAAGAAGGTGTAGGTCATGATTGGGGATGAGGATAACAATGTTTTAGCGTCCCGGTAGATCATGTCTATCAGGCGTCGGACATTTGCAAGCGTGAACGGGTTCGTCTGTGGTGGTTCTTGCGGGCGGATAGAGAATGGACCTGCAGTTTCTGCTGTTGTTGTTGAGGTGGCGGTAGTAGTGATTGTAGTGCCGGTTCCGGTGGTGGTAGTGATAATAGTGGTGCCGGTAGTTTCTTGTGGTGTTGGCTTAGTAGTAGTAGTAGTACTGGCAGGCGACTCGCTGAATGGCAATGAGGTCATGGACTCCTTCCCTCCAGGCGAATCACTGAATGGCAATGGCTCAACCTTCTCGCGCCTCACATTCGAATGCTCGCCCTTCTTCTTCTCCTGCAATGGCGAAAGAGACAACCTCACGTCGTCATCGACCTTGGTGACACCAACAACTTCAATGGACTGTCTCAGGATGCGGGAACGAGTCAACTCGAGATGCATCTGGTCCTGAACCGCCTTGAGTTGCTTGTACCGGTCCCGGATGTCTGCCACATACCGGTCCATCTCTTCTCCACAAGAGGACGGGGGTGGAGGTGAAGTATGGTAGAGGGACGGGAAGTCGAACAGGTCATCACCGTCTCCATGGAGGGTGTCGGTATCGTAGTAAGGCGAAGGTAGTGAGGAAGATGGAGGTGAGGTAAGGGTTGTGTTGGGTTTGAGGAGTGGGAGGACGGTAAGAGCGTGTTGCGGGTTGGTGAGAGGTGGAGAGGGGTAGTAGTAGTGGGCAAAGAACTGTTGGATGTCGTGGAGTTCCTTGTTCACAATGTCGAGGTATTCTGTCTCCATAGTTGGGTTAGTGGGATGGGTGGGGATGAGATAGAGGAAGGAAGGAAGATGGAGAGAGAGAGGAGAGGAAGATGGTAAGAATAGATGGAAAAGATGAGGAGAATAAGGGGTCGATCGCGCCTTGACCCTTTTCGTGTTGTCGGAAGAGTCGGTGACATCCACTCGATGGACAGGCACCTAGTTCGCCTCGCCAAACTCATCTGAGCAGCTGGTGTCACTTCTGCCGCATTGTCTTCGCCCTGAGAAGGGTAGATACATTTTCTTACCTATCTTTTTAGTTGATGATACGCTGGGACAAAACATGAACAACGTGCCCCACTTCTCTTCGCTTTCCTTCTTATTCCTCAACGCAGGATTGTGTCCATGCAACACACATTTCATCTAGACTCGAGTGCATCACTCATTCAAGGTGTCTGCCATTCTTCTCATCTTTGTTGCCTGCCTTGTGTTTTTGTCCGAAGCCTGAGGTACATGTCAATCTACGCGTTTGATCTGTCTACCTTAGCGTTGGATAGAATCTGGACAGCGCGGCACCAACGGCCATTTCTTTTATTTTCCTTCATCACACTATCTCTTTTTTTTATACACTTCTTGTCGTCTTTAGGGTCCAAACCACCATTGTTCTCTTTTTGCATTCTCCCTTAAAAAGCAAGAACACTACGCCGTTCTCGATTTTTTTATTCCTTCTTCTTGAGTATCAGGTACAAGACAGCATACTATTCCTCCCTTTCTCTTCTATCCTTCCCTTTTCTTTTCAAATAGGAAAAATACAAGGCGTCTGATTTTCTCGTCTACTTTCTCTCTTGTCCCCTCTTTAGCATTGGATGCGATCTGGAAAACATAGCATCTCGTTGTTTTCATTTTGAGTCGTTCTCATTTCCTTTCTCTGCCTCCGAAATAAAAAAGAAAAAGACAACACGTCCAACTTTCTCGTTTACTTTATTCCACCCTCACATCACCTCTTTCGTTTTCTCCTTTCTTCTCCGTATTGTTCTTCAGCGCTGGACAAAATCTGGTTAGGACAGAATGATGTCTCAGTCCTCTTCTTTCCACTGTTACTCCTGGTACTTTCCTTCCTTCAAAAAATGCGCCGCATATCACACACTTTCATCCATGAAAATGATGGTTTCGTGTCTCTATATTATACTAATGGTACCCGTAGTGTAGATGATTTTATTTAGAAGATATCAAACAGAATGGGTACGAGGCGTCGAAAGGAACCGCGATAAGAAAAAAAATTGAACGCGACAATAGTAGCGAAGATGATGATCAGTGCACCTTTTTTTCCACACCAGTACCTGACTTATCACAAAAGAAACGTGAAAAAAATACCAACGCAGGCGCGCCTATTTTATCTGGTCAGGTCAAATTTCAAGAAGAAAAAGGGGTCGTTAAAGAGAATGAAAAAAAGATTGCCAGAAGAATAGCGACGCGAACCTGTGTACTTCTCTATAAACGTGTGCAGGGATAAAAAGAAAGGAAGAGAGAAGAGAGAAGCACGCGTTATTCCGTGCCATTTATTTCGACAGCCTGGCCTCGAGATGAGACACGTCAATACTAGATCATAAGGTCTGTACGTCAGTTTTTTGAGTCCAGAAAACACTACTTAAGCCGCTCAGGAATGACGCCCCAACCGCTTGCATCGGTGGTTGGATCGGTGGTTGGATCATCAACAGTTCCGTGGTTTTGAAAAAAAAAAAAAGAGGAGGGAGGCGTTGGCAAGATAATCAGACGCGACATATTAGCACACCGCCTCCGTACCTGGATCGGTAGATACTTGAGCAGAAAAGAGAAAGGTATTAGGATAAAGTAGCGTTTTAACAATCTGCCTCAGCACATCTAGAACTCACCAAAGGCGTCGGGTGAAGAAAAAATAATTTGGAAGTATTGAATGGGTTAAAAAGTAGAAGTACTATGACGATGCATCGCGTCTGAAAAGCTAACTCAGGCTAATGCTGAAATGGTTCCTGGGCTCTTTAAAAAGTAATTGAGGGAACGAAAAACCATATGGTTCTGCTTGAGAGGGTTATATCTAACCAAAAAAATGAGAAAACGAAAGATGGTTATGGCTAACCTTTTACTAGCTTAACCGATGAACTTGGTCAAAAACATTGGTCGCTCGCAAATATTACGATAACCTTAGGCGTGGCCTAAGGTTATCCCTTTTGCTGGCCCCGCGAACAGACAAAACACACTTGGCAAGGACGATGTCCGTGGCTTGGCCATGGGCCGTCCTTCGTAAGAGTGGCAAATTTAAAGCGGATAGAGTGGCACACAAAAAGAAAGACGAAGCCGGGGGTTTTCGTCACTCCCGGCAGCCTGATAGATAAAAAGAAACAAAACAAAAAAAGAGGAACGAAGCCCCGGGCAGCCACCTGGTGACCAAAAAAAAAAATACAGGTCCTTGAATGGAACAAAAATACTGCCTCCGCTCGGGATTGATCCGAGGACCTTTCCATTACGAGTGGAACGCTCTGCCACTGAGCTACAAAGGCACTGTTACGCTGTGTCATGAATTGCCACCCCTATATTCACCACTTTCCCTTCTCCTTTCCCACTCACTTTCCTTCTTTTCCCTTCTTTGTTTTTTTTTTTTTTTTTTTTTTTTTTTTTTTTTTTGTTGCGTTGCACAAGAGGCTCGCAAGCCCAACCTGTACCCAACATGCGTGTGCCGACGATGCGAGCTCGAGAAGGAGGATAACGATCACGTCTGGAAATGCCCTTCGGCAGCTGAGACCACCACTGAGATCTGGAAGGAGGCCATGGGCAAGATTAATGAGTGGGGTGTGCAGGCGACAAACAGCTACAACGCAGCCAGGAAGCGAGAATACAAACGCGCGGTGGACAGAGGTCGTCAGGTACCGAGGCCAGTACCCATACACTGGTGGCCCCCTTCGGATGCGGATCATGTGCGAGGATTTTCCTCCATCGGTGGAGCTCGAGCCGTGCACAGCGGTAGTCCAGCTCCCGATCGAGACGAGAAACCGATGTGGAATGTGTCGGATCTCCTCCGCGGCATCACCCCCTTGAGCATGTTGACTGAATGGTCCGCGGTCTTCCGGACCCCAATGTCCATCGCTAAGACAGTCCTTCACAAGTTTGTTGGCTACCTGGAGGCGCAGGCCTCGGAGCTGATCTGGAAACCTCGGTGCTCCGCGACGATCGCGTGGGAACAAAGCCAGGGCATCTCTACCAAGGACAAGACATCCAAGTACACAGGCCCCCGAGGTGACTGGAGTCAAGGATACGGTTACATCACGCACGATGGTTTCTGTCCGTGTGGCGCTTCGCTAGCCACACATGATGAAGGAAGGTGCCCTGGGGCGACCAAGGACCCACGCGCTGCTGACGAGCGGTTGTTGGAGAGCTTGTTAGGAAGGAGGAGGTTGTCAATGATGGAGAGGATGGGAAGAATCCCCTTCATTCGTATCTAGTTTTATTTTCTTCCGTTTAAGCTGTGAAGAGCAGCGACAATTGTTGCGCAGAGCCAGGTTCCGGACCGGACTGCAACTGGTGGATGGTGCACTGAAGAGTTTGGTCTGTAGTTCCCTTTTACCTCCAAATAACTTCTCTATGCTGTTTGTTTGAGAAATAAAATTGTGTACGAAAAAAATAATTGCGGTTGTGCCTAGCCGAAGAAAAAAATGCCTCGTTCATTTATGTGTGCTCGATGGCTGTTGGCTGCTTTCCTTATTTCTTCTTTTTTATAGTGCGCCGATTCGTATCCAAAAACAGAGAGAGGGAGAGACAAGGTGGGAGAGATACTCGCTCTATATTTTTCGGTGGATGATTGATTCGTGACAAGGAAAAAAGAACGACGCGTGTTTCTCTCTTCTCGTCTCCATTCTTTTTATTCCTGCCAGCGTTCAGAGAGGAAAGTACACATGTTGCGTCGCCATTCTCTCCTCATTTTCTTTTTTGGCATCATTGTTCCTTTCTCTTTGACCACCTCGAAAAAAGACGCTTCTGTCTTAATATTATATTTTTTGCTTTTTGTGACGAGTCAAGGACTGGTATGAAAAGAAAATGTACAGAGCACCATCTTCACTACTCTCAGCCACTTCATATTCTGTCTTCCTGAAAGCCTTTTTTATGTGGGGGATAGAAAAAGATTGAACTCCTGAGCGTTTTTTCAAAGGAGTGCTCAACCCCGATCCATCTTCTCCCTTTCTTTTTCACACCTCCCCTCTTACTATTTTCCATTAAATCCTCGTAATAATAGTTTAACCAGATAATATAAAAGGATACCTAGAGTGAACGATAGAATAGCATCTTACCCCCTACTGTCTATCCCATTCACCTAGGTTGAGAACCGCCCGAAGATCCGCATACATGTTGTCGTCACCAGTGCGATGATGTAAACAAAGACTATATGTGGGGGATCTAGTCTAAACAAATGGGCAGTGGAGCTAGGACTATATCCGTAAGGATGAACTGGGAGAGGACCAAGGAGTTCGCATATGTGAGATCGATAGAATAATAAACTAAAATAAAATAGAGGGAGGGGGGGGGGAATAAAGGGAAGGAGTGCTAACAGTAAAGTAGACCCCTGGGCACTGGCTAACCCATAATATATGTTGACAGTTGCACCGCAGTCCGTCGTTAGACGATAGATCGGCCTGTGGTCGGGTGTTGGGCTGCAACAGCGGAGGTCTGGCGGAAACGTCGGCAGGGCGGAAAGTGGATCTCTATGGTATCAGGAGGGCGCAAAGTGTCAAGGATAGGACAGACAAGCCGGGGAGAACAAAAGGAAGGAGTACTAACAATAAAGTAGACCCTTGTGTGATATGCTGGTTGTCGCGCGTCCCGACTGTTCGATCGCCCGTATGTCTTTTCACGCCTGGCATCGGTCGCGACATAAGGGAGGTCGAGAATAAAGGGAGTGCCGATCCTGCTTTCAATGGTGTTTGTTCAAAGGAAACACATCAAAAGAATGAATCAAAAAGAGTAAGAGAAAAGAAGCACCTCGAGCCAATAGCTCGGTTCCGAATTATTTTATTATCATTTTCTGCACTACGAAATGGTGGCCACGAGAACGCCACCAAAATATCACTCAAAAAGCAGATCCCCATCTACACCACACCAGTGATCTAGTAGAAATCACTCCCCCTTCCCATTCCTCTTCCTCGAGTTTTCCCGGTCTAGTTGTGACCATGTGGGATCTCTCGCTAATGTTCCTGAGTAATTGTTCCCTACATAATGATTTCGGGGTTATCAATGATAAACCCATGGTTGCAGAAAAGTAACGGCATTTTTTCTTCTCATCACCCTTTTTATTGTTTATATTTGTTCACTATTTCTCTCTCTTGCCTTCTTGCGCTGTTTTGCCTTAGAATAGGATCAAGCGAGTTAGCGAGTGAGAAAATGTGTTGTTTATTCCTTCCTTGTCACTGAACAGCTTTTGCAGGCCTGAGCAGGGACAAGAGTGTGGTTAATCCACTATGCCAAATAAAAAACAATGCAAAAAGAAAATGGAGTGCTCACTAATGAGAATCATATCAAAAACGTTACAGTGCTATTTTTCTGGTCGCAAAACAGTTTAATGTGCATATTCTTATCTTCAAAAAAAAAATGTATACCCTTAGTGGGCCGTAAAATTTTGCTATTAATCAAGAATCACCCAATCCTCCTGGGCTGGTGCCTTGGCAGCAGGAGTGCCAAACCCTCCATCCTTGTCTTCCATTACGAAGTCGGCATCTTCGTATGTTCTATGAAAGTGCAGCACCAAAAACAATAAGTACTTTGTCAGTGGCCGCCAAAGAAGACTATCCTCGCATCGCCATTATAACAATGGGCAATTACACAAGTGAAAGGACACTTACGTTGTTTCATCCATAAATTCTTGAAGGAATTTAGGGACGACTTGCTGGCACTCCACCAAGAATGTGGCCAGCTGGGAAGCAATGACGTTGTTGCTATTAGTGTAAAATGTCGTGACGAGGGTTGGTTTGCCAGTTCTGGCGATGCATTCGATCCGGTGCACATACTCGTCAACCTCGTCGCAGAGGTCGTAGTTGACCACGTGAAGGACGTCCTTGATATCCAGATCGAGAGAGGCGGCCGAGGTGGTGATCAGGATAGGGCTTCGACCGGACTTAAAGGCATTCAAAGCGTCTTCACGTTCGCGTTGGTTGCGGTCACCGTGGAGCGAGACGCAAGGGAAATTTTGGCTGTACAGGACATCGTCCAGTTTATCAGCCCTGAGCTTGCTGTTGACAAAAATGACCGTGCGCGATGGAGGCTGGGACAGGAGTAGGTTGACCAATGTCTCCTCCTTGCGGTATTCTTCCAGCTTGACCACCTTTTGCACGATGTCGCGCGTAGTTCCTCCGATTCTACATAGACGCGTCGAATAAAGAGTATGCGCACATTAGCAATGTTGTATCGACGGCCGATCATTATTCTGCAACCTGACGTTTGATGTTATTGACGGTTTCACAACAAAGGAGAACATACTTTCTGACGCGAATATGGATGTAGTCATCCTTGAGAACCTTACGCGCGGGGGCCTGGACGATGGACGATAATGTGGCACTGCGGAGCGCGGTCGATAGGCTCTCGTTCTTGTGCATGTCGGAAGGCATCATGATCTGCCTAATAGAAGGCTCGAGCTGGGTGGCATGTTGCTATCAGTAAAATGGTCACATATGAGGTAATATGCCGATTTGATCAGTACTTGACCTTGTGAGGTGGTAAAGGCAAACATATAACTGATCATCAAAAGACAGGTATAGGCTTTTTACCCAGATGGGAGTGGGTTCTTTGTACTTGTCAAAGTAGATACCGGCGTTGGTGCGGCTCTCCTCGTCAACGAGCTCGTATTCGATTTCAGCGTTTTCGCGTGCGGTCTCGTCGGTGTAGTCCTTAACGGTTGCGGTGGGGTCTCCCATAGGAGACCATTCAGATCCAAAATATAGCGTAACATTTCTCTCATCTCTGTCCGTCGCGGTAAGATCAACCATGACCATCAGACAAGAATATCTGTATAATAGCAATCACGTACGCTAACCATTGTAATATTTCGTACGCAATCATCCTACTAAATATTACCACATTCTCCAAACAGAAAAGTACCATAGTTTTTCGCATAGATCTCTCCTGAATGTACATGTCCATTACCAGACCGCATCCTTTGCATCGAAATTAAGGGCATTAGTTCTTGTCGATGATACTCCAAAACATGTTCTGACTATGTTGCATCTTTGCCATGAAATGCAGATAAGAGACTAGTTTTTAAAAAATCGCATCTTGCTTGGTGCCTATTTATATTGTATCTCTCTTGCAAATTCGGATTGTATACGTCAACTCGAATGGTACACATGTCGTTGACAGAGAGTTGGATGTTTTAAAAAACCATTTCCGTGTGACGTGTACGTGAAAAATCGCCATAGTTGTTGTTAGTAGTGTGTGTATGTGTATGTATATGTGTATGTGTATGTGTATGTGTGTGTGTATGTGTGTGTGTGTGTGTGTGGGAGGGATACAAAGGTAGGAGGATGATGTGTAAAGGAAAGAAAGAAGGAAAGAAGGAAAGAAAGAAGGGAAGTAGTTCAAAGGTTCATTTTGTGCGTTGGCGCGGAAAGTCAGTCACATCTACCGAGGTCTGGTGCGGAAAGCCCTAAATACATAGTGGAGTAACGTGTTTAAGGACGTAGTAGAGAGTATTACCCAGCATGTGAGCCGTCTCTTTTGCCGATATATCGAGAAGGAAGTCAGAGAGTAGTTATAAAAGCCACGCTGTGATAGGACCATCAAGCTAGAGTAGGAGAGCAACATCACTGGCAATATGAAGCGCACACACACAACCAATAACCAGAGGGCACAGTGGACACAGATCCACAGGTGGCAATAGATCTATGAGCAGGCCTTTGTGGACGAGCCGTATCAGAACGCAGAAACAGCGGTGTCAAGGCAAGTAGAGCGATACTCGAGCGGCTGATCGATCAGTCAATGACACCCTGTCGGGCCTGACGCCCATGGATATTGTGGAAAGGAGAGGCAACATGGTCATCAGAGAGTTGGAGGAGGAGCACACCTACATCCTTTAAACGCGTCCCATAAAGCAACAGGTGTCGTCCGAACTCGCGTACGTCGTTCCTAATCTGGTGAAGACAGGCTGTACAAACCTCATGTGCACTAGAACGATGCCGGATCACGAGCTTCGGAGGAAAGAAGTGGATATGAATGGATGTGAACAATAGCGGTGAGGAAATAAAGAATCAGGCAGGAAATAAAGAAATAATGGGTGGCTTGTAGGACACAGTCGAATTCACGACTATTGTGTGGATAAAATTTGATGTGTCGTCATGGGCGGGGCATCCTTACCGCTGTGAACTCACAGCGCGTGCACGGAAGAAGAGGATGTGAGGGACACTATCTTGCAAGCGGCGTGGTCTCCGGCGCCGTGTGCGGCAAAGCAAAAGAGAGGGAGCGCCGTAGCGCGACCATCCAGGCCTTCTTGCGCGCTTTTAAACAAGCTTACTAAAAAAGCAATCCGTCTTCTGTTTTGTTTTCTTTTGGGTGATGAACATGCAATGGGTTGCATCTTTACTCTTGCTTCATTCCTCATTCTAGACTCCCTCCTTCCTCGCTTTACTTTCTTTCTTTCCATCTTTCCTCAAATACAACTCAATACAAAGTTAAATATTGTTAATCAAGAGAGCTCAATCAGCATGCATCTCTATCAACCTCAGCCAAGGCACTACTTATTTCGCCTTCTGCTGTCAAGGAATGTAGGATACCCAGAGTTGTTGCCTATTCGGCTTGCCTTCAAGAAGGCCACGTGTGTTCTTCAAACATGGCCTGCATGCTGAAAGCGCGAAGATATGTTGACACACTCTCGACCGACCTTACTGTAAGTTTGTAATATATATGTCTACACTGCAACTGTACGTCTTTGATTTCATTATTATCTTTTAGGCTGGCAACATTGGTCGGTCAACCTGAAGGAGACGGCTGACACCCGTCCTCTTGACTTGCTTCAACACCAAAGTCGACAGAATGAATGCTTTAGTAACGGGGATGAATCATGGCGAGTCTGTCATCTACCATGCCGTGGACTGTACCCCAGACGAGGACTCTAACGAAGCTGGCCGTTATACCCCAGAGTTTCTCAACACTCTTTCGCCTAATGATTTGCCTCCTTTCAAGCTCGAGCTCAAAGTCGGTCAGCCCATCATAGTTCTTCGAAACATTCATCCTGCTCAAGGTCTGTGTCACGGCACCCGCCTTATCGTTCGACAACTACAACGCACACTGAATAGCACCGATATCTTGATTGGTATAAGCCCTGAACACATCGTCCTCGCCCCTAGCGTTCCTCTAACCAACGCCAATGATAACCTCGCTTTTCAAATCAAGTTCCACAGGACGCAGTTCCCCATCGGGCCCGCTTATGCGATGACCATCAATATGGCTCAGGGACAAACCCTTCAGCAAGTTGGACTCCACCCCCCAAAAAACCCGTCTTTGGCCACTGCCAGTTGTACATCGCTCTCTCACGTTGTATCACTCCACGAAACCTGAAAATCCTCGTGTAAGATGGTGAAATAAGAGACAGATAGGCCTTGTCGTTGTATTCAAGCGATTTTTTGAATAAACATACCTTTATACCTATTAGAAAATAAAAAACAACCTTTCTAGTTTAAGCTTAAATTATTTAAGCTTAATAATAATGGCCGTTGCCACCAAATGTCACTTATATCCTTCTCACAAGCCTTTTTTTTGATTTTTCTTTTTCTTGCATTTCTCTTTCACTCCGCTCCTTCATCTTCACCTTTATCTCCACACTTTGTCCATTATTTTTCTACCCTTGACTATTTTCCCATCTCCCAGAATAGACAGTCAGTGGCACCATCCCTCTCTCTCCCCAACTTCCACTCATTTGTGAAATTATACTTCACCTTTCCTTCTCTGCACCGACATTCACTCACTTTCTTTCTCTCTCTATCTCTCTTTGTCTCTCCCCGTCATGGACTTTCTTAATACAGTACAACAAGGAGTCAGCGACGACGCAAGATTTGACTGCGTGGAGCAGGTGAACTTGGGACGAGAGAGAAAAGGCATCCAGCCTATCTTCGCTGAAGACGAATCCATTACAGCCCTTTTGCAGGAGGATACCTTCGTCTGTGCCCTGGCTATCTCCCACCCAAACTTCGATCCCACACAATACCCCAAGGTTTTGGCGAAGATCGATGATGAAGATGGATGCTTATCTGACGTAGGTAGCATATTTGTAGATACTGACTCTTCCGTTACCCTTGTCGAAAATTCACACTGGAAAGAGTCTAATTCAGATGAGATTGTATTTTTTCAATTTAGGGATCCATTCGATTTTACCTTCGTTGTCTGAGGTTCTCTCAGGGCCTCTTCCGAGACTACCATGACACTTATGCGGATAAAGAGTGGGCCAGGGCAATGCTAGAACGGTTCTCCCAACCCGATCAGGAAGTCTTCGTTTTCTATATTGGCACCACCACACGTACCCCCTCAGAACGCGTCGCAGAGGATCAAGAGTCGACTTTCTCTTCACGATTGGGTAATCTTTTGAAGTTGATCAATCAGGAGGTCGACACGTACGAGTGGGTCAAGTTGTCCCAACCATGTGGAACTACTAAGGCCGACTATCGCCGCCACCTGGTTGGGCAAGATATTGAACGGAACTTGATCGCTCTTGGAGGACCCTTTCTGGCCAATTCGGCATCGGGGGGTTTCACCTACGATTGGGCGGTTCCAAAGCACATCATGGAGGGGCTTGGGCCATTTCAAGAGTACGTCCAGTATCGCTCCCGCCACTACTACCACGCCAGCTCATCTCGCCCTTCACCTCACCCAGCCATGCGAAATCTGTTGACGCTTCATTTTCGGCTCATGCGCGATCATTACATCAGGAACCAGGGACCAGGAGAGACTGTTGCCACTGACGGATGCCTCAAGGAGCTTGTCGATGCCGGCTCAAGACCTGTGATGGTCAAGAACCAAGTGATATCTGCTTTTGTAACTAAAGATATTACTGTTGAAGCTTTGGCTGGTGGATATTCATACGACGACGATACTGCAGGACCGGCACCTCGTCTGGAGCACCACCTGCGGAAATGTGTTACCGGGATTGTCGAGTACCATATCGATGGCGATGTATTTCCACAAGTCCGTACCGATCTCTACCCATGCAGTACGCGACACATGCAGCACCTTGTCGCATTGTTATTCCTATCCAACTACCTCAGCATTCTGCAGCCGATACTCCTTGTCTCTCATTCCCTTCAAGTCCTTCATGTCCTTCAGCATGGTCTCTTACACACATGTTGGCAATCGCAGGATTCTCCAACCCAGTTTATGACGTCGTTGGAACAACACGATCATACTCATGCGTCGCTGGAGGCCGCCTTCGGACAAGGAATCGCGAAGAGCTGGATCAACATCAAGTCCGATTCGAATTACATTGAGGCTCTTGGCAGGTTTTCGGTGGTCAAGTTTGGACCGGGTCAGGACGACTACTGCCTACTTCTGCCGGAAAGAGACACTGGAAACATGCGGTACAACCCCTCCCTCTCGGCCGCCCTCTCGTATTTTTCTTTTTTGACGAAATGCATCTACCTTGTCGCCATTCCTCACCTCGTCGGGTATGCACAAAACCGACCTCCAGGGAGCAGGCAGGATACCCTCGTGCAACTGAAGACCGAGATCGAGGGATCCGTCCAGAAATGTGGAATCCGATTCCTAATTGAAGATGCAAGGGAGCAAGTCAAGACCCTCTCAAAGGAAGTCTTTCGTCAGCGAACCCAGGCTGCCAACATTCGCAGGGCAGAAGACGATCCTGATGGTTACGATAACTGGCTACGCACAAGACTGGACCAATTGGAGGCGGGAAGGCGACAGGTAAATTTTACTTTCAACACTCGAAGCCTTATTATTTTCAGTGCATGTGCATGTGTGTGTGTGTGTGTGTGTGTGTGTGTGTGTG